CGCGCGGCAGAGTGCAACTCTCCGCGCAGCAGGTGTAAAAGCGCAACAGGCTCCCAGAACTTCTCGGAAAACCCTGCATCTTTGCCCAGTTCCTGCAGCAAGTGAACGACGTCCAGAAAACCGAAGTCATCGGGGGCGCCGTTGAATCCGTAGTCCTCGGAGTGCAAATCCTCGGCCAGCAGGAACCGCTCCTCGCGCCCCAGCAAAATGATGGCAACGTCACGCAAGCCCCGCGTGTACGTCGCGAGCTGGTCAAGAAATCGCTTGCCCAGGAGCTCCGGACAGGACGAGGTGAGGTAGTGAGTTTCCTTGCTGTTGTTCCAGAAGGGGGCTCCTTGATACTGCAAAACCTTTGCGGCTATCTCTGCGTAGCTCCATTTTGAATTTAGCTGCTTGTTTGCAACCATGCATTCGCGCGCTTCGCCGATTTCTTTTGCAGCGGCGCGCCACCTCTGCTCCCAGACCGAGTTGGGGTGATTTTTAGGGCTATTCATCGTAGTCAACGACGCGCTGGCCGTCGTCGAGACGCTCGCTGAAGCAGTAGTCGAATCGTCCATGACCGTGCCGCGTGTCAGTAAATGTGCCGGTCTGACGCCAGCGTCGTTGCTGGAATTGCTAGAATTATCGTTTTTCGCAGAATTGTTGTAGTATTTCAACGCCCCGAGCAGAGTCGAATTATTTGTGCCGCTCTGCAAAGGCGGAGGGGCGATTCGCAGCCCGCGTTTCAGGTCGCGTAGAATCTTTTCCCCGCCTTCGCCGGATACCATCCAACCAAAGATCCCGCCACGCAGACTGACGGCTTCTCCTTTCTCATCCAAAGCCCACTCGTGATTCCAGACTCCACCTTTTGTTGCCGGCTCATACTGCGAAGCTTTTCCTTCCTCTGTGTCTGCTGCTGCCATCGCGTTATCGGCAAGCGCCGCAACGCTTTTACTCTGATCATCTGCTGCTCCTTCGGGCTCTACTTTTATTGCACTATCGTGTTCATAATTCAGAGCGGCAAAAATTTTGGTTGCGTCTGAAATTTCCGTGGCGGCTTTTCGGAACACCGTCCCGAGGGTTCTCCGTGCGTACATTTCGCGGACGTTTTCCGGTACGTCCAGAAGCTTCCGATCGAAGAACTGCGTGTAGAACAGCTGCGCCGGCCCCCACTGCCGCGAACGCAATCGGTCGTGCGTCTGGAAGGGCAACGCGGCACCCACGTGCGTGAACGGCGAGCGCCGAAAGTCGACGTCCTCGAACTTGTGACTCGCGCCGAACTCGCGGTGCTGCTTCCAGATTGCGCTGCCCTTGTGCGAGGACTTGATCTGCATCGCCAGCGCGTCGTGCAGATCCGCGTCGCTTGTGCGCCGCGTTGCCTCGATTGGGGTGTAGTAGGGGGGGTCCGGGACGTCCCACATCGCGGCCGATGTCCAAATGGGCTTGGTGCGGTAATGGTCCGAATGCTGCTCCAAAATCAGCAGCCGGTCCTCGATGATCTCCACGAAGACACGCAAAAACGAAACCAGATCCGAGGACAGAGATTCGTTTGGCGTGTCAGAGGTGCCGGGCGTGGATACAACTTCACGTTTCGTCGTGTTCTCGCCGAGGGAAAAAAGAGCAGCTGGAAAAATCGAGCGGTACACACTTGGCGTACTGCGCACGAACTCCTGTATCGGCACTCGATTGTAGATACTCGTTGCCTGCTCGTTCAGTTTGTCGATAGTGTTCGTGGGCGAAAACGCGGCAAGGAAGGACACCAGCGTCCCATACTGCAGAAGCCTTTTCTTCTTTTCGCGCGGAAGTGCATATAAAACCTCCGGACATCTATCTTCTTTGGAACTCGTGTCGCTTTGCCCTCCCATCGGTTCCCTCGTAGTTTGAGCTTCTTGCAGAGTACATTCGTTTTCGAGCCCCTGGTGCTCCCTCTGCAGTGCGAGAAACTCTTTATAGGCGTCGCTCTCCTCCATATCAAATGTAAAAATGTCTGGGTCTGGAAGAATGCGAACTTGTCATGCAGATTTTACATGGCCCGTGACGTCTGTGATGTATTCCCTGGCATCACAGATTTTCTGAGTGCTTCTTGATGCCTATTCCGCATGACAAATGGCCTCCCCGCGTAGCAGAAACTGGGCTCCTCTTGCTGGTCATGCACTACAGATTTTTCTAGAATCCAAAATTGGCATGACAAACTTGCATTCTTCCAGACCCAGACATTTTTACATTTGATACTCCAATCGTCGCTGCAAGAGGCGGCGGTGCGCCCAGATGATGGGATGTCCGTATCAAAGTGAAAAATCCCCCCACCCCATACTCAAAATAGAAATTTGTGATGCAGATTTGTGGCCACAAATCAGCTTTGTCATGCTAGAAGGGAAAAGATGCGGACTGTAGTGCTGGTTGGCGTGGGAAAGCCTTGCATCTTCAGCATTACAGGGGGCAGCTGGAAGTGGAAAACAGCATGACAAATTGCCTGTAGACGAGGCCACAGCTGCGTCTCTTGGCCTTCTAGCATTACAAGTCGATTTGTGTACTCAAATACAGCATCACAGATTTCGTGTCCCATATGGGGAGGGGGGATTTTTCCTTTTGATAGTCCGGGCCGCCACTTCTCCAAGTCGAGGAGGTGCAAGATATCATCGTAGGCGACCTCACGCTGGTAAGAGGAGCGCGCGGACTCGTCATTGTAGCCTTCACGCAGGAACAGCCGGGGGGATTCGCTTTTCGCGAACTCAAAGAACCAAACCTGATGATGAAAAAACAGTAGAGACCAAATCCAAAGCCTGTTCAGAAATACAGCCACCCGGTGCTGGATCGGCGTCATCGTGTGGAGTTACGGCTTTGCGCCGTCCCCATGTCTGAGACGCAGCAGCAGAATACGCGGTAGATACTTGTTTATTTTCTATTGTTACCTCACTAGAAAACTTAAGTAGATGAACGGCCGGCGAGCGTCTCATTTATTTTTGTTGCAACTTCTAGGGTCATTATTCAACATCTTCGTACAGAAGTGATTCCGATGGGAGAGAGGAGCTGTGCAAAGCTGATCTCGCGAGGACTTCATCCTCCATACCCCTATTTTTTATACATGATGTCAAAGACGGCCGGAAAGAACTGAACAGCCAGGACGGCGGCGGGCAGTTGTACAAGCGAAACGAAATAGAAATACTACAGCACACGCCATCGAGCAGAAGAAAACAATATATAACTGAACCTCGCTGTTGTCTTTGCTTTTCATTTTGCACGTGCACTTCGGAAAAGATAAGGAACGCAAACAAAAGAAAAGAGTTTTTTAAGTAAGTACTTCGCTCTCACGAACGACTGCATCAACAAAGAACCAATCCAACGACAACCGACAAATCACACGGAAATATGATATTTTCTTTTTCTGATCTTTTGAAAAATGGCTTACTTCTTCTTGTTGTCTCATTTGAGAATGTTGACCGATATCAAAGCAGCACGACACGGCGGACAAGATTACTATGAGCAGTTTTCACTACGTGCGAGGCAGACTCTGACATCTCCCGAGCAGATCGAACTCAGCACTGAAAGATCCACAGAACAAATGCAAACGCTTCAACAAACTCCAACGCCACTTTGACTTTCCAAACCCTATGTGCGATTTTTCCTTCAAATCTCTTGGACGAAATGGCGACCCACTTGCAGCAAATGCATGCGCGAGTACTCCGCGTCTCCGTGGGAGGGAATCCAGGCAACATGGCACAGATAGCGAGCGTCAGCCAGGTTCTGGACTAATTCCAAAGTCCTTGCAACTGTCTGAGGATTCTGATGCTCTTCCTCATCTGATTCTGAATTATCGAATATACTATTCTTGCCCCTGACATCGTCCAGCCGGAGCCGATCTTGCCGCTCCTCCAACCCCTCTCTTTGTGATGCCCTGCTTCGCCTCTGTTCTTCTTGTTCCTGCTCCAGCTTTTTTTTGCGTTCCAGCGGTGACAGTGCCACACTCTCTTCCACCGCGTCCTCCCATACAGGGAGATCTTCCAGCAACTCTCGTTCGAGCCCCCATTTCTGTATGAGCTTCAGCAGGTCGGGCCGAACGAAAAGGTCCGTAATGCGCAATACTGTCCGTAGCAACCGCAACACCGTCCCTAGCTTCCGCGCAAGAGTGCGAAGCCGAGGAAAGAGCCTCATATCTTCAGGAGATAGCGCAACTTTTCGCTGCTCGCGACCAGCATCGACATCATCCGAACGTTCGTTCTTGGAGCCCCCGCTCTCGTCCTGGGGCAGACGACGCGCCGCGTGTTCGCCAGCCGGGGTAATATGCAGGTGTTCCGCCAAAAAGCCGTCCCCAAACACGGGCACTTGCACGAACTCCCGTGTGTTTGTTCCCGCTTCCAAAAGGGCAGTAACAGCTTGTGCCTCCTTCACTATTCTGTTGATCGCGTCCACCCGCGCCTCGTACTGCGTCCTCGCAGCCTCCGGTAGGCCGGGAGGCCCGGAAAAAACCGGCTCTTTGTGATCGAGTCCGTGCTGGTGCGGTGGCAGGCCCAGGGAAAACAGGTGCCGCTTCGACCGCTCCAGCGCGAAGGCGAGGTCCGTCACCCGGTTGCAGGACACCACCTCGGCCGCCTGGTACTTCCATCCCGCGCCAAAAATCCACGCGGGGTTGATCTGCCAGGTGGGCTGCAGAACAAAGCCTCGCTTGGTGAGCAGGTTGTCGACGTCCGGAAATTTCGCCCCGCCGATGTACGTGGGAAAGCTCTTGTACTCGAGCGTCGTAATCTCGATACCGATCGACCCAATGCGCTCCCAGTCCGCGTCTTGTTCTATCCCCGCAAGCACGCTCAGCTCCGCCCCCTGCACATCGATGATCAGATCGAACTGGATCTTGTTCTTGGCACCATGAACCGGCCGGCGCTCTTCACGACCATCTCCGCTATCCAGAACCTGACTGGGCTGCGTGGTCCTCCCATGAACAACTTTACACGCGGCACTGGCCTTCCTTTTGGTTCTGATGTCGACCGCAGATGCGTCATGATGCTCCGCCGCTTTTCTGCACGCCTGCTCCTGGAGAATCCCCACGACGTCGGCAGCGGGGCTGGGCGGTATCCGCGACGAGGCAAACGGGTCCTTCTTCAGTTGCTTCAAACTATGAAAGTCGAATGATCCGACATCTACTTCGCTTTGCGATGCGGGCGCGACTGCGGAAGCCGACACCACTGAGGGTTTTGCGGTGGACGACCTTTTTGCTTCCACCTCTTGTACGAAACTAATGTTAGCTTCCGCTTTCTTCGCTTCCCCCACCGGATCGATGCAACACGACGGGGCGAGCAGTGGTGCTGTAGCTGATGTTGCTGTACCGGCCTGCCCAGCACTTGTGAGGGGTCGTGAAGACTTAGCTTCCTTCTCTCTCACGCTCTGGTGATGAGGCGTGAAAAACCCGAACGCAATACCGCGCATTATCGTCGATAGCGTTGTAGTTGGCAACTGGAGCACCGTAGCGTTATACTGCTCGTCAAAGGAAGAGAAGGCAGGAGAGCCACCTGCCGCCTCTCCCTCTTCCCCGTTGTGACCCTCGTCGCCCTTGAACGTGCCTTCCTCGGGCATCTTCGTCTCCAGTAGGCTCCCCATTCGGAAGTCCCAGCCAAACCGCTCCTGCACAACATCGATGGCCTGCCAGTCATGCACGCGAAAGTCCACCGTCCCGTCCTGCTGCTCGTTCACGATGCGGCTGCTCGCGCAGAAACACACGTCGCCGGCCATGGGTCTGTCCTCTGCAGGAAGATCAGTACTGCCCCCGTACTTCTTGTTTGCAACTCGCAAGTTCGTTTGCAGCTTCGCATACGTGACCGGGTCTGCTTCAAAGAACCACGCGGCTTTGTAGCGCGTGAACACGTTGGTCCGATCTGTGACCAGCTCTTCGTAATCGGCCGCACCAACGTACAGAAGCGCTCGATCCGCAATGCGCAGATCGCGGTGCAGGTGAATGGATTTTATCTGTGCGTGTTGCGTCCTTTTCTTCTCCAACAAAACGGACACCTGATCGCTCCGTAATACAGTCGTCAATAGAGGCTGTGGCCGCGAGTCCACGCCGGGGCTTCCGCTTCTGGCGGCGAGGTAGGTTAAACGCAAAGACTGCACGAGCACGTCGTTATTTTGTCGATCATCTCCTGATGGGTCGTCCAGCGCGTTCTCAGCTGCTTCGTCCTTGCTGCTTTTGAATCGCACGTCGAGCGTCGCAGAGGGATACACAACGCTTTCGTGTGTATTTGGCGAACGTTCCTTTGTTTCTCGGTGGCGCCACATGTTTCGAACCAAGTGAGGAAATCGAATCCGCAGGCGTGCCCGGCCCGTGAGAAAATCCCGTGCAGCATAGTCGTCTCCGCGGGATGTTGAAAACGAGCTCTCGTCGTCCCCGCCGTGTCCAACATTTGAGCTGCAAGACGACCAGCGAGAATATCTAAACTGAGCTGCCTTGCCAACGGGCTGGAAGAATCCTACATCCTGATCCTCGTCGTCCTCTGGGCTCAGCAACACTACCCCATCGTCTAGGTCCAACGTCGATGATTCTGTGTGCAGCTGCCCTCCATCACGATCATTTTGTAGCACACCAACTTCGACGACGCCACTTCGATCGAAGATCAGATTGTTCCCCAGGGAAAGCGCAAACACCTCATTTTGGCACGAAGGCGCTCGTGCATCTTCCAGCCCTGCTTTTGAAGTTCTTTGTCTTTCCGATCCGAGTTCGACTGCTCGTTGTATCTTCGTGCTGTTCGAGTGCAGCCGAAAGGGGGACTGGTACTGTTCCCCGACGTACCAAGTGGGGCCTCGAGAAGATCCTCCCCTGGATGCTCCGACAAGCTCCTGTAGGACACGCGCGACGAAGGCTGAGCCAGTCTGGCGCCAGGTCGTGGCGGTGCCGCTTGAGGCTTGTTCGTCCGCACGCTCGTCTTCAACATCCACATCGAGATATTCGTTTGTGCGCTGCAAAGTGTAGACGAACGGGCGGTCGAGGAATCCCTGATCAAAGGCTGCTCGGACTATCAAAAGGAAAAATCCCCCCTCCCCATATTGACACGGCACGTTTTCAAAAATTTGTGTTGCTGATTTGTGACCACAAATCGTCTCTGTGTTGCATGAAGGCAACTCCACAGGCTCCGCCGCATTCTACAGGCGGCTTGTCGTGCTGTTGTGCTTCCAGTGTAGACGTCTGCCATGCTAAGCGCCTAGGCCAAAACCTGTCTACTCGGGCTTAGTACGGGCCTGCAGTCCTCCCCAGCAAGACAAATCTAAATTGTGTACGCAAATCCAGCATCAGAAGCTTCGTTTTCATATGGGGAGGGAGGATTTTTCACGCTGATACGGACATGGCGTAGTTCGTTGAAAAAGAAAATGATACAGCTACAGAAAAGCAACACAAGCCGGCGATGAACAACCAAGCTGACCTGAAAGAACATTTTCGCGTGAGCAAGTGCAGCTGATAGACTTGGTATACCGCATCTGCGACTCAAAGATGAAAATCTGAAGTACAAAAAGAAAGAGCATGAGCTCGGGAGCACCACCACCACCGTAGCTATTGGAAAGAAGCGCAGGACGAACACCCAGAAAAAAGAAAAAACGACACGGAGCATTCGAAAAAGCCCAGCGTCCGCGGTGTTGAGTATATTGCAGTAGAACGGGGAAGGACACGCGATCGAGAACAGCGATCGCTCGTTTCCAGTCGGTGGACCAAAACCAATGTGATGAACAAAAACAATGCAGAAAACATTAACATCTTGTTAGCCCGCACTAAAAACAAGCTCAATTTTTTTGCAAGGAAGCACCTCCCACCTTCTTCATCCTTTACACTCTTTTCCATTTTGCATGAAGAAGTTTCAGCTAGTGATGCCCTAGGTGGAAGCTGCCACCTCTAGTCAGGCCCAAAAAACTTCCTTCCCTGCGATGGCAGCGCGCGCCTGGGCGGCTTCCTCGTCCAACCATTCGTACTCGGGAAAGAATCGTACACGCGCGTTCAGGCCGGCGACGTGCCCAACTCGCGGAAATCCTCTGGCTTCCTGCGCGTGCACGTAAAAGACCTCTCGCTCATCGTTGAACCAGTAAATTTTACGAGCCGGCCATGCGTTATCAACTGGCAGTAATGCCTTTTGCACAGCGGTGCGCAGGCAGTCTAAATCTTCTGCAGACGCTTCGCATGCGTTGGCGCCACGTGTTTCGTCGTGTGGTTTTTGTTCATCTTCTTGAGCAAAACCTCCTCGAGCAGAGATTTTTTCTGGCAAAGGCAGCACGCCGAAATAGTTCTGTAGCGTGATGTCGACATCCACGTGAGAAGCGCAACGGACAACCGCGTGATATAGGCCGTCGTCCATGTCAGGGCTTTCGATTCCACGTTGGATAAAGCTTTCAACCACTTTTCGACCTCGTCCAAAGGGTATCGACGGGTGATCCATACGCAGCTGCACCCGTTCCGTGCACGTCTCAGCATCCGCGGGAAAGTACACACAAAGGACGGACTCTTTGGGTGGTTGAAAACACAGATCAAGCAGCTGCAGTCGGTCTCGCTGCAGGAGGTTCGTGCGGTCCACAACCAACAGAGCAGGGTCGTTCTTCTTGCTACTAGACTTTGCAGCATTCGCCACGGATTTCCACGCCGCACCAATGCCGCCCTCCACCCCCTCGCGCCCGATCTCGTCCTGCGACAGCACGATCGGGGGTCCGTACCCGCATCGCAAAAATCCGGCACGGAGTCGGGACACAAAGGACGACTTGCCTGACCCAGGTAGTCCCACAAGAACAACGAGGCGAACCTGGGTCCTTGGCGCACAGGCGGCAATGGACGATTTTTCTCCGGCATTTTTACCCGAACGAGCGTCCTCTCCGTCGTGTCGGTGGTTGCTAGAAGCGTTTCCAGTTTGCTCATTCTGCATTTTTTTCTCCCCGCCTTGAGTGCAAGCAAGCGAATCGCTACCTGGACCACTTGCAGAAGGGAGCGCCTCGACTGAGCTCGTCTCTTTGTGCGGATCGTCCCGTTCGTACTCTAGAAACTCACCCATGTCAGAAAATCGAATTCGCTGCCGTTGCCACGTACGCTTAAAGTCTGGAGCTGTCTGCAAATGGTTCGCGCGAACGTACTTGGCAACGTTGGCTGAGAAGTCTCGTATTGTACCGGCGGTCCGTACCACAAAGCCCTCCGGGCGCGTAAGTCTCGTCTGAGCACCGCCTTCTCCGGTCTGCTGCATCTCCTCAGCCTCGTGGTCTTGATCATTTTCGCAGAACAATATTCCGCTGGGCTCTTGGGCCCATGTGGCCATTCGTCTCTCCAACTCTTCCAAGGACAGTGCGGGTCCCTTGTACTTCACAGGCACTAGTGGCAGGCGCAATTTCTTGGCAATGTGCTCAACGCGATCCCAGCTCAGCCACAGGCCGTCCAGACGGACGGCAAAGAGGTAAAAGGGAAACTTCACCTCCGGTTCATAGCGAATGCTGTGGACGGCGGAAAGGTTTTCGCCGTACAGTTCGAGCCCCGCCGGAACGCTGGACTGCAGCAGCGAGGCCAACGGCCTAGTACAACTGGCGGCCATGCTTGGATCGCAGCTTTTGTTTTTCCCTGCGCCAGTGCTCGAAGCTGCGGCCGATGAAACAGGGACCAGTGTGGCTCGCAGCAGTTGCTTTACCGCATGGAAACTTGCGTGATCGGCAGGATGGGCATGAGTTCGCGCATAGACCACGCCACCGTCCTTGATGCAGCAATTTCCTCCGTCCAGCTTCTCTGTGATGACGACTTCGTAGGATTGACCCAGCTTCCTCTCCTCGTCCCGACTACCTACTGTCAGCGGTGACGTTTGGAAAAGTAGCCCACGACCTGCAGTCAGTGTCTCGTCCCCACTCGCAACGGAAGGCGAGAAGGGTAGGTACGGCGTCGAGGGATACTTGGCGGGAGCCACGCCGGCGCTATTTTCTGCATCTAGATCTGAAAGCTCCTCGTTCGGAAGCTTGTCGGTTGACGCTCTTTTCTGAGCCGTCGGTAGATGATGATCAGAAGTCGTACTGAAACTAGGAGCCTCTGGGACCACGAAGTCGCTTGTTTTATCTTGTTCATCGCCGATTGATCTCCACAGGCGATCCGCATAACTCCTGACAAATCGCTCCTGGTGGTCCGTCTCAATGCTGCCAGGGCGAATTTCACGAAGGTGCCGCACGACGACAGACGAGCTGGCGAAAGTCATTCCACACGCTTCGTCGGACGAGCCAGCGCTTGTTCCCGAAACATCGAGGGCGGCGCCGTCGAGACCAAATCGCAACAGACAGCATGCGGCGAGCGTTCCCGCGCGCCCCTTCCCACCACCGCAGTGAATGAAGACTCTTTTGTTGTTCTTCGTAACTACTGAGGCGATTTTTCGTATCGCGGCATGTACCTGAGCGAAACTCGGCGAAAAGTAGTTCGGCGTCGGCAGAAAGAGGCACCGCACTGCTTTTGCTGCATGCCGGGCCTTGTTCGAAGACGCTGGCGCCCCCCCTCTGGCGGCTGGAACAAATTTGGCTTCTGCTGTGCCAACGCCTTGGAGCGTCAACCCAAGGGCAGCTTCGCCGGAAAAAGCAGTACTTCTAGCTGTACTTGCTTCCTCGTCTACTTCTGTGGCGTCGTCAACATGTGGGATCACCTCGGTCTCTACGAACCAGCCACGCGGCAACGGGCACTCCTGCGTCAGTGTGATGACGAGCTCCACTGCGTAATCTTCTTCGAGCGCCAAAATATGGTCCGCATGCACGGGCGTCGAGCCAACTAGAATTGACGGCAAAACCGACGAAAAATTTCGCATCATCTGCACGCCCAATCTAGGTGAAAAAACCTTTTTGCGTGGATCCAACCTTGGCAGCACGGGCTCTTCATCGACTTGCGGTTCTTCTTGCGCTTGCTCGCGAGAGGCTGGGTCGCGGCATTCGCAGCGACGGCCTTCCGGGTCAGCGAAATCGGCTTCACTGTAGCACCGCTCCAGGTATTCCTGTTGCCAATCGTAGTCGATGATATTCTTTGTGGTCTTCTGCCGCGTCCAGAACTGTGTGATTCCTTCCTGGAACTCCTTCCGTACCAGCTTCATCTTGTGCTGCAACTTTCCGCCCAGCTCTTTGCGCAGCACGACACCCTCGATCGCGGTCTCCACGTCGTGCGCAGAAAACACGGAGGTGCATCGGTCGAGCAGATTCTCCGTCAAAAAACGAAAGCTCGGAAGCGGCCCTTTGTGCAAAATCGGCACCACAGGAATGCCTGTACCGCGCAGCAAGGTGTGGAATTGCTTGCGAGAGACGAACTCGGACCCGTTCCAAAAATCGAACGCAATGAAGTATCCGGGCAGCTTGGAGTAGAAGACGGAGTGCTTCAGACAGCACCACTCGCCGAAGAGCACCGCTGTAGTTCTCTTTATTTTGTTGTCGTGCTTATTTTGCAGTAGCCGAAAAAGAGCGTCCCTGTGGGCCTCTACCCAGTCCCCTATGGTAGAAAACTGTGCGCTCGTGGCGCTGGACACCCAGTGCCCGCGGTTTTGGACCCGGATTTCCCAACCAGCGACGGAAAACCCGACGTTGGCGCCGTCTAACTTTTCTTCCACGAACACTTCGCCGTTGTTGACAAAAAGCCCCTCGCCGTCCTCTCCAGCAACCACGTCATCATCCGTGGCAGCACCGAGATTCCGCAAGTGCATCGTTCTCGGGTACTTTTTCTCGATGAACACACTACCCCCGTCGTCTCGTAGTTGCGCCTCCTGCTCGTTAGGGGAGGTTGTCGCATCTTCTTCCCTGAAAACAGCCTCCTGTCGGTGATCGTCCGCAGTGGCTGGGCCCTGCCACGGCTTCGGTCCGCCTCGGTTCGCTGTTATAATTTTGTTTCCGCTTTTCGCGAGGAGGCGTTCGAGTACAACGGGAGTACCGTGCAGCAGGTGTCCATGACTCGCAACATACTTCTGGCACGTTTCAGGCGCCCCGACGCGCGAAAGCGCAAGCGCTTTTTGTTGGACCCCCCGTAGGTCACCGGGTTCCAATTCCAAAAGGCGGTCCACGTGCATCAGTACCTCGTGGAAATGGTGTCTGCGACCAGCGAGCTTTGCTGCGCAACGCAAAAACTGCAGCTGTAATGTTCTTATTTCCTGGATATGCGCGTGGTCGGAGCCGCATTTATCCCGATCCGCAGCCGCATCATGGTTCTCTCCGGCGTGCTCCTGACGCTGGAGCGAGTTGCCCGCTACGGTAAGTAAGTGGTCCTGTAGCTCGCGGCTCACTTGGCGCCTCTCTGCCATCGCCAGCATTTGCCAAATGTCGTCAGTGCTAGGTCCGACCAACGTTGCCGCAGCTTCATCATCATGTCCTTCGAACAAATAATAGCTGTCAGTTCCAGTAGGAAGGTGGTCACGTACTCCTGCGGCCGGGGGCAGCAAAGAGTCTAAGCCTTTTGCAACGTCGTGCAAATCGCCTGCACCGGTAAAACCCAATGTAATGTGAAAGTCCCTTCGTGGCAGCCCCAAGTATTCGCGAAAGGCGGTGGCGCGCGGAAAGCACAGAACCACAAAGTAGCAAGCTTGATTTGATTTTTTCCGGGTCGCCGATCCCAATCCGATTGCGTAGACGGCCCGCATATCCAACTGCGCGAATGCATGGGAATCCACAGAAATGCTCCTTTGCAACGTAGACATCTTCGAGGCTCCCTTGTCCTCGTGACTGCCGTCTTCTTCCGGATTTTTATCCTCTTCCTTTTCATCCGCACTCGATGCGGCCGCGTCTTCGTGGACCTCTTTGCTACAGCTGGAGCTGCCCGCTGCGTGACCCACAGCAATTTCGTCCCCGGCTTTTTGAAAAAGGGCGGCCAGCTCTTTCGGCGTTCGGTCTTCCGGCATTTCGTGGGCCGCGACAATTGTGATGTGGTGGTAGACTGTGCCGTCACGAAGTTTGCGATGTGTGCGCAGACCTTTGTCGACACGATGGCAATACCGCGACGCCATGTCCTCCACCTGCGGCCCCGTCACATACAGGCTGCCCCGTACCACCTGCGATCGCAGCATGGCTGTCCTCTCCTTTCGAGATCGAGTCTTCCTGGGCCTGTTTCGAAAGACACAATCGAAAGTTGGTTTCTTCAGCGAACACGGGCGAGAGGAACTCGTCCGAAGAGATCGAGTCCAAAAAAGAATTTTGTTCGGGAGCCGGGTTTTCTTTCAACCCGCCATATATAGAGATGAGGATGATCGTCTATTTTCGGCAACTAGCAGACAGAGGTCATCTGTGCAGCAGAGACACTTCACCAAAAGTAACAGAAGAGTGGCGTAAAAAGACCGAAATATCCCGCCACCTACCTACGCACGAATAATATGAAGCTGCATGAGAAAACACGAAACTCAGCATCTTTGCTCTGTAGTACCGGAATCCATGCAATCGCTTTACCTTTACAGCGGTAATCAAGTGCAAATAAAGATCGTTTGCTCGAATGGAAACACTGCAATTGAGAAACAACATCAATTTCGATCTTCCTCTAATCAAACTTCTTTTCCTTGTCCTTGCAAACCGATTTTCTGCCTCAATGATCTTCTAGCCTCACACAGCATCTGGGGACGTCATAAACAGAACTCTGCCTTTCCCTGTGTCTGAGCTCGTAACTTTACCGAAGCATAGCTTGTTGGAATGCTCAACTACAGGAGAACGCACTTCCGCTCGGTGCTCGTTTCCTGCGAGGTTTGGTGAAATTGATTGATATCATCATCAGCGACTGATCGCTTCTCATGTCGGTGCAAACGCAAACACTATACAGTGACAGATGCGACGAGAAAATGTATCGGGGCGGAGCTGTGTGGATACATCGAAAAGCGAGGGTAACACGTACTTTTCGTTGTTCATAATTTAGCAAAACAGAGTAATGTACAAGGAAGGGCACACCTTCTGGAAGTCAAGATATGTGATTTTCTTCAACGAACAAAAATACAATTACAAGGATCGGCAAATACCAGTCAAGCAACTAATTTTCTGTAGTGGGGATGTAGAACTATACGTAAAATCCGTCCGCAATCTGAAAAATACGAAAGAAGTCTGGTATTACGTGCATAGACTTTGTTTTGGAGATTGCCTGGCTGAAATAGCAATAATGTTTAGCCCGTTTGAAATTTCAACAAAAACGATGGCGAGGTACTCGCAGCAATTTACTTCGTCTTCGGACCAAGCCATGCATAAAGAACCCACATCTTTAATTATCCTGTGTGCAGAAGTAGCTTCACGCTAGAAGAAGAACATCTTACGGCTGCCAAATAAAACTCAAGATCCTACCAACTACGCTCCCTCCCACTTACGATCCAATTATAGTCCGCGTTGGGTGGAGCTTCATCAGCCACGCAGGACCATTCGTGAAGCTCGGTTGACGTATCTTTCCTCCCCTCGTTGGCAACGGCAGCGGTCGGAACTCTGGAGTTGTATTAGAATGAGAAAAATGTAAAAAGTAAAGAGAAATCGGGTCTTTATTGATATCTCATCATAAAAAACGATTAGGATCACATTTGTTCCAAGAATCAAAAGTGTGCTCCAAAGTACTTTCAAACGTCTCCTCAGCTGCGTGGTGCGCGGCCCGATTGCTGGCACTGAATTCCCTGACCCCTCGATCGTCGGTGGCCATCAAGGAAAACAAATACGACATCCATCTACGATACTGGATCTCACCTTGTATATTTATGATGGAAAGAAATCTAAAAACTTTCAACCTCATCGTACTGCGTGCTGCACCCTGGACGCCGGTCAATATTCTATACAAAGCTTACTTACTACGGGCGCGGAACTCCATGTCCAGGCACGATGACGAAAACATGACTTACTAAACTACCGTTCTAGCGTTGCAAATTTTCCGTACCATCCCCATCTGCCAGCACTTGGAAAACTTTGTCTCGTTGGTGTGGTTGGAATCCGAACCGAATCGCAAATATCTTCTTTGTTTCTGGGTGCGCCATAGAAATATCTGTGTTATGAATGAGAGATTTCCTGTATTCGTTTTGAAAACATCAAACATGAATAAACTGTTCAATGCATGAAAAGCTGCAGCACTGGATGCATATCGAAAGGCAAAGCAAAGATACCGAATTCCTGCTTGTTAATCGCTCCGCTACGGTCGGTGTCGATGGCGCGGAAGAGATCAGACAGGAACGCCAACTCTTTCAGCTTTGATACCCAGCCGTATCGATTGTGATACGTCTCGTATAGTTGCAGGCTGCTCGGGAAAGTTGTTATAACCGATTTGTTCCAATCAGACAGGTCCGCCGGGTCTGAATGTTGTAGTTGTTATTTCGATATACGTAATTCGAATCATTATCAACTGTCCCGATCGCCTGCTTCCCTAGGACGCAGTTTCGAAAATCGTTGAAAAAACATTAAAGTAGCCAGTGGGATGGGAACAAACGAAAATATCAATTTCAATAAAGTTGATCCATAACATCAACATGATACCGTAGCTCTTGGAAAACACACTACTGCCAGTTCTCCGGAATGTCTCTCCCGGGCGGTAGCTCGAGCTTTCAGAAAACCCTGCTGTTGTGGCGTCAAACGCCGGTGTCGATTTACTTTTTATCATGGTCCGTCGTGAGTGAGAGTGCGTCGTTTATGTAATCAGCACTTAATATTATTTATTTCTACTGCGAATTCAACTTCTTCCAAAAAAACGCAGAGCAGATGGATCTATGTATTACTATTGCTGCATCAGCACAAAACGAGTACGCTACAGCGAGATTGCTCGCCTCCGCAAGAAGCAAGTTCGCGCCAACTTCTCTTTTGTTTCTAGCTGACACGTGCAGCACGTCGTTCGTTGTCATACAACTAGAGTGATCATGTGGAGGCCCTGCAAGTTGTAGCCATGGTCAAGATCCTTGTCTGAAACATGCTCCCTGCCTTTCTTCTACGAACGTAGCGAAGTTAGAATTTCCGTAAAAAATTCCCACGATAGTCGACTTCATGTACCCGATATCGAGCTTTCGATTCCCGGTACGTCCCCTACAGTAGAATCAATGCCGAGACTGAGGGTGACTGTGACATATAGAAAACGAGGATGACGACTAGGACTATTACGATCTTTCATCTGAAATACTGTGCAATGCACCGAACATCTGCTTACTCACATTACACCCAAAGAAGCTGCAAAAACCGAAGCAGTTTGCGCTGCAGGAACCGAGAGAATCAGTGTGACTGGCGACGGGGATGGCTGATGTGATTGCTCGAGCAACAGAACACTTCCCAAGAGCGTCATCTTGCATCAAGTAGCTCAGAGCAACAGATGAAGAAAATTCTACTCTAAGCTGGATTGCGACCTCATGCCGCGTTCGAGATACTTACACCCTTAGGCGTGATGTTTGTCGTCTAAAGTCTCTGTCGCTGGATTCTTCTTGCGTGCGATGCGTTCTTCGAACTTTTTCCGCTTGGTTCATTTTCTTTCGCAATTAAAGTTATGCGCTGAGTGCCGTAAACTACTGTGTTACATTTTATTCGGAGTCACGGGCACGGTCAGCCTCAGCCACCATTAAGTACATTATTATTCGGAGTCATACTGGAAGATCCGCAAGCACGCCGGAAGGATTGCGCAGCCGATTCCATGTTCTGCACCATCGGTGGAAGTGCGAAAGTCAATGCCGTAGCCGTGTCGCTGTTCTTCGAACGCGAAATGTCGTTTTGTAGTTTTGAACCAGAGATCAATGGATAGACGTGAGTGGGAGACACAGAATTTCGGAAGAGTTTTTACACAGCATGGCCCGAAAGGGACTTCCTTTAGAGGGAGCCGACTACACGAATGTAGGTGTACGACATCGTAGTTCCCAACCACATTGTTCGAGCGTTCGCGATATTCAAGTACAAGTAACCCATACGACGCTTGTGCATCAGTACCGTGTCTGGTTTTCTCCCGTTGCATTCTCTTCGTCGATGTCATGGAGAGCGGATGTTATTCTGCGCAACACTGCGAGAAATTCGGGACTCGGCGGTGGCGTGTCCGGGAAAGATTCCAGTTTGACGCTGTCGGCTACCAACCCGATAAAAAATTGGTTCAAGATGCGCAGCGAGTACCTGAAACACACAACAAAGAAACGCATATCCATGTGATGACGAGCTGCGCTACAATTACGTGTACGTATACGCATTCAAAGCATTAAAAAGATTCCTACCGAAAAAAAACGAGAAGATGCGCTTAGTACGACGTCGAAGAGGAACAATCAACAACAAATCAAAATGAAAAAAATGGAAGCAGCAAGGCTTTCGTGAGTCTTACCGTAGTCCCTCCCCATGTGTGAGCTCGAAGACGCCTGTAGCGTCGTAGCTAGCGGCTTTGACGATGAGGTCTTCGCCTCCCGGATGCAACGGTAAAAATGGGGTCACGTCGTACACCTTCGAGTCTATGACCACCCAACACGACTCGCGGGTGCGGTGCTTCTTTAGTTCGGCCAAGCTTATTCGTGCACAGTTGTCTACCCGCAACTTTTCGATGGTGTCTTCCACCAAAGTCTCCAGCTGTGCGTAGCCGCAGACCTTCGCGGCCCTGCGCAGTGTCTGCAACCTCGTGACGTCGATACCGCGGGGTCGGCGAAAGATCGTGGCTGCTTTTTGCCCCAAGTGTGTGTGCGCGGAACGGGCCTCCTCTGGAATGTCGGTCGGAACGTTAATATCAGCGTCGCGGTCCTCGTGGTCCACCTCCACCTCCGGGGTCGTTGTACTAACACCTCCTGCCGCTTGCTTTTTCTTCTTGGCGCGCAGCCGTTTCTTCTTACTGGCGGACATCTTCATGATCTCCGACCCCGCCTCCTGGCCTCCCTCGTCGGGAGCCATTTGGTCTTCGTCCTCATTGCCGACAAGAACCTCGGTGGCCACCGCGCCGTAGACAATTTTCTCGCGCGAGATCTTCGCAGTCCATCGGCCCATTTTGCTGTCCCGTTGCCGCTCTGCGTCCTGCAGACTCAGCTGCGTTCGCTGTCGGTCATACCAATACGTCAGCTGCGTCAACATGTTGAAGTCCACCTCGGGCAATCGGGAGGAGACTGTGGTATATTTTTCTTGCGAGTTGTTGAAAAAAAAATGTTGATATCCATATCTCACTGCTCTAGACACGCCATTGTTTATGCGCATGCTGTTCATCCCGTTCCTTTAAGTGTCCAAGGTGGACACAAAGGAACAGGACGAAAAGGAAACAAATGTACTTAAGTATTAAAATCAGTCGCGTGCAGCTCGCTTTTCAGGGCGAAGTGTGAGTGTCGCAGAAAATGAAAAACAAGTACGTGCACAAAAAGAAAAATCAAGCAGAAACAACATGCATTCTTACCGCTTAGCTCGAGCTTCTCGAGATCTCCAGCTTCTAGAAGCTCCTGGGCCAGCTTTACGCTTTCATTTGGTTCCTTTGCGGAACCCGAACAACTGGTCCCGTGTTTATCATCAACATCTACAGTGCGCGGTGCGGCGTTGGTCGCACCTTTCTTCGGCGACGGAGACGTGCCGGATGCTTTTGAGGCTTTGCTGGGCTTTTGCGCCGATGTCGGCGAAGATGAAGCTCCTGCGATTTTCCCATCCTCGCGTTCATTTGGAGCAGGAGCAGTATTTTCCTTCTGGTGTGGCGTTGCTCGGGAAAATGCACCAGCCGCATGGTCTGTGTCTGATGCGGACAGGTCGTTGGGCTGCTTGTACCACCAAGTTTCCAGGCGATCGAGTCCGGAAGCGACCCGGTTCAGGTGACCAAAACGTGCCACGGACGCGGCCACGTTAAAAACAGTCCAACGCTTTTCCGCTTCCTCCCGCTGGCGCTCGAGCTCGCTGTCGCGAATCATGGCCGCCATCAGCGCTTCCTCTTCTTCCTGTAAGTCATTGATTTCAATTTGAATCGTCGAACCTGATTCGGCGTGGAAAAGTAGAGACGAGAGTGGCAAATAACCCTAACTCTAACTCTACACGAGCTGTAGAAACGCCTGTTCGTGATAGAACTAGAAGTGGTTCACTTACATAAAGAATTTCGATATCTCTACATGGCTTTGGCTTTACATTAATGTTATTAATCTTAGAGTTAGACCACCTTGCGCAAATAATGCTTTCAGTTTCAGACGCGCGCGCAAACAATCTGAAGATGAACTCTAACTCTTTAAGTAAACGCACTAGTAAAGAAACACTTGATAGTACCGCCGCTTTTGATTTTTTGTTATTGCTCTTTGTTTTTCTCAGCTGCGCCTTATTTCCTGCTCGTGCGGGAGCAGCAGGGGCAGCCGAGCTGGCTGCATTGCCATTGTTTCTCGCTTTTGCTGTGCCATTACTTCCATCGAGCTGATGTGGTTCCAGGCTGGCCAACGGGTCAGTTTCCGTACCGGCAACAGTCTCAGGCTGGTCTCTTCCCGCCGAAGCGACACCGGTTTCAGGTGCGCCAGTTTCGCTACTTCCAAGGCTCAGACTCTTCGAGGACGAAAGTTCTGGCCCGGCGGCGCGCTCAGCAGTTTTTGCATCAGCAGCACGACTCGAAGTCGATTTTATTGTGCCCGTACCGTCACACGAATCCAGTAGTCTCACATTATTGCGCAGGTGCTGGCACTCCAGGATCAGATTCAAGGGCAATTCAAGAACTTCCGTCTCCCGAATATTGAATTCGTCTGCGTTGCTGTTTTGCACGGTAACGTCCAGGGTCTTCTCCTCCTCTTCCTCGGCACTAGATGAGTCCTTGTCCTTGACAATCTCTAAGCTCGCACTGCTACTTTCCGCGATTACAGAGGGTGCTGATGCGTTTTTCACGCACGCACCGGCCGCACCAGCGGTACCGGAGGTTTTCTTGTTTTGCTTGGTGCCGCGTTGAGTGGTGCCCTGTGAAAGATCAGCGTTATTCTTTGCATCAGCGGCACTTCTCGCGTCTTTCGTCTTAGCATCGTAAATGCCAGATGTCGGCTCGGGTACACATCCACTACCAGGCGCCGATGCCTGGGCTGCGCTTTTTGTCTTGTCTGATGACTTGCGGTCAGTCGTAGCTGACGCTTCGTGTTCTTCACCCCGATCCTTCTCCTTTGAAGTTTGAGTCACGGCGGACGTTGTTAGCTGTTGCAAAGAGGGGTTTTCTGATCCGTTGTGTGAATGGTTTTGTTCTGCACTGGCGCCCATTGCCCCGTCTTTCGCGATGCCGGAAGAGAGGTGACCATTACCGACGGCCCCCAAACCCGCATTGACCTCGCCACTCCTTTGTGCCTCTTGCTGGTGGTTGCGTTTACTTCCAGATCCAGGAGCCGCACTCGTACTTGCCGATGACGAAGGCCCCATCGTTGCAGGAAGCTGCTTACTGTCGGCTTTCTTCTCTTCCGGCTCGCCATGGTTGCGGATTTGTGACGAAGAAGACGATCGCGGGGACAATGGCTTGGCACTTGCTGTGCCTTCTTTCGCGGCGCGCTCCCCTGCCTGATGCTTGGTGCCGTTCGCAACAGAATTGTCAAGCTCGTGCTTCGACATGACGCTAGAAGCATTTGTTTCCTCGCTCTCTGTGAGCGCTGGCATCCTGGCGACCTGTTCCAGCGCCCGGAGCTCTTGAATGTCCCGGTCGACCGATTCCTGGGTAACAATCAGGGGAGAGTCCAGAGATGTATTGCCCATTTTTTTGCGTCCGGTGGGTGTGTTTTTTCCCCGACCATAGGGGGCGGTGCTTCCGCCCGCTCCGCCACGCGAGCCGCCCGTGCTGCGTAGGGGAATGTCGTCGAACGGCTCCTCAAGCGCAGACTCGATTTTCGTTGAAGCAGCGGCCACTGGGCTCGACGGAAGGGATCCGTGTTGTTCTGCAGTCGGAGAGGATATTGATGCGGCCGGTGATGTGGGGGCCTGCTGATCTGCACGGTGCGATCCCGCACCTGCGTTGCTGCTGCCTGGCAGCGCGCCGCTTTTGTGTACTACACCGGATCTGATGGGGGAGGAACTAGAGGCCGCGCCAAATCCTTGCTTCGCTGCGGCCTTGTCTTCTGCTACAGCAGTGCGGCTGCGGCCTGCAGAGACGAGGGGTTGCGAATCTTTTTGGGGGGCCCCGACTGGGTCTTCTATGAGCCCCGGACTGCTAGCCACCGACGTGACAGTTGGAGAAGACGCCGCCGTGCCCACAGGCAGACCTGATGCGGTCTCGTCTCCCGCAGCTTTTTTCCTTCGTCTCGTGCTCTTCACCTTCTGGAACTCCTGCGAAAGTGGCGGAATGAAGTCAGGCTCAATGGCAGCAGCCGAGACGGCTTTTGCAGTCGTACTGCCGTCGGCCTGCCCTCCTACCGTCGGCTTTTGGGACGCATCCAGCGGTTGTTGTTCTACACCAGTTTCCGCGGTGATAACTCCGTCACGCCCTTTTTTGGCACGCCTCTTCTTCGCATTATTACTGAGATTTGCGCTGCTGGCTTTATTGGGAGCACTCAAAATGTCTTCATCATCTTCGTTCGCCGCTACTGTATCGACGGTGCCCGCTTTGATGACGTTATTTGTTGCCGGGGAAATTTCTTCAGAGCCGGCGGTAGCAACTCTATCTTCGAGCGCCTCGACAGGAACATCTGTTTCGCCTGCCCCCTTGCTGATGCTACTAGTCATCGCTTTTTTCATAGGCGTGCCTGGCTCTGTCCCTCTACTATTGTAGCCTTTCTTGTTTGACTGGCCCGTCGACGCAGTCCCTTGAGTCCTTTTTTTCGGCGGATTCTGACCCGTTTGATTTTTCGCCCGATTCTTCTTTCGATCAGAGTCAAAAGCGTCCAGTAAGGCGTCGTCATCGCCCAGGGGCGCACCTCCTCCCTGCTGCTCGAGCGCAGCACCACTGCTGGGATGCAGATAATACTTCAGAATTTCGTACAGATTCTCCCAAAATCGGTGACAGGAACGTCGGTATCGAGCGCACCGGCTTCGGCGACCCCCGTTTGCGAGACCTGATACATAAAGAATTACTTCGTTTCAGATTGAAAATTATACGCTCGCACCGAATCATTTTTATACATCCTCCCGCAAAGTAGACCACATAAATGACCTTCTCTTTCTTATTGCACGTGCATGCTGCATGACTCAAAGTCAGTGAAATCGCCTTCGCGCACCCAGGATGAAAAACAAAAATAAGTACTAAGTACCCTTTTTTCCGCCAGGAAGAGCTCCCGATGATGAGGGCGACGCTGGACCCGTGTAGTTTCCCACTTTCCCAACACGCTCGACGGCTTCCACCTCCCTCTTTTGTGACATGCCGTCCCCCGACATGACAAGTTGTCCAACTTTTGCTCGTCCTGTCGTATCTTCTGTGCCGACCAACGAATCGTCCTCCGCGAGCTTGCTGTGGAGTTGCGGCCTTTCGGTGCGGTACAGCCACCAGCAGGACAAAGGAACCGCCACTGCCGCCAACACGGTAATCACGTGCTGGTAGAACGTCTGCGCGCGCTTCTGTTCGGGTGTGAGCGTTTTTCCCGCCGTCCAAACGTCGTCGTAGAATTTGGAGCACTATCCTGTGCAAAAGTATCGCACTCGTATTGCAATCATGCATTACAAATCCTTTTGTTGAGGTAAGTTTGCATATACAAATTGCATTTCTCATGCTGAGGAAATTTGTCATGCATTTATACGAGTACGATACTTTTGCAGTTCATAAGCAGAGCACCCAAACGGAAAAACAGAGAAGGACAGAGAGCGCAGCAACCGCCAGGACAAGCAAAATCGTGTCGAACAGTGGTAATTTGGCAACGCTGGCGCTGACACTTTCAACTACACCCGTAGTTCTCGAGGACGGCTGCTGCAATCCGTTCTTCTCCGGTGGGACCAGCGGGCTTTGTTTACTCCTTTTTTGTGTGCTACTTTGCTTCTTCTCCGAAAAAGAAGAGTCTGACTGACCACTATCTAGTCCCCCAGGCGTGCTGTTGCAAGAATCGATCGACATTTTCTATCTTTCGCCAAAGTTACTACCGTTTTACCTCACTCTGCATAGAATTCACAGTGAAGATTGATGAGATGCATGCTACTACTACTTTTCTCTGATACAACCATGATTGCTCTCTTCTTGCCTCTACGGGAGGGCTAGCTCACTAGTACTAGAGAAGTCTGATATATCTAGTCCTGTGCCGCACAAGTAGAGCAGCGGCCTGCACGGGGGCTGCTGCAATCTAGCCGGAAATATCAAGAAAAGGTAAGGGATTTGCTTTACTTAGGAGCCTCAACGCGATATCAACAAAGGGCTTAAGCAAAAAACACATTCACATGTTAGATCGGTGGTGGATCGCCAACTATCATCAATTACGACCACTACAGTCTTTTTTTACGACTACTACAATGATCCCGGAAACTCTGATCATCATTTTTGCAGATACCGTCACAGCCTCAATGCACTTTCACAGGCTGCTGGTCGGCGGTGGCCCTTTCCCATGTGGACTTTTCTTGTGAAACGAGAGCAAATGTCTTGCAATCTATGTCGGTATTTTTTTCGACACGTTCTTCAGCCAATACACAAGACCACGTCCGATGGAGTTGATCCTGTACTTGGTACACGCGTCAGAGAACAAGACAAGTACGTCGGTCTGATACGTATAATTCAGCGATTAACAATCACGGAATCCGGAGGCTCGCTCTCGGACGATCAAAAGTTGTTCGAGATGATATTTATTGTCGGTTCCTAGACTCACCTGTCGCACTAACGCTGGCGGCTGCGTCGGAAGCACAGTCATGCACATCATTCTTCGGGTTTTTTTCTCTGTCGTTTTTTGTTTATCGGGTTTGTTTCTTCTAATATTCTCACTCGCCTCGAAGATTGTCTAATGAACTAGCCGAATTTCATAGCCAGTAAACTTTAGCCGGTAGATCCATTTCTGCATCAATTCGGCGGAAATCCAATGCCTCGGACCCTGATAGCTACGGGCGGTGAGGATTTGGCGATAAACTTCTCCTTTTTGTTGCGCCCGACTGGAGGTGCTCGTGCTCGTTTTGTCCTTTGTTCTCAACTCATCAATTCGACTGCCATTGGTTTTTTCTTGTGTTTTGTCTCCTCCAGTACTCCTCGACGACGAACTGCAACTAGCGTGCTCCTCCACAACATCTCCGTCGACCTTTTCTGCAGCAAGTTTGTACTCAACAATCGCAAAAATCAGCGCGAAATGGCCAAAATACGAGCCCGACAGTACGCCGTGCAGGTGAAACAAAAACTGCGCACTTCTTTTGTTTTTTTGCAGCTGCGGTTGCGCCGGACCACGTCGGTGGGGAACTTCTTTTTGTTCCTTAGCTCTTCCTTTCGCGGGTGCACCATCTTCAGCAGAACCACATTTATTTCCCGCCGGCGCCGTTGCGCCAGCCCTGTGCGTTGCGTTACAACAAATGTCCCAGCCTCCACCCCTCTCGGAAGCGAGGTCGAAAAGTGTTTGCCACAAGAGCCGGGCACCATCCGGCGAGTCGTCAAATTTGTCCTTCCCCACGTTCCGGCTCGCGATTACGCGAGTTGCCCCGCAGAAAGCCTGCGCGCTTGTGGTCTTCAGCACGCGCTCAACCTCAAGATTACCTATATTCCACGTGCAAGGATTGTAGGCGTCTACCAATTCCTCTACGGCCTTCTCGAGACGCTTTTTCCGTTGTACCAAAGTCCCGTTGGCCGCAGCCTCACTTCGCTCCAAGCGTTGCTTGGTTTCCTCCAAAGATTCCAGAGCCACTTTGTGCAGTTTGCGCAACCCGAACTGCACATTTTTCGGGACTCGCACTTTATTTTGCGTTTCCTTTTCTCTACTTCCTGCTGGTGTTGCAGTTTCAGCCTGAAGGGACGAGCCCTGGCTCTTCTTGCTTGTTGTGCTTGTAGTGTCATTGGTAAGTTTGATTGTCGGCTGCAACTCGATAGCTGTATTCAAATCGACGGAGACGAGTGCGGCGTTTTTTGCCGTGGGAGAACCGGTCCGCGATGCAGGAACAAAGTTGCCACCTGAGACGGTCGACAGACGCGGCCCCTCTTCTGGCGTTCCCATAATTGCATGATCTTCTTCTTCACCAACTGGCACTTCTACCTCCAGGCGTGCGGAAGAGAGTCTTGACGAGGACGAACCAAATCGTCCACTGCTCTCGTTCTTGAACTCCTGCCTTTGTGCCGTGCTCGTGTCCCTGCGAGTCCCCATGATCTGGGAGCTCACAGAACCCCCTACCGAACCACCAGCGTCCGTCCTCCAGCCCTGCAGTCGGCCGAGCACGTTAAAATTTGCTGGGCAATAGCTGCCATCGCTGCCGACGGCGGAAAGCTCGCACTGCTCCGGGTCCCAGCTTGCGTCCAGGTGTTGAAGTGCGTTGTAGCACCCGGCAAGCATCGCGCCACCGCACGTGTTGTCCTTGATTTCCAGGTAACCCCGGAAAGCAGGTAAATTTACGAGGAGTTTCTGTACCTCTACCCTCTGTAGGATCGATTCAGGAAGCACACAGTCGGGAAGAGTGGTGTCAGTGATCTTCTTCTTTTGCTGCTCCCCACTATTTGCTTCATCTCCACAACTAGAAGTACTCGTGTCAGCAAAGTCTGCAACAATGGGCGGGGAGAAGGACCTCTGTTGCACGAAAAATCCCGGGTCACGATGCAGGAGCCGAACTCGAACCAAGATCATGCGGGTTGCGGCATGCGCATGGTCTGCACTTCTGCTACTAGGATTTCTGAACAAGTCACTTTGAAGCGGGCGACTGGCTTCAGATGTCTGCTCCTCGGCGTGGTCAAAAACCGCGAGCGCCATCCCGAGCTGGCCCGGCAGTGGATCCCCAAGATCGTAATCTGGAGGCTCAAAACCGCACTCGCGAAAGTTGTCTTTCAAAACAACCCAATCACCTGCCTGGATATTTCCGCTCATGCTTCCGTAGTATTCCTGATGTTTATTTCCACTGTGATCAACATACTACGTCGTTCGAAACAAGAGATACACGCGACCGCGGGAACAATTGCTGTTCCAACCAGTCGGTTCGACGACATAGTTGTATCCGGCCACAACACGTACACGGTGATTGAAAAAACATACAATTTTGCAAAACCCCCGGACCGGTACAAGTTTCTGACATCAGCAGCAGCACCTAGAAGTGACCTATACCAAATGTGATATTCACAGAAGAAATCAGGTGATCAAAAGAAACATCGGCTCCTCCCGACCCAATGAACTTGGAAATGGAAACACAAGAAGTAGGAGCAAACCACGTCTGTGGGCATGCGATTATCACTTATCCAAGTTTCTCTTGCGATCCGTTGCGGTTTTTCCTGGCACATCTAAGTCTACAGTTTTCAATTTAACCTGCTGACGGACAAGTGCATATCATTTTTGTTTGCAAGCAATGTTACTGTTGCAAGAAAGGCTCGAGCAAAATTAATAGTCCATAAGTTCATCTGCGCATTTCGAAACAATGCGCTCTCGATGGATTACAGGGTTTAGTTCTCATCTATTTTCAAAACGCGATGGGTTAGAAATAGGAGGCTTGCCAAAATCAACGGTTAAAAAAGAAGGTGTCCTCGAAACATTATTCATTTTCATAGCAAAATAAAGACAAAAAAAATCAGCTCATTCAACAGCGACACAACATGCAAAACTAGCTCGCGACCGCTCTACGCAGCGTCTGTCAGCATGCGACCAAAGCAAACTCGGAGGTGTCTTCCAGAAGTCCAGTGGTGCTAACTCCATCTTCCATATCACCGGACTTCGTCTCCTCGTCTTCCTGTACTTCTACATCGTCTGTACTGTCCCCTGCGTCTAACTCATGTGGTGCAACTGCGATGTGCCACTGACTCGGGATCAGATTTGAAGTGTCCTCATCGTCGCGTGAGAGTAGACATGCACGTTCCGCCAACTCAAATCCGCAGACCGGCATCCTGCGCACATACTCACTCGGCTTCCACTGCCATCTAGGTGCCGCCCCGGGCTCCACCTCCACTTCTTTATCAATCGACGCAGCCGCGGCCTTCGCTTTCGGTTTTGAATATCCCCGAAGCTGGAACAGGTGCCGCACTTCCGCCAGCGTCAAATTTGTGTGCGATTTTTTCAGTGCATCCGCCGACACGACGACGTTCTGCAAGAGATCCTGCTTCTTGTCCTGCCGCATCAAAATGCATTCCTCAATCGACCCGGGCGTTACCAGACGGTACACGAAGACCTCCCGCTTCTGCCCGTCCCGCCACACGCGCCTCATTGCCTGGGCATCCGTGGCGGGGTTCCAATCAGGGTCCAACATCACGAGCTTGGCTCCCCCGATCAGATTCAAACCTACCCCACCGGCCTTCGCGGAAAGAAGAAAAAACTGCACTGCAGCACCGGACAGCGGTTCTTCGTCGTCGCCTTCACTCTTCGCGCCGCTGTTCACGACACTGAAACTACCCTCGACGTCGTCGGGAATTCGATTGAAGCGTTCCACCATCGGGCCGCGCAGCTTCTGACTCGTGCTTCCGTCCAGCCGTTCGTAGTTGAAAGACGCCGTTGTAGTCCCCAGTGCACGGCTTTCCACCGCCAGCTCCTGCAAAACTCTTTCCACGTGGTCGAGGCACCGTGTGAAGTTGCTCACTAAAACGCACTTTTCCTGGCGCAAGCTCAGGCGCCGCAGAAACGCTTTGACGAACTCCATCTTGCCTTCGAAGCAAATGCGCCGCAGTTCCAACAGGAGCGACAACACACCGTGCCCGCCACCACCGGCTCTTGTATCGCACGACGCGGTGGAGGACGACGGCGCCCCACGACCTGCAGTATTCGTAGTACCAAAGCTTGTTGATGGTGCAGCTCCCATCAATTTTTCTGTGTACAGCTTCTGAAATTGCAGGCTCAGCGGACAGAAGAGGAGCAAGGTATGCATGGGCGGCAACACTTTTCTGAGCACCATGTTCGCCGTTCTTCGGAGCAGCCACTGTTGCGTGATCATGTTCATATGGTGGAACCGGGCGTCGCCGAGTTTTTTCGTCTCTGTTGTGGCGTGCTTGTCGCGAGCCTTCAGAATCGGTTTCTTGAACACCTTTTCGTAATCGTAGCCGAGAAGTCCGGGGTTCAGAAATTCGCTCAAGGCAAAAAATTCGTCGAGGTTGTTTTGCAGGGGTGTTCCGGACAGGAGGAGCTTCTTCGCCTTCCGAAACTTGTGCAAGCTCGTCGCTGTCTGCGAGCCACCACTGCCGATGCGGTGCCCCTCGTCGAGCACCAGGAAGTCCACACCGAGAGCCAGCGCATCCGCGTGGTTGCGCAGCTGCTCGTAGGAGAGGATCAAAAGCTTGTCCGCCATCGGATTCTTGCTGTTCACCCATTACCAAATGTAAAAATGTCTGGGTCTGGAAGAATTCAACTTGTGATGCTGCATTTGGATTCCAGAAAAATCTGTACTGCATGAGTACCAAAAGGAATGAAATTTTTGCTACTTCTTCTTCTTCTTGGAGACGGACCCCCTGTGGTCGTCCTCACGGTGTCATCTTGGCCCTCGGCTGTTTTGGACAAATGTTGGTTGTGTCCAGCAAGACGACGGCTCTGCCTGGGCAAATGTGGACGACGGCTCTGCCTGCTACGCGGAGAGGGCATTTGTCATGCGGAATAGGCATCAAGAAGCTCTCAAAAAATCTGTAATGCTAGGGTATGCAATACAGACATCATGGCTCATGCAAAACATGCATGACAAGTGTCAGAATCCTCCAGACCCAGACATTTTTACTCTTGATACCCATGCCTTGATCACGAACTCCATCTTTTCCGAGCAGGTCTGGTTTTTCAGAAGCCGCTTCGTGTGGCTGTTCCCGATGATAACGGTCGGCCGGAGCTTTCGCTCGCCCAGCCATTTGCAGATCTCCTTCTGCCAGTTGGACGTCAGCGACGCCGGACAGACGATGCACGCCTTGCGGAGCACCTTGGCTTGAATCATGCTGTACATGAACGCAATCGTAGTAAGAGACTTCCCGAGTCCCATGTCATCAGCCAGACACACTCCTTGCAACCTGGGTGCAGCTGCGCTCGTCGACGAGGCTGGTGTCCCGAAGATGGCAGCTACATTATTGCTCGTCGCGACGCCCACACCGACATCCCCGTCATACAGTCGGTCGTAGAGAAAATAAAGTGCGTCGAGCTGATGCGGCCGCAGCTTTGTCGCTAGTTCCGCGTCGACCGAGATTCTTTGCGTCTTTCGGTCGATGAAACATGGAGCTACTTGGGGTATCGCGTCATTCGCGCACTGTTCTCTCGCAGTCGAGGTGCTGGATACCTCCTTTTTCTTGCCGACCTGACAGCTTGAAGATGCGATTTTTTCAGGGTGCTCGAACGGCACAAGAAGCCCGGACACTTCTGAATCAGTCGATGGAATAGACGAGGCTGTGAGGACGGATGCGAAACGCTCGTCACTGGACGGGGCGTATTCGTGTGTGCTCCTGTGTTCGGCCAATTGCAAGCATGCATACTTTTGGTTGGTCCTCGAAATGGTTTGTTGGAGTGCCGCACCAGAAGTCGGTCCGACCGATGGCGCAGCTGCTGCAGTCGTGGTTGCGCCTCTCCCGAGCATCTGGCGCTTCTTTAAAGGCAGCAAAACACGTCGCCTTTTCGCTTCCGGCTCATCTTGTGCCGGCGCTCGAACAGACGACTCAACACTTCCGGCTCCCATGGTCGCTGATGGCAGTACTACAGCACGCACTCCTTCGCGATCGCAATGGCGGTCCATATTCTTGGAAACCGTGGGTGCAGAACCTCGAGGACCAAGTGCCACAGGCTGCAGTGAAAGCGATGAGGAACTTCTCTTGTTCATTACGTTAGGAGCTGCAGAAGTTACAGGTAGAAACATTTGCCCCGATAAGTAGTCCGCCTCTGAAACTTCGTCGCCCAACTCCAGAAACATACCGCAATGGTAGCCCAGCTCGCCGCCTACTTCGCGCTGCGCTGCCCGCAAATCTTCCACGAATCGAATCGACAGCGCTATCGATGCACCGCGGCTCGAGCCGGCTGCATTTTTACTCGTCGCAAAACTACGAAACTGCCGAACGGTATCACCTTTATCGTTCTTGATCTCGGTCTTCACAATTTTGAGTTGCCGCTGCCCATCTTCGCCTCGCACGGCTTTAGCGCAAACCACGAGCAACCCCTGGAGAAAGCATTTGCGTTTCCGCTGGTACGGCTGAGCGGAGTAAAGAATGCTAAAATAGCACCGTTCGACACTCTCGGGGGCAGTCGAAGCTGCGGTACTGGGAACAGTGTTGGCCGCCGGCTTCGCGAGCGTCAGTGGACGGTACTTCGAATGCGAGGTGGAGCAGGAGGGTGCAACGCCGAAGGGGCCACAACGAGCTGACAATGGACTTGAGGTGCGCATTTTGCCACTGCTGCTTATCTGGTCCACTACAGAAAAAGATACAAGAGCTGCAGCTTTTGAATCTGAATCTAATAGGAAAAAAACTGAAGCAAAATCGAATTACAAAGCCCACCACGAAAAAAGTATCTCAACATGTCCTAATTTTCAAAGACGAAGCTCCCTCATGGTCGTTCATAACACAATGGCCAGCGATTGCTCCTCGCTCTCGACGATCCCTCGCACGATAATAAACCGGCGTTGCTTACTTAGCGAAGCATCAGCATGTTTTTTTACGAACAAAACGAACATACTATTTGCATCTAAAAAACATAAGACCTCGAAGGGGACCAGGTTAGGAAACCGAAGCGACCTCTGTCCTAGATCTTAAGACCTGAAAAATGCGAGAGCGAAAAGCTTGCGTCAATAATAATGCGTGGCTGTGGTCTCCTGTTGGAGGCGACAAAGACTTCACTCATTTTCCGAAATCCATCGCGTAGCTTGCCATTTCCAGGTGTAAGTACTTAAAGAAGGTTCGTCTTTTTGATTTTGTTCTTGTTCATGCAAATTGTTATAAATATTGTCGCTTGAATGAGTGCCGTTCCTTTCTCGATTGGAAGTAGTCCGTCATTATATATCCAGGGATGTCACAGCCATGTTTCTGCAAAACAGCTTTGAAAAAAGTATGAATGCACTTTCAGAAGAACGTCAACATACTGTAAAAGTTTGCTTTCGCAAATTCAAAAAATCTTTAGATTTTAATAGATTTCGTGTCGCTACAAAAGTCATTATTTTTAGGTGTTTTTTTTTCTACCAGATAGTACGCTTTAAACATTGATACGCTACTCGCCTCCTTACGCATCGAGCGCCGCTCTGTGAGATATGAGTGATGGTTTTTGAAAATCAAAATCTCATCCCGTGTCGTCAAATAAAAATCATATATCATAAATATATCACATTTAGCAGAGTACGAATTTCGTTAGTTGCTCAATTCTTTTCGGGAGTGGAGGAATTTCCTACGGAGCTGGGACTGGAGAAGATGCCCACGACGCGCTTGACTGCGTTTTTGCAGAGGCCCTGCGCTTCTTTCGCTAGACCACTCACTGGGACAGGTGCACTACCTGCTCCGGAACTGGACACGCCGGCGGGGATGGCACTGCTGTCAACAGAAGGACTATTCCCCGGGAGCAGCGGCTTCTCGACATCTCTACCACCATCATCCTCGCCTGAAACCCGAGACGTGGGGTCCGTGCACTTATTGTTTGCCTCGCCTCCAGTAGAAGTGCACTTCTTGCTCTTGGTCGGCGTAACAGATGTTGTGTTGCTTCTCGGGCTCGTTGCCGCAGCAGCAGCAGCCGTCGCGGAGGTGGTTTTTTTTTGGGCTGAGGCAGAGTTGGCCTTCGAGTTCTTTAGTGTCAACACCGCATCGGCCGGTCCCAGAAATGATCTTGCGACAGCATCCTGCTCTGCCAGGCTGCCTGTTTGATCTTGAGCAGCACTACTACCGACTTCCTTGTTCCCCTTGATTTTCCTTTCTGTCTCCTCGTCGTCCCGAAGTAGAGACGCAGCAGCTGTTTCAAGAACGACTGCTTTTTTCGCCACTTCCGGAATCTTCGGTGCCCTTTTTACCTGCGGCAAAATTTCTGACTGCGATTCGAGCTCCAGAGGGGGAATTAGAGGCGATGCGAGGGTTCTTGCGTGCGCCTCGGTGGACGATGAAATGATAAGTTCATCTTCCTCTGAAGGAATAGGCGCGGGGATGGTCCTCTCGTCCCGTGTCGCGGCTTCTTGCGCAGCTTTCATGTTCGTCCCGGGACTGGTGCCAATCACCGCTGTCTTAAGTTTCTTTCTACTTTTCGTCGTACTGGAGCTCGCAGGTTGAGCTCGTTGTAGTTCCGCCACAGAACTAGCACAATCATCGCCATCTTGCTTTTTCTCCTCCTTGCTGGCGGTCTCGACGGGTATGGTAGCCGGTGGAGTGATGTTGGCGCGTCTAGGTTTGCTATCCACCTCATCGCCACGACCCTGTTCACTCGTCGGCCTGTTCTCCTTCTCTTTTTGCGCTGGTTTGGGGACAGCCACACAGGCCTGGTCGACATTTTGGTCCTTGCTTGTCAGATTACTCGTTGGTACGCTGGTGTTCATCACTGCATTTGCGTTTTTGTTCTTCCCATGTTTACTCTTGTTGTTTTTCTTCTTACTCGCCGGTGGCCGATTCTCGGGCGGGGCCGCGCTCGAGTCTGCTGCAGCTGACGACAAGACCTCGGGTGACGTTGCCCCTGATCCGCTGGCTGAGGAGGACGGGACTTCCTCCGTTTTCGTACTTTTCGACCCCGTCTTGCTAGCAATATTACCAGCATCTACTTTATGTTTATTTGTCGCCTCGTCTATTGGAGCTGTTTGACCTTTCGGCGCATCATTTTCCTTGTTCGCGGCTGCACCAGCGGGTTTGTTGATAGAGCTTGTCTGATGTGTCGGCAAAATTTTTGACGAGGAACCAGAACAAACACTGGACCGTCCTTGTGCACCCAGGGTGGTCGCAGGATTGTTGGCCCCCCGGTCTCCACTAGTAGTTGTTGCACCCGACGACGTCCCGCCGATCGGCGTTCGCTTGTTTGTTCTATGGTAGCTGCTAAAGTGGGAAAATCCCGGGGTCACAGCTCTGCCAAAATTGCTCGATGAATGCGGAAAGCCGTGACTGCCAGGGGGTGCTGGTCCCGCTCCCGAACGATTGGCATTGGTGTAGCCACCGCGACTGCCGTAAAGCTGTCCACCGGTTGACCGCGGACCGCGCTGGGCGGGTGCTGAGAATAACATCTTATTTGAGGACGATGTCGCTCCAGTGGTGCCACCGCTCTGGACAGTTGACCACGACGTAGCGGAGGCGGACCCCGCGGCGGCAAAACGCGGCTGCTCTCGGTTGCAGGCGTGCGGATTATCCGGGCCCTCGAATCCCGTTAGCCAAAGAGAATTGTGCTTGTTGCCCCATCCGGTTTCCCACATTGTCACGGGTTTACGGTGCGGGTCGTCCCAGACGATGCTGCCACGCGGCAGTTTCGTCACAATGTCACTCGCGGCATCACGGGTCCAAACCTGATTCGATCACAAAGAAGTGTATTTCATTCTATTTGACTTTAACCCCTGGTAGGAGTTGGGTTCCGTTGATGTCCTCGATCATGCATAATTCTCCCGAATTCATTGACTCCGGGTCGGTAGCTAGAAGCATGAGTCTCAATTTTGATTTTCAAAAAAAACCCACGCGGAAAAAAATCGTCAAAAATTGAAATTGTACCATAAGCGTCAGCCGTAGCCCCTTTTCGATGGGCGTGACTTCGTGAACGCTCTTGCAGCATCCGCAGAAGGCAACACCGCAACCTTGTTTCTCATCCTTGAAAGTCAAAGAAGGCTCTTTTGCCGAGTGGGTGTCATAGAACTTCAGCTCGCCACCTTCCCAGGCGGTGTGCGGAACCAAATTGATACAACAGCCGAAGTTTGCGCCTGTAGTTGTTGTAGTACGTCGGTTCTTGATTAGTCAGTCCAAATGTGAATGTCTCCTGCTTGGATGAGTCAACCGCAGGAACAAAAAATCCAACTTCGCGCAAGCTTCTCTGGCATTGTAGCAGCTGCCAAGGCTGGCTAAGGAAAATTAATCCAAAACTAAACTTCCGTCTGGGTTACTGGTTCCGAAGTAGCAATGATCGAAAATATATCACCACGGAAGCGGATACTACCTAGAGCTAGTAGACAAATCCAAATGAAATGCATCGCATGCGCATGCGCATGCGCACCTAACTGTAACTGCGTCACTAATTCAAGAAACGAGATATCAATTAGATAGTACCTTGTGGGTGCCATTTCTGGTCATTTGCGTAACTTGCTGGGCAGCGCATTCTGTAACGTAGAACCGCGCCCGCTTTTTTCGCGTACTTCGGGTCATTACGAACCTGGTCTCCCCATTCAATGCGGTGCTCCAAACTATCGCAATGGCGATCGTGTTGCGCTGTTCGCAAATACGATCGATTTTCATTTTCCGCGTTTGCGCCAACAATCTGCGCAAAGGCAAATGCAAGTTTTGGCTTCTTCGCAGCACCAGCACCACGAGTTTCTTGTTCCTTGTTTCCGCCATTCATCATCTTCGTCTGAGACGTCGTGGACTGCGACTGGTCTGTCTTTGTCTCTGTGCTACTGCCGCTGTTGCTCACGTCTACATCATCCGTTTTCTTCTCAGGGGCGGCGGCCACAGCATTCAGGTCGGTGGTAGAGCAGGTCCTAGTATTTCCGGCGCCAATACCTGCTGCGCTCTCCCGCTCGTCTTCTCCCTTTGTTCCGTCAGTTTCAACGCTTTCCCTCTCAGCTTGCTTTTTCTCTTGCGGCTCACTCAAAGAAGAGGCCAGCTCAGCTCTAGCAGTATTTGACGCCGCGCCTGCCTTCCCACTACGTTCTTTTTCGTCGACTTTGCTTTCTGACGCGCAGGAATTCGTTACCGCGGTCGCAGTGTAGCATTCGTTCATTCGCTCGACCACCTTCTCGACAATTTGCCGATATTTCTCGAACTCCGCCGTCGACGGAAGCGTGTTGCTTGTCTCCTTCGGCATTTTGGGATCCCTCTTGCTCAGCCCTGCTGCGGCCGATCGATACCTGTATTGCGTTTCAACTTGTATGCTCCGAAATCGTAAGTACCAAAGGCAAGTCAAAGATCCCCAAAGCGACCGAGCTGGAGGAAGAGAATGACAAACTGGCCCCCTGGCCCGGGAGGTATGTGGCCGGCAGCGGGGCCTCCTTTGCCTTTCTAGCCCTCTGCATGACAAACTGGCCCCCTGGCCCGGGAGGTATGTGGAAGGCCGAAAACCCGCGAACCCTTCCGGGCCACCAAAGTCGGCCATTTCAGACGCGGCGGAGGTGCAGGATTTGCGCCCACAACCCCGGCCAAATGAGGATTTTGTGACATGCCTCCGCCCGCTTCTAGTACGGTTTTTTTTTCACAATCTCGAGGGTATGGCGCGACCACGCGCCCGCCGGACCGCCCTCGGCGGCCAGTTTGTAAGCCTGCCGAGGGTTCTCGATTTTTTTTAATTTTCGCTCTTTTTTCAGGTTTTTAGTCGGCCGAAGGGCTCTGGACATTTTCGCCGCCCGTAGATTGCTGGCAGTTTTGAAGCCTGCGGAAGGATTGCGCTTTTGCGCATTTTTTTCTCTTTTTCTGGTTTTCAAGTGGCCCGGGCGATCTGCACAAAATCCGACGATTGCTTCCGCCCACGGTATGACGCAATTTTTTCCAATTTTTTTGCAATTTTTTCCACTTACGAAGCGGCCCAAGGCTTCCGGACAGGTCGCGGACCTGCTGCTCAAACGCAGCTGCCCAGCGGGCGAAGCAAAAAATACTCCGTCTTTTTTTCAGATATCAAGTGGGCCAAGCCGCAAAAATGCTCTTTTTTCACCTTCTCCCGCTTGGTTTTTGCCGTTTTTGCGACATTTTTGCCTTCCTCCTCATTTTGCCATCTGGTCCGCTTTTTTTCCCTTCTCCCGCTTCATTTCTGGCCATTTCCCTGACCTTCACGCCTCCCGGCGGTTGCCCTATATGGTAACGGCAACTGCCTTCGCGCTGCGTTTGCTAAAGCAATATCGCGCGCGCACGCATTTGGTTACCAGATCAGCTTGCATGCTCCGCAATCGTACCAAAGGCAAGTCAAAGATCCCCAAAGCGACCGAGCTGGAGGAAGAGAATCTGAAGCGACGCACGAAAGCGCGCGTCACTTCCAGTAGTAAGGAATTGGATTGGATACCGCCAGTCACTTCCAGGGAACGCGCCAGTAGTATGCGTCACTTCCAGGGAACAAGTTCGCAAGGGTAACGGATTGGATACCGCCAGTGCCAAACGACCCCTGTTCCCGCAGCAAGGCGGGACCGAAGTAGGGCAGAGCTCGCCCGGTGCAGAGGACGGAACACGAGCTCGACAAGGAAGTGACCAAACACCAGCAACGCAACTGGACATAGGAAATCCCAAAATCAAAGCACACACAAATGAAACCGCGTGGCCATGCGTCTGCGAAAAGAAACCGGTAGCCACAAGCCAACATATACGAGTAGGCTCTACCATCGCAAGCCGCGCGCGCCCCCCGGAGAAAGCCTGCCCGTAACAAAATTACTTTAAAGGCCCCAGCCTAAAAGTGGGCAGTCGAGTACTTTGCACGCCCAACAAGAAGAGGCCGGAAGAGTAAGAGGCTTCGCGCTTCCCGATGGGATACACGCTGTTGCAACATCCAAAACGACACCCGCCGGTGGTCTCTTTCGCAAAGCAAACCCGAGAAAAGCCGCTGCCCCTGAAAATGTAGCGCGATCTGCCAAACCGTGGCCAGTACAATCAAAGCAACCAGCCTCAAGCTGGCGATCCATACCCTGTTGGAGCCCTTCCTGAAACGTCAGCAAGTCAATCCCTGAACCCGCAAGAGTTCAAAAGCCGTACAAAAGCGATGGGCAATAGTCCGCCAGACCTTGTTCTACCCGCAAAGCAAACACACTGCTTCTTTCCAAAAGTAAGCGAATCTACGGAAGCGCGAATGGAAGCAAAATCCGTCTGGTTCCTCTAAGACCAACGAGGTCCTCTGGGGAGAGGCTCGACAAGAAGCATCGCGCTCACTAAGACCAGAAGGCACCCGAGCATCCCCTTCTATTAGTTGTAACCGGCGCCCCAACGCCAAAAACAAATCACCACCTAGAAGTTCCCGTACCGAAAACGCCCTTCGTCAGGCTAAGTTGCCCAAAACACGACCAACCCTGAGAGAAGTCAGCAACTCTTGACAGAGTACGAACGCTGCTGCAGCTAGTGCTGCTAGAAGGCCAATCTGGGGAAAATACGCTGCAAATATCCCCCCGCTGGGGGAGGCGCTCACTAGCCTTGCCCTCGCTGGCCCCCCGCTAACGCACACTCCCTCCTGCTGGGGGAGGCCCCGCTGGAATTTCCCTCGCCGGCTTTCTACTACTTACCGCAAATTCCCCCCCCGCTGGGGGGGGCTTCACTGTTATCATCCTGGTGTCGCAAACTTCTCCCCACTGGGGGAGGCCCTCAACACTGGCATTGCCCTCACTGGCTATAGAAACGCCGCAAGTCAAAGATCCCCAAAGCGACCGAGCTGGAGGAAGAGAATCTGCAGACACGACGACCTGTACCAACTTTAGTTAGACTACTTCGATTCGAATTTCTAGCTCTAGCACAGTGATTAGCATTTTTTTAGCAACAGACTTATTTATAGATCTTCCGTGTTAAAAATACTTTTTCCACAGGCTTTGCAAAAAGCTGCAATCCTCGGAGTCGAGCACGTTCTGGATCATGTGTTGCTTGCAGGTAAATGCCGAAAAATCCGCACCCCCGTCGGAATTCTTGCTATCGGTCTTTTTCGCTGAAAATTTTCGACCCCACTGGCGGCATCCGAGGGGCAAGTTCTCGACCGCCTCCACTTGCTGATCGTACTGGTCGTAGAACATCGCAGGCTGCGGAATAAAGCACCGGTTTTCGGCGTACCACGTCTCCCAACTGTCGTCGCTGTATCCGTTTCCGTACGGCACGAGAGAGCCGGCGTTTCTAGTATTCGTCGAGCCCATGAAACTACAGGCTCCACCCGATGTGGTTGAGCTTGTCGGCTGGAGCATCAGCGCCGTGCCGCGTTTCTTACTACTTCCCTCCTGCGGATACATCGCAACCGGCCCACTGAGGTAACAAGCATTGTGCTGCGCCTGCTGTGCATGTGAACCACCACCACCGGATGAATTATACGGCTGGGTACTAGTACCCGCCTGCTGACCCCGTGCAGCTCCACCTCCCCGAGATGAGCCGGGAGGTAAAGGTCCAACGTACTTCGGGGTCGTGGTACTAGCAGCTGTTCCTTGACTGGTCAGCATCATCTGGTGATGCGCAGCACCTGACACGGAGGTAGACGTACTCGTTCGACCAAAACCTCCGCCCTGCGTCGACGGGGGGTAGGCGTACGTTTTTCCACGCGAGGCCGTCGGCATCAAACGACCGCTCTTGGAACCTGGACGCGACGGATATCGCATCATAGGTCCGGCTGGTGTGCAGTAAAGGTACATTGAAAACTTCCTGGAACAGCGTAAACGTGATCGGAAAAAAACATATATGCAAACAAGTGAAATCTACCATCTAGAAATATGAATTCATTGTAAATCCAAACTAGGAACCCTAAACGACCTAAACCCTGAAACCCTGGGAGAAGCGGCCGCGACGGACGCCCATCTTGTCACGTGCGATCCCTACATGCATAGTTTTTTGGAAAGGAAAAGCAAAAGGAGAAGGATGAAGAAAAAAATCGAGTGAGGCGAGCGAATCTCTCGGCGGCCTATGAAGGACAATCCAGTGGCCAGCCGGAAGTCCAACACAGTAGGGCTTCAGCTAGCCTGAACATCTAGAAATATGAATTCATTGTAAATGTAATGGGAGAGAGAGAAATCCGCATTATCTCCCGCGAACGAAGCTAATGTTACTTAACTACTCAGTGATACCTTGCGGGCAGGCCCCTAAGGTGGTACCGGATGACTGGAGATCGCTCGGGGGGCTCGTCGCCATGCCACTCGTGGATGCGGGAAAATTTGCGAAGGATTGCCCACCTGAGGCCGTGGTCGTTGAACTCGCGCGGTGCAGCACGCTTCGGACGAACTTCCCAGCACTGGTAGAGCCGCTCTGTCGGCCACTCGTCTGCTGGTCTTTGGTTCCTCCGGAAACAAGTTCCAGCTGTAAGCTATTCGTGCCAGAGCCGGCCTCCAGGGCAGAAAAGTTGTCCCCCACTCCAGTGGTGCTCGCACCGAACGAAGACCCTGTTGCAGCAGCTCCCACCGTCGTGTTGCAGGAGCTGACGTTGCTGCCGCGCGCTGTTGGCACGCCTGCTCCGCCCAACCCCGCACTGCCTCCCGGTACCCAGACTTGGGCGTTTGCGTTCAATTTCGAGACGGTCGTAGTGCTCGGCTCCGAGGTGGAGGCCGCGGTGTTGCTCGAAGACGTGGTTGTCGTCGCAGTCGCGTTCTTGGTGCTCAGTAACGCGCTTGCCGTCGTTTGCTCTCCCGAGTTCAACAGTCCCCCACTGCCTCTGTTGTGGATCACGGTCGTAGTACTTATGGTGGACTGCGGGCTATCCAGCGGCGGGTCATTCGGAAGGGGAAGTAGCACTTGCGGTTGTGGGGGGATGATCTTCTTTCCGAGCACGCATGGATTCTTGGAAACACTCGCTGCCGTCTTGGACGTGTTCCGCAAGTTCAAGCTCATGGTTTTGTCGAGTGACGTTTGGTCGCAAGAACTTGAGGCGCGACTCATTACCGGAGCGGACGCGACACTCTGGGGCAGAAGAAGCAGGCTCGCACTGTTGCCTTGTTCGGGGGCGGACGGCGGCGCGGGCTTCCGCAGACTGTTCAAGTCCAGGTCCGGGAAAAGCTGAGCTAAAATACCGACATCGACATTCGACGATTCCAGGACCAGGCCTTTCTCTTTCATCTCGTCAGTCAGAACGCGGTTCTTGTAGTACGACTCTTCTTGCGCCGAAAGTATCTTCTCTTGCAGGTTTCCAGCGGTAGTTCCAGAAGAAGTTGTCACGGACAGCATCTTCGCTTCGAGTGGCTGTGACTGGTGCTGGGATTTTCATTTGATTCTCTGGATTTGGATTTCAAGATACGTCTACTAGGAAAAACGGGTTCTTTTACTTTATGTTTTACGGGAAAAGGAAAACGAAAAACGGGCATATTTTTTCACATACCGGGTCGGCTGCAAGGGAGCTCCGTTCCGACATGCGCTGAGACGGCCCATCCGCCGGGACGCCGCTTGTGCGCACAGGCGTGGCAGTACTGGTGGCATGATTCGCATTTTCAACTAGGTTCAAATAGCCCGAACTGAATGCCTGGTTGGAAGAGAAGGTGTTAACGTGGGCCACCGGATCGCTGACATTGTCATACACCATCATACCATTCACCTCCGTTCCACTCGTGACTGACGGACCCGCCGACGTCGTTGTAGCCACAGATTTATTCGCCTGCTCGCCGTATTTGTTGTTTATTAGATCCAAGTGCTTCTTGATGTGCTTTTCCCTGGTGCAGCCAGTCGTTTGCGACCCCGTCGTGTTTTGTTGGTCGATGAGCGGGTGCGTCCCAATCGTATTCGCGGTCGCAGAAACTACAGCACCCGCAGAAAAAGCGCCAGAAGGAGGCAGGTGCTGGACAACAAGACTCGTGGCCCCAGAGCCATGCCCGTGGAGATGATGTTGGTCACCGGGCACGGTTGTAACCATCGCCCCTGCTGCTCCTGCGCTGGCAGTTGTGCTAGTACCTCCATTGGCCGCATTGAGGCCAATCGGAACTCTATGGCGTTCTCAAATGTTACATTCTCAGCTGTTACATGATTTGTCATGCAAAATTACAATCAGAATTGACACGATCAAGCTGCTTCGCATGACAAATTCTTGAAGAGCCAAACAGGCTGAGAATCTGCGCCGAATCTGTCACGCAATACGCGCAAGGTCACCCTTTTTAGTTTTGCCGTTCTTGCATGATCACGAATTCATGTAACAGTTGAGAATGTAACGTTTGAGAAGGCCATAAACTCCTCGTGCTGCGTTTGCTGGATTGTACCAATGGACTGCTCCGGATTCGTCGCACCTAACCTGATCCTGCGGAACTTCCATGTACAGCTGCCCGTTAATCTCATGCACACGGTAGCCTGGTTGCACACGAAAGCCTGGCTGCACGTAGCAGAGCTGCGGGGTTGTTCCCGCGGACGGAGCGCCGGCCCGTGGTCCGCCCCGGTGGTGCTGCTGGGGTGCAGCGGGTGCACCTCCGTGCTGTGGTCGCGGCACGACTGCACCTCCACCTCCGCCACCCGCCGCACCATTGAACTGCAAGCTGTCCACGAGACTGATGGCCCGCGGCAGCCGACTACTGTTGCAAGAACCGCCTGCGCCCGCAGCACCCACGGAGGGTAACGTTAGACCGTCAATCCCGTCGAGACTGATTAGCTCCGGGGGCGTATCCTGAGTAAAAACGTCCCCACACCAGAGTCAAGATGGGAAATCTGCTAGAAAAATCAAGCAGCTTTGGTTGTTTGGCATGACAAGTTTGTCCTCGTAGTGTAATCCTTTTTTGCTAGTTCAGAAGCATCACAGATCTAGAATAGCATGCTGATTCTAGCATCACAAATTCCAAAACACGAACAGCAAATGCTTCTCATAGGGCTCCGCATGAGAAACTTTCTTGGCATGCAGAATTGCATGACAACTATGGGGTGGGGACGTTTTTACAAATGATAGGGCGGCGGCGGCGGCACCTCATCGTTTTCGTCTTCGTCCTCCGGCTATCAAATGCAAAAATGTCTGGGTCTGGAAGGATCCGAACTTGTGATGCGTGTTTCGGATCCTGCAAAGATTTGTGATGCAGAACGTGCAAAAGATGCCCACTTCTGGCCATGCCGACAGGGCATTTCTCATGCAGAATACGCATCACCAAGGAGCTGCAGAACCTGTGATGCTAGGCCCGGCATTACAGACGTGGGGGACCTTGAAAAAACTGCATGACAAATCTCGGAATCTCCCAGACCCAGACATTTTTGCATTTGATACCGGCGGTGGTGGTGGCTTATCCTGGACGAAAAAGTCCCCTTCACACAGCTAAAAGGTGCGACTTGTCAGTCCACATCAACTCAAGAAATTAACTCTGCGAAGTTGAAGAAGTCCACTAACGGAACTAAGTGACCTATATTAGGCTGGCCGCATCACAGAATCACTTCTCCATGATGAACCAGATGACTGATCCTGATGTGAGGCACAGTTCCAGGCGGCAAAATGCTGCATGATGAATTCCAACATGCAAACTGCCTATCATCGATCATGCAGAGACGCATGCGACACGTTCCTAGTACACAGTCAAGTCATGACAAAACGTCACGTCCGTTCACACCGAAACTATGGAAAAGGGTAGCTCAGCGGTGTTTCTCGAGAGGATATGGTGGCGGCGATGTAATCACAGGACTCTGTTGTTGCATCGCGAGCACCGAGGGCACCCCGGATGGCAGAAAATCGCGGACCAATTCCGCTGGGGTAGAAACGCAGGAGCCGACGCTGCTCAGCGAAGAGGAGCCGCCGGAGGAATCGCCGAGGTTTCCGGAAAGTAATCCCGGTACCAGTTGGGAATGGACGCTACTGTCCGGGACCTCCTCCAAGGAGCCAGTTCCCAGACCTGTGTCGTGGTCGCCGAGTAACCTGTTTTTTTAATTTTACGAAAATTATAGCAAAGATCTTATGAAGAACACCAGCTCCGCTTAAATCATGATCATGCAGCTTGCAGAAATACTACTAGTTGCGTCATCATTCCTTACCCGGACTGCCACTTGGCGTTTACCCGATTCGAGTTGCAGCAGGTGCTGTGCGTCAAATCGCCGGCAAAGGTCGGGGACTCAGACTTAGTAGGATCCAGCTTCAGCAGATGAGTCAAGGTCGCGGCCTCTCCGTTTCCGTTCAACGACATGACCTCCCGCGAAAAGAATCGCTGTCGATTGATTTTCCGTCGCAGCTGTAGCGTCGAAAAATCAGGACCCGGAAACGTTTGTCGTATTTAAACTGCTGCTGGTAGTAGTACCCACACAGATGATGTGCCAGAACAGCGGTGCCGCTTTCTTTTGCTCGATGTTTTTCTTAGGGTGTCGTTAAATACTGTCTCCGACTAGTAACTCGTACGCCGTCGGGCAAGAAGCGGTGGAAATAAAAGTGTGTTGGTTGTAGCAGACACAAGCTCCTCGCTCGGGCGCTGCGGAAAGCTTTCTTTGAATATGTTGCTGCGAGAATAAAAGCAAACGCCTTTCGGTCGTCGCTGAAACTGAAAGGGCCGGAATTCGAGATGATAATTTACGTCCGAAAAACTCCAATGTTAGTTTTGTAGTTATGCGTATCATAGAGGATCAAAGTTGTCACCCATTTGAGGAAAGTCGGATAGTTGGCTTCTTGGTGCAGATGTCCTCTAGTAGACTGGAATTCCCGTCCTCTGGTTCTCGAAGTCCGCAGATGGTAGAAGTGGTTGTACACTTCTAATTTTATTTTTATCCTTAGTTGTGTTCTTTTTTTTTTACAAAAAAGAAACCCGATAGAAAGATTTCTCCATACGTTCTTTCTGATACTGAACTTGATAAAGTACCTCGTGCGTCTTGATATTGAAATTGAAGGGCTTTATATGATCAAATACGGTACTCAGAGTGTTCTTCTTGGCTTCTTCTATAGCGATTCTCTAATTTGAATGGGTTACTCCAACTACAGAGGAGGAGCTTTGAAAAGTTTTGTTTCGATAAATAAGTATTTTCAGAGTTGAATATTTTCTATCATTAACACGAACAAAAACAAGACTACTTTTTCGTTCACTTTCTCTTGTACAGGAAAAAACAAAGACATCTGTATCAAGTGAGTCAATCCTTGCGCTTTTTGCTGTGGAAAAACGGATCGCAATTCCAATTACTTACGGTACAAACAAAAAAGCAGTTGCAGTCATCCATGACTTCTCACAAGTATGTATCATAAAAGACTACTTAAAAACATTGGTCATCCACGTCGTACTAACCAGTGCCAGTTATAGAGATCTCGGTCTTTCCACGCCTTCAGAACTGAAGCTGTGCTCTATCGTTGCTATCAATCTTCTTGATCCTTCAGCTAGTGACGGCGGGGCACTTTTGGTCCTAAGGACTACTGACTTCCGATCGATCATACCTAAAAATGGAATATTCGTGTGCGAATCCGCGTCTCGGTACATGCACATTTTACCACGACAGAAAGAGATCACTATATGCTGGTGCAGCCCAGCCAGTAGAAGCAGAGCCAGTACAAGATGATTCACGTTTCAGTTTGTGAAAAACAAATCTCCCAGTATGAAAAGCGCTTGGATCTTGTTCTCGATCGTCCAAATATTGTTGTATGTCTATGTGCACCAAAAAAGAAGTCGGATATGAATACCAGCCGGAACAACTGCATGCGGATCATCAGACACGAGCACTATCATGTTGCAACGAGAACGACACGCACTTCCTTGTAGGTACTCATAAGATACTTTTTTTTCATGTTAGGCCCGCCACACGAGGTAGTTCACACGAAAAGGGCGTCCAACACGCAGAGGCAACCAAAGATGACGATACTCAACCTCTATATTTGTGCCTCAGCCTCGTGCGACGGGTGCATTAGATATGAACAACGCTATGCCACACCTTAGCTGAGCGGGCAGTAAGAATGTTGGCTGCAAAAAGCCAATTCAGTATTTCACGGATCATCTTCGTGTTTAGTTTGGTCAGACAAGCGTTTGGCAAAATCTTGTGCGGACCTTCTGTGCGAAGGTTGCGCACATTTTGTCACACAATGTATGAAAATGAATATTTCAAACGCTTTCTGTCACATGTTCAGTCCTGCCCAAAGAAGAGATGAAACAAGTACTGCAACAACTGTCTCGAAGGCGGCTTGTCCAGCCACAGAAGTTCCACTCCACAGACTCTCGCCTGGGCACAATGGAATCAGCATAGAAACCAAGAAGAACAATTTGTCTTAGTCTGACGTTACGATACGATTAGGAACTATGCTTGTACAATACTTTGTTCAACGACGCGATTGCTTGAAGTCAAAAGTCTCGGCTCTTGAAACTGGCAGACTTACCACTGAACCCAGAACGCCTTAGCGCCTCTTCGGCGGAAGGATGAATTGGGTAGCTACACGTTCGCGTAGTGTAACTTCATCCCAAGATTGGCGAGCGCGACAGAGTTGTGACATATTGAAAGAAACGTTTTTTTTCATAGAAATTACTTACAAAAGGAATATAGATGAAGTCATAAAAGCGGCATAGAGGGATAAATTTAAGTGATGAACATGAGTTAAATATGAAATAAGCTCAAAAGCCAGAAAAAAAGAAGCAAAACTGCGTGCCAGAACTATATTACGCTGTTATGGATAAACAGACACTTTTTGTGAGTGATCAGCTCTTGTTCCATGGTAGAAATTAGTGGTAGTGCTACTTCTTGTTACTGCAGCTGCTCACATGCTATCATGCCTACATACAAACATGATGCTGCTTTTTTATTTTCGCAATCAAAGTACTGCAACCTTCCAAAAGAAACTCGTCGCCGTAGCCACGCGCAGCTCCGCTACTGTTTCTTCTCATTTTCTTTTTTGATGAGAACGGGGACGCCCTCCTTGACCACCTTCACCCGAAAGGCCAGCTTGCGCCGCAGCTGCTCGACCCCGAGCTGGAAGAATTCCAGGGGCGTTTTTGCCTTGTCCTGATCAGCCTTTTCCTTTTCGGGTTTTAGCTCGAGCTTGTCATCCGTAGAATCATCGCCGTCGGCGTCCAAGGCGGCGACCGAGAACTGGTCGTACACTTTTTCGTCCTCCTGCGTCTCCACGTCGTCCGTGTTCGCCTTCAGATTCGCTTCCACCTGACTCACGTCCGTCGCGCCGCCCACGCTGATTAGCAGGTTGCTCACGTTGTCCACTTCCGCTTCCTTTATTACAATGAAAAATGCCCCCACCACCGAAGTTGGGAGCATTTGTATTGCAAACCTTTGTTTCCAAATGAAACATTCGCCCTCTTGCATCTATCAGCATCACAGGTTTTCAATCGTGAGTAGCAAAAATTTGTATTGCAAAAGACCCCAGCAAGAGCGACGCTTGTCATGCAAGCGATCCGGTACACGCCTAGACTCTGCATCAGAAAGATTCATACTCCTTTCATGCATGACAAAAAGTTTTCATTTTGAAACTTCGCATCACAAATTTTTGCAACAGTGGGGGTGGGGGTATTTTTCATTGTAATATCCTTCTCCTCTTGTGCCTTCTGTTCCAGCAACGCCGTCTCGTCCTCCTGTTCCTTCTCCAGGGCGCGGTCCTCCTGCGTGATGAAGCTGGTGATCAGCTGTTCGTAGTGCTTGACCTGCTTCTGCAGCAGCTTGTCGTCAACCAGGCCGCCGGGCGCGTGCAGCGCGGAAACCAGGTTTGTGAGCACCTGTTGCCAGGTGAAGGACCCCCGGCCGACGGCCGCAAGCTTCGCGAAGAGATATTGGGCCATGTCCTCGTGGAAGGGCATGGTGTCCGCACTCGTTCCGCACATCTCCACCCAGTTTCCCGCCGCCTTGTCCCACGACTGCGCGCACGGCGCCGGTTGCGCCATTTTCTCCAGTGCGTAGAGGTAGTACGCCCGGGACACGCTGTCCTCGTACAGATACTGCAACATCGGCCAACCGGGACGGAGCTTCTTGAAGTTGAGCGAGGTCATTTTCCCCTTTCCCCGGAACGCGCTCGCGAACTGCGTCGGCAGCCACGTGAGCCGCCCGGACGCCGTTGGGTTGGTGTACGCCGGCGGGCTAGCGTAGCTGTAGATGTAGGTCAGGTTCCCCTCCTTGCCCTCCCAGGGACCGGTCTGCACGCTCGGGAGGCAGCTCTCGATCATGCAGACCGGGCCCGCGTGGTTGAAGTTCGCCTGCCCCGCGGGGGCGTTGTACAGCAGGTAGTCTCCGCCGCCGCTCTGCTCGCTGCCGTAGATCTTGTCGTTCGCGAAGGCGGCGCTGACCGCCATGTACTTGACCCAGGAGAAGTAGTCGAAGGTTTTGCCCAGTTGCTGTCGCCACTTTTGCGCCTGGGGATCCCGGTGCGAGTCAAACCGCTTCCACATGCGCCACGGCCGCTTGCGCTTCTCCCTCTCTTTCTGCTTCAACTGCTGTTGTGCCGTCGTGTCTTCAGTTTGCAGTTGCCGCAGAAGTTCAACATCTGGGTTATCATCTTCTCGTCGGACCTGCTGTTGCAACATGCGCCGCCGGGCCACGACGGTCGCGCCGCTGGCCAGTGCCGCCAGCGCGCTGTCCTCCTTGACGGTCTTGGTGATGCGGCTGCGGCGGGGCACGTTGTGCAGCGCGTGCAGCATTGCCCGGTAGTCCGCATAGGGCTTCAGGCTCTCCGTGCCGTTCACGGCCCGCTTGGGCAGCATGTGCATTTTTTTGAGCGGTTCGGTTTTCTTGTCCAACACATTGGAGCCAGATGTTGACCCCGAAGTGGTGCCTCCCGCCGGTCCGCCACTTCCGTCCTCCGTCTTGAATTTGATCGCCGCTTCCGGTCCGGATTGCTTGCCACCCTGGGACACGCTCAGCCCCTTCGCGGCTTTCTCCTTCCGGTCTTTCAAACGCTGAGCCATCTGTTTCAGCTCCTCCGTGTCAAGATTTTCCGCCTCCTCCTCCTTTTCGAGATCCGTCTTTTCTTTGGTCCGGGTGACCCGCTCGGGCAGCCCCAGTCGCGCACTTGTGGGCGTCGGCTTGTACAGGTCGCCGGTGCTGTGGTACATGCTGGTCGGCATCACAGGCAAAGCAATTTCGTTTTCCTCTTCGTCCACCGGCGGCAAAGAAATGGAGGCGTCGGTCGGATCCGTTTCCTGCAGCTGGCGTTCTTCGAGATGTTGGTGATGTAGTTCATCTCCAGGAGCTGCAACTTTTTCATGTCCCGAAGAAGTACCAGCCGGAAGCAGCATCCGACGGTTCGAGCTGCTAGCCGCCCAGCCTTTGCGCACATCCGACTCCATGGCCTCCCACTCGACGCTCAAGTCGGTCTTCAGCGCGTTTCCGACCCCGTTGGCGGTCGACCGGAAAAACTCGGTTTGCCGCACCGTGTCTTTGGCGTCCTCCATCGCGAGGTAGATTCCGAGAAATTTGTAGTCCGCTTTGTTGGTACTCGGGACGGTTGCGGTGGAGTCCAGATACACGACGTAATACTGTGTGTGCGCCACGGCTAAGCCGGCGAGGGCGTAAAGATCCGTCATCAGCTTCTCCCGCATGCGGGATTTGTCCCCGTTGCTAGTCACCAATTTTAATCGCTTGAACCCGTAGAACCTCTGTCTGCGGCGGAACTTCCCGAAATTCAGTGCCCAAGACCGCTTTTTCAGGCTCTTGCGGCTGAACTTCCCCGTCTCGCGATTGTCCGGGAGGAAGGACAACCCGACCTGGCTCCACCGCTTTCCCTTGTATTGGATGGTCGCGGGAATGGTGATGGGGCGCCGGTAGTCCTTGCGTGTTTTGTGCTGGTGTACGTGCCGGGCACGCTCTTCTTCTTTTTCTTTCTTCTCGTTCTCCTCGGCCTCGTCTGAGTCATAAGCGGCCTGCTCCGCACTCCACTTCTCCTCCGGGTGCTCGTCACTGTGCGCCAACGAGCGGGAATACGTATCAAACGCCTCGGAGGAAGATGCCGCTCCCGCCCGCAAGAACCGTTTGCCGCCCCGCTGGTTCTTTTGCCGCTGACGCTCCTTCGACATATCCTTCGCCTGCTGCTGCTTCTTGTTTTTCTTTTGCGAGGCCTCTTGCACCTCTTTCTGCTTTTGTTCACGAGCCCGCTTTGCTTCCTGCCGCAGCGCCTGCTCCGCCTTCTGCCGGTCCTCGGCCGCCTTTTGCTCCTGCGCTGCCTTCTGCTTTTCCGCCTCGGCAGCGGCGCGGCGCTCCTGCTGTTCTTTGCGTCGCTGCTCGGCAGCGGCCTTTCGCTCCTCGGCCTCCTTGCGGCGCTGTTCGAGCTCGGCTTTTTTTTGCGCGCTTTGCTCCCGTGCGGCCTGCTCCGCCAGCTGTTTTTCCTCCTCCTCGGCCGCTTTTTTCTCCTTTTCGGCTTTCTTGGCGGCCTCCTCGGCCTCCTGCGCTTTCTTTTCTTCCTGGACCTTGCGCCAACGCTGTTTCTCGGCTTCCTGCTTCTCACGCAGTTCCTGGGCCTCGCGTTGTTTCTCTAAACGCTCCGCCTCGGCCTTTTCCCGTCTCTTCTGTTCTTCTTCCTCTTGCAACCGCTCGATCTCCTCCTGCTCCGCCGCTGCAGCTGCTTCGGCCTTCGCTTGCGCCTCGGCCTCCACGTCCGCCTTTTCCTTCGCCACGCGGGCGCGCTCCTGCGCCTCTTCGCGCTGCTTCTTCGCGGCAGCTTTCCGCTTTGCTGCCTGAATCTCGCGCACCTTAGCATCTTCCTTTTCGCGTTCTGCCCGCAGCTTTTCTCTTTCTGCTTGAGCCTGTTTAGAAAGAAGAGTCGCAATTTCCGACAACACCAGAAAGACCGCGACCATCTGTTGACGTTGCTAATCTCCCGCACTAGAGCGCGAGCTTTGTTGTATAAGTATACATAGTAAGTCAACAGAAAGTAGAAGTAGATCCCACATTACTACTATGACAAGCTACAGTGTGCTCTTGAATCAGGTGATTAGATTTTTATTTTTGCCGAAACAACTTCAACTTGCTCAAAATTATTGGGTCATCGTTTGCAACCAGATGCAGATTATATTCTCTATTCACATACAACAAAGAAACATTTCTACGTCTCTCTATACCTCTTTCCGCTTCAATTCCTTCTCCTTCAATTCCGCCTCAGCCGCAAGGGCTTCTGCCTCCGCTTTCTTTTTCTCCTCGGCGTCCTTGGTTTTTTCCGCCTTCCGCCTCGCTTCCTCCTGCCTCTGTCGTGCCTTGCGTTCGTCCATTTCCTTCTTCTTGGCCTCCATCTCCTGCGCCAACTCTTCTTGCTCAAGCTTTTCCTTTTTCTTGCGGGCCTCCTGCTCATTTTTCTCCCGCTCTTCCTTCTCTTCCTTTTCCTTTGCGTCCTTTTTCTCACGCTCAAAGCGCTGGCGCTCCTCGTCGTTTTTGGCATTCTTTAGCTTCTCCTCGGCGGCCTCGCGATCCGCCTTTGCCTGCTTCCGCCGCTGCTCCGCAGCCTCCCCCTTGGCCTTCGCGTCGTCCTCGCGCTGCTTCGCCTTCGCCTTCGCGCGGGCAGCGATCTTTTCCTCGAGCTCCTTCTCTTGCAGCTTCACTTGGCGATCGTTCTCCTTCTGCTCGAACTCCAGCCGCTCCTGCTCCCCGACCAGGTCCGGTTATTACAATGAAAAATGCCCCCACCCCCGAGCTTGGGAGCATTTGCATTGCAAACCTTTCCAAATGAAACGCTCGCCCTCTTGCATCTATCAGCATCACAGGTTTCCACAGTCGTGAATAGCAAAAATTTGTATTGCAAAAGACCCCAGCAAGAGCGGCGCTTGTCATGCAAGCGATGCGATACACGCCTAGAATCTGCATCAGAAAGATTCATACCACTTTCATGCGTGACAAAAAGTTTTCATTTGAAAATTTCGCATCACAAGTTTTTGCAATTTCAGGGGTGGGGGGCACTTTTCACTGCAATACCGTCACATCGTTGTTCAAACACCGCCACTATCAAATGCAAAAATGTCTGGGTCTGGAAACTTGTGATGCTGCGCTGGGAATAGGGAATGCGCTGCAATGCACAGCCAAGCATGAGAAATATCTGCGCTTCTTTGTGTCGCGTTTTTCGCATGACAAACTGCGTTTTTGCATGACAGGCAAAAGGGTCTCTTCTTGGACACGCATCACAAACTTTTTGGTCATCCCAGACAGGCATGACAAATCTTGGAGTCTTCCAGACCCAGACATTTTTGCATTTGATAGCCACCGCTGCGGCTTCACGTGCACCAGCATTTGGCGCAGCTCCGCTTGCTCGCCAAACACCTCCTGGAAGCTCTGCAGGATTTGGGCCCAGTTTCCCAGATCCATCGGACCGTGCGGGGCTCCCGCCGCCACGTCCGCATCGGCTAGGCTTGGCGCCTCCGCCTCCGTTTCCGCCAGCTCCTTGGTGACGTCGCGCTCGCAGGAATTCGACATGATCTGGGCCGCCAAGTCAAACTCGTTGCTCGGCACGACGGACCGCAGCTTCACCTTCCCGCCGCCGTTGTTGGAGGAGGACGAGGAGCCTCCACCCGCACCGCTCGAGGAACTACCAGCGGCACCGTCTTGCTGTCCATTCGCGCCCTCCCCTTCGTCGTCCGTGATGACCATCGTCTTCGGCAAATTTTTCTTCTTTTTCCGCCGTTTTCCTTTGTCGGCCTTCATTTGCTTGATCTCCTTCATCTTGATCTGTGCTTTCAACTGGTTCTTCTGCTCCTGCGTCTTTGTGCTGCTATTTTCGATCGCCTTCGGAATTTCCTTGTTCATGTTGTCTTTCAGCGTGTCCTTGTCAATGTACTGGACCACGTCTGCCAGCGCGTTCGCGGTCTCGTTATCTGCCACGTCGACCTCGAACTCAATGTCCAGCTCGACGTCAACTTCGCCCTGCAGCTGCCGCATTCTTTCCGCCGAAGGCAGCGCTGCGTGGTCTTCGTTTTTTTGCAGACCATCGCCCATGATCTTCGCTGGTTTGGAGATGACTGATGAAGATGACCACAGTCGTCCTTGCAGATTCCTGTTTTTCCGTGCTGCTGTCGCTGGAGTGGCGCTGGCAATGGAGACCCACTGTTGGCAGTTGTCACCCTCGAAGGCCGACCCCAGTGTGACGCAGAAGCCTTGCAAAAAACCCGCCTGCAGGTCTGGATCACTGACCACTGCGTCCGCCGCCTGCTGCGGCGTCCCGGGATAGGAAAAGCTAACCGGCATGTCCACGCGCTGCGCGACCAACTCCACCTCCACCGTGTCGGCGCTGCTGGTGGAGGCCGCGTCGCCGATCGCAACGCACGCCCCGCCCGCCGCGGTCCTCCCGTACCCGGGCTGACATGCGGCGAGACCGCCGCTATCGCTGTCGTCGTCGAAGAACTCCTTGTACACAAAAACCCCTGCCACCGCACCGGCGATCAGCACCGCAAGCGCGACGCCCATGCCAACCAACTTCGCCTTGCCGGCTTGCGTCGAAGACCCCTCCGCCGTCCTGTTGCGCGTGGTCAGCGTGTCCCCGGTGCCGCCAGAGTTCGAGGTCAAGGGGGCCATCATGTTGTCGTCAAAATCTGGCGCATCCATCATCTTTTTCCTCAAAATCACGTCGTCCGTACTCGCTACCCCTACCGCGCTGTTAGCGCTATTGTTCATCCGATCGTCCAAGAATAAGACTGCGGATCCTTGGGTTGCGGTCTTGCCGCCGTCCAGGCGCATCCTTCCGGATTGCGTGCGCTCCAGAACGACCACCCCGTTGGCCGTGCGGGTGGCCAGCTCCTTGTCGCTCTCGTTCCGCAGGGACTTCCCCACGACGGGTTCAGCTGCTAAGTTTTCCAGGTCCTGGTAAAAAACGTCGTACTTTGTGTCGTCGTTGACCGCCAGCTGCAAGTTTTCGTTCGGCGTCACTTTGCTGCGCGACAAGTCGCGGCCACTGCGGCTCCGCTTCATTCTCGGCCGCGCCGGGTCTTTGCGGCTGTCTCGAGGGTCCGTCGGAGGGACGCGGCTCGGCCGGACGAGATTGCGACCGCCGGCATTCTCGTCATCACCCCCCATGCGCGAAATGGCGGAGCTGCGCACGGATGGGCGCCCGGAACTTGGACTCGTGGCGTTCGTGCTGCTCATTCTCGGGGACGAAAAATAGAAAAAAAACAGAGTAAAAAGCTGTAGGTAGTGGTGTTTTGATTACAATGAAAATCCAGATGTCCACTGCAAAATCAGATAATGTGTGTGCCGGTGTTGTTATTCACAACAACCGAAAAGTTTGAAATAAGGAAGTTGTACGAGATATGGTACGTTAAAGTAAGGCCATGAGCACTGCTAGGTAAATCGGGTTTATAAAAGTAGCTGTAGTAGTAATGCACTTATTTCGAAATCGAATGTGTGTCTTTTTGTAGAAAGTGCGATTCACTTCAACAGAAGTGGGCATAGAATCGAGCAGCTTTGGGTAGTACCGTTTTTTCATCGCACTGCGGTTTTGGTTTTGGATGAGAAAAAACTCTGGAAATACCGATTATATCGTTCTCACATATAAAAGTTCGGAATCGATGACCGCCAGACACGAGGAGGCACTCATTGTTATTTCTGTGCACGGACACCGATCAAAGCTTCGAAGTACAACTTAGGACCGAGTAAGTGCCAATTACTGTTTCGACCAATGCAAATGAATGTGCATCACGGTACGAATAACTAATTTGCTTTTGTTCTCCTTCTCCTTCCTCGAAGGGGTTCTTAAGCAGGAACGAGACCGAGTTGCTATGAAACCGACGTCAGGCCAGACCGTAGCTGTGCCAGAGGAGGTGAACGACTGAGAAACAAACGGCTCTTTCGCTTTCTGGCAGTGTGCTGTCTTCAAAATATTGATCCTACTGGTTCAACACATCTCGTCTCGAACACGCAAACTGCAACAAGGTGAGAAAAAAAAATTTTCAGCTGTTTCTTTTGCTATTTGTCGCAAAGAATGCTGTTCGAGAAGGAAAAAGATCCTTTGAAACTAGCGGTAGGTTAAATTTAAAAATATTCTGTCTACTAGTACAAAAGAAAATCGTACATACAAGCACATGAGGATCGCACTGCAGTATACATTCAACCGATGATGTTGAAGTTCCACAACAGCTTCACACGAGAAACTCTTCATCATGGTCCTCCATGGAGGTTGGAGTTCGTAAAGCTGAGGCCTGGAGATCCATCGAGGAGGCTGTACTAGAGACGTTCGGAAAGGAAGACTCCGGCTCGTTGGGCAGTAGTTTCGGCGGTGGTGCTAGCATCTTTCCATTTTCATCCACCAGCAATGACGTGCTACACCTCGTGGTCCCGCCATTGCTCTTCACGTCAAGCCCCTCTTTGTTCTCCTGCCCACTGTTCTCGTCTCCTATAATATTATCTCGCGCAGCACTTGTAGTGCTCACTTGCCGACCTCCAGCTCCACCTCCGTCTATGCGTGGAATAAATAGACTATCTTCATCCCCTCGCTCGTGAGGGTCGTGCTGGGTCTGTTCAGCATCATACTCCTGATTCATCTCTGCGGGTGGCGGTGCCTGCTCGCCCTCTGCTCTGGCTCGGCTTTTCTTGTTGAGTACCTCCTGGCCGATCGCCAGTAAATGCTTCTCTATTGCGCGCTCATCCTCATCTTGCTCGTCGGACAAGGACTCGAGGATAGTGTTTGTGTCTTCATCCGCTTGCTCTAAAAACTGTGCCAGAGTCAGCCGGTGTTCGCGACCGTGCTCCACCTGACGCTGCATTGATTGTGCTGCCGCTTCTGAAGATCTCCTCGACACAGGGTCGAAATCGAAGTCGAACCCAGCTCTTCTTTCGTTCTCGTCATCTACTACATCATCGTAAGCCATATTACCGGTCGCCGCGCTCGCCAGTCTCGGCGTCGTTCTGCTATTCTGGTTAGGAGCTGCACCGTATCGGCCTGAGAGTGGTTGCGCACTTTCGGCCTGACTGTCTCGACGTTGTTTGCTCGTCGTGCTGGTGTTTCTACGTTCATCTTGCTGTTGCACTTCTACTTCTAGCTGATTCTCCATTGTGTGGACTCGCTGCGTTTTGGCACGCTCGTCCAGTTGGACGGACTGCTCGAGTTGTGCGGTGGTGCTCGCCCCGCTGCCCCTTCTCATCGCGTCGCGCTGCTCCTGAAGCTCGGCCTGCCGCAGCGCCTGGCCGCGGAGGATCATCTCCTTGTTTTTTGCCAGATACCAGTTCCGCATGTTGTCCAGCTGCGTCGCCGAGTAGGGCATGTGGCCCCGCCAGGACTTGCCTACCACCACTTCGCCCTTCCCGGTCTCCGCGCTGAGCCGGACCGGCCACCGGTCGAGGTCGCCCCCGGGCGGGATCGCGTCGTTCTTGGACTCCATTCCCAAAAGCAGATTGTCCGGGGAATACCCCGGCCCGGTCGCGTTGATCTTCTTCAGGTCGATCTTTCGCGTACGCTGGTCGTGCAGCAGCTTCAGCCGGTCATACTCGTACTTCATATACTTGTGCATGTTCTCCGCATACAGAGCCGGGTCATTCTTCTCCTGATCGTTCGGATAGTAGACGCGGCAAACCTGTTTGTCGTGGTCCCAATCAATCAATATTTGCGTGGAGTTTCACTTTATGTTTATGCGTTAAGAAAACATAGGATAGTGCGTTGCTTCAAGGTACTTCAGTGTTAAACAGTCGCGTACTTAGTTTTTTTCCTCGTTGCTGTGCGATTAATCAGAATCTACAGAGGAGCTGTCAAACAAAATCGAGCAAGCATCTTGTAGTTAAGCTGCGGACATCAAGCTTGAGCACAAAAAAACGCATGATACCTTCACGATGACGCTGTGGACCATGCCCCGCATCAGCTGGTCAAACCATTCGGAGTCGGCGTACTCACGCAACACGATGTGCCCATCAGTCGCCTTGGATCGAATCCACTCGGGCTGGCCCAAATCGGCCTCGCCGGTGTAGAGAATGACACAGGGGCGGATGGGCATGCCCGCCGTGAACACCCCCGGCTTGAAGGGCAAAATCGTGCGCCCGGATGTTGTGTAGCCCTCGGGAAACACAAACAACGGACGGTCCCCGCGCTTCCAAGTCTTCCCATGCCGCTTGATAGCCTTCAGCGCGTTCCTGAGTTTTTTTTATGATCCGAGAATAGTGGCGCTGCCTTTGAAGATTTTTCTTCACTTGCAGTGCGGCTGTTGTATATGCAGTCCTTGCGGCATAAAAGAGGAAATAATATTGTTAGCAGTTGTGCACAACCAGCACGAAAATACTTACTTCTCAGCAGGAAATGCGAACCACAACCAATAAATATAAAATCAACCCGAGGTAATAAAACTATGGAGAAGCTGCAGGATCATGCAAGAGCAATTTCTATACTTCCTGCTGTTGGGGTCTGCACGGTCGACCCAGATGACCTCCATGTCTTTCATGAACTCGCCAATCATGGGTGCGTTCTTGACGGCGTTCATGCTCATGATTTTGGGGTAGTTCAGTTCCGTCGCCACCACGATGCCGTCCAGGTAGCTCTGGTGGTTGGCGATCATGAAGGGACAGTCGGTCAGATTCGCGTAGCTCTGGTTCTTGGGGAAGGTGACCGTGCAGGTGAGGCCGTTCAGGCGCAGGAACGTGAGCAATCCCGCTTCCATCGCGGGGTTCTCGTGTATCCGCGTGCCGACCAGTCCGCGCCCCATCTGCGACATCCCGAACCCCAGGGTGAGCCCGGCAAGCCCGACCGCGTTGGTGCCAAACTTCGCCAGCACCGGGAGCCAGTAGGCAGGGTTCAGTCGGTGCGGCGCGTTTTTGGGGTATCCATAATTCCCCATGTCTCGCAGCGCCCCGGACGAGAACTCCTTCAAAATCTTCGCACGCTCCTCCTCTGTTTGCCGTTGCCGCATCTCGTGAATTAGAGGTGTCGTGTTCCACGGCAAGGTCAGCAGGTCTACGGACGTCATCAATTCAGCTGCCTGATGCCGCTGCTGGTTATTTGGTGCTGCAGAAGGAGCATTGACGTTTCTAGTTGGTGCGCTGGTCTTTGTCCTGCTCCCCGCGCCGGTGTTGTCGGTAGAGGGCAGCGTTTCCTCTGGATTCCCCTCGCCCTCCGAGTATGCGGCGGGTTTGCCGCGCCCCTTATTCAGCAGCATCAGCACCTGGCTGTTAGCTCCACTTCTCGAGGACGCGCCCTTGCCTGCAGATGTAGATGCCAACTTCTGTTGTTCGCCGCCACCATTGGCCGTTCCATCTTGCCTTTGATGATGGTCCAATACCCACTGCTCCTGCGCGAACGAAATTCGCTGTCGCGTTTCCTGGACCTTTTTGTGAAAGTCTTGCGAATTGTACTCCAGGTCCCGGTTCGCGAGGAGATTCAGAATGCCCACCGACTCGTCCCCCAGGTTTCCGTTCATGCCGCTGTTGCGCGGCTTGCGAAGCTGCGTGTAGTCGCGAACCACAGTTTTGCTTTTAGAGGAAGTGCTAGAGGTTTCGCGCTCCAGGCCGACGAGGGGGCCATCGGGAAACATTAAATCGTTTTCGTCCTGGTGTCCTCGTCCCCTGTTCGGCGCCAAGACGTCGTCGCCCCTTGCATAATTGCTTGTCTCTCCATTGCCGCTTGCCTGGTTGGAAAATAAAGCAGCACTTTTTATTCTGTCTTCTTGCAGATCAGAACCGATTGCAGCACTTGATGACGCGCCATTATCCACTCCGTTTCTGAGCAGGCTTTGCAACTCCTTGTTCGAGAGTCGCTCCAGCAAAGTTGTGAGCGTTCCAGAGGGCATGCGCAACAAGAGGTTTCGTTTCATCTGGTACTGCTGTGCCTGCTCCCCGACGCTGGACGCGGTGAAACGCGGGGTGGTCCCGGAGCCCTCGATTGGTTGCTCCGAGCTGGCTATGCTCAGGGTGTCGCTAGTACCGGGTGGTGTGCTCACCGACGACCGCCGGGGAAGCAGCATCTGCTGCACCCGGGCACTGCTTGCCGCAACATTCCGCTTCTTACCGAGAAGAGCCTGAATCATCATGGCCCGCTTCCTCCCCGCATGGATTTCCTCGTCATCTTTGCTCATGATGTTCGCGCTCGCTGCTTCGTCTTCCAGGAGACCAAAGCTGAAAATGGAACGAAGGGAAGGAAAATCAGACGCCGCCGTCATACTCAAGGCACTCGCCCTCGTAGGCTTGCTACTCGTGCAGCTTCTTCGACCAGGGCGGCTTGTAAAAATCGTGCAAGTGACGGGTAGTCTGCTTCTAGCGTGCTAACATAAGGAGCGCTGTACTGGGCTGTACTGTACAAAAAGGCCACTTCAGCTTCTGCTCCGCGTAAAAAACATCGTATATGGAGTTTTGTTCGCTAGTTCACTTGGTACTTAATCCCGCACCGTACCGGTCGCCTTCTTTCTCCTGCGGACACCCCGCATGGTGCTGCTCAACACAAAAGCGAATCGATAAACTAGGTTGACGGACGACGAAAACTCGAAAAATATGGTAAAATTTGTGTATTAGGGAGTTGTCATAGGGTGGAGATGCCCCATTTATCCTACTACGACCAATAGATATAGAAATGGGTACATCACAATTCGTTCAACTTTGAGAAAGCACATACGGGTGGATTTTTTGGATGTGTGTGGGTGGCTGGTGCGGTGACGTTGCACTTGCAGATGCAGTTGACAGAATAATAAAGTAGCATCACGAAAGATTGACGTCGGAATTCGCAATACCAATAAACAGCATCGTACGAAAGTTGGGCAAGCAGGGAAGTGGACGAAGATGTTGCGATTGTGTGGCTGCACGAGAATGATGATATCCAGGTTTCAGGACGAGAGAGTCTGTACCGATAAAAATGAATGTTTCCTCTAAACCATTATTGCTGCGTTCACGACCGAGGTGGCTGTGGCTGAGTCATTGGATTATGAGTACGTAGCTGGAGTCAAACGTGACCGATAGCGTAAGATGGTGCCCATCTTTTGGCTTTTCGTTCCATCGAGTGCTGGCAACTACACTCTTCACAGGGAGGAACCGATATCAAGTTACATGTCTCTTTCTAGTACCCGAACCTGAAAGTTTCTGGAACGACATGAAATGCCGCGGCCGCTGAAGATGCTTCTTGTTCACGTCTTCCCGCTTGGGAACTATTTAAGCGGAAAGTCATTAGTTATAGTTTTGAGGCTACAGAGCAGGTTTCTGAGAGTAATTAAATCCTATCTCCGCCTCTGGTGAGCGAGTTCGTTCTCGCTGTCGTCATATACAAATTGTTTGCAAAATCGATACTCTGGAGGTAATTCTTGTATTTTCTTGATAATTCAGCACTTCTTCATCATGTGTACTTGTACTTGTAGGTCTTTGGGTAGTTAATGAATTCCACGCCTAGCTGCTATCACGACATGTACCGGCATCGGTAGCACTACAAGACTTCTCTTTCTTCAACTTCCACTTCGTGGTCATCGTCTCTAGTTCTAGTATAATCATTTACAGCTCTGCATTCTTTTTGTCTCGTTTATCTTTATTCTGATTCTTCTTCTTTTTAGCCTTGTCCTTTTTTGAAGACTTCTTCGTAGTTTCCGACTTTGTCGCGGTCTTGGCGGTAGTTGTCGTGGTCGAGGAGGTGGCAGGTTTCTTCTTTTTGGGTTCTTTCTCGTCATTCTTCTTGTTCGCAGCGTTTTGGATCCGTTGTTTCGGCTTGCTCGCTCCCGAAGAACCCTGTGTTTGTTTTTGTTCCGTTTCAGCAGCAGCACCATCTTTGCTTTTATAATTCCGTGCCTTCTTCCCCGACGTGCCCGTGTCGCTCGTCGAAGTTTTGGCTTTGGGTCCTGGTTCCACTTGCTGCTGCGTGTTCTTTTTGTGCTGTTCGGTTTTCATCTTCGCTAGTGGAGGTGCAGCCCCACCTGCTCTTTCAGCCGCTGGTACGCTTGGTTCCGGCGTGGTCGAAAATCCTTCCGCACCAGCAGCTGGCACGAGGTCGTGGTCGACTTGTTCCTGCAACGCCACCACCTGGTCGTGATATTCGACCCATTCCGGCGCGATGCGCTTGGCCATGGTCAACTTCGGCTCCTTCGTGAGAGGGTTCTGGCACAAGTCGATCGTTTTGGCACTGGAGAGTTCCTCGGACCCGCACCAGGTTTCGCACCACAGCCACTCCTTTGGCAGAGAAAAGATGCCGAGCGAATGCTGGGCGAAGTTAGGCAGGTCCTGGTCCAGATTGGCCAACGAATTCGGGTCCCTTATCAAAAGGAAAAATCCCCCCTCTCCATATCAAAACGACGCTTCTTATGCTGGATTTGCATATACAAGTCAGAGCTGTCCTGCAGTAGAGGAAAGCAGGCTCCTGCCAAGCCTGAGTAGAGAGCTTTTGGCCTAGGCATTTAGCATGGGAAACGTCTACGCTGTAGGCCCAACAGCATCACAAACCGCCTGCATAATGCGGCAGAGCCTGTGGAGTTGTCTTCTTGCAAGACAGACGTGATTTGTGGTCTCAAATCAGCAAGACAAATTTTCGCAAACGTACCTTTTCGATATGGGGAGGGGAGATTTTTCCTCTCAATATCCCTGCTCAACTGGTTATAGGTCTCCCGCAGAATGTCCCCGCTACGAATATGCCCGGCGCAAGGGCTGTCAACAATCCCAACTATCTATTCGCAACAAGATGCTCATATTTCTATAATTTGCAAGAACAATAAATGCTCACCCTATACCAGAATCTGTCCTGTTCTCTTCAAGAAATGGTCACGAAAGACGTCGGAAGAGCAAGCGATGGAAGCGGCAGCCAATTATAATTGCACTGAAAATTATCAATGAATCGTTGGATGAAACTTTCATTCCAATTCCATAGAATCAATAGTATTTCACCGGGCGACATTGCGATGATTGTCACACCAGCTGCGGCTTGCATATGCGCTCTCGCGAAACAGTTTGAGATCCACCACGAAGAGCGCGGAGATGTGGTACGGTTTTCCGTTCAAGTGGTTCTTCCAGTAGCCCTGCTTCCAGAACCGGTAGCCTTCCGTGAGCAGGTTCGTGTCCCCCATCGGCACAAATCCGTACACGTTCCCCTGCAAGTCAAAGTCCCGCAACTCACGCACATATTCTGTGCAAAAGTATCGCACTCGTAGCAATTGCATTTAAGCATTACAAATCTCTTTCCCAAGGTAAATCAGCATTACAAATCTAATTTGTAATGCTGGGCTAATTTGTAATGCAATTCATACTAGTACGATGCTTTTGCATTGCATAGCACATCCGCGCGGACGATTTGATCGGCGTCGATGAAAAGGATACGCTCCACGTTCAGCGGAAAGAACACGTCGAGGATATCCTGAGTAAAAACGTACCCACACCATAGTTGTCATGCAAATCTGCATGCTTAAAATGTTTGTCATGCGGAGCCCCATGAGAAGCATTTTCTAAGGGCGTCTTGAAATTTGTCATGCTCCAATCAGCATGAGAGACTAGATCTGTAATGCTGCTGAACTAGCTCAAACAGCACTACACTACTCGTCCAAATTTGTCATGCGAAACAAGCAAAGTTGGCCAATTTGTCTAGCAGATTTTCCATCTTGACTCTGGTGTGGGTACGTTTTTACTCAGGATAGAGGAAGAGGATTTTGTACGCCCAGATCAGGCGCTGCTTCTCCCGCTGGGGGTTTAGCCACGACGGCCACTTGTAGCTGATGAAGGTGAAGTCGAAGTGGTATTTTTGCGCCAGCGTGGGGATGAAGTGCTTGAACCTGGGCGAAAAAAACTTGTCCACAAACCAAAAGTGCAGGGGAGCCGTGGTGTGCTTCCGCACGGACAGGATCATAATACTCAACAGCTTCTCGTACAGGTGCCCGCTCGCCACCGAAAAAATGTGCACGGGGGCTTCTTGCTTTGCAGTTGCTAGTACACCCAGATGATCCGCATCATCTGCTTTGTTCCCTACTAGCGCAACTGCGTTTTCCGTGGTTGCAGCCACTGCTTCTTCATCTTCGCCGCTGCTTTCTACTGCTCCGCTTCCGTCCAAGGACGACGAGAAAAGGTCAGACAGCTTCGAGAGCGTGGCGGAGAATAAATCGTCCAAGGCAGTGGACAGTGGTTCCTCATCGCCGTCCGGCGCTGTTGTGCCTTGTTCTACCATAGAAGAACTCCTAGTACCCGTGGTTGTTTTACCCTCACCCGACTTCTGCGCGGACAAATGCAGTAGCCGGCCCCAAGGCGAGGACCCTTTCTCCCCCATCCCGTTGTCCTGCGGGCGGCTGCGTACGCGAATGAGATAGGGCGGCGTGATGTAGCTATCCACGGTAAGAAAGGGCGCGGAGACCAGTTCCCAGTCGCGGGCAGTCTTCGGCAGCAGTTGAATCGAATACATGCCCGGGTTCGCCGCCAGCTGAAAGTACCCGTGGTTCCGGAGCACCCGCGCGTCGCTCATGGGCTCCGATCGGTCGCTTCCGTAGATGCCGAGCTCTACACCTGCCGCAGGCTGCTCCCCGAAGAACATCGCCAACTCATTCTCCTCACTCGCGACTAGTGCCTGGCCCTCCGTATGGAAGCGCCAGGTGAGATTTCAAATTGCCGGCGTGAAATTGATCATACATCCCAAGTAAGATACTTACTTTTGAATACTTGCCGTGCTCTCAAGCCAAGGTAATGTGCAAAAACGAGCGCTAGCTCGACCACGCTGATTAATTTGAGTTTGATGACGCAGCTTTTGTGCATGACAAACTGCTTTCACTTTGACATTTTGGTGGCCCACATGGCACTTCCATACTCCATGTACATGCACTGCAGCTCGAAGATTCCGTGCACCACGTTTTTGCCCATGCTCGACGTGCTGGTACTCTTCGTCCCTGCTTGCGTGTTCGACGGAAACGATACAATCAGGTTGTCAAAATCCGCTTCCGCCTCGGTGGCAGAGACCAGCCAGGGGTCAGGCACCTCCAGCTTCAAACTAAACACGTTCGACTTTGTGATCGCAATCGAAGCGCTGCTAGAACTAGAACCTCTCGCACCAGACTCTACTCCGAAGTAGTTCTTTCCAGATTCATCGCCGTGCTGGTCCTCCTGGAACACCACCTGCCGGTAGTAGTTCGTCAGGGGGGGTTTGGTGTATTGTTCGACTGGCGTGAACAGCAGGTGCACCTTCGTCGGGAACGTCGTGAGCAGGAGCCTCAGAATCTCGGAGAGCAACTGCATTTCCTCGGACAGGGGATCCACCAGTGCGTACACAGACAGAAGCGCGGCGGGACTGCTGACCAGCCCTTCCATTTCATCGGTCGCGTCTTCGTCGTCCACATTGCTGCCGCGTAGGATTTTGCTACTGTTCATCATCCCGGCGGTCATCTCCGAGGAAAGCGTCAGCTTCAATGGCTCCGGGTAGTCCCCCCACAGTTCGTTCAGATTTGCGGTCGAGCCGCTCGCAGCGTGATCCGAAAACTCCGCCCGGATAGCATTAACGCGGGCCATCATCGTGTGATCCTTTTCGTCCAGAACCACCACTAGATCGCCACCCTGCCCGGAGGTGTACTCGGCCGCCAGATCGATCGGCGGGGGGAGAAGAATCTCCAGGGTGCGCAGATGGGGCACCCGGATCCTTTGTGCGTCTGAAGGCACGACGTGGCCTGTAGTGGTACTACCACCCGGCGTCACGCCACTGCTGCCACTTGTTCCTTCTTGCGGATGCGGATGCGGATCCGCCCCGCTCAGCATTTCGATGAGCCGGCCGTTGCACCACCAGCGCAGAACTTTGCTGTGCGCCTCGGGAGGGATGCGCTGGGCCGGCGCTCTGACCCGCTCCGAGCGCATTTGGTCCGCGAGGAGGTTGTTGGTCCGGCGCAAGGCAGCCAGTTCTGCCGTTGTAAGCTCGTTTCGGTGCTGCTGGCTCCTGCGGGCCTGTGCGAAAAAGGGTTTCGCGTACCGATTCCACAGATCATCCGTCATAAAAACGACTCCGAAATAGGAGCCGGTTTCCACCTGTTCTTCGGACGATGATACTTCGCGGTCCACCTGATTTCTCTTCTGAGCTCCGAGCAGTACTTCCTTGAGCAAGTACGTATCCGCATCCGAAGCCAGAAAAAAAATGTGGTAGAATGCAGCGGCTGAAGTACGCCCCACCTCCTCCTGCGCAGGTGGAGAGGGATCATTTTTGGTTCCATCAGGGGTGGTCCCTCTCGTGTCCAGTTCGAAGAAGGCAAAGCTTTCCGGAATGTCGAGCTGTTTGAAGTGCCAGGGAATGCGGCGCGTTTTTTTCTCGCTTGCGCTCTGCGCCCCTTCCTGCTGGTCCGCTTTCTTGTTTCCTCCGTCTCCATCATCACCAGAGGAAGATCCGCTCGTGATCGCTTCCTGAGCAAGTATGGTGGTGGATATTCAGATTCCCGTAAACGATTTCGCATGCATGTGCAGCAATATTAAAGCGGTGACAATTATAGAGCCAACACTCAGTTGAACCACCACAAAGGTTTCATTTCAAACTCTACGCATGATAGCCAATCTTCATCCTAGTTGATGCGTGTGGCGGATCGACTATATATACCACATGATTCAACCAGAGACCCAACAATGACCGGAAAGATATTTTTCACTTCAGTATCAGCGAGAAGATTAGTTTGTTGTTTTGAACGATCAGCATCTGGGAGAAAAAATCCTCAGAACGCCCGTTCGCATTTGTCATCATCTTGAGCGAAGAACAAATTTTTACGTAGGGACCAGCTGGTTGTGAAATAATTTTTTATGGAAAAATACACGCGCAGCTTCACAAGAAACAACAAGATAAATTCCTTTACTGGCATACCGTTGTGATGGCTTCGTGGTGTGCCAAGAGCGGTTGCCGCAGGACGGTTTTTCTCAGGTGTCCCTCCCAGTCTCCGCTTGTCCACAGCTCCGCATTCTTGCGAAGCTCCCGCTGCATGCGCTGCGCCGTTGAGATTTGGTGATAGAAGTCCCGGCGCTCAAAATTTTCAAACACCTCTTCTCCAGTCTCAACCTGCCCATTGTAAATGATACTTGGCACGGGCAGGCTCGCGTATCCAAGGCGGACAAGCACTACATCACGACGATGAGCCAGTGCTATTCATGATCTGCAGCACGAGTCAGCGTCTAACACGCAGCACGAACACGACGCAAACGTCGTGTAGCTCGGGAAAAAATGAAAACAAACGAAACACTCTATCCTCGTGTTTTGGTTGGCGCCATGCATGTACTAGGTACGTTTTCTAATTCCAAGTTCTGCGAAAAACGGAGCAGAAACAAACTCACAGTGATGCAGAAGCAAGTCCCTTCGTGCATATTGCGCGGTTGGGTTCCACGGGTGTATACGTTTCTTTGTGCAGGTCTTGTACAATCTCTGTATCCCAAACATCGCCGGCCGGCTGCTCCTTGGCCTCGACGACAAACCTCTTCAGAAACGCCGGTTTGACCGCTTTCGCAACTACCTCCCGGAGTTGTTCCTCACAGCTTTCGATCGCGCTCTGTTCGACGCTTATTTGACTCGGGTGATTCGCCTTGTTTTTCTCCTTGTTTGTCAGCGCACCCAGCGCGCCAGCCCCGCCGCCACCCATCAGCTGCTGCAAAATCATCTGTTGCTCGTCAAACCCGTCCGCTTTGAGGCTTTCCTCTGCAAAGTTCGCCTCTTCGTCCGATGAGATCGTCTTCTCGTACACAAGGTGAAAGAAATCGTTCGAACTCTCTGCAAGGTCGCGGAGGAACAAGCTGGCCTTCTTTCGCTTTTTCTGCAGAAGCAACGCCGTCGCGTTTCGTTTCGCGGCGTCCGCGTCCTCTTCCTCCTCCGCCATGTCATTGTTTTTCTCGTCACTGCCTTTTTTCTTTCCGGCAGCTTTTCCTTTTTCTGCAGTTGCGGTCGGTGTTCTCGTTGCGGTTGTCGCTGTTGTTCCGAGGATCCTGTAGAATGCCTTCGCTACGAGGGCGCGTGACTTCTGCACGAAACACTTATACTCACGGCGGAGATGCGCAATTCTTTTCTCTCTTACTAGGTCCACTTCTTCCGCCTTTTTAGATGCTCTTCTCGCAGGAGACGTAATTTCCGGCACGTCTCGTCCGGGGCCGCTCGTTCGTTCCGCCCCAAGAAGATCAATGTTGTGGTCGCCCAGTTGCTCTCGGTCGTAGATGTCCAAACGTTTGAGGTACGCCTGAAATCTGTGTTCCTGGTCAGTTTCGTCCACGGAATCGACAAGAAGCCAGATGGTGGAGGCCGTAGGCTGCTGGCGCAGCACCTGCAACAGAAACTTCGCGTGCTTGAGGACTGTGAAATCCAGAATGACGACCGTGAAAACCAGGGAACGCAGAATTTCCGGAGCCTGGGGCATCATCATCATCATCCCCATCATCGCAGCCATCCCGTGGCCGCCCCCTTGCGGCTGCGTGGATAGGCGCCGGTAATCCGCCGTCCAACCGCGTTCCACGGCTTTTGGATCGGCTTCCACCTGATATAACGGGTTCGGTCGCGTCCCCGAAGCGCCACCTGCGCCCCTCTGCTCCCCAATCAAGTACCACGGGTCAAAGCGAGACGCTGTGGCCGCAGCCCGCGAAACCGGGTTCTTGGTTACCACTTCCGAAAAAATCTTCTCGTGCCACTCTGCGCTCAACGCATTCTTGTCCCCTGTCGAGTCCGGCTCGGTGCTCCCGCTCGGGAGCCCTCGTGCCATCTGTCCAACATTTATTTTCAGGTGGTTCTCCCCCTGGGCCTCCTCACCTCCGCGGACACGCCCAACCGTAGTGGCCACCACGTCGGAAACGCGTTCGAGGGCTTTGAACAGGGGCAGCACCTTCTCGAGGATGGGGTAAATGCCGAGGGAATTTTGGTCAATTTCAAGCGCCTGGTTGTTCAACGTGATGACGGAGGCCGCCCCCGCCGTGATACCAAACCGCTGCTTGACGAGGCTGGCCGCCTCCTTGGCCTCGGAGTGGGTCTCGTCGTCTAGGTCGTCGAGCTGAATGTCCTCCTTCGCGTCCTCGTCTTCGCTGACCTTTCCGCTCCGCTCCGACACGTCCCTTCCCAGTTCCTTCTTGATCAAATTCGTCAGAACCTGGCCCTGCTCCGGGTAGTTTTGCGTCACCGAACGCAAAAGCTCAATTATGTGCAGCGAAGAGGACGAGGACGAAGTCAAAGTGGAATTAGCTGTAGCAGTAGCTGTCCCGTCGGGACTTATTTCATCTGGCGGTGATGTCTGTTCTTCGACTTTGTTTTTGCTCTCTAACATCTTCAGATAGTCCACGAAGTCGGTCCCGAGCCGCTCGTGAAAAGTCAAGGCCGCGGATTCCATGTCTAAAGCCTTTGCGTCTGCCTTGTACTATGGAAGCGTCAGAATCGAAATTGACAAAATCGAAAAATTTGTGATGCATAAAATCGATGTCAGTTGGAGCCACAGTTTCTAAGTGCCGCATGACAAATTTCTGGGGCACCCACATCCAGTCTGTCATGCTGTTTGGGCAAAGAAGACTGCTCCTGTCATGCTACTCTGGCAGCACATTGCATACCCCTAAACAGGCTTACAATCGGCCTCACTTGCCTGCTCTGCAACACACGCGCCTCGGGTCATGCATTTTATGCATTACAAATTGTTTCAACTTTGACGATTGCGATTCTGACACTTCCATATGTACTCAGTGTTTTTTATCATCAGTTTTACGCCGTACCCCGCCAGCCGGTCGGCGTGCTTGGTGTGGTTGCCCCCCGCGTACCGAAAAATCAACTTCTGCCCTGCCAAACTCTGCTTGAGCCGCTCTAACGCCAGTACCCGGGGTACCTGCTTGCTCTGCGCCTCTAGTACTTTCTTACGCTTAGTACCACGCTCATCATGGTCTGGTTTGGTACTACCCTTCGAAGTATTTCCTGCAAGCCGTCGCTTCTGCAGAACTTTTGTCACATCCACATACAGGATGGCCACCCCCTTCCCAGTTCCGCGCAACTCCGGCGCACGGTTGTCGAACAAGACCAGATCGAAGGGCGTGGACGGAAAGGAGCGGCCATTGAAGGAATAGGAGCCCTCGGCCTCCGTCTCCGCTTCCCATAAAGAAACCGTAGTACCAGTAGCGCCGGCAGCGGACGCGTGCGCCGACAGTGCCCGCTCGCAAACTCCCTCGCCATTCGGGAGAAGGAGCCAGAAAGTCGATGATTTCGCGTCCTCGACGTCACAGCGCGGGCCTGCCAAACCTTTCTCTCTTTGGTGGTTCTTCTTTTTCTGTTTTAACCCAACAGCTTTGCCGATGGCATCTTCTTCCTGTGGCAGAGTCTCTGCAGCTTCATCTGCCGTGTCTTTTTTGCTCAACATCGCTGTCCATTCCGTTCTGTGTGCGCGCTCAACGGAGCGGAGCATCTCGATGCGGGGCGAAAAGAAATGGTTTCTAATTAGCAGGTTGAGAAACCTTCGCACTTGCGTGTTGCGAACGTACCCTTCCGGCACGTTGCCGTCTTCCGACCGCGCGTCTGCCCGTGTTTCTCTCGATGCTGCTTCGTCACGCGAGGCATCGATCTGAAACATCTCCTCGGGAAGAATTTTGTCCTGTAAAAACTGTACAGCGCTACGGGGGTTTACTTCGCGCAAGAATTCGAGCACTTCTGCCGCCGCGGGAACCTCCTCCCAGCTGCTCCGCAATTCAATGCCGACGTCGGTCTGTTGTGGGCCAGCGCTAGAAACACTGCGTTTGTCACCTTGCTTCGCGGCGAGTGCAAAAAGGCCTCCTCGATGCTGCATTTCGGGATTTGGCCAGCCCGGCCCGGTTGTTGCGGACGCGACAAGAAGGCCAGCGCATACCCGACGAAAAACGGCCGCGCGTCCGTTTCGTTCTTGCCCGCGCGTACTGACAACCGCGATCCGGCAGTGACGCTGCGCCGCGAATCCCGAAGAACCCTGCTGGGGAACACGGAGCTTGGTTCGCTCGCCCTCCACATTGTCCCCAGGGTCACGTCGCTTACGCTTCATGATTTTTTTGCGCTGCAAACCTCGAATCAATATCTTCGTCCTGCGAAGTTGAGATGCAACGCACGCCTCTTTGTTCTGTACGTCGCCGGAGCGATAGATTTAGATACGAGAAAAAACAAAATGACTCAATGAATTACTACTGTAGTTGTACTTGCCTTGAAGATGAAAGCAATCACGATACAAAGAACCAAACCAGCATTTTTATGGCGACACGGTATTACAACACGAAAAATTCTGATGTTGGTAATCACACCACGCGATCAATGAACCAATTCATGACATCACCATTGGCAGCCAAAAACAAAAGGAAAAGTGCAAAGAGAGACCATAAAACAAAAGTAAACGTGTAAGCCTACACACAGGTTGATCCGAGCGGTGAATGAAATTAATAGTAGTACAAGCCTCCGGTGCGAGTAAAAATAAAAAAGGCTGGCTGAGGAAAGAAAACCAAACTTCTTACGGTAGATCCTCTAGCTTTATCATCAGACCTCCTTTCTTTTTTTCATCAAAGACTCCGCGGCTCGGCGGGCGACGAAGGTATTACTAGGCCTCGAAGACCACGACAGGCGAAGAACATCACAATCACCATCAAACGCGAGAATTAACATGACCTTCATCAAGGTCGACTAGTAATGGAGATTTCATTTGCATAGCGATTTTATTACCAGTAGACTTAACGGAACTACTGCAACTTCGTGCGAAGCGGGCCCTGCGGACCTCCCTCTCAGCGAGTTGCTCTAGTACACCAACATGGTTTGTTGTCATTGTTTTTACTGTCACTAGATTCTCCTGACTAGCCACCGCACCCTCGTGGGTCGCAAAACATGGCTCCCTTTTCGAATTGCTGATGCTAGCTAAAGTAGATTCTTGGCTAACCAATTATCCAACGTCGCAGGCAACGCTTCTTTTTCGGACTCCATCTCTCCCTCGGGCTAGTATGTGTATGGCCGTGGGCTCTTTTCGGACACACGACCATACTGCCTTGTTGATACGGAGCAGCGGTGATTCTCTTGACGTCTTGAGTGTACGAAATCAAGTAGGAAGCTACTGTTACTACCCATGAATGCAACTCCTACTTTTCCAAATCACTTTCTGTCTTGATGTTGGCGTTCGTCAGTTTACGTATCCTGGGGCATAAGCCGAGATGATTCGGTGTGTACTATTTTGAGAAAGTTTTCAAGATCACGCACACGTGACGACGTAGCGCCGAAATTGCAGGATATATCCCACTGACACGAATCAAATTCAAAGTCGACTCATGTAAATCAAAAATAAAAGGGTCTCTTCTCATTTCATGCTTTTTTTTCTAGACAATTTCTGGACAATTCTATAGCAATTCGTTAATTAATGTGTAAGTACTTTCATCCGCCCTAATAAATGATGCCAGTCTCGCTACACCCGCTTTACGAGAACAATTAATATTGTTTGAATCAAAAATTCAATATTCACCAATCTTCGTTGTCGCGGAAAATATGGAAAAATTTCATACGGACCACTCGAGAGACTCAGTTGTGGGCGTGGATTGGCATTCATGGATCGGTCATCATGAGTGACAGAAAAAGCGATTGCGACTGTAATAAAACATCAAAGATATGCATTCGTTTTGCAATCAAAAGCTCCTAGAAACGCGTACGTCCATCTAATCTTGTTCTAGTGAAAAAATTGAGGCGCACACTGGATACTTCTTCACTTCGGTAACGATCTTGTTTCAGGACGAGACGCCTGGCCTTCGCAGCGTCGCGACCAACCACGTGATTCACTCGTCTATTACTTCTTGTTGTTTCATCTAATTACAAATTTCTACTTGGCGGTTCTGGGTTTACCAACTGCCGGCGACAGAGAGACGGTCCTCGATGTAGTAGCGAGGTTGTTACTTCTATAGAGCTGGAAATGGCACGTCAATCGTCTCAGAGTCGCTTCCTGATAGATCCTGCTTAGGACGATCCTCATCCAACTGGAAAATGCCCCACTCTTCATCTTCTTCACCGTCGCTGCATGGCGGCGTATTTGGCTGATCGTGATCACGATTTGGTTCGACAACAACATACATTCGTGCTGCTGGTGCAGCATGTCGGTGTCGTGGCACAGTCTTCGTCTTGTCCGTGAAGATGGGATGCATTGCTAACTTCTTTTCAACATGGTCCGCTTGACGTTGCAGACATGAGTGCAGCAAATCGGCGCGATTATAGGTGCCGCTGCGGCTTCGTTTTCTCGAACATGAACCTATATTTGGAACAGGAACCCAAAAAGAAGCTTGTTCCAGCTCGTCAGCGTGCTCGCTTCGCTTCTCCTGCAGAGCAGAGCTTACCCGTTCTTCTTGTTCTACGTCACCCTTTCCACCGTGGGGCGCTGGAGACGACAAATTCATATCGAAGGCTTGACCCATTTGGAAGTCCTCCAACCTTGATGCTGATCCGTCGCCCTCACTCTCGCTGTCGGTGCCCCGATCGTCGTCCGGACAAAGTGTCGAGGGTGTGAAAGTTCCTGTGGTTTTTGGTTCGGTTGTTCATCATATTTCGCGAGTTAGTTTTTTCAGCGCACAGATAAATTCGCAAATGATGCAAGAGCAATTGCTGTTTCATAAAAGCGCCGGCGGTGTACTTCATTTGTAGTAGATATTAGTTACGGGAGTTTTTACCTCATTCGAGCTATAGTGGCGATTGCGATGATGATGAACGGCAATGAGTTTTGAACAAATCCTATACGCGGTGGACTTCAAAAATAGCACCAAAAAGATAAAGACAAACAAAAACCTAAACCTCTATTGCATTAAGTATTCGAGAAAGCGTAGTAAGTACTCCTGTCGCTCGTGTCCGGCTGTTGTTCCTGCGAGTCGTCAGTCTCCCTCATACTTTTGTGCATGTTCGAAGGATTCTTCGGTTGTGTCGCCTGACAAACTCTTTCGACGAGCAATGGAAAGATGCCTTCCTCCTCGTTTGCGTTGTCGCCTTCCTCCTCGTTTGCGTTGTCGAGGGCAAACGGTGCCGGAGGGAACGCTGCTGGCAGGGAGGCCGAGCGCCTGCGGCTGCGGCTCGTCCGGTTGTGTCTCTTTGCGGGTCCTCCTAACAGCACCGCACACACCTCTGCTGGTGCCGCCGCTGGAAACAAGGACCCTGTCGCGAGAAGCAGGGTCGTGACAACTTGTCTGAACTTGTTGTAAACACCCATTTTCATGTCGTTATACGTTTACTTAATTACCGAAGAGTTATGACTTCGTCGTATTTGATAAAGGCTTTCTTATTTATTTCAACAAAACTTTTGCGGACACAGATCGTACTCGTGAAGAAAATGTACAATTGTGATCGGTGGCCCTCAATACATAGGCTTGACTTAGAAAAAAAACTCAGTCGTGGATTCGATGAACTGCACTAAACCTGGACGACGTATCCGTGGAACAAATTGAAATTCCAGGACGATCAACGTAGACCTTATACGTTATATATTTCGCTTTTATGTCAAGAAAATTGTATGTCTTTAAATTTCTGCGACTGGTGGGTCTGCGACTGCGCTCTTTGACAGATAATAAAGAAGTTTGTTGAACCACCAATGACTAACTATCCCGAAAAGAAATTACTAGCAGCAAATTAATTAATACGAAAATGGAAGCGGCGTCTGTCAACTATGAATAATCGGGTTGAAAAGAATGTGGATGCGTAACTGGATCTTCGAAGCCGCGGCTTTGCTTTGTGGCTCCTGCTTCTACGCAATTTATATCGTAGCGCTCAGACATATGACATTATTGCGCCATGCTATTTCGCAAATATTTGCGATTGCGGGAAGATCCATTATATTTTCTTCGATTTTCTAGACGGATCTTAAACCTCACTTTGAATTTTTTTTGGGATCGTTTTTTCCATCACGGGCTCTTGTGCGTTTCTCATGGAATCACATCATGTTCGCACGATGGCGACCGACAAGAAAGGAACAGAACTACTTTTGCAGTGAGTGAGAGCATATTCTCCAGGATCTTTTTCTTTCGAGTCAATTTGATTTCTCTCGCGCGCCGGTTTTGTCGACCGGCGCTCGCATGTGGTTACCAGAGCAGCGAACATCTTCACGAGTGGTGATTTCACTCGAGCTTGCCAAAAAGCAATGAAAGCGTGGCCCCCGGAACAAATGCTGCTTTCAGCAGGTACATCCAAATAGCAAGCTTCGGATGTGTGCCGGGTCATATCAAAGTCTATTTGCGCGGAAGTGCACTGATTGTTCCCTCTTTTAACACATGACAAGAACCTGGAATGGTGTGTGAGTCCTTGTAATATGTAGGTATCACAATTGATAGTGAAACGACGAGACCGCACCGTCTTTCGACACACTCGCTTTGAAATTCGCGGAAGCCAGAAGATTCGTTCGCGGCGGGAAGTAGACACTGTCAGGGTGCGACGACGGCGATAGTTGCCCGCCTGTATAGTAACAAATCGAGTTGCAAAGAACCTGTAATCTACATGCAAGTGCGCCAGAACCAGTAGGGTCATGCAATTCATAAAACGACATCTCGCCCGGGCATTCCATCCATGTGGAAAGTTGTAATGTAAGATCCAAATCTTCTTTTGGTTGGACACGCATCTGTCAGCATGACAAGACCAATGCTTTTATCAAATATGCCTGAGCGGTAGCGGTACACGAATTAGAGTGCATCAAAAAAAGTTCCACTCTAACAAAAACTCTAGCAGCTGCACATATCAACTTGGCGTGGCCTTTCTGGCATGCAAAGATGCGTACTTGTCGCGAGAGCAATGAAAAACTTCTGATAAAAAACAGTTCCCACGTTCAAAAATTTCAGTACTCGGCTCTGCATCATGCACAGAGAAGCATTGTCTCAACTAATTCCATACCTTCGTGGCCTTTCGTGTCCTCGGGGGCTTCCGCGCGTTTCCGACTAAGGAGGGCTGTCTGCGTCGCATGAATTTTTATCTTCCAGAATGCCGCGGTGAGGAACTTTCGGATCCAGCCTCGCCGCCACTGTGCAAGCGACAGGAGGACGGAGGGCCAGAGCTTGAGACGGTCCGTCCTCTTGCAGTGGGACTGAGCATCCGCACGCAACGCCGCCAATTCGCGGAGACAAGAGGCTTCAGTTATTCCGCTCACCCGGTTCGCGAAAAACCTAGCCAGGGCCGCAATGCCTGGTGCGAGAGTGAATCAAATTCCTGCTGACTAAGACTAGTAGACTCCATGAATTATAGCTCCTTCGCAACCTTGAAGTTGCGTCAGCGTACCATAAAACGAATCGATTTTTTCTGACCTCATGAAAGAAGCAGCACATGTTTTTTTTGATAAATTCCGTACCCGCCTTCAGTGCCTCTGCCGGCTGCTCCTTTTTACGTCTTTCCACGTGCAAGCGAGTGGTGCGATTCTTAAGCGCCGTGAAATATTTTTGTTCAGTATCGGAACAAAGCTTGTGTTGTACTTTGTAGCATTTTAGGGAGAAAAACTGCCCGTGAAAACATCAGTCGCACGAAGGCCAGACCTGCCGTCATGCACTTCGACACTCTTCCTGATGTGTATGGGTATAACCCAGTGAGCACGAGCATGTGAGCGCTTGCGCTCCTGCATCACATAAAAAATCAATCAATACGGTTGATGAACCTCATCAAATGCTTTCTTAAGTCCTTTTCCTCACGTCATCGCCTTGGTTCTTTTCATCCGCAGGATCGACGACACTCCTCCCACGGAGACGGAGGTACTACAAGTTACAAGAATAAATAATCTTAATATGCTCACATTTCGCCCCTTTATTTTACAACACGAAAAACAGTGTTCTTTTCGTACTCGAACACCTTTGTTATGGTACGAAGGGCAAGCTCCCGACAGGCATCATTAAATTTGTCGCGCAGGTCCGGCGGAACCAGCACCTCGCCTGTCACTTCGTTTACGTTAAAGTTGCTCGCGAGCAAGTGATCGTTCTCGTAAGACCGATCGGCCCCCGGCGGCCAATCGTGTTCTTCCCGTGAGGACGCATGTGCGACAAAATTGTGGTCCTGGCTCTGTAGTTCGGTGGTATAGGAAGCATCCTCTCGGTTCTTGGCCATCCTCTCCAAGCTTGCTGCACCGCCGCCGACTGTGTTGGTCACGATGCTCGAGGAGATGCAAGAATAGTCTGGATCCGTTAGTGGCCGCGGTTGTTCCGCAAGAGTACTAGAACTGGCACTTTTTTGCGTCCGACCGCCCATCGCCACCGCGCCCCCATAGTATGCGGGCGGTTGCGTCGCACCCGATCGCCGGCTCCCGATGACGCTGCCTGCGGAGGAAGAAGACTTGCTCGGGGCGGCGTTGCTAGATTTCGACGCTGGATCGCGCAACGCGTGCGCTTTCACGCTTACTTTATCGCGGGCGAGCTTCTCCAGGATGTTCATCCTTTGCGTGGAGAGCGGTAAGTCAGGCGTCACCTCCACGGGGTACGATTCCGTGCCCTGCCACCGGGGGTTCGCACTACCGGACGGAGTGCGACCGCCCCTGCCTGTCACCGCAACTTGGTCAGCCCTCGACGAAGACGCCCCTGCACTTCTCGTATCGTCCGCGCGGTCGCCACTAAACAGAAACGGCCCCTGCAGCAGGACAGATGCTCCAGTTTCCCAGGTCGAGTTCTGGGCGGCAACATTGGGTTCAGCCCAGGAACAAGTCGAGTTCGCACGCTCGTCCTTACCGCAGGCGGATGATTCGGCATACTCGACGAGCTCCTCCAGCATGGTCTTTCGACGACCCGCTCGCCTCCCACTTCTACTGGACGAGGCCACACTAGAAGCTTCGGAAGTAGAACCGGCTCCTCCATGATTCGATCTATCAAGATGCTCGGCGAAACCGCTACCGCCGATATTGACAATATCAGCACCCGCCGAACTAGTATGGTCGTATCTGCGAGTACTGTCCGCAGCAGCCGCAGCGTGTTGATGTAGGGAACTTTCATCGAAGAAGCGCTCACCACTGATGCTGGCAGCAGATCGTCCTGAGTTCGTAGCCGGTGGTCTGGTACATATTTCCTGCGCGGGAGCGGCGCTCGGCTGTGGTAGAGATTGCGTTGCTCTTCCTACTGCGCCACGCGTTGCGCCACCTTCTAGTGCCTGATCCGAAAGCGTCGAAACTTCCGCCTCGGTCGAACCTACCCTTTCCCGAGCCTGAGCTATCCCATGCAACTATGTTTAGGTCGCCTGGAAGTTGTGGAGGAGAGTTATGTTAGTATTGCGTTGTGAATCATAGAAAATGGAAATACGCCATCGTACGCGGGCAAGTTTAGGATGTACTTAAGAATAAGACGGGGATGGCCAGTGCACCGCATGACACACTGCGTTGGACAAAGATAAGCACTGGAGCACGATGCTGATTTTGCGACTGAAGCACAGACGCAGAGTCATTCTAAGTGTACAATCCAAATGCAAATATTTTTTTTCGTCGTGCTTCTGGACCCAGACATATTTGCAACGCATATGAGCTAGTAGCGCGCGATACTGGTCCCGAATTCGTACGAGCTCCTCCAAATCGATTTCTGGGGCTGCGCCACTCATCGTGACTTAATCAATATACTCGAAACAGAGGGCCGAGTATCTGTTTATTGAAGAAGAACAATGAGAACGTACGAAAATCCGGAAAACTAACACGAATCACTGCTCGCCATGTCGCCTTTAATGACGCTGCGTGCGGGCGCGTCGCCTTTCTTGTGAGATAAGTAAATTAATACGGCCACTAAGAGGGAAGTTAAAGTTGAAACCCTAGCGACAGGAGAACAAACAGTCATACCACGTGTTTGTCTAGTTCCATCTTCGCTGCGAAAACGAAAAAAAACGCACATCCACGGTTGTAGTTGCTCCTCGATTTGCTTCTCTCGTGACAACGCCAGCACTGTTTGAAACAGATCAACGTTATTTGACGCATGTTCCATACTGAAAGTAGCACGACGCGGCACAGATTTCTGCTTTAGAACAGTCCGACTTTTAAGGTGCAAACTAGTAGCGGATAATTCTCATGTCTTGCTTTAATATTCTTTCGCGCTAGAGAATCCTGCTACGCGACTGAAAGATTGCAAATGGAAGCTCGCTCGAACGCTGAAGCCGTGCACCTACTACCAGCACCAACAGCAAGAAACACGGCTCCCAACAGAAAACGAATGAAGCAAGCCCGTTGCTTCCACGAGTCCGTGAAAGAACGTCAGTCGGTCTCTCACTAACTTTACAGATACGCACAAATTATTGGCCTTGTGGCTGTGGCACTGAGCCGTCTACAACTAGGCAAGCCAGTGCCGGAGCCACAGCCCGAGTACCCTTCCAATACAGAAGCACTTACTTGAGCTTCTCGGAGCATGAAGCGAAAAATTTTGTTCGTCGACTGTCAAAAAGAACAGCGACGGAGCCTGTGCCTGTGGCTCCTATGCAAACTGATAGAATCACCTCATGCGAATTAATAGCCAAGATTACTCCGTCAGAGCGGCACTCGGTGCACTTTTCTCGATACCTCTGTTGGTGCTGTTCGTACGACAGATTGATTCACTTCTTCAGAAAGTTCATCCCGGGTTATAATTCTCTCGTGTGGCCTGCTCGGTTTCTAAACTTTCTGTAAGTAATCATGCGAATCCGCGATACAATCAACGGAATCTTGTCTGGGACCTTTCATTTGTCAGCGCCCGGAAAGGACCCAAAAGGGCGTGGGTCAACGGAGCTACGTGAGCCGCATCTTCCTACTTCTCGCATTCAAATAGTATGAAATTTTCATACAACGACAAAGAACCACAACAACCAGGAAGACTACTTTTCCTGCCGGTGGTCCATATTCTAGCGCTTGGAGGACGAAGAACCGGTGGCGGGCGTGCGCGAACGTCTTCGCGGCTTGGCGGTTTCGGTCGGCGTGGGTTTTTTGAGTTTGTTGGCTGTGGTCGAGGACGAAGCTGTGCTCGCCGTGCTTACGGAGCTACTATCTGCATTTTTTTCTGCTAAAGCTGCCAAATGTCCGAGTGGAATCCCTCCCTTCACCGACGCCGCCCTCGCACTACCCTTTTCCTTACCGGCAGTTTTGCTCCCCCCTTTCGACGCAGTGAGAAGTGCGTACGCCAGCGCCCCGCAGAGAGAGGTCAAAATTCCGCTGAAATTCAGCCAGGAAACAGGGTAGCCGTACATCGCCGCATTCACTACAATGGTGAAAATCCGGCGCACGATATCTGTGATTGCAAACGTGACCGGGGTGACCAGTTCTGCGTACACAAAGTTCGCTCCATACTCCGCGAAGTAGCTGGTGCAGGTGATGAAGAGCACCACGAGAAGCCAGTACTTCGTGAGTAACTCTTGTGGCAAGGACGAGAGACATTTCTTCGCGGCAGTGGTACCGTCGTTGAAGTAGCTCTTCCACGCAACCGGCTCGGCGGACAAGGTTTGGTCTAGGGTCGTCTGGTAGACGGGGAAACTTTTCAACGCCAACGCACCCTCGATATTGGCGACGTACACGGTCGAGGCCAGCACCGACGCGTTCACCAAACAAGTCCCAAACGCACGAAACGGGGGCTGCGCGAACTTCTGCGTCATGAATTGCAAACCAATTTTATAGGTCTTGGCCTAGAAGAAGAAGATACTTACGCACCCTTCTTGTGAGGCTGGTGAATGAAGTGGCCAACCAAAGTTCTGTCTCTACACAAAAACAAAGCTGCATGACAATATCTGCACTTCTTTTTCCAGCGCCACGACTTATTTTAAGTATTTGCTTTTCGTATGCATCAGCGCCTTGCTGCTCAGGTTGAACGCCGTCGTCGCTACACACGACAGGAGTGCGGCAAAAAAACTGAATGATCGTGTGGCGCATGTGATACTTCGACTTCCTTACGGATATAAAAACGCCAATAAAAAATCAAAAGGTTACTGACCGCCATGGAACGTCGTTCTTTCATCTGCGTCAGATGCATGCATATGCCGGCGAAGGCAAGAGACGAAGGGCTCAACGCAAAAAGCATCCGTCGAGAAATCGCAATGACTTCGCATGACCTCCACTATTCAATGTATGATCTCATGGTCATGATCATAATCAAACAAAAAAATTAGCTGTATCAACTTCGAGTACTAATCACTTACTGCTTACCCGAGCCACGAGAACCGCACCTCCCCGAAGCTGGCCAACCCAACCCCGATGCAGCAGAGCAAGAGCGCGCAAATGACGGAAGGGGAAAACCGCTCTTTTCTCACGAGAAAGCAGTACAAGCAGGTCCACACTGGAATTGTGGCTTTGATGACGTACGTCAAGGTCACACCTACATTGATTAACGCCACCGAATTGGACACGTTCATCACCACCATGCAGGCAGCGGGAAAGAGAAAGGCACCCAGATGCTGCACCGCAATCGTGGGCTTCGTAGAGAAGGCCCACATCAGCAAACAAATACACGAGCTTCCAACGAAACGGGTCAGGTTATGCGCGACCCCCGAGTGCAGCTCGCGCAAAAATATGGTGTTGCTCGGGTTCGAGTAGAAGGCCGTGGTAATTAGCCAGAAGCACGCCACCAAGGCGGCTGGCGAAACCAAGCCGGACACTTTTGACGTGGAGAGCATTTTTCTTAGTCCCACAAATGTCGTCAAAAAATCGATCAGTGTTAGACTCTATACTGCTAGAAAAAAGATCGATCGCGTTTCTCGACAATCCTGATCGAATTTTCTGCGCTTGAATCCAGCAACCAATGCGCCCGTGCTCTGCGCAGTGCTGCACTTACGGTGCCTGACAAGAAGAACCACTTACCCGCACCGGGTCTGTTTCATAGCTGTACCTGGGAAGTGAGTCCACAAGCGCAACGGAGACAGACCTAAAGTATTTATTTCTTTTTTTACTTGCTTTTTATACAGTGCCACAGATTGTTCAATTTTACCACGAGTTGAATTTTTACAAAAGTTCGTGCGCAACCGCGGCAAGAGGTGCAGAATAGAAAAGGCGTCTGCACCGCGCGCATTTGCTTCCTCGAGCTCGTGAATACGCATCAAACAACAACGCAGGGCAAATTGTGATTGATACGCACTTCCGATTAGTTTTGTACAAGTACTATACATTTTTCATTCTCGCCGGTGTGTAAAGCTAAAGCTGAGAAGAAAGAGGGACACAATCAATGTATTGCCCGAAGGTGAGATAATAAGCTCGAGCTATCGTGGCTCTGCCAGATACACACACCGCCTTAGCACGAGGGCAACGTAAGAAAACTGAACTTTTTGGCATACTTAGTAGAGGTAGCTATGTAATGGCTAATTTCGCATTGTTCGAAGATAATGAGTAAATTGAAGTTGGCTGTTTTGTCGATGAGATTAAAATCTCGAGCTCTGCTGACATTACTAGCATTTCGTATTCGTAAAGATCATTAAATAAGGTGCATAATTTTTGTTTGGGTTTTCGGCATTATACTTCGATCTCGTCCTTCGACGACCCCGCTCGGGAGCTACATATTATACAAATTTGCCATCCTAATTCCATACTAAGTGAATAGGTCACGGCCGCAGCTGTTACCTTCATCATCTATCATCATCAACCACCTGCCTCATCAATATGAAAACGGGAGAACTCCGGATAGATACTTCACTGCGGATCTTTGTCTACCTCGTCTTGAGCGCGTCGCGATTTGTTATCCCAAGCGGTTCGCCCTTCAGGGTCTCCACTTGCTCTAACCGCTACAATATGCCCGGCAAAAGTGTCCTAGCCGTCCGTCTTCGCACTCGCGCATGTAAAAACAATTTAGCGCATGGAAAAACAGAAAAAAAATGCATGTCAGGGACTGCTTCGCACTTGACACCGCCAATATGGGAGCGGTTCTAGAGCTAGTGCCGTCGAATGCATGACCTTAAAGGCAAGTTTGTCATTCCTGTTGCAATCTGGTGATTCTGGTGCGTACGACACTTTTGCACAAGATATGGAATCCACCTGTACGCACGCCAAAATCTTCTGCCTTGAAGTGTGGCACCGACTTATGGCCCGTCGTATTCGCCTGTTGTGTTTTAGATTTACCAAGATACCACTACCAGACTCCGATTTTCTGCTTTACTGAATTTGTTCGTAGAAATTCGCTTTGATTTATTTACTGCTTCTCTTCATCGACCTAGTCAACGGTAAAAGCGATCATCTACAGTGAAATTTCTGACTATACTCTCCACAACGTCGTTGTCCGATCCATCATTGGTGCGCCAACGCGTGTGTCGCTCGCAACTACCATGCTTGGGTTGAATTCAGATCGGTTTTGACTTTGCGTCCCGCTGAGTGACACCGTTGCTCCCGCACTGCTTCTGCCTATCGCCGTAGCATCGTTTTTGTGTGTCCCCCCGGCAACGTTATTGTCTGCAAGCAGCCGCGATTTCTGTTTTTTTATGATGCGAGTAGCAGCAGATGCAGAAGCTCATGCAATATGAATTGATGAATTCAAAAAATTCCTACTAGCCCATAGGCTTCTCCCGAAGAGGAATCAAAATCATCCTGACATCATACAAACGAACATTACCATGCCGTGCGCTTTTGTGTGAGCTTTCAACTCCGCGTGCTTTTTCATGGCGTCGTGGCGGATAACGTTGAAGCTGGAATACGTCTCGAGTGGTATGAAGTCAACGGCAGCGATATCCAACAGAGAACAGTCCACAATCACAGGATGTACTACCACAATCCTTTGTGTATCTCGCTAGGAGGCTGGTGCAGATTCTCCCCCGTTTTATTTTCCTTGGAGCGCCAATAGTTACTCTATTTGCCACAACACAGCCAGGCACACATGACGATAGATGATCAGCATCACATCAGACAGCAACGTAATTCGCTCTGATGCAGCACGGCTGCCACGAAAAAATAGAAACGAAACAGCAAATATTAATAGTGCGCTTTTTCTTTATTTGGATAGCTGAGTTTCTCGGGCTGCAAGGTATCGAACAGTCGCGGTGCGTTCTTCAAACCTCCGGACTTGATCACTTCTGTCGTGTACTTGTACTTCGTGATTCCACCCGGGTTCCAAGATTTCAGTCGGCTCTTGCGTTCTTGGATGTTCTGCGTTCGTTTTTGTTGTTTCAACATATTTATAAACTCTTGGACATGTTCTACTCCGTGCTTTCTCACTCGATGACCAAGAAGCACGAAGACACTACTTATTCAACCAAGGGGAATACTTAAGAAGTCATCAAGGGGAAGAAGAAGTAGGGTTTGCTCGTCAATCCCAATCAACATACTGACCAAACAGAAATGCGTACCGAGCCCTCGATGCTGTCGGGCAGGTCGATGTTCAGAAGAACCTTCAGAAGAAAACAAAAATCTTCTGAAGGTTCAAAAATGGCTGTTTTGAAAAAGACACAAAATCGGAACGGATTCAGGTCCTGTTTCGAGCAAATTATTTTTTTTTTTCAGACCTTCAGAAGCTTTTGTCGAATTTTGACCTTCAGGAAGGTTTTTGAAACCTTCAGAAGAATTTTGATGCACAAAAGCTTCTGAAGGTTTGTCAGCTGTTCATTTTTGACCTTCCTGAAGGTTTTTCACCTTCTGAAGGTGCAATTTTTGCAACCTTCTGAAGGCCGAACGAAAAAAATGGCGTTTTTTACAAAAAAAATTGCAAAAAGTCGCGAGTTTTTTTTTGACCTTCAGAAGGTCAAAAAACCTTCCTGAAGGCCTTCAGAAGGTTGCAGTTCTTTTGAAGGTCCAAAAATCTTCTGAAGGCTTTCTGCAGCTTTCCGCAATCTTGCGAACCCAAAAAACGTCTTCTGCGACTAACGCGCCGCGTGGAAAGAGCGCGACTGGGCCTCGTTCGCATTTAGATGCTTCGCGCACTGCTGTCGCGATTCCCGTCGCTCAGGAAGCGCCTGGCACTTTGACAAGAAACCAAAGCTGCCCGCTTTTGTAAAAGCAAAAAGCGAGGCCTGGCTAGGTAGCGGACAACAGGCGAGCCCTTTCCTGGTTTCTTTCTGATCTGGCCGGGCCTCCGAAATAAAAGCCGCCAAAGCTGGCCACTATTGTAAAGCGAGAAGCGACCTCGTTGCTTGTTTGTTAGTCTGGGCCTCAGTAGAGACGAAGCCAGACCTGGCCGTCTTTGTTTTCTCTCGAATTTGGCCACTTCGAGAGAAGCCAAACGCGGCCACTTTATTAGACCCGACAAAGCCGAGCGCGAAAATTTTTCAGGACAGACGGGCATTAAAATGGGGCCTACGCTGAAGAGCTGCTTTATTTTTTCCCACGCGGCGCACGCCGCGTGGATTGGTTCTTACTGACCAAACAGAAATGCGTACCGAGCCCTCGATGCTGTCGGGAAGGTCGATGTTCTCGTCCTGCGGCTGAATTTCCGTTTCTCTTTCGTAGGGTATCGAGTATCGCGACGAAAACTGATGCACGACGCCCGGGCAGACTCACAATGCATATCTGACGAAACTTACAGTGACTCAAAAAAACGCTGCAAGAACATGCAAGAAACAACATACAAGCAACCAGCTGGCATCCCAGTTCGAATTAGGGCGAACTTGCGATGCGATTGCCTTGCGTCGATTATTTTTATTTGGAAAGATTGATTGGCGCACCAACACTGATGCTTGACTCGTCAAAATGCAAGACTACAAATGCGCAGCTCGGCCACGAGAGGTTTCAGATGTTCTCCAACTTGTTGGCCTCGGCATCAACAAAATGTCCCGTGGGATACTTGCTCTGTGATCTTCAGACATGGTGCCGGGACGCTGCGCGCCCGCTGGAAGTCGTTCTTGGTCTTGCCGTGCACCTTTTCGAGTGCCGCGGGGTTCGTTACCCTTTGCACCAGATCAAACCAGTACTGATCCTGATCCGAATAGCGATACTCTGTTCTATCGTTCGTTCCAAAGTGCCGCCTGTCATACTCGATGCGCTCGCGCCTGCGCTGCTCTTTCCTGTGAATATGCGCGTAGTGCCAGTTGGTAGAGATTCTCTACATCAGCTGAGCTTTCGCCAACGCTCACGTGTAACATCATGAATGAAATGACTACTATACGCAAATCATCAAAGTACAATTGCGAGAATGTTTTTTCGTTTTTCTGGCTGGCACGGAACTTGGTTGCCGCCATTTCGTACTTCGACTTGCGGACGGAAAGCGGAATGTAGTTTTCTTCTCCGTGCCTCCGTTGCGCCTCGAGGTCGGCAACTTTCAACGCGCGCCGTACCTCCAGCATCTCCTTGCGTGACTTAAACTCCGGATCCTCGTTGTATTCTAAACTTGGTGTACGCATCTCGCGATCCGGATTAATGAACCTGTGCAAAACCATTTCACTCTCCTACTTATTTCCAACATCGAATATTTCGAATCCCACACTTGCCACTGATCTGCTGCTACGTCCAGCGTTCTCCGACGGGGACTGCTGGTCTCCTTCGGGCTAGATAAAGCAAAGCAAAATCTGTACGTTGGGATGGGCTGCAGGCCCGCACGGACGCGCGCTTGCTGATGCTCGGCTTCCGCCCTGTCGCTTATTCTTTGTATTGGCGGGTTCTTCACCGAAAATTCCTGCTCCACCGGAAGCTCGTGCACCATCTGCATTTATTTAAGTCAGAAGAGGACGAACATCTATCTACATAGAACAAATGCCGCGAACTCACAGGAATACGAAAGTAAATCATAAACTCTGAGTTCTATCAGTATCAACATTTGAAGTCGATGGATACAGCTTCATACAAGAGGTATAAACATAAAGCTCTTACCCGCGGGTTGTCGTCACACCACTTATTGATAGCATCGTTGGCTGCCATCTTCAGTTCGGCTGTCCGGTCATTTTGGATTTCGGTAAACGTGCGGTGCTTCGGCTTCACATCGGCATTCCAGTTATCAATTGCAAATATGTCTGGGTCTGGAAGATTTTGAGACCTGTCATGCACGTTTTGCATGAGCCATGATGTCTGTGATGCATGCTCTAGCATCACAGGCTTTTTGAGGGATTCTTGATGCCTATTCCGCATGACAGATGCCCTCTCTGCGTAACAAAAATTAGACTCCTTCTGCAGCTCATGCAAAACAGATTTTTTTGACATCCAAATGCAGCATCACAAGTTCCACCTTTCCAGACCCAGACATTTTTACATTTGATACCAGTGCGGAGGGTAGGTTTCCTGCATCACCGCACCGTATTGAGAGGAAAAATCCCCCCTCCCCATATCGAAAAGGTATGTCTCCGAAAATTTGTGTTGCTGATTTGAGGTCACAAATCACGTCTGTCTTGCAAGAAGACAGGCGCAGAGGCTTCCGCACCATTATGGAAGCGATTTGGCATGCTGTTGCGCCTAGGGGGCACCCGTTTGCAATGCTAAGCAACTAGACCTATACGCCCCTACCTAGGCCGAGGAGCTGGCTGCGATGCCTTACCGCAAGACAGATCCGATATGTGTACCCAAATCCTGCATCACAGATTTCCATTTCGATATGGGGAGGGGGGATTTTTCCTTTTGATACACCGTTGTCAATGTTCATGATTTTACCCCGCCGCTGCACAATCTGTTGAGTGGAAGAGGAAGACGTTTCCATCACATCTGTCTTATCGCAGCAAAAAACGCCGCACACTGCTTCTATTAAAATCATGCAAAAATAATGTTTCATCTCTTTCTGATTTTCTAGTACTCGAACAACCCGCTGATGCCCTTCCAAAAAACAATCAATCAGTCTGGTAAAAATCAGTACCGGATACGGTCGCTTGCTTCCGGCTTGGTCGTGACCAAAAGAAAACGGGATATGAAATGAGAGGCATGAGAGGCACAATGTTTGAGCTCTCGATCTAGAAGACGCCCTTTCTTCTTGGGTATGCGTCTCTCCCACGTCTTGTACCCACAAGCGGCGCATCCTCATACTGATTCGGATTCCGGGCAGCGTTTATTTACAACAGTTACAATACGCGGAGACATTAAAACCCCTTTTGTCTTTATCGATACGTTCGCATGCAAATCGCCAAATACCTTCATGCTACTGCCTCTCAAGTGCGGATCTATCCCGTACTGGTCGAGCCACCCGTTCTTCAGTGCCTTGATGGCTTCCTTGCGCTCCTGCTCGTTCAATCGGTCATCGCGGTCGTGGTCGAAACTTTTATGACGGTTTCAGGTGAGAAACCGGCAATGAAGAAAGAACTCTGTAGACCTTGCCTGCTGAAAGCCGTCCGTTGTCACTCACGCACCACAGCTGTCTTGCGCATGAAACAACTCTTAAGCGAATGCGAAAAGGATAGCATCAACATGACAGAAGATGTAACTATATGGCTAGTAAATGTAATTGTAAACAACGTCCTCGTTATAGTGCATGACAGACACGACAAAGAACTCTGCGGTCTCGCGCGACATAGCCAAAACCTGCCTGTCTTCTCGCAGACGTCTGCATTTTTTCTGGAACGATCTCACACCTGCGTACATTCTCGTAGCTTTTCCCGATGAAGTAGTCACGCGCGCCCACGACGCCATCTCCGTCGATGTCATACGAAATGTGGGGAACGGCCTGCTGCTTTCGGCTTTCCATTAACATCCGTTATCCTGCGAGAAAAGGGACCTGATGACAAAACTTTTAGTTTTACCATGGGAATCTCATCAACTTTAGGATGTGTGGTGGAATGGGAATCTGTAAGCATCAGCATCTGAGCTTTAGGAAAGTCAAACGATTTCATTTCCTGACCCTGAGCAGGAGCTGTGATTGCACTTACAACGTCAATGGTTTTCACCATACAAAATGCAACATTCCTGTGTGATCATGATGGTATTGTCCGAGGTTCAGGTTTCTTTTTCGCCATATTGTTCGTGTGGGATTAACCTGATGCTTCGCATTGGTACCTGTTGTGATGTGAAACGAGATTTCATCTGAATACGTGTCTAAAAATTGCAGTCTACTCAAAAGCAGCCCTCGGCACACTAAGTGAAGGCATGATCTGGCAGGCGCATGCTCACTAAGGTAGAAACCCGAGCTTGCCCATCATGCACAGCACACTCCACGATATTCTCATTCAAGTCAAGACCAATCCTGTCACAGGGTTACATGTCACAGGATATAATTTATCGTCTTGATTATACCCCAGGGACAAGCCGTTTTCCAGTAGTTGTTTTCCTTCTCCTCCTCAAATTTCGTCTTGTCTCGAAACGGATTCTTGTGGTGCTGATGTCCCTGCTATCAAAATTCAAAAGTGCGTAGGTGCTAGTTATTAGCACGACTTATGGACGAATAATGTTGACTTATTCCCAAAAATTGCATGCACCGGATCCGGAGGACAAACTCGCACATAAACGAACAAGTAGTCTTCAATACGGTTAGATTTTGTGCATGGCCACCTCCACAGTGAATGTGACAGCACATCTACTTCATGACATCACTTTTCCCACACAGGCCGATACTGACTCGCACCCACGACTTTTTTCCCTGGGTACGAACGTGTCGTAGTTCGGAACGAAGCCATCGGTTTTGAAGGACTGCGCTGGAAAGCCCGCCATGTATGCAGTGGAAAGGTGTCCCGGCACCAGCACTGGCATGGTAGGTTGTCTTCTATACATTAGGTATCCTCATTGGGCAACCTATGCTTATCGAGTCATGCTTTCAAAATATCAGATAAGTATTATCTTTGTCCGCCATGCCATATCAAAATGTACAACTTCTGATTTCGACACAAGATCGTGCCAACTCTGGTCTAGGCTCGTCCACGCGCTCCCCGGAGATACCGTGAAAGTCTTGCTCATTCGTTCTTTGGCGCCCATGGCCCCGCTGCTGGGCCCGCTCGTGCTACTCGGCTTTTCTGCACCCATGATGTATCACTGGTGTCCGGGACGACAGAGTGGTCCGCGAACGATGCTGCGTCCTATCACGCAAGAGCTCGTCGCAAAAAACGACTGACACTGCACAGACAGCGCAGTGACTCTTGAAGATCCAACAGTTTGTCTTGCGCAAACCACGCGGATTTGACTGAATCGCGAAGGACCCGCGATCCAGCAGGAGTAAGTACGCGAGTGGGTTTTTCGTCGAAACACGTCACCAAGGGGTTCCTGTAGAGATGAAATCGACCCCTACACGCTCAGCTGCAGCTGCATCCAGCAACGGTCAGGCCGAACTGCAGGAAAAGCTGAAAAGGCAAGGTGTCCCACGTAGTTGCTCGCGTCTCTGGTAGGTGTAGCGTTTGGCGCAGTGAAGACTTTGCTACTAACCTTTATTGCGCGTGACGACCCAGAATGTCGACGAAGAGGCCTCGGACAAACGCGTCGCGCGGAGAAAAGTCCAAATGCGGAAACTCAGCTACCGCAACTACACGCAATGCGCTTTAACGATGCTCTTTTTTCCGTCCGAATCGGATTACTTCGCTAACGGGAGGTATTTCAGCTTCGGATCATCACGTCGTCCGCGTCAACCCTGGGCGTCGAACTCCTGGCTGGTCCAATTTTCTACAGGTCAGTGGCTTCGGCACAGGATCTGACGAAAGCTGGTGATGCAGAGGAGCAGGGACGAGCGCCTAATCGCTTTCGCGAAACCAACGGTGGCGAAGATAGCAGTGCTGCTACTACAGAAGTCCAGTTTTTCAGACACCGACCGTGTAAAAGTTCGTCGTCCGGAGGCACGAATCAGAAAAACGTGGCAGAAAATTAGCGAAACATATTCATCCGACTTCGTGATAGCAGCAAACTGCTGAATATTAATGGAAAGAGATGAGGCGTGAAGATGATAAGTACTGATTCATAATTTTTTCATTTTTCTCTACCGTGGCTGTTGGAAAAATTGCGTACACATCCATAAAGTGTCTGAACTGCTGAATCTAGTCGGTGTACTCTATGCGCAACGCCCTCGGTAATCACAGTGTCTCGATCGACAACTCTTGCTGTTCGCCCATGATCATTTCTCGACGCTCAGAAACCGAGCACAAGCCATCCAGAAAGACGTGGATCCGAAAATTCAAATACACGCTGCTATCTGCACGAGACACTCTCGATTCGCACCTTCTCTCAACAATTCACGATGACAAGACGAAGCAAGAGCTTGATGTCACAGGACAATTCGACCGGAAAGGCTCCAGTGAAAATGAAAGACTTTTCGTGTTCCGGTCGAACACAAAAAACTAGAATTCGCCTTCACGAAACTACTATGCACGACTATGGCGAGACCGGCTCTACGGAAAACACATGACAGCATTCCCCTCGCAGCAGAACATTATGCACGCGAAGCGGCCCAGAAGATTCAGATCCACCATCTAGCCCGCCTGGTCGTGGTGAGGGTGACCACCTTTTTACTTCATAATTTTTTTCTTGTCCGTTCAAATGAAAGGAGGGAGAAAAAAGATAATCACAAGTCACGACGATCGTCATCAGCTTCATCCACCAAGTTACTACTTAGGAAACTGAATTACGTATGAAAATGAGAAGACTTGCAATTACCAAAAGAGAAATAAGGATGGTCGCGGAATAAGGAACTCTTTCAACAAATACTTTGGCGTGCGGAGAAAGAACAGCCGGCAAGGCTGACGACGGGGCGTAAGCATTGTATTTCTGAGATGAAAACAGGCTGCATATACCGAAGGAAAAAGCAAACAAACCTATTAATTTCCCTCTGTAGCCGCCGGCCTTGCCTTGCTACATCGATCTGAACGAGAAAAAAAATAGTTCCGCTCGCTCTATAAACAGTTGCCTATTTCCACGCGTGCAGCTCTGCCTTCATGACGCGCAATTCTTCCAGTAGCTCCTGCGCAAGCATTTTGGCCTCTTGCGGCTTTTTGCTCTTTCTCTTTTCGGGAAGAAAATTCAGCTCACTTCTCTGTCTCGCCTGTAGGAGCTCCTTTTCCGCGATAGCGAGGCGCTGTCGCAAACCGTCGATCACCTCTCGGGCCGAGGCGGGCGTGGAGGGCGGTAACAAATTGCCCGAAGACGAGGAGGAACTGCTGTCACTGCCGGAATATTGGTAGAGGTTATTCAGTGTGCTGCTCTGCCGGACGTCGAGGTAGGAAACTTCGCCCCAAGGATCGTGGTTATCGGACGTTGGGGACCAGGATGCCAAGCGAGGGTTTAGCATTTGTGCACTCTTATCACCATGAAAATGTTGGTTTACAACCTTACAGCGATGATTCTCTTCAGCATCAGCAAGAGCGAGAGCAAATACAAAAACGAAGTAAACAAACTCCCATCAAGTTTGTGCAAATTGAAGAATTTCTACCTGCCTTGAGTCAAAGAAATGCAAGTTTTGTTTCATTCTGCACTGATGCGAAGCACACCACCGCCCATCAAGGCAGTTTCATCTTGCCTCTTGTCTACTAGGATTTATGCATGGTCCTCGTCAAGTAAGCTCATAAACCAACAGGTGTACTACTATCTTCATCCGCGTAACTTTTGAAGTCGTCGTAGGCCTCGCGCATGCCCGCCAGGCGGACCAGGAAGGAGCGCCAGGACCAGAGGGCAATCAGCTGGCAGCGGTGGCCGTCGATGACGGCGTCGGTGTAGAGGTCCTCGTTGGGGTCGGTGCCGATCCCGGTGAGGTAGGCGGCGATGTTGAACACGTGCTTGTTCATCTTTTTGTTTTGCACCACCCGCTTGAAGACGCGCTTCATCTTCGCGGCCGCCGGTTCCTTCTTCCACAGGCGGACGCACAGCATCGGCTCCGAGTATCAAAAAGAAAAATCCCCCCTCCCCATATCGAAAACGAAATTTGTGATGCAGTATTTGAGTACACAAATCGCATTTGTCTTGCTGGAGAGGACTGCGGACCCATATCAAGCCTGAATAGAGAGGCTTTGACTTAGGCGCTTAGCATGAAAAGCGTCCGCGATGTTGGCTCAACAGCATGACAAACCGGCTCCATAATGGGACGGAAGCTGCTGCCCTTGTCTTCTTGCAACACACACGTGATTTGTGACCTCAAATCAGCAACACAAATTTTCGAAAACCTACCTCTTCAATACGGGGAGGGGGGATTTTTCCTTGCGATACCGAGCCCTCGTAGCCCATCACGTCCGTGACCACGTCCAGGCGGAGCAGCAGGTTGTCCCGCTTCCGCAGCTCCGCACTGATGTCGTTGCCCTCCTGCACCAGGGGGATGGCCTGGGCGAAGGAGGCGAGGAAGTTGTTGGCCGCTTCCTCCCCGATCCGGCTGGCCACCGCCTCCACGAAGGCCTTCGCCTGCATGAACTCCTCCGACGTGTTGTCCATGATTTCGGCCTATGAAATGTAAAAACGTCTGGGTCTGGAAGATTGCAACTTGTCATGCTAAATCTGCAGCATGCAAAAGTCTGTGTTGCATGATTACCAAAAGTCGTCCAGTTTTGACCAAGTCGGGAGGGAGTTTCTCGTGCAGGATAGGCATGAGAAAGGTCTCGCAGAGCCTGTCAACATGCTAGGTCCTGCATTCCAGACCTCATGGGTCATGGAAAAGCAGCATGACAAATCGCGCATTCTTCCAGACCCAGACATTTTTGCATTTGATACGGCCAGGTGGTCCCCGATGGCGTCCTCCTCCGTCATGCTCTGGCTGATCTCCTTCTGCAGCGGCACCACCAACTTAAAGATAAAGCTGCGCCCGATCATGAAGCGGTCCCGCGCCTCCAGCGTGGTGGGCGTGCTCCCGATGGCGCGCCCGTTCCGCAGCAGCCGCCCGTACTTGCCCGTCTCGGGATCCGCCACCGGCTTCACGTGGACGCGGGTGTGGTTGAAGTTCACCAGCTGGCACATCACCGGGGCGATGCCCAGCCCGTTCAGCTTGATGGTGCAACTGGCGTCGGACCCGATGGTCACCTCCTCGTTGATGGGGATAAAATACACCAAACAACCGGTCAGGCTCGGGTCGTCGGCCACGTTCATCAGGTAGGGCGTGTTGGGGTTCATGTTCATGGCGGTGGCCATGCCCTTTCCGGACAGCCCCATGTCCACCAGCGCCTGCTGCCGCATCTGCTCCATCTGCTGCGCGGCCTCCACCTCCTGCCGGAAGTTGCTGCCGTACTTGCCGACCAGGTCGTTCAGCATGGCCAGCTGCTCCTGGGTGCCCGCGTCGCTCACCGCCGCGCCGCCCTCGCCCTTCAACGCCTTGATCTCCGCCTTCAACTGCGCGATAATGTCCGCGTCCGCTTCCTGTGGAAAGGGGGGTCATGGTTGTTTCGTATAGGACTTACATCAGTATTCATGTTCATCAAGATGAAGACCGTGCGACCATTTACATATCAACGGCACAAAAGAAAAAGTATGGCAGAGATGACCGCAGCGCCAATTCAAACTCAGTACTCCTGCCTTTTTGTTTTCATTTATCTGTGACTTTATTTATTAGAAATATCCAGGCGGGAAAAAAAAAGGTGCACCAGCAAAAATAAATGCTACGTTCAAAAAAATCAATTTGTAAACCAGTACCTGATTCACGATCGCCTTCGTTTGGATTTCCTTCACGGAGTTCGCGATATGAAATGCAAAAATGTCTGGGTCTGGAAACTTGTAATGCTAAAAGTGAATGATAGACGCGCCGCAATACGCAGCTATGCATGACAAATTTTGTGGCTGCCATGTCTTACATATTCCGCATGGCAAACTGCCTTTTCGCATGACGGTTAAGAGGGCTCTTTCGTGCCAATGCAACACAGATTCCCGAGTCATGCCAGACAAGCATGACAAACTTGCATTCTTCCAGACCCAGACATTTTTACATTTCATACGCGAACCGCAGCGTCGACATGGTCTCGTCGTAATTTGACCGAGCGGGGTATCCTGAGTAAAAACGTACCCACACCATAGTTGTCATGCTAAACATGCAAATCTGCATGCTTAAAATGTTTGTCATGCGGAGCCCCATGAGAAGCATTTTCTAAGGGTGTTTTGAAATTTGTCATGCTCCAATCAGCATGAGCGACTAGATCTGTAATGCTGCTGAACTAGCTCAAACAGCACTACACTACGCGTCCAAATTTGTCATGCGAAACAAGCAAAGTTGGCCGATTTGTCTAGCAGATTTTCCAACTTGACTCTGGTGTGGGTACGTTTTTACTCAGGATACGGGGCTGACCGCAGCGATCATCACGGTTTTGCTGTTCCCCACCAGGGATTCTTGCAAAAGGTACGTCAGCTTGCTGTTCCGGAAGGGGACGAAATCGTTGGCGTTCTTGCCCTCGTTTGTGAAGCTCTTCGCCAGTGCGTGGATCACCAGCGCCAGGTTGGTCAGCGACTGGTTGATCTGCGCCCCCTCCTTCAGCCGGTCCCCGCTGGCGTTGGTCTTCTTCTGTCGCTCGCTACCCGCCAGGTCTACCAAGTTGATCTTGGACCGCAACAGCGACAACGGCTTCTCCGGGTTGTCGCCCTTGATCTGCGTCACGGACACCGTAAAAATGCAGTGCGACCGGGAGGATCGGTCATTCATACTCGTGGCCGCCACGGAGCGGGCCTTCATCCCGAAATCCATCAATTTCATCACCTGAGAGGTGGGGGTCAAATTTCATTTTTAATGTGTTTTTGCTCTGTGTTAAGTATACTCCTAATAATGATCACATACACATTCTTCTTGCTTTTTTAGTGCGGAATTTTTTTCTGAACTTATCTGCCTTTACCTCTTCGGAACTTGTGGATGCGGACTCGGTGAGCCCCGGCACGTAGATCCCGAATTTCGGGTGTTGCCGGACTTCCAGGGACTTGTCCTGCCCCTGCTTGATCGGGTTAAGCAGGTCCCGCAGCTTGTCGTTGTAAATCTCCAGGTACGACACGCGAATCTGGAAGGTCCAGTCTGTATGAATTGCAAAAATGTCTGGGTCTGGAAGATTCCAACTTGTCATGGTAAATCTGAAGCATGCGAAAATCTGTGTTGCATGAGTGCCAAAAGCTGTACACTTTTGACCAAGTTGGAGGGGAGTTTCTCATGCAGGATAGGCATGGCAGAGACCTCGCAGAGTCTGTCATGCTAAGTCCCGCATTCCAGGCCTCATGGGTCATGGAAAATCTGCATGACAGGTCTACACTTTTCCAGACCCAGACATTTTCACATTTGATAGTCTGGTTCCTCTTGTTTTCGCTGGGCGAGCATTTGGAACACTTGGTTCACCATGCGCGGGAGCAGTCCCGCGTCCAGGTTCATGTCTTTCCCTCCGATCACGGACCAAGTTTTCCCGCTGCCCGTCTGCCCGTAGGCGAACAGCGTGTCGTTGTACCCGCGAATCGAGTTGTTCAAGAGTTCCATTCCGAGCTCGCTCATCAGGGTGTTTTGGTCCGCGAACCCGTTCTGGGGGTCCTCCCGGCTGTGGCTCCAGTAGCACCTGTCGTAGTTGAAGGTCTGGGCGTTTCCGTCCTCGTCTAAGACCCGCATCACATCCTTCATCGGCATCTCCACGATGCACTTCTCTCCCTTCTCGCGCTCAATGAAAGGTCGCACCCGGATGCAGACCTTGATGTTATTGCTATCGGCACTGCTACTGGGTGCCGCACCGCGGCTGCGCCGGGGAGCGGGAGCGGACGCCTCCGCCTCTCCCCCCGCACCCGTGCGGCTTCGACGGGAAGCCATGGTGATCTACCGCAACGCCGGGATGGCGAGTACTTGTTCGCGCACGCAAGCAGTGGAAGGATTCTGTTTTCGCCCTGCTTCGCCTAAGCACCAAATCTTGCGGTCATACGAATTCTATCTTATGCTGGCAACTTATTGGTAAAAAAGAAATGAACTGTTGGGCAAGACAGCGAAGAAATTCCCGTTGTCAACGTAATTGAAAATGTATACGGGGTAAAAGTGGGTAGAATTAATTTCCTCGGTGAAGACACAGGCTGGTTTCCTATGCACACTGACTTACTTACTTTCCGATGAGACGGGGAAAACGCTGGAAAAGGGGTTGAGGGAACAGAAGCAAGGTATTGGTCCTGTCATGGTTATGCTAATGAAAGAATAAAGTCTCTAAGTACAAAAACAGCAAACACGAAACGCAACGAACTCTTCTATCTTCCGGCATGAATGCGACATGATGAACGACATCAAAGACCATGTGAAATTCCAAAGAGGCACGAATGTATGGACGAAATCGGTACTGGACCGCAAAAATGGAACGAAAGACGATGAACCGATAATCCTTGTGCAAAGTTTAAACAACGACAGCGTTCTATAAATATTGACAGAATTTGTCACTGGTCTTCTTGTTGCTCTGTTTGTTTTGTGGATTATCATTCGACCGATGTCTTTCCTCTACGACCGAATTTTCCTTGCTCTACTGAGCAGATACCTCTAACAGGACCGAACGTCGCTAGCCTTGTGATTGACGCGAGGATGGTACCAAGTTGTACAAACAGCTTTCTGTAGTGAACAGGTAAAGCCGAGTGAGATTGCGCAGTGTCGCAAAAAGTGTCTATCACAGGGCCTTGAATGTTGCATGCGTTGCAAAGTGTGAGAGTTAGAAAACATACAACGAGTAAGTGCAATCCATAGCGACTTATTGTTCATCGTTCCTCTTCGTGGTCTCACGTAAGGATAGAATAGCATCTTTGCCTGGATTTGCTGAATCAACCAGAGTGGAAAAGAAAAAACTACGTCGCGAGAACGCGCTTCCAACATCAATCATGCAAAAAAAATGCGACGAGCAGTGATGCAAAAAAAAAGCGATCTATTTGTAGCCCCGCAAAAACACGGAGAGAAACCCCTGTGCGGTGAAAAAGAGCAAGGAGGTGAGGCAGAGGCCAAAGAAAACGATAAAAAATGTTTGATTCATCGTAGTCGTTGCGGTATAGCCCAGTGGCGGACGATATGCCACGCAAAAACACTCGGACCGGACAAAGCCAGGGAGGTTAACAATTGCATGCATATCGCATTACTTGCGTTCGTGCATAAACTCGGCCCTTGTCCGTGATTCCGATGCCGATCGCTACGGGGTGTCATTCATTCGCGCAACGAAGTACATCGCTGTGACTAACCACGTTGCCGTCGTCGAGTCGCTGATGCACAAAAAGAACACATCCGAGCATGCAAGAAAGTTTTTTACAAAGGCGTCCCCGTAAACGAATCCGAGTGATGATTTTGGATAAGAACACGTGCAGCTCCTTCTCATCGGCGTCGGCCATTGCAGCGGCGGTCTTCGGGGTCACCGGCAAAAATTCCTCCACTTTCGGAGCATTCTCCATGGCCAGATCATTTTTCGTGTCTTCTCAAAATGCCAAACACCTCCACGGACCCCTAGTAGAACTTGGTGTTGGTTATAGGCAGAATGATGTATGCAATTATGTGTCATCACACTTACTGTTACTTTACAGATAAAAGTGAATCTGCTTGTTCACATGCAAAGGATTTCGTGTAGGGAACTGTGTATGTGTTGCACGCCCATATGTCTTCGGCCGTCACAAGTTGCGGACTTGCTTCCGTGTGTGGAACTGAAAAGCGAATCGTTTTATTTTTTTTAAGCATCATATTTATAACCATCGAAAAAGCGAAGTCTGAGCGTGGACCGTGGTCTAAATCATTCATGCGATTCGTGCTTTCCTCCACCTCCAGTGGAAGTGGTCGGATACGAGTTCTGTATTTCTTAAAGTTAGAAGCAACACCAGCATCCCGAAATTTCAAGGGATTGAATTTGAACTTGTTATTTCAAAAGACCTGCATGAAGTTTCTCCTGGACCGGGTCCTCCAGGTCACTCGGTGTGTCCACAACCGCGGCTGGATCTTTCCTCGAATCTTTTCTTAAACTTCCTCCACTGCTCTTTTCTTGCCGTTTCGTTCGCGAAGAGACCGCTCCGACACGAGTGACGAGACCGAATTTTTCCTGCAACGAGGTACTGGCCAGCCACAGAAAACCTAGAAGTCCTCGTCGAAGCGCCGTGCTAGACCCGAGGCTGTGGCAGGAAGCGCGCTGGAGTGGAGGCACCATAATGTCCAGGACGGTCGTGCCAACTGTTACACGACCGCTCCACTTCACACCTTCATCCGCAGACCCGACAAGAAGATCTCGTGCAGTGCCGAGTCCTTGTTCTACCGAGACACTACGTTTACAGACGTACGATGTTGTAACAAATTTGTTTGATAGCGATCCCCCTCTACTCAGGTGGACCACCCATGCTGACTCAATAACATCCACGAATTGGTTACTGACAAGGACCTTATCCGCTCTGCTGTTAGTAGCTGAACGTGAACCTCTCGCTGAGAATGATGAAAAAAACCCAAATGCAAGTCTGCAGCGAGCTGCGATCTCTGTGCTCACTCTGCCTCTTGTCAGTTCCTCTCGAATTGCAAGCCATCAGCGAGGCAACCATGCCACACGGAATAATCAGCTGTAGCAGAGGAACCACTACTGTGCCCAAAGCTTTTTTTGAATAAAGTATTTCTTGTCCAGACAGTAGTTTGCGTTGTTTTCTTACGCCGAAACCTGGCGTCCGCTCTGTGCTGAGGTAGTAGTCAAGGGTTTAGGGTTCACAGACAAATCAGTCCAGTACGGGAAATTTTAGCTACATGAACTCGATTGCAATCTTTCAGTTTGACTCTTCGGCGCCATATTCTGTCAGCAGCCGGACCAATGTCCGATTGTGCGACATGTTTCGCGCCTGCGTCACCGCGGTCTCCCCTTGCAGCGTGGCACGGTGCACGTCGGCGCCAGCTTCGAGCAACAATCGGGCTACTTCGACTGTCTTTCGGCCCCGTATGCCTTGCTCAAGTCTCGCAGTTCTCGAACCCTCCGGAGTACGGCTATCAAATTCCCATCAGCACCTGCATGACAAAGCGGGTCTGTCACCTTCGGTTTGTTCTTGTCGCTGCAGAAATAGAAGGACAGAGCTGCTAAGTCCGTTATCCGAACTACTTGTTTCTATCGCACAACAACTCCCAGAGCTTGAGAGGGGCACGACTTGAGCGAGGCATACCAAAGTTGCAAGCGGTGTAGTGCAGGGGTGCGCAGCCGTTCGCGGTATTCGCGTGGTTCACATCGAGTAGGGGTGCGTCGATTACTTCCACATTGTTCACGTCCCTGACACCTGACAAGAGAAAATGCACGAGTGGCACATTAAGATTGAAACAAGCCACATGCAACACATTCATGCCGTTTCGTGCCGGCACCCGCAGGACGTGTCGCACGTACTGCACCCAGTAACGGTTCGTGCGTTCCTCTTCGGCAACATGGGTAAAATCTCGTCCCTTATCGCAGAGGCTGTCCCCCTGTTCAGGAATTTCGCCGGTGGAAAAACCTTCGATCTGCGCGCCAAAAAACTGGCGGGCCTCGTCCAACAAAAAGCAGGCCGCACCTTCGTCGGCGCTTTCTGCACAGGCCTGGTAGAAGGGCGTGCTTCCCGTGTTAAGCGCATCGTGGCCAAACACGCTAGCACGAACAAACGGTGCAGTTTTTGCTTACTTTGAGTTTGACAAAAAAAATAAGCAAACAGCAGCCCATACATTGGCTAAGCTCTCCCGCCGCGACAGAATCAGATACATCTAACTATCATTATCATTTGAGACAAACATACAAATACTCTCTGCTGCTCGCAGCTGCGATTATGCACTTTTTCTCTTCATTGAGCAGCCCGTGTGGTACGCTAGCAGTCTCGCTCACTATGATAATGGTCTCGCACCAAGAGTTGCCAGCACCAATAAAGCACGCCCCGGGAGTCGACTCCAGGCGGAGCTGTCGACATTTCAAAACTGTCGGCGGCCTCATCGAAGCTTTCATATTGTGATAGTGCAGCCCCGAGCTGATCCTGTGGTGTATGCAGAACATGCAATGCAAATTAGCATGTTGGTCTTCTTTCAGACTTCCCCGTCGCGATTTATTTCTCGCGCTGCATCATACTGAAATCTCCATCCTGTTCATGCTACACGGACTATCTACCAGGCGGATAGCTTTTTCCAACGTTTCCGACATGAATCTATGTCGCCAATCGATTTCTCATCGATCCCAAGTACTTACAACACGCATTTCTTTGCATTGCGTAGCCACGTTGGGGCCATGGCATCAAGTTCCGTATGCGGTGACGCGAAAACGTACGCAGGTGTTGTGCAGGAGTGTCCTCCAAAAGCACCTTCGTTGATCCTTTTTCCCCATCCAGTACTCGTCTCAGGACCGTCTCACCTCCTGCCTTTGGTTGAGCCAGATTTTTTGTCGAGGGTGACATGATCCGTGTTCGTTTCTCCACAAAGCCGCTTTTTGTGCTTCTTCTTCCCCGTTCAAGCAGCATGAGCGTGCGCTCGTGCTCCATCAGACGCGACGCAATCAAACTACTGCTACGCGACGTCAGGGAGGCGGAGGCCGACACATTTCCTCGGTGCCCCCCTGCCGATGGCACTGCAGGGGCACTGGTCAAACCGTAAACCGCTGCGTGTAGTGGAATGCAGCCGGAGCCGTCTCGTTCGAACAACACGGACGAAACCCATGCCTGCTGGTCCTGCTCGCGTGCTGGGTCCTCACCCCCCGGCGAGAGTCCCAAATAGTAGGGTCGCTGCGACAGTGAAGGAGCAGCCGGCGCGTCTGGCTCTAACGAGGCCCCGTGCTCCGATGTTCTTTGGCTTGGAATAAGGTCGGACGGAGCAGGTGGCTCCACGTCTAGAACCCAATCGCCCACTTCTTTTGGCTTTGGCAGCGACAGACATGAGCTTGCGGCCTCCTCCTCGGCGCTGCTACCCGCATCTTGTTGGGAGTCCTCTGTGTATGCGTTTGATGTTGCAGCTGAAGATGACTGCGCCAGATGCTGGCGGTGCGCTTCGTCTACTAGCCAATGTGGCCGGTGGTAGCTCGGATTAACCGCGTCCTCCGCGCAGTCAAGATGAAACCATTGCTCAAGCTCACACTCGAGCACGGCCTCGACGAGCGCGACCATGTCATCCCGCACGAACTCTGCCAGGGGAGATTCAGAAGTCACGACCGAGGAACAAGCGATCGCCACTGCCCGGCCCTCCCGGTCATTTATACTTGCGGAACTTGCAGAGAGCGCCGCGGCCTTTCTCGCTTCATCGGCGGTGCAGCCTGCGTGGTGCAGCATGCGATTCTCAAAAAGGAAACGCAGCGCTGCCTGCAGAAAAATGGGCAGCTGCTGGTGCGTCAAAAATCGGTCCACCGGATCCACGCGAATGGGCTTGCGCAACAGTTTCCGTGTTAGGGTCGACGTTGCGCCAACATGTTCTTGCGCACTACGGCCTGCAGCAGTCGCTGCCACACGTCCACTCGCGTCACTGGTGGTGACACCGCATTCCATTTCCAGCAGAAACAGGATACCGTCTAAAAACGGATGGGGCCCGGTCGGAAAGAGCGTCGTCGCTTGTGGTATTCCCGTGGAACTACGGGGCAGCACAGTGCTACTGCAGTCAAACTATACAGAATCCATCAGTTCAACGCAGCGAAATCAGTAAACCAAAATTTAAGAACTGCTTCGGCTAGCTTTCCCCTTAGCAATGCTGCATTATCACAGATTCATTCACAACCCTGTTTCCATTCATGATATCTTCTCACCCATTTTGTTTTCCCCATTGCCGACGGCTTCTATCAATTCAGATTAGTATTAGTTGCTACTTGCTGCCTACACAAAACGTTCCAGCATATAAAGTCCCGCACTCTCTGACGGTGTTGCTCCCCTGATCCTAATGGCACTGATTGCACGTACAGCCGTCGATTTCCGAAATCCGGCACGACAGCCCCCTTGCCAACGGTCGGTGTCCTCTCGGAAGGGACCTTACGGTTGCACGTGAGACGCCATGACGCCGTATTGACCACAACCCGGTGACACCTCGCCCGCAGAAAGCGTGTCGTGGTTCTGGGGGTGGAAGGGACCCCAGAAGTTCTACTGTCGGCCGCGGGAAACAACCGGGCACTGTAGGGCAAGAAGGGCTCCGGCGGGCCAAAATCAAAAGCCGTAGCCGCTAACGATTCGCCGTGCTCATCCCAGGAGCTGTCCTGGCCTCGCTGCGTCTGCTCTTGTGCTCCTCTGCCATGATCTCCTTGCCTTTCGCGCGGCGCAGCGGCCGTGGAGGGTAGTTCGTCACTCACGACTTGGCTCTCACAGACACCGCCAGACGCGCTATCATCTTCCTCCTCGTCTTGTGTATCTTCGTCCTCTGGCAGGAGTGCGACACACGCTGCCGGGACCCCCAGACGCCTTGCAAGAACCATTCGGCAAAAATCCCCGCATTGCAGATTCCGCAGTTCCCTTTCCTCCCACTGGCCATAGGCAAGCTGCACCTGGTGTTTAACCTCCAATACTTCGTCGCTGAGACCTCGCAGAAAGCGTTTCTCCCGCATGCACGCGTACAACATCCTGCTTCTGCACTCGTCTACCAGTTGTACTACGAAGCTGCTTGATGTTCCCTCGATCTAATGAAAGCGATTAGATGAACTTAATTTACCGAATAGAAGTAGAACGCTGAAGCGACACTGAAGTACATTACTGAGACGAGGTTCATTGGCTAGCACTGATCAATGCGAGAGCTGCACGTTCGCACTCATCACGAACAAAATTCAGATGAATGACCAGACTTTCAAATCTGGAGACCACCATGCTCGGTACACTGACACTGCCGCGTGCATGTCACTGACTTTCGCTGCTTTCCTGTGTAGAGTACTTGAAAACCGATGGCAGAGTCGCTGATTTCGACGTGGTCCCGTCATACCACGAGCAATTTCATATGAACACGCAGGCATGGCTTCGTCTCCCACGAAGTAGTGCCTGGAACGACATAATCAAATCCTAACGAGGAACTTATTGACTGTATTCCTGGGCTAAAACTTTATGCGCAGTCTCTGGGATATATTCACGTCATCAACAGTGACGCAATTGCGAAGATTGGTATGTGATGCATTTCTGTGGCAAAAACTCTTTGCCGATTATCTTGTACGAAAATCATTGGAAACAAAAGTTTTATTGCGATTCCGCGTTTCTTTGTGTGTAAGTACTCCTTTACGGCCGCCAGTACATTTCGTTCAAGTCTTCCCCAAACCACCTCGACCTCCGGGATAGCCGCAGTATTTATTATCCATTAGCTCTCACTCCAACATCTAGCAGAAGCTGTCAATCTGTTTTTACAAGATTTCCAGAAGAAACTTGTGAAGCTTAGCCAAGGAGCGGGAACGATGGGAAATTTTGTTTTTCGCGGAGGGCGACATTTCCGCATAGGTGTGGCGCTCCGCGGAGTCGTCAGGGAGGAAAACCGGATCCCAGCCCTTGCCCTTCCCTCCAAAATTTGGATCTCCACGCGCGGGCACAATCTGTCCGTGTGTCTGTCCCACAAACGTCCGGACTTGCGGGCCGTCGTTTCCGGCCTTGTTTTCCTGAAAGCAAGACAGGGTGCCGCAACAGGCAAATATGGTCTGGGCAAAGCCCGTTTTGTCTTCGTAGGCGGCCAGCAGGTTGTTGAGACCCTCGCAGCCCGTCTTCTCCAAGAACCATTTCACGTAAGGCCCCGGCAGCCCATGCGTATCGAGCGTCACAACTCCCCCTCCACCCCTTCAGTCGCATCAGGTGCTGAAGCAGACCGAGTTCTTTTTGAAACGTTGGCCGCTTCGGTGGAACAAGTTGTTCAACATGATCATGGATCTCGATCAGTATGACTCGACCGCACGACATGACATAATGAAAAGTTGCATATCAATCTCGATGCAACCGTCACGTAGCTGCATTCATACATAGCAAAATACACATGCAAATATTCTGCTTCAGCTTCTCCTCGCAGCCTTACAAAAGAAACCAGGCGGAAGCGGAGTTGGTTTGTTTATCGTAGTTCAGGGCGTTAAAACATAACGAGGTGTCTTCGGTAAAGATGACAAAGTCTTTGGCTTTATTCTCACCCGGTGCTGTCTTCTCCAGGGAGGACCAGTATTCACGATACGCTTGCAAACACTTTTCTGCGCTGATATCCTCAGGCTCGCCCTGCAGCTCCGGCAAATCCAACTTCACGGCACGAATGTTGATCTTCTTGTTCTTTTTTTTGTCACCAGCAGCTGGACCATCGTTCTGCTCCAGCTCCTCAAAATATCGATTCACCTCATTTACTTTGCTCTGGTTGCCCGTCACGAAGATCACGTCCACATCCTCAGCCTCACTGCGTTCCCGCTTCAGGGAAGCATGCCCGTTACTGGATCCTGCAGTTCCGTCCATGATTTGGATTTCACGGTAGTGCCGATATATAAAATAGTGGTCAATTATTTCGAATTCTGTATGTACTCCGACGAGCAGATTTGATTTGTTCCGATTCGGTTTCCGTTTTACAAAAATTTCACAAAAGCTTCGCCAAGAGCTGAATGCCTGTACATTCTGATTTGCACAAGATTTTCAGTTCACTGCAACATCTACTTTCACCAGGATCGCCTTTTTCTGACTTAACGAAAACTGCAGAATTTTAATTCCTGCTTGGCGCTCGAAAAGTACGTTCAGAACTATTGCATACAGGACAAATCATTCGAGGATGAAATGTGGCTTTATTATATCATCAGGAACTCGTCACATTTTCCGCTCTACCCATGCCCGCGGATGCTCCTGCGGCATCGCAAGTGCTAGCGCTGTGCATCAGAGGGCTTACTTGCGCTGGTAATTTCAGCAGAGCCATTGACTCGCCAAAGGCAAAACTTTTTGCGTGTTTGGCTATAGCAAATTCCTCGGAAGCGGGACGCAATTCTGATCTCGCGACCTTTGCTTTACTTTTTTTTGCTGATTCCGAGGCGAAGTAGAACTCGAGGAAGATATTGTAAAACAATATAGCTGATCCCTTCATCCATGCCATAGCGCTTCCAGAGTGCCCAAATATTTAAAATCATCTGGGGCCGTCATACATATCATGTTGCTCCTCATTTCCATACGACAAGCGAACTACCAGCCTGAATTGATTCATCATATTGGAACACCCGCGGGCGTTTTTGCGACCCGTAACGCCATCGCACCTCCGGTCTCCACCTCGCGAAACACCTCGGTGCGCCAAAACTCGAGAATCGAGCGACAGCTCTGGCGGTCAGCATCTGGGAAAGCAGCGTTGCCGACGCCGAGAGGAAGCGCAAACCCGTGTGGCGTATCCGGGTGCGCGTGGAGGGTTACGGCTGCCTGGTGCGCCTTGCATTCCTTGCCCAAAAAGTTTCGCACCATTGCCTCTGGCACCAGATGATCGCTCTCGCCGTGCTCCAGCAAAATCTTGACGCCCGGTTTCGGAGCCTCTGGATGACCCGGGGGTTGCGTGACGAGCACCTCGGCCGTGGCCTGTGGGTCGAGCGGCTTTGTTTGCAAAACGCCGTGCACCGACACCACGGCGTCGAGCTCTTGTGCACCGGACCGCCACAGCTCCAGACCCGCGACGCCACCCAAGCAGTAGCCTAAGGTACTTACGACCACACTTGTTTCGCTCCCCGCCCGCGATGATGATTCACGACTACTCAAAACTCGGGCGATGCCCTCCCGCAACCACGTGTTCACCATGGGCCGCAGAAAGGACGCCGCCTTGGTCAATAGGCAGTCATTCATCACGCGCATACCCCTCTCAAAGTGCCGCTTTCGCTCGGGAGACCCTGGCGGAAACTCGATGGCCTCCCGGTCGGCGTACGGAAACTCCTCTGCCGTGTAGTAGTCGCAAACCAGTGCGTGGTACCCGAGCCGACTCACCCACGCGCCCACCTCCCTGTCCCAGGTTTTCAGTCCAGCATAATTCGGAAAGACGAGCACCAGACCGTCTTTCGTGCTCCTGCCCATGCTAGTCTCATCTTCTTCACCACCGGTGTAGTTCTTAGCCGGAGGGCAGTAAAAGCCGCGCAAGGTCTTCCTGACGCCGCCTGCTGGCCCCACAAGGATGTTCACCACGTGCTGCGCTTCGAGGTCCCCCTGGAACTCCGGATTGACTAGAATCGGCATGATGAGGCTGATGCGGATGTTGCGCTAAACGTACTTATTGCACACAGAAGCGCACAGGTTGATAATGAGATAGAAACGCAAACGGTTTTCACTTGGTACGTTTCCCGACTTACAGTTGCAGGATCGCAAAACATCGCAGTAACTCCTCGGGTTTGACTAAAAATTTTATAACCAACGGCGGCCACAAGATGGATATAGCAGCTACAAGTGTCACAAAGTACCATCGACTGGGCAGCAAGCCGCAAGATTTGCAAGTAAAACAGAACCAGGACTACACACCGCCTCGCGTACCTCTTTCATCATAGTGCAGAAGTTTCTGCACTTCGTCCGACCTCGGTGGAACTACTATGGTGATCCTAATGCAAATCCTTGGATCTACTTCTAGATCCCTCTGTTTCCACACACCCATCAATGATCTAAATCTGTTCTATGACCGTGTCCAAGGAACCCATGATATTTTGAATTGCAACAACTCACAGATAGTATTGGTCCCTTCCATTATACCAGCAAACTCTGATCACGTGACTGCCGTCGTGCATAATTTTGTTCCATGCAATATCGAGATCCACTGCGCTGCGCAACATATCGATACCGCACGCATTGAAATCAGGAGGTGGCCTGCACACCCACCACAAGATATGATTGAGGGATAAGGATTGCAATTGAAGTTGTTCTCTTCCACATGGCCTGCGCAAGCAATCCGAATCGAACGATATTGTTGCATTTCAATTCATCTTGACTGACAGAACAGATGACCGCTGTAAAAAGCGCCAAGCGGCTCGGATTCGACAACGCAGACAATAATTTCCTGATACATCGTTCATTTTCCAACTCTGCTCATTTCTCTTGATATGATCCCAGCTATGAAGCGCAGATCTTTCCCTTCTCCGTCATCCTGTTCCTGCTCCCCCTGCTTCAACCCCCTGCATTAGCATTACGGTGAAACAAACTTGAAAAAAAATATCCTTTGAGGAGCCAAAATTCTGTAAAATACTTGTATTTATGGCACGATGAGGAATGGCCTTCCCTCTGGTATCGCCTGATTCTTGAAATCTTGCGAAAAATGGAGGTGGACGTACACCAAAAATTGCTAAATCCCAAGCCAATTGAGGCCGGGGGCTTGCGACCTGCCCTCATGAGCTCGGTCCTAGAAGATCTAGTTCTTACGATAATCTTATTGTCCATCTCATAGAAGCATGTTGTGCAGGTTGTGACGAAGTAAACCCTGGCTGCTCGTTTTTCGGTTTGAATCTTTCGCACGGAGAACGAAAAATACAACGAGCGCCCCCAACAACTCTCTATCGGCCAAGCAGGTCCGCGGTCTTGTCTTGCACAGGTATCGCGCGGAAAAGAAGGAGCATATCATTATATTCGTGATGCATAGAATAACACATGTAGTCAGCCGCCCCGGCTTGCATGCCAACATGAGGAGCATAGTGAAAGCAAGCTCTTCGAAAAGATACCAATCGGGTCATCATCCGTACCATTCGGTAATATTATATGCACCGGGAACGACATGATGATATGCACAATCATCTGCTTCTAGGCGATAAAAGACCGCATCATCTCATCCACCGTCCCCTCCAAATCCTCCACCGGCGAGTTCACGATAGCATTGGAAACTTTTTGGACTGTGTCCTGTGCCTCCTTTGCCACATCATCCACGTTCACCACGTCCACAAAAATCCCGCACAGTACGAGCTTCTTGTGATCTATCCCAGGAAAAAGAAAAGCTGCTCTCGTCCCCGACTTTTGCATATTCTTTCAGGTACACAAATTCCCGACGAGTGTAGCCAGCCGGAGTCTTCTGTGACCCATCCGTCATAAGCAAACAGAGTGAGAAGATGCTTTAGAAACAAGCTAACTTTGTTGCGTGTCCAGCATGCGAAAAATTTGAATCAAACAGAAAGCTTCGCAATACAAAGTGGAACTCAGTACTTCTGAGACACTGATTTTTTCCTGCGATATTATCCACCGCACTCTGGAGCTTGAAGCCGGTTGCTTGTCGCGCGGGTTTGAGGACAATTTCCGTTCCCGATTCGGAGATGCTCCCGTGCTCGATTTTTTCTTCGATGGGTGCACCGGCCGGGGTCGTTCCCTTGATAACGTAAAAGTCCGTCGAAGTGGACAGGATGTCCTCTACCCCAGCACCCGGATCTATTTTGCGGTTGAAGGGCTATCCAGCAAGAAAAAATTGTGTTAGTGTAACTCTTTTGGGAACAAGAAAAACAGCATGGCAAACCTGTCTGGCAGCACAGCATGCGCAGGTAGTGTGTGAAGAAAACGCGTATCATGAAACTTGCCTATAAAGTAGCATATCCAGCCTGACAAGTGTACTTAACCGTCTCGCATCGTCTGCAACGCAAAGTCACATCTACACAGCTTTTTTCTTCGATAAGAGCTTGAGCCTCTTGACCATCCTGGGCCCGCCCGCCATCGACAGCGTCCAAAACTCCACGCCATTCTCCCCGGTCTGCATGCAGGTATTGGCAGGCTCAGCAACGTCTGTAACCGGAGCCATCGTCAGCGGCATGGTCTTATCAGAGTGCAACAAGGAGCCCTCATATCTTTTATCTGATAAAAGATATGCTGTCTCTGCGTTCTTTGACTATGTATGACATACATAGTCAAAGAACGCAGAGACAGCATATCTTCAAGATGCGAATCATTTTGTCTTTTGATCAGGCATTCCGAAAAAAGCAGTGCCCTCGACTTGAGGAGTCTGTCGTAGGGTACAACTAGCTGTTTTGGAGAAGCATTTCAAACGTCTCTAAACACCACGACGGCGACCACTGGCAGGAGAAATCGCCTACCGAATGAGACATACTGAAGCCAATTTCTGCTTGCCTTGTTGCAAGATGAGATTGTGTACAACACCTCCAACGACGCATCACAACGAGTTTGATATAGGTACCTATGAGGCATCAACATCGTTTTTCGGTCTGATAGGTCGCGATGTAGTTATCCTGCGTAGACGAAGCAGTCGCGTTGAGCTCTACGGCGGGGTCGCGCAACCGAGATCCCAGCATCATGTAGAACTGGTAGCCAAACGCCCAATCGGTGGCGGGGTTGGTGGCGGTGTCCCACTCGCAGTTCGTGTAGAGGGTACAGCACTCCTCGGTCGAGTCTTTCACCTGCCCGTCTTCATAGTAGGCGGCCAGGTACAGCGAGAACGCGTCGCAGTCGCGCGCGATGCAGTCCTCCTCGCACTGCGCAAGACTGACCGTGGCCGCGGCGTCGGCGAGATCCGTGTCCTGGTTCGTCTCGTCGGGGGTACTACACATGCCGCGCCGTCCGAAGGCAGTCTGGCTCTTGCAGTACACGCCCGGCTCTTGCAGTTTTGACAAAATGCCTTCCGGTCGGATAGGACTTTGGCTCTGCTTCTCCGCTGTTGCCTTGTTCCTGTTTCGAATGCGCACCGCCTTATATCAAAATGAAAAATCCCCCCTCCCCATATTGAAGCGGAAACTTCTGTTGCTGGATTTGTGTACACAAATCAGCCCTGTCTTGCAGCGAGGCACTACAGGCACAGCCTCAGCGTGCGTAGGGGTGTTTTCTTGTAGGCGCTTGGCATGAGAGAGGCCTGCCATGTAGGTGAAACAGCATTACAAATCGCCTCCATAAGGCGGCGCATTCTTTGGGTTTGCCTTCTCGCAAGACAGAGGTGATTTGTGACCTCAAATCCGCAACACAAATTTTTGGAAACATACCTTTTCGATATGGGGAGGGGGGATCTTTCCTCTCAATACCTTACTTGTTCCGGTCATCACCCGTGAGGACGTTCGGCATCAACTGTAAAAGTGTCTGGGTCTGGAAGAATCCAACTTGTCATGCTGATTTTGGATTCTAAAAAAATCTGTATTGCATGAGCAGCAAAGAGAGTCCAAGTTTTGCTACACGGAAAGAGCATTTGTCATGCGGTATAGGCATCAGGAAGCCCTCACAAAATCTGTGATGCTAAGGCATGCATCACAGACATCAGGAGTCATGCAAAATGTGCATGACAAACCTGACAATCTTCCAGACCCAGACATTTTTACATTTGATATTCGGGCGCCTTTTGACGACTTCTGCTCCAGAAGAAACTTGGTTGAAGAGTACCCGTATGCTAAGCCTGCGAGGACCGTACTGCTGCAGCACAAGGCAGCCGCCCTTCGGCGCCGCACCACGGAAAAAGGCCCCATCATCCACCAATGATCTCCCAGTAGGTTCACGCAAATAATAAACACGAGATCTTCATGCACGACGGGACCGACAAAAATAATATAAACTTCGGATTTTGATTTTCTACAAATATGAAGTTGTACAGCGAATAATCAACATCCTTGTACTGACCTCGCTCGTCAAGCCACAGAGGCTGCAATTATCGCACCAGAGAGACTTTCATCATGTGCCACGTTTATAGGCTTCGGCATCAGAACCACAAGAATCACAACTACTGGTTCCGGTATGCACTCTCCACAACCTCTTCTCATGAATAAACGGCGCTCTGTACATCACCGTAGACTCAAAAACTACGCCCACCACGCCCTGGATTCGTACCTCTGCTCAAAGGAAGTAGTCAAGCAATGCTCATATAGAGCCACATAAGTGGCCCCAGAACTGGTTGTTCCGGTGTTCCCAACTCAATTTGCTCGAGTCTCGGGCGTTGTTCAGCAGATGAAGACGCAGGCATAGAGGTTCAAAACGACTTGGAACTACAACTACAAACTGGCAATTTTATAAAAACTGCATGTCCTAATAAATTTCGGTATCTTTGCGGTCAGTCACTGTCTCAATGTTTGATGTTTTAGAAACCATTGTACATCTCCGTCAGAGGCTACCGAAACTGGGTCGGTACCTGAGCTTGCGTGATTCTGATACTACACACAAATTGTTCCTTGAAAAAAGACCGTAGATTTTGCGGCTGAAGGTCGCCTAAAGCAGCGCTAGACCTAGCCCGAAAAGGCCACAGATTACATTCCGCAGGGTACTACTACAGGAAAAATAAATGCGCACGCGCGACGATATTCTACAAATTAAAAAAAACTTCGCAGCCGCTGCCGAGGCCGTCTCAGCCTGTCCCTGATGTTCTCGCTCCTTGTAAAGGAAAAAGTGCATTTTGATGATGAGGAGCCTCCGCACCAGAGGCCTTGAACTATCCTTTTCGAAATCATACAACATCAACAAGATACCCGCTACAAACAATTTTTAGTGGGAATTCCAAGCCGCGTGCTCGCTGTCTACCAACTGCAGTTCCTCTTGCAGCGGGCCAAACAATGTACCTAGGTAAACCATGAGGCACCACCTCCGCGAGTCTCCAACTTCCTCGCACGCCGTCAGCGCGTGAGCAAAGTGTGAAAGCGCGAATTGATGTCGGCGATCTTCGTCCGGATCTCATATCAAGTGCAAAAATGTCTGGGTCTGGAAAAGTGTAGACTTGTCATGCAGATTGTCCATGACCCATGAGGTCTGGAGTGCGGGACTTAGCATGACAGGCTCTGCGAGGTCTCCGCCATGCCTGTCCTGCATGAGAAACGCCCTCCCCACTTGGTCAAAAGTGGACAGCTTTTGGCACTCATGCAACACAGATTTTTGCATGTTTCAGATTTACCATGACAAGTTGCAATATTCCACACCCAGACATTTTTGCAATTCATATCTCATTTGGTTTTCCCAGCAGATTTTGATCCAATTCGTTCAGGTACTGGAACTCGTCCACGGTATATCGTGAGAAAAAAGTGTTACAGTTAGACACCCTGATGGGAGACAAGCAATACAGACAACCTCTGTCATGCAGGAAACGCTTGCCAACCTCATTTCATTCGTGTTTTCCTTTATAGTCTGCGCATCACAGGTTATCTTTGCCATGGGGAGCAACTTTGTGATGCAGAAACTCCAACAAATGTGTAACTGTAACACTTTTTTCTTGCGATACGGTATCCCGCGCCACCAGCAGGGGCTCAACCTGTGGGAGACACAGTACTCATCCAAAGTAATCATTCCCTCCGAAGTGATCACTTATGAATGTTTGTAGTTTCTTATGGAGGTGCTACAGAAACCCAGTCCTTGTCTATGTTGTTGCAGAGTCAGAAGGTGTTTCACTTTCTACATACTCACCGAGCTCATGTCCGTCACACAGAAAAGCTGCAGACGTAACCAACAATCTCGTACCACATCAACGTGCATGCCGCAGAGCGCTAGTTTTGCGCGCGATTTTGGTCGGCGTATGGACATTCCCGCCGCTCGGAGGGCCGGCTGCATCAGGATACGAGTTCCTCGGTTCGAGATCTCTGTTAGACGTTTCTTTTGCCCGACAGCTTTCCCAGCTGAGTCGAAAAAATGCAAATCCGCGTTGTTCAACTCCACTTGGAACTCTGGGTCCTGTTCAGAATTTTTTGACATCGCTGTCCCTGTTTAGCGGCAAGAGCACCATCACGAAAAAAAACTAGTACTTAGCTATCAAGTGCTGCATTTCGATTTTCGGAAACCACGAGAACCAGTTGTGAAATCAATAAACAAAAACACACATCTCCATCAATACGTCCTGATTGTAAAGTGTGATAGCCCGGACAAGCGATTCTGGGAAGGTCGCCCGCCAGAATTGCGGCCCTTCCCCCTTGTCAGTCGTCCGCGTGCAGCTACTGCTGATTCCCAGCGGATCAAACTTGGTCTTCGGGTGTTCCGCCAGCGCGTTCCGGGCGACCATCTGCAGCATGGTAGCGTTCACGATGTCCGTGAAATCCCACCGCTCCGCCGTACTCTGTGTCGCATCTATGAAGTGCAAAAATGTCTGGGTCCGGAAGAGTGTAGACGTGTCATGCAGATTTTCCATGACCCATGAGGTCTGGAATGCGGGACTTAGCATGACAGACTCTGCGAGGTCTCTGTCATGCCTATCCTGCATGAGAAACTCCCTTCCAACTTGGTCGAAAGTTTTCAGCTTTTGGCACTCATGCAACACAGATTTTTGCATGCTTCAGATTTACCATGAGAAGTTGCAATCTTCCAGACCCAGACATTTTTGCAATGCATAGCATCCACCTCGTCGCGATTGAGTCGCTTTCCCAGCAGTCGGTAGTACTGCTGGTCCTTGAGCTCACTGTCCCACACCCACTCCTCGTTGTACGGATCGTAGGTATATCCTGTGCATAAGTATCGTACTCGTTCTCGTATAAATGCCAGACTAACATGACAAATCTGGTTTCTTAGGTAATTTAGCATGACAAGTTCCATTCTTCATGCTGAGCTAATTTGTGATGCTAAAACAACCGCACCGACATTGCCATTGTCCAACATCACTGAGGAGGCAAGCCTCCGCAGGCGCTGGAACGGCATAGGCATGAGCTAATTTGTGATGCAATTTATACTAGTACGATGCTTTTGCAGTTCATAAGGTAGCGTTTTTTCGCTGATACATACAGCCGAAGTACAGCGTACAGCACCGATTCGCCGCTTTATTCACGATCCCGTCGTGGTTGTAGGCCCGCAGATCCAACGAAAACGCACTCGCGCTGTTCAGCAGGGCCGCCTCCTCGCAGGTCCGCGGCGACACCTTCGTGACGGTCGAGTCGCTGAGCGCCGTGCTGATCAACGTGGCATTGGAGGTGTCCGCGACCGCGCAAGGCCCGAGAAGCGCCTTGTACCCGAACGTGCGGCAATGATAGCCCTTAACAAGCTTTCGCGACATGTCAGCTTCATCCATACTTTGTGCGTCTTCGTCAGGATCGACATTGTTCCTTGCACTCTCTTGCAGGGAAGAAGAACCCTCGCGGACGCGGCCCATCCTGTTCTGGCTGCGCCAATTTTCATTCTCTTCCTCGACGCCACTCTCACTTTGTCCGGCAAGCTCGGCGCTGCTTCTTCGGTGAAGCAAAAACTCTTCTTGTCCAAACACGCTGCGATCGGTCGTTTCATGACTGCGACGCGCGGCTTGCTTTACGGCGGAGGAAGATTTATTTTCACGATGTTGCACTGCGTGATGGCCAACTTTGTGTCCTTGCACAGCGTTCCGCGCGAGCAGTGACGAGGCAGATGCATCTGCAACCGTGGATGCGAGTAGCAGGAAAGTCGTGGCACCACTGAGGCGACATCGACGGGTAGCTACAGGGCCGGACATAACTCCGAAGTCGCTCCGCTGCGTCAGAAAACTGTGGGCGGGAGGAATCCCAGCTGGAAGACCGTGCCGCACTTGTTCACGTGTCACTGTGACGCGGTCCTCTGTGCTCCGCGCTCCTAAACACTCGCGCCTGCTTCTTGCGCGGCACGTCACGAGGGCTTTCCCATGCGGACGAAGACGCGGAACCGCGAAAAACCAGTGCTCGCGGCACACATCCTCGTCCATATCAACAATGTGGTTCTTCTGCCATCATTCGTGGTCGCATTCGCAACACAGGATCAGGACAGGCAAAAAATATAAAAATAGTACAACAGGTGGCTGAAGACGAAAATGCACAGGGATATGATAAATCATGATACAGGTGCGCGCCCTCCTCCAACAACCTGACACACTTTGTGATTAAATCTCAACCTCGGGCGTGGCTAGTAGTGTGCTCGGCTCACTATATCGCTTTTCTCCCAGAACACACGAATGCCGCTCTACTGCATTGCGCTACCTACGCAAGAGCCTCGCCATTGACACGACAACGTTGGCATGGATACAAAAGACAGTACATTCTTATCCTATGTATGTATGACTGTGTATTTCAGTGTTGTCGGTAAGTACGTTCTGGTTCCGCGATGAAATACATGCCTAAAATGCGCCGAAAAACCCCTACCTCTGCACCAACAGACTTCTAATGTACATACAACGCTGAAAGTTCTCGCAGCGTCGATAAAATATTTGACATTTCTAGACAAGACCCTAGATACGAGACAACGTCAAATTAATCAATATTCCCGTGGTACTAATTTCTCTCTTTCTCGATACCACTACAAAATGTTTCAATTTCGGTGGAGCAGTTCGCGCAGACGCCGAAAGCGAAATAGCTCCTTCCAGAGGATGCTAGATTATATACAAGGGATTGTAAAAGACAGATAGCAGTGGACTATCAAAATAACTCATCGTAAAGGTAGTTTGCAACTTCAATGGAACTATTCGACATTCGATTTAGATTTTCGCCGTCTATATCACATGTTTTATATACACAAGTTCATCTGCCTTTGAAGACATTGATTGCCAACGCCTCTTGTTAGGGTTCCATCGTGGCCATCAGAGAGCTCCGACGTTGTTGCGCGACTTTTTGGAAAACGTCGTCGACGCTCTGCCTGCGGCCCTCGACGCTCTGCCGCCGCTGCGGGGGGCTGCTTGCCCCGACCTTGGCCATCTGTTGTGCGACGAACGCACTACTGGTCGGATCTCGTGGGGTGGTGCTCGCCGTGGTTGTCAGACTCTGGCGGCGCGCCTGCTGCTGCGGCTCCCCCGCCTTCCATGAGGTGGACCCGTGCGTGGTGACACTCGCCGTAGGAGCCGCCGTCGCAGCATAAACCCCGTTACCGCTCGGCGCCGCGGAAGGTTCAGTACGCTTGGGCTGGTGCTGCAGCAGCACTTCCGCGATAATCTTGTCGACCATATTGGTAGAGGGAACCAGCTTCGCCCCGGTCGCGGCGGCGGTGCTTTGCTCATGTGGCTGTTCCTCGCTCCCGTCTTCTTTCCGGGCTGACTGCGGTAACATGCTGGCGGCTGCGTCGTCATTTTTCACCTTTCTGGCCGAGTGCTGTTGTGCTCCGGCACCGGTGGTGGCGGATTTGTTGGTGAGGTTCACCCTCCGCGGGCTGGGGTGCTGTGGCCTGCCGGAGGAAGTGGCCGGACCGCCCTTCTTCACGGGTGTTGAGGGCACCGGCCCAGTCGTCGGGTTCTTACCGTGCCGGTCTTCAGACGTCGAAGGTGTCGTCGTACTCCCTGCGAGTTCCCCGTAGTTACGCGGCGCTGTCGAGGTGGAGGATCCGGGCCTATTGGACTGCAGCAGTGTGGGATAGGCTCCGTGCGCCGTCTGGGGTCGGCTCGGCAGACTGCTTTTGATGCCCGGCCCGCGCTGCGAGCCCTCGTTTATTTCGCGCGGCGAACTGCTCGGCTCGTCCCAGGCCGCCGGGGCGCCGCGCCAGTGCCGGGACGGCCGGCCTACAATGCCCAGGTCCACCGGTCCGCGATCGGCGCGCGGTGATGTTCCCGAAGATTTGTTTGCGGCTGTGGGACTCTGCTGCTGGTGGTGGTGTCGGTCCGCCGTCTGGTACGTTTTGCGGACGGATTTGTCGTTCAATAGCAGCAAGTGCATTCGCTCCAGCGGCAGCAGACGGTTTTGCTTCACTCGCAGGGCCAGGCTCCTGTTTTTCTCCGGGCTAGAGCTCCAGGCGGCGGTGCCCGGGTGGATCAGGGCGTGGAAGCACTTGGAGTTTTTCCCGTAGTGCCACGTGTCGATCGAGGATTTCGCGTTGGCAATGAGTCGATAGTGGTGCTGCATGTGGAGCAGATTCGTCATCTGGGTGTCCAAAGAATTCTTGTAGGAAAAGTTCTCCTGCGCGAGCTGCTTCGCGCGGAGGATCGTCTGATTCAGGTTGTCCTCCACGGACTGCTGAGGCGCGCTGCTCTGCAAGAGAAAGTAACTGTTCTCGCCCTCATCCTCGGAGGGTGAGAATAAACCGTTTTGCGTCGCTGCTCCACCCGGCGAGGGCGGCAGATGAATGCTGTGCGTTTTTTTATGGGTTTTCGATTCTAGCAGTACTCACTGTAATCGCAACAACACGTAGCGACTGACTTGCTCAGAACCTCGAGGCGCATACTCCAGGAGTCGTCCATCTAACGCAGAGATATGAAAAACAAGCTAGCCACACCTTGGAAAAAAAAACGCAAAATAAATACTGGTGTTGCTTCAAGAGTTAATAAGGCGTACTTACTTACCCCAATGCTGCTTTTATCAGGGTAGCAAATTCGGACTGGTGTAAAAAATTTCTGGACTTTGGCAGGGCATCCAGCCTATGCATTGCAAATGTGCCAGGGTCAGGGAAAAACATCTAGGTTTTTCATGCTCGAGCAAATAAATTCCGTCACGACTGTTAGAACCTTGTACAGACATGCTCAATGTAGAAACACATGCTGCATGAGGTGGACATTTTGAGCTTGCATGCAAAGCTAGTGCTGTGATTTGTAGCACGAGGTCGGTGAACAGTCGTCTCACCGAAAATTGAATCCATACAGATCTTGATGCAGCCTGTAGAATACAACGCTACATCAAATCTGTCAATTATAAGAGCAGCCCGTGAAAAGAACTAAATGCATCTCATTCATCCCTGATAGTGGCACTTCAGTTTGATACAGCATCTCGGGAATCAGGTCTCGGAGATTCGTCAGAACTTCAGACACGGAATACTGAGGACGCGGATTGCCGAACATTATCAAATTGAAATTGCCACCCGACAGCTCAGCAACCGTTAGACTCATCATGCACAATGACTGGGTACCTGGGTATTGCGCTAGTAGTCCCAGGAAGTAAAAAAAAAAATACGAAGTACTTCTAGAAGAAGATGAACAGACTTCATCATCCTTCTTGTACGGAGACACACAATGACGTTTTCGATTTGATAGGCAACTGCATAGTCTCGTCGAAGACGTCGGTGACTGCGTCGGCCGAAATTATTTCCTCTGCGATCTCAATCCCGGAAACCACTTCGCGTACATCAGCGATCGGGATCCGCTCCTTCTGCTCCTTGTCGAAGCCAAAAAACGCTTTGTGAATAAGCGCGTCCAGCTGCTCGATGGTTTCGTGCTGTAGTCCACCACTTACGGGGTGCTCGTGGTCGTCGGCACCGGCTCCACTCCTTGCCGCGGACGATAGTTGTCCACCCACTGCCGCCATTTTGTGAAACAACTTGCGCAACCCCTCAACGCGCTTCTCGGACAGGATCGATTGCCTCTTCGGCACTTGCTGTGAAGCTGAAGCTGCGTCCGGCGCAGAGTGCTGACACTCTACTTCGCGGCCGTTGTTCTGATGTTCTTGCGTTGCTGCGGAAAGGGGGTTGCTTGTCGCAGATGACAGCAGCGCTTTTACCTGGGCCAAGACCTGCACGTCCTCACACACCCGCAGTTCCGCCTGAAGCTGCGCACGCAGCGTCGCCGCCGCACGCATTCTCCTTTCTAGCAAGAAAGAACCAACGGGCTGCCGAATCACAGACTTACTGTAGTGGTACTGACTTATTTCTTCTGGGTTTACCTCCCTCAACAGGGACCACTAGTTCCTTACTGTTTTATTCTATCGCCGCAGCTACTATGTGTTGTATGGTGTGAAAGCGACACGTAGATTAGTAGATGCAACAAGCGGTAAAATTAGGGGGAGAGTTGGCTTTTCAAAAAACAAAGAAAGGTCACGTACATCAGTTTTTCTTCTCCGCTATCAACCTGAATTGTTTTCGAGACTCGTTTCGTTTCAGTTTCGCTTTCGATCATAGAGCAGGAAGAAAACTATTATCATGATCCGAGAGAGCAAAAAAAAAAAACCGAGAATGAAAAAAGTGGAGATGGGCAGAATACGAAATGTAGTAGTAGTAGTAATTCCCAACAGGGGGATCGAGACAAGTCCGCTCTCGATCCCACTAACTCTTTCGCACTAGAACTGCTTTCATCAATTTTTTCATCGGTGCTTTCCTCGTGTCCTTCTTGGTCTCCTTCGCTTTTGGCTTGCAGGCAGCTTCATGCGCCACCATGCGGCTGATTTTGATCGATTCGGCGTGGTTGTGAAGTCGCTCGGTCTTCTGGTCGTGGTTGAAAAGGATCTTGTACGTTTTGCACTTCCTACAGCGTAGGTACTCGCAGCCAGCCCGGTCCTTGTGAAGTGCGTCGCGCGGGATTATGTTCTTCCAGCCCTTTGCATCAGAGCCAAAGTAGTATCGCCCGGTCCACTGGTTCCACAGATGCTGCTCCGGTCTGTACTCGCCTACTGCTTCGCCATTGTTGTTCTTTTTGCGCCCAATTCGTATATAGCTATTGTCTCTATGATTTTGAGCATGCTTCTCCATGGCTCCGGCTGTCGAGCTGTACATTAACTCGCATTTTTTGCAGAATATCTTTTTTACGTTGGCCTGTGGGCCCCGCGCCATTTTGTCGCGCAGTATGTCGGAGTTTCTCTCGATAATTTCACGCCTCAACTCCGCGTCTTGTTCTGCATTAAACTGCGCTGACTTCCTGCAGATCTCTTGCTTTAAGGGAATGCTCGTGGGGGTGCGTTTGGGGTGATGCCCTTGCAAGTGGTCCCGAAGCTCCGGCGTCATGCCTTCTCTCGTTGTGCCCCAGCTCGTCATGCCTGTCACAATCTCTCCGCTCCATAAGCACTCTCCGCCCGCGGCCAAACTCTGCACGACTTCCGGCATTCCCATCGGGGGGCTGTACTCTATGTCCGCTGGCTGTGCGTCCGGATTTTCTTCAAGGACTCGCTTCACCATCTCCGCACGCGTCTCGGTTTCGCCTGGTGTTCCAAAGTATCTGACAGCGAGCTCCTCTTCGTACTCAGCCCGCTGCTGCTCGTCTCCACACGCCCAATCCTGTGCCGTTTCTCTTATGAGTGCCCACCGCGTCATCGAGTGAAAGAGTTTTTTGTTCACTGCATAAAGCGTTGTCCCCCCTGCAAGTCCTTCTGGTCGCCGCTGTTCTGTCTTCTTCCTATTCTCCGTCAACAGTTGGACCAGCTCCACCGGCATGTTGCAGCTGGTGGCGAGGTGGCTCAGCGACTCACCCAGGTACGATCCTATTCGCCGAAGCTTTGCGTCTACCTCCTTGAGGTCCTTCCTCAAATGAAAAAAATAACCTGGAAGTGAAAGAAAAACAAAGCAGTACCGAAAAAAAGAAAACACTAGCTCGACTGATGACAATCTGCGTTTCGGATCACTTTCGTTGCTCATTCTGCTGAAGAAACACACGGAAAAAGATAAAGTTCCGTACATAACCGTGGTGCAAAAAAAACAACCACTCGCTCGAGAACGCCATGAGAACTATCTTCCGCATTCACACTTGCAATGCTTGCAAGTTCGCCCACACCTCTATATGCAATTGATATTCCATCTTTTTTTTGCGCAGGAATAAGTGATATTGAAGGTTTTTTTACATTTTTGCTCCCCTCGTGTCGCCGCTTGTGTCGCTTTCCTGTGCCGTCGTTGCTTCCAGAAATGCAGCTGCCATCCTATGGCCCGCACTTCAGCTGCGACAATATTTTCGATTGAGTTCAAGCTCATGCAAAGCATTATCGTACAAGATCACTCCGTAAGAAAGTGAGTAACACGACATGTTCCACGCTGCAGTCGTAGAGTTTAGAACTTTTGCACAAAAGGGCCAGGGGCATCGCCATCGCCTGGCCCTGGTGCTGCTCTTGAGGTTGCATTGAATTGTACTGGAAACATCTTTTGATGTTGTGACAGGGTTTGGTCGAAACAGAGTTTGTCATTGTCGCAGCTGTACTGGGCATACATCTCTCGCCACTCCCGTTATCGGCTGAAAATATGTCTGCATCTGTGATGCTTTCCCTTTCCCTTTGTTGTGATCTTCATAAAATAGAAGTGGCATGGTCGCATGTGACATGGCACAAAAAAAAACATACGATGCCGGAAAGGTTGGTTTCTCAAGGTCTGTCGCTGTCTTGTACCACGGATAGAACCGCAAGTTAGAATGCAAGAAAACCCTGTATATTTTCCTTCTGCAGCATACATAAAAACCCAGCCAGGAAGGTCGCAGCACATGCGTTACGGATCTCCTTTCGCCGTGCCTTCTTATGCTGGTGTGTGACGCAGCTTCAGAAGCAGAACTACATCTACAAGGTTGCTGCATTATAAGTGGTTCGAGACGCAGACACATACAACGTGCGAAACGTACTTCTGCCGGTGAAACAAATTGCTGCAGCAGGAGCCCGATTCCCCGAAGGAGCACTGCCGTTCTCATGGGGAGATAAAGTTCGCCAGGGATCTCGCCGTTCTCCGGGTTCTGATTGTACTGCTTTCGCATGTTTGCGGAAAATTCCTGGATGGGCTTGCCGTCGGTCAGTTTGCTATCCAGTCCGCCGAATGCCGAGCGTGCCAGTTTCTCTAGAAAGACCCCGTCAGGGGATGTAGTTATTCGCTCCCCCGATGTACTATTCCCTTCTGTTATTTTTGCGTCGCGGCCGGCAGCCGCTTTACCAGGGTGCTCGCTCAGAGCTAGAGTTGGTGAGCTCTCAGCAGCCGAGCCGGAAGCCGGGGCGAACTTGTACTCATCACGGTATCCAGTGCAAACATGTAAGATTCTGTATAGTACTTCGGCCAATAACTGGACTTCATCGTCGATACTTGCAAGACCAGTTCTATGTTCGAGCTCCAGGAGGACGCAGACGGTTGTGACCTTATCTATGCGGCAGCTAATTTCTTCATGTGCGTCGAATTTTTTCGTGCGACCACTTGTGCACTTTCGCCAATGACCTTGACATCTTCATGTTTGCAAATGCATACGCGCATCACTCGTACAATTTCAGAACGGTCGTCGTCTGCAATTGCGAGCACCAGCTTGGCAAGTTTCCGGCGCTCCTCGACGGTCAAGCGTTTCGCCTGGCCGAAATCAATTAAGCCGAGCCGGCCGTCTGGCATAAGGAGAAAGTTTCCCGGATGCGGGTCTGCCTGGAAGAAGCCGTGGTGAAAGATCTGCTCCCCATGCACCTTGAGCAGAAGGTGCACCAATTTTTTTGCCCGGAGCACTAGTTGTGCACGCGCATCTTCGTGCTTCCGATTCTTTGGTGAAACCGCATCACGGCCGCTTGACACACCAGCTACACCCGGTCCGAACACCGCGAGAAATGGAAGCAACAACCAGCTTCTTAGTTGGTAGTAGAACACTTCTGCAGCGTGCGCCACAGAAAGAACGTAAGGTAGCAAATCGAGATTCCGTCCGAAGAACGAGACCAGCCATTCCCGAAAAAGTACAGGGCCGGCGCTCGTGCTGCCAGAGGTTCCTCCCTCTGGTGCGGTAGTAATGTCTGTCGACAAAGCAGAACCGCCAGGACGACCCGGCTGTCTCTCTGAGACGACATTGGCTGCCCTCCCAGGGCCGCTTGCGGAGCTGTTCTTGTTGCCAGTCATGCGCTCGTTGATGTGCGCCATGGTGAAAAATTCTGCATTCTGCTTCCCGAACAAACCCTCCTCCAGCTTCACACCCTCGAGTTCCTGCATGACCAGAACATTATCTGAGCAGAATTCCGGGTACACGTTCGGTACGGCCACGTGCTCCGGCGTAAAGTAGTTATTCGCAAAAGTAGGTCGCGGCCGAGCGTGGTCGCGACCGCCCTTATCTCCACTGCTCTTCCGTGAAGACGCGGCCACGGTAGAGTCGTGCATATTTCGCGTTCGCAGGTTGCGCTGCATCTCTTCGAGATTTCGCATTTCACCCAAGTAGTCAAATTCGAACATGAACTGCTTCTTCAACTCGGTGAACACTTGCCGCATCTGCGGCAAAACGAGTTGCACCACCGTGCGGATGCACTCGATGTCCACGCGGAACAGCAATTTAGCGTCGGGGTACTGAATCTTCAGCACAACCGGCGCGCCGCTGTTGAGCGTTGCCCGGTGCGCCTGTCCGATGCTCGCGGCCCCCAGACAGTCCGGGTCCAGGAACGCGATGGAATTCTGGGTTGCGCGCCGCAAGTCCTCCTCAATCTCCGCGACGGCCACTCCCTGGGGCAGCTCGTTCTGCAGCCGCCGGAACTTTTCGATGTAGGGCCCCGGCAGCAAGTCCGGCCGTGCAGACATGAACTGTCCCACCTTGATGTAGAAGCCCCGCAGTTCCAGTATCACCTGGTAGGCAACGCTGGCCCCGTGTTCGTGCAGCCGGTCCCACTGTCGCAGTTCTGCCTCCGTCTCCCCCGGTGCGGCCCACTTGCTCAAATACAGGTATTGCAGCAGTAGGGGACCCACCTTTTGCCAGAACCGCAGCCCGCGGAAAGGGCCCTTCAGCGTGAAATCGTGACTGTAGCTCGTGTAAGCTACATACGTCAGTAAGAAGACGGCTCCAAAAGCCCGTAGCGGCCGCCAAGATCGGCCTTTCGGAAGATTCGGTTTCGCTTCCGACGTGGTCTCCTCTTTGCTATTTGGATGCTTCTGCAATTGCGGTCCTGGCGCGATCGTGCCGTAAGTGCGGGCAAGAATTCTCTGCATCGATGATCTGCACACAGCAATTCTTGCTGTATCGCATCTCCGGTGCTGCTCCTGCCGCAGGATACCAACATGAAAACGTTGCCGGCAGTAGGAAGCCGGCAAAGCCGGTGTAATAGAACTGGAGGAGATCCACAACCCACACGAAGATCCAAAAAACCTGGCGCAGTCATTTTCCACAGCTTTCGCAGCTCGACTACCTCCGCGCGGACCCCAAATCTTCTTGCGCACGGAAGAAAAGCTTGGTGGCTCGCCAAGTGGACGAGCCCCGTGCAGCGGAAACATGTGCTCTAAACCACATCGGTAACGAAGGCCCTCCCTCGTCGATGCCATTAAAAATAGCAATCGGAATACAAGTAAATAATAAGTGCCAACAGCAAAAAGCAGAAAATAATGGATCTGGAAGTTCACGTACGAAATCCAATGTAAAATTAAAACAATACGAAAAAATAGTTCTAAGCACAATTCTACCGGCGCAAGGCCACGAGGAGAGAAGGAGCGCGACAGGAAGTAAAAATATGGATGCGCACTGCGGCTCTGCCTGAGTATGAAAGCTCTTAGTGAACGACTCAAACAATGTTCACGACAAATGACGCACTTGGTCTTTCAAATGTGCGTACCAAGTAGCTCCGATACGCAACCGAACGTAGGTCATGTCTCGTGTACGGTACAAGCGTCCGATCGATGCACTTTCAGTGCGCACCATAGATCAAGAAGCCACGTTCAACAAAGGGCGGCTTCCGGCTGGTCCGATCAACATCTACCTCGTGATTTCGTGTATTCTCCATCCGCGCCACCCAAAAAGAGGGGCTGTCAATTTACTTCGATCGCACAGAGTCTCTTGTGTCCCAAAAGCCATAATTTGAAGTCCCAAAAGCTGAAACAGACGCGAACAATACCAGAGTGCCACGTCACCAAAAAGCTGCAGGCAACACATCATGTCTCCGCTGCGCGACTGTCATCTCACTTTCGTTGTACAGTTGCAAAGGCACACTCATATGAACTATGCTTGCGGTCGATTAAACGCGAAAAGTAGGTTGTGTCGCAGGTGAAAGAAAAATTGGTGCGGACTTGTTTTTCCATCCGACGTCGAAGAGAGTCGCAGTATTCTAGTACTCCACATGACTGTTCCGTTCGGAAAAATCCGGAGCCTGTCACCCTACATCATCGACTTGCATGCTGTTATTCTCGTCGCTGTACACGCTGTTGCCGTCGTAGATGTCCATCGCACTTACACCCTGATCCTCGTCCTCGTCATCCTCGTCACCCGGCGGAGGCGCTGCAGCTGCTTTAGCCGGCACCGATCCGCTAGTAGTACCCAAATCAGGTTTACCTTTTTGTGCGAGCCCTCCAGCCTCTACTCTTATCGCTTTCTTCTTCTCATTTTCCTGGGGCGCACTGCCTTGGGGGGCAGCTAGAGGCACGGGGCCAGGTGTGGCGGGCTTGGGTATATGAGCATGATCTTCCTGCTCTGCTTGCTCGTCTTCATTTTCCATGTAGTCCAAAACATCCTGCTGGGCCTCCATTTCCTGCAAGTTGTGTTGTCGCTGCCGCTCCTCCTCCTCTGCCGCCTTCTTGCGCTCCAAGTCCTGTTTCCGCTCCAGCTCCGCCAACTCACGCGCAAACTCCGCCTCGGTCTGGTGCAGCCGCTGCTCCTCTTTCTGCTTCGCGACCAGGGAGCTAATGTCGTGCTTGGTCAGGTGGAACAAACCCGGATCGCCCACGCTGTGGGGGTCAATCCTGGCATCTTCCGCCGCGTCCTCAAAGTTCCGGAGAAACGGAACACTCTCCACGTGCAGCCGCAAAAAGTACTCCGCGGGAGTGGGTCCAGCTTCCACGACCTTCTTGCTGGAACTCTTTTTTTTCGGCGTGTCGGGCTCGTCGTCCTCGCTTGAGTCGTCGTCCGACCGATCGTGGTCTACACCGGCACTACTGGCTGCTTCGAAGAACTTGTCACCGCTCCGAGCGCGTTTGCGCTGGTGTACCAACCGCATCTGCTTGGTTGCCCGCTCCTTGGGCGACAGAGACAAATCCGTCAGCTCACGCTCGAACGCCCGGCGCTGCGCCTCGGTGGGCACCCACTCACGGTGACCCCGGAGAAACTCGCGGATCCGGACGGCCAGCGCCCTCTCGTTGTTAATATCGTGCGCTGCGTGGATGGTGCGGTTGCGGACAAACTTGAGAAACGCCTTCCAATTCGCGTCTGCTTGCAGCGTGGCTGCGTTCCCCACCACAAACAGCCCTCGGCGCGCCCGCGTCATGGCGACGTTCATTCGACGGGTGTCCCGGAGAAACCCGATCACCGGGTCGGTCCGCGTGGCCGCGTTGCTGCGGACCGTGCTGAGCAGGATCACCTCCTTCTCGCTGCCCTGGAACCCATCGACGGTTTTCACCTCCACCGGGCAGGGCTCGTGCGGCTGCAGACCGTAGAGGTCCCGAAACTTGCGTTTGAGCAAAGACACCTGGCGTTCGTACGGAGAAATCACGCCGCACCACTTGCGCCAGTCGTACTTGGGGTACAGTTGGACTAGCGTCTTGTACAGCAGCACAACAAAGTCCGCCTCCTTCTCGTTCACGATGGAATGCTTCTCCTCGGCCTCCGCCGAGAAGGTCAGGTTGAAGAAGGAGAGCGGCTTGAAGTAAGGAAGCTCCCAGAAGTCCGTGTCCCCAAAGTGCTCTTCGAACTGGACTTCGTCCCGAAAATTGCCCAGGCTGCCCTGGTAGAAGTGCCTGGAGGGGAAGGCGGCGATCCGGGGGTGCATGCGGTACTGCACGCTCAATCGCTCCACGGGGTACCCGTCCTCCGCTAGCCGCTGGAAAAGACTGCGGTCGTAGATCTTCTTCTTCGCGATACCCGAGAACACCGTGGCCGGAAGTTGGAGCGGATCCCCGACCAGCACGAGCCGCTTGCAGCCCGACTGCAGCGGAATCAGCGTGCTCAGCTCCACGCCCTGAGCCGCTTCGTCGATCACCACAGACTCGAAGGCGTACCCGAAGGTGGACACGTCGCGCGCGCCCGCGACGGAGCACGTGGCGCAAACCACGTTGGCCTCCAGCAGCAGCTGGCGCTTGATCAGGTCCAGTTCGGCTTTCTGGTTCTGCTGCGCACCCTGGTGGACGCCCTGCGCCTTCGCCCGCAGCGTGGCTTGGTGCTCCAACGAAAACTGCTGCAGCGAATCGTGCACCCCCGGACCCAGCCGAATCACGTTGGGCTTGTAGGTTTTGCCGTCCCGGCCGAAGATCCCCTCCGTGGTCAACCGCCGGACGATTTCGTCGATGGCCGCATTGGACGGCGCGCAGACAAGCACCTTCGAAAAGCTGGGACGCTCCTCTTCTGTCATCGCGGACATGGAAACCAGACACGACGCCGGAAGCTTGACGTAGTCCCGGATCAGCATACCGGCAGACACGTCATTCGCCTCGTCGTCCATCCACGGTACGAACGGGGTCTCTTGGTACATCCACGGCTGCTGACTTCGCATCCGCAACAGATTTTCAATTTGCCGTTTGTCCTTGTAATTACTATTTGTTCCTCCACCCAGGAGTTGTAGCTGCTGCTTGAATTTTTCCTCTTCCTGCTGCTGGCGCTGCTTCGCGCGACGGCGCAGGTACAGCGGCAGCTTCTCCTCCTCCGTGCTCACGTCGCCGCGATGCTGCTTCTTCACCTGCATACTGTTGATCAGGACGCTGATGATCCCAGAGATTGTGGTGCTCTTGCCGGTCCCCGGCGGCCCCTGGACCAGCGTGATGCCTTTCGCCTTGCGGCACGCCTGAATCGCGTGCAGTTGCGAGGCGTTGTACCTCTCCCGCAGCCGGTTCTCGAGGTCGTGGCTGATCTTCATCCGCACCTCGTCATTCGGGTCGGTGCTGCAGAGCTGACTCCAGTTCAGCAGGTAGGGCTTCAGGGGCATCTCGTCCAGGGCGTGCATGGCGATCCACTCGCGCCCGGACGTGGACAGGGACTCCACCTTGCTCACGTACCAGCCCTGCGCCTCCCGCTCCTGGAACGCGGCGGACTTGCGCGCCACCGCCTGCGCCAACCGCTTGCACCGGTCGTTATCCCGCCGCACGATGGTTCTCAGCGTGAGCCGCATCCCGTGCATGTTGTGCACCACGCACAGCGCGTGCACGCCGGTCCGGGTGTGCGCGTGCGCCTGGTCGGACAGGAGGACGATATCCCCCGTGCAGTACCGCAGCTGCGACTCGTCGTACTTCCGCGACAACTGCAGATACACGTCCGACCGGCGGTCCAGCTCGAGTCGCAGCCAAGGCTGCTCTCCGGTCGCCGGCGGGGGCGGCTTGACGAACTCGATCTGCGTCATATGCTCCATCTCCGAAATCATCGCGGCCTTGCCCCGCGCCAGGGTGGCCTTCAGCTCCTCCAGAAAAAGCGGCTCCATGTCTTCTCGGTACGCTTCCGCGGTGTCGTAAAAGTCGGACAGCCCCCGCAGCTCGGCCTCGCGGTCCGTGAACTTCTGCAGCCGCGCCCGGTCCTCGGCGGAGAGCTCCCGCAACCGCACCTCGCGCTCCTTCTCGCGCTTTTTACGCAAGAACTCCGTCTCGGAGGCAAAGTTCGCGCTGTCCAACTTTAATATTTCGTCCCCATTTGCAGGACGGTCGTGCACCGCGTCCGCTTCGCTCACCCCCTTGGTGTTCTTTGGCAGCCCCTCGTCCACGATATCGTCGTAAAAGTCGTACTCCGTGATGTGTGCCTGCATCTTCTCCAGTGCTGGAGGCACCCCGTCGCTGGAGGTACCGGCTGGGACTAGATTGTTTCTCCGCAGGGAGGAGGCGGACGACTGCGGCGCCTGCAATTTTTTGGTTTTATTCGCCACGTCTGCGCTCGCTCGAGCAGCTGCGGCTCCTGGTGCCCCAGTCGCATTACCGGCCGCACTTGGCGGCCGCTGCGATCCAGAAACCGCCATCGTTTCCAGCGCTAATATCGGTGTCGACCTAGGCGGAGCAGGAATTTACTTACTTGAATGTTGCGCTGGGATGATGAAACATTGTGAAAGAATATACCTACTTGGAGTTTGATTCCAAGCTTCTTACAAATGTCTGGCGATACTCAAAAATACTTCAGATGCACTAGCTGCAAATGAATGGAAATTGAAAGTATGTGTCGTGCAGAAGCTCGTGTATGAGAAACGGAATAAACCCGCCAAACCGAAAGAACAAATATCTCATAGTAACTTTGTCGTCGCTGCAGAGTCACAATTAGTAAGGCAAATTCTATGAAAGACGGAGACGGTCTCACTTGACCTGTTGTCTTTCTACTCCTGCAGTGCTAACGCTTGCGCGACCCACGTCGTTTCCGTGAGCACCATCCAAAAAATGTCGATCGACGACGAGATGAGATCTTCCGAGCTTTCTATTCTGGGGGCTGGCGACTTTTATTTCCGCTATGACCTTTTATGATCCGGATCGTCGAGGATCTGGTGCACCACCAGTATTTCAAACAAAAACGTGAACCACGGATCCTCTGAAGCGTTGGAACCACGGAACCTTTGATGAGGCCGTCTAGGAGGGCGGGCTGCACTCCTTTTATTTTTTGTTTCAGCGAATCATGATCGTTTTTGTTCCACGTGTAGAGAACTAGTGAACATGTTGCGCGAGATTTTTGATTTGGCTTGGTCGGCTTCTCGTTACTGTAAGATCAGCCTCATAGAACGTCAGTATTTGTCATCAGGCACAGCACACCTGGTGCATCGAGGTGCCGATTGTCGTTGTCCTCTGCGCAATTCGACATTTGCGTCAGATCATCAAGACGTCAAAACATTTACAATCTCTGCGTCTGCTTTGCGAATACGAAGCAAAACGGTTCAGGAGGTCCATATTCCTATTCCATTCTTGGAACAAATAAAGATATTATTGACAATGTCAATAATATCTTTATTTGTTCCACGAGCGCAAAATCTTCACTATGTTTGCACCGCGCACATGCATTCTTCTTCTGTTCAGCAGAAACACATCGTCTCGATACTTTTACTCCAAACCTCTTCTGGTAGGAATAGGGCGCGCAGCTACGGATAGGATACCAGTATGTCGTACAGCTACAAGAAAGTAGGTGTCCATATGCGGGCGTGGTGGATTAAACTCAATTTTTCACCTCGCACGGAGCATTTCGTGTCCAAAAATGCACTACCAAAACCAAACCATCTTCACGAGGCGCTGTCATAGTTTCATCGAGAATTATCTCCGCCTCTTTGGATGTTCTCGTCGCCGATGTTTGTGTGTATCACTACAATGTTGATGTTGCAAGTCCAAACCTGCTGAACTACAGAAGGGGGACTATTTTCCAAATAATCAGAGTAGTTTCCCGCACTCAAACACTGAGTGAAAGAAGTCCGGAATGCTACCCAGATTTACCTGGTCGTGTTAATAGGTATGTTTGCGCATCAAAAGTTACCATCGATCGCTAGATTTAGTCGCTCGCCAAGTACATCGATCTTCAGTGTCGCGATATTGAAGTTGTAGATGAAACTCAATACAGTTGTAGTAGAATCCTTCGCTTTCCTGAAGTGTTCTCGCCTCCAGGCACCAGCGGCACCGCCACTATTGACAACGGCGTGATGAAACTCAAGTCAGATTGGTACTCTGCCTAAACGAAAATATTTCGCGTTTGTCATGGGGCAGTGAAGACCTATACTTACAGAGTCCATAGCAGCGGAGAACAAGACCAACCTGAGATCTCAAGTTTTCGGAAGTCCAGATCCATTGCGAGTGTCGAGACTAAAGAATGATCGAGCTACAAAACCGCAGCGTTGGCATGCTTGACAGCAACAAACGGATCGAGCGCAAGAAGCCCAGCAGTTGCCCGCTGGGCGAGGAGCTGCTCGTTTCATCACAATAGACCCTCTTGCTCAACAACTAGACTGCTTCGCCTCATGGACCTCGGTGCAATAATTGGCCCTTTCGTCTGCACGCCGCCCGCGACCGTAGTCGCCAAGAACCAGGATTTGCTCATACGAGCGGCTCCTCGTCGCCTTTGAAGGCGTCGGCGATTTGCTTTGGTGTCGACTTCAGCTGGTAGACGAGAACGGAAATGGCGATGATCATTAGGAAGGCGTGGAAGACCATCTCCCCGATCTCCTTCCCCGTCGCTGGTTGCTGGGTGAGCTGGCGGCGTTTCCTCTGCAGCAGCTGGATGGCGATCATCGGAAACATCACCATCGACAGCACGCCCGGCACGGCCGCGGCCAGCCCCATCACCGCGCCCAATTTGCTCTCCTGGCACCCGAAGATGGCTGCAATACCAAAGGTGAACGCGACAACCGCGACGCGCACCAAGGCCTTGGTGAGAAAAGGCAACTCCTCGTACTCGTCCATGGGTCTTTCTTCTACCGCGACGTGCTCAGCCTCCTCGTCGCTGTCCTTTGCGTCTTGCTTCTTCGAGTTCTTCTGCGGCTTGCTGCCGGCCTTGCGCTTTCCGCAGGTGCTCTGGACAGCAATCTCGGCGTCGCGAATCGTGGGCCACACGGTGAGCGGGTACGAAATCACGAGCTTGACGGCCAAGAAAATCATCATGATGAAGCTCAACAGGGTGCCCTTTCCGATGTTGCTCCCTTCCCCAAGAAAGTACTTTTCGTTCTTGGTCAGGTAGAAATTGTATTTTTCGCCACCGATCTCGACGCCACTGATCTCTGTAATCTTCACAGCGTCCTGTTCAAGTTGTGTTCATCATGATAAAGTATTCTAAACCAACTTTTTGGTACTAGGTAGCGATCCCAAACAACCCTGACCTAATCTTCATTCTTTGGCCTAATCTTCTAAACAAAACAGCTGGTAGATGAATCTCGAAGGTATATAATTTGCAAGTATGTAGATACCGTCGGTGGTTGCGGGTCGAGACTGCCGGCTTCGCCCTGCTTACTCCATCGAACCTCGGTTTCGAACCACTTGAGGGCCTTGGAGATATTGCTGTTGGCCACCAGCAGATAGCGCTGGCCACCCGCTAAAAGCCCCGCGAAAACCACCATGGCGTAAACCAGCGCCGTCAAAATCGTCGCGATCAAAATCACCTGGCCCATCCGTTTCGGTTCCTCAAGGTCGGCCTGCAATGTAGTAGTTGTGCGGTTAAAAATTTTTAATCATGCGGAAAGGAACAATGTCAAGTTGCTACTACGAAAGCCTGCTCTGATATCATTCAATGAGATTTCATATTTCATCCCATTTTCAGTCGGACACAAACACTCTGGTAAAGTACCCGAACGTACGGCACCAACAAGGCAAAAGCGAAGCCGAATGCGCAGGCCGCGAGCGACTCCAAGACGCGTTCTGCACTGCCTAACGCGTTGCCAGCGTAATCCTGAAGCTGATAGACAACGGGTCCCTTGCTACCTTCCACACTGCTATACCGCGAGTCTTTTGCCCACAAGTAGAATTTCTCCTCCTCCGTGTTTTGCAATGCCTCCAGATTCATTTTCGCGTCCTTTACGGGGTACCACGTCGCCAGAGACTGTGGAAGTTGTTTTTTGAAAATGTGACACACGTAATTGATCTTCGTCCATTGGGGTAGCTGTGTCCCGTCGCACTATGCTGAAGGTCCGTTCTTCCAGCTAGTACAAGCCGGAAACTCAGGCGGGAGGTCGCGCACGCGGTCGTCCTGCTACTTGCATAGAGCCTAAACCCTAAATCTACATCTCTTCCATGACACTGAAAATAATGTACGAAATCGATGACTATGTATACCTGTCCCGGCGCGGGATTGGGGAGCCCGTGCTCGGTGTGGAGGATGAGAGGGGCAATCACAAAGACCAGGCAGATACCGATCGCGGCCCCAGTCCCAATGAAAGAAACACGTGCGATAATAGAAACGTCGGGAATCTGCACCAGGCACGCCATCAGCAAGGCAAAAACCACCGCTTCTGCCCACACCGCCTCTTTCGAACCCGCAAGATATTCGCTCCTGTCCCCCCGCATGAGTGCGACGTCTGTAAGTAGTAGTAGTGTTCAATTAGTTTTAGAAGTTCATAATTCGCTGATAAGAATACCACCCTCACAACAATGTCATATGCAGCCTGAACCAGATTCATTACATTGCATACACAAATGCGCCACGTCTGGTCTTGAATTTTTGATAGCATCTAGGATGAAACGCCAAGTAGACAAGCATCAGCTGTCTCTTACTTTGCAAAAGGTTCGCTACTGCGTCGCCCATGAGAAGAAGGAAGATCGCACACGCAAACAGCAAATAGAGACTTCCCAAGATGTATCGCGAGGAAAAATGCCCCCACCCCCCAAAGTTGCATAAATTTGTAATGCGAAGTTTCCAAATGAAAACTTTTTGTCATGCATGAAAGGAGTATGAATCTTTCTGCTGCAGAGTCTAGGCGTGTATCGCATCGCTTGCATGACAAGCGCCGCTCTTGCTGGGATCCTTTGCAATACAAATCTTTGCTATTCACGATCGGAAATCTGTGATGCTGCTAGATGCAAAAGGGCAAATGTTTCATTTGGAAAGGTTTGCAATACAAATGCTCCCATGTTCGGGGGTGGGGGCAGTTTTCACTGTAATAAGATGTTCACCGCGTACCGGGCCACTTTCCCCCACCGAATCTTGCTGCCCTCAAAACTGAAGGCGCGCTCCGCTACATCGCCCAACAGATAGATCCTGCGAATAGTTGGGAAAAGTTATGAATTTCGGTTGGAACCACACATAAGCAGATCCATATCATCTACATCTTCATCTTCTTCTTCTAGAGGCCCCTATATGAGTATTAGATCACGAAGAGAGGACTTCCGACAGCTACTTACAACGTTAATACTGTAGCCTCGGACTTAAGAAATATCATGCACCAAAGAATAAGACAGCAGCACCAAGTAGAAGGATCTAGAAGTATATAGAGCGGGGTAACAAATTAAGGTGATTTGTGGTCATCCCACTTTTCACCCGCCCGGCCGGGTGGGCGAAACGTGGGACAGAACCAGGATCATGACCGACTGACTGCCGGATCTTGCTTTTCTCCGTGCGCGTGCGCGTGGATCCGGCTCCGTCCCACTTTTCACCCACCCGGCCGGGCGGGTGAAAAGTGGGATGACCACAAATCACCTGAATTTGTTACCCCGCTCTAAGCAGTTGTTTCATAGTACTTTTTATCTTCTTCGACGATGGTGACAGATTCTCGGCCGTTAGCGTCTATGTGCGATCCGACTACGACAGAGACCCGCTCCCGCAGCTCGGGTTGGTTGAACCCGTCCACGACGGGCTTGCTCCCGAGGTAGGTGCGGGATTGGCGTCGGGATGCGGAGGTGGCCGCGGCACCCTCCTCGCCCCCCGCGCTGCCCTGCGACACCCGTGATGCCGACAAGCGGCTGCCGCGCCGCTCCTGGTACTTCGATTCTTCCTCGGCCGGCAGCAGCACGGTCTTGGCCTCCTGCAGCAGCTCCCGCCGACTCTTCTTGTTTTCCCCGAAGTTCTCGGGTTTCAGCTCCTCCTCCAGGTCGTCAAGCTCCTCGCACAGGTCGCAGGCCTTGGCCAGCGCCAGTGCCGGGATCGTGAACAGAAACCAACCCAGAACCAGACTCACACCCAGTCCCGCGATCAAACCGGACATGGCGACACCACCGGGCAAGGCAAAGATCCCCGCCCCGATCATGCTCGCCACCACCGAGGAGACGGCGGCCGCAATAGACAGTTTCCGACTCATGGCTGTGATGCTGTACAAGAAGTACGACGCTGTATTCTGATCAGGTGTTTTTAACGTCGGAAGCAAAAGCAGTTGTAGTGTATCTACCAGTTGATAACAACGGGTGCAGCTGGTGAGGCAATGAATAAAACGATGGCGATTGTTGTTCCAGCTGTACTTTACCGGAAAATACGAGTGTATATGCAGTTCAGTAATCACCGTCAAACTTTGAAAAGTCGCGCAATGTCAGAGTTAGCTTTTCAGGGTCGCATATCTAAATGAATTATGAAAATGCAACAGCGCGCGCGGCGCTATCAAAGAAAAAGAGTCCTATGTTCAAGCGGTCGCGAGAGTCCCTGCATTTATTCAAGTTCGATGGATTTTCAATGAATTGCGTTTGCGGTCCAAAAAAAATCACTGGCATGATGGATCTCGGCAACGAGGCCGTTTTGATCATGACCTTCTGGAGCAGACGACTTCCTCGATCTTCTGGCTTTTCTTCTTCTAAGTGTGACAATGCAGATCACGTGCATGATTTTGATTTTCATTTCGATCATTCAACCACATTCTTTTCAGAAAATTTCGATCCTTAACCGTGGTCACTTCTAGTTCGATAGTAAGAAATGGATCCTGCTAGCAGGTACTTACATATGAGCTGAACTTGTTGCGAACGATCCAGATTCGCCTGAACCTTCAGTGTTCATACCATTCCACAGAACCAAAAGGTAGCAGCAGATCTTCATCTTTTCAACATTTTGTATTGGTCACCACAGCTACGAAATGGAACTTTGTTTGTCGCCGGCAATAAAAACCATGCATTTACTTTTGCAGGAATGGCAACAGAATGCGGCCTTGATCTTCATTTTCAACTCAAGCCCACGAGCGACGAAAAGAAAAGACACGTCGCAACGCAAAGCCGGCTTCTGTGAAGTTGAACAGGACTGGAACTTCACAAAATGTATGCGCATCTATGACTCTGGGACGTAAAGCGCGCCAAGAATCCATCTGTCTTCTGTTGCTCGTCTGGTCAAAATTTCGTATGTGCTGTTCCTACTTTCATGGTCCCGACGGGTCCTGTCAGGCCCTGCAGCCTGACCGCGTCATACTTCTCGCAGAAGCTGCTTTTGCGCTTCAAAAAGGGAATGAAGTTTGAAGGTCGCGGGAGATGAAAAAAGAATTTCTACGCACATCTTAGAAATTGCAGGAGCGCAAGAGAATCCTCCAGATAAGAGACGGCAGAGGGATTGTCTAGGAGTCTCTAAGACTGCAGGACAAACCGCATCGACTTCAAGTTCAATCCTGAAGATCATCAAAGCAGATTGCAGTAAAACATACAGCGGTAGAAGCACCTCGTGTGAGTAAAACTCAGTATGTGTTCTGGACTACTTCTAAGTGCAGTGTTTCATATGTGTTCTCGAGTAGGTTCCGCGAAGAATTCCGCTCATTCGTCAGTCCTTGTAGGCGTCTGCGATTTGTCCCGGAGTGACGACGACCTGGTATACCAGCAGGATGAGAGCAACTCCGCTCAACACCGCATAGAGGACATAGAGGGCGATGTCGCGGCATGCAACTTTTGCGCCGGTGAGGCGGCGCATTTGCCCCTGCAGCATAGCCACCCCCAAGAACGGGAACATCACCATCGCCAGCATCCCGGGCACGTTAGCCGTGAGCCCCATCACCGCGCCGAGCTTTCCCGGCTGCGCCCCAAAGACGGCGGCGAGGAGGAACGTGAGAGTGACAACGGCGATGCGCGCAAAACACCGCTGTACGCAGTTGAGCGGCTCGTAGGTGTGGTCGTTGACGTTGTCCGCGTCCAGTTCCAGTCGCCGCACGGAGATACGCTCACTCGGCACAAGAACGGACTGACCCGACATGGGCACAGTTCCGGAGCCACCTCCCCGCATCGCCGCACTACCGCGCTGGCGAACGGTCGAGGACGACGGCACGGAAGCAGCAGTCACGGCACTTCCGACAAGAAGCGGCTGCACTTCGTCCTCCTGGAATTTCCGACGACGCCGACAGCACGCACAGGACTGCAGCATCTTCTCCGTGTCCTGCAGCACCGGCCACACAGTGAGCGGGTACGAAATGATCAACTTGATCCCGAGCAGGATCGACATAAAAAAGGCCAAGAGCGACGCCTTGCCGACGCTCCCACCGCCGAAGAAGTAGGGCTGGTTTCGTACCAAATAGAAGTCCACCGGTTCGTTGTTCACCGTCACCGTCTTCTTCGCGAGCACAAAGTCCTGCAGACCCGGGTCAGCCACCGGGGGCCACACCTCATGCCCGAGGGTCACGCCGTTCACCCACTCCACCCGCGTCTCCCACATTCGCAGTGACTCCATGACGCTGTCGCCCGCTAAGAGGTACTTCTGCCCAATACCCAAGAGGCCCGAGATCACCACCAGGACATACACTGTCACCACGACGGTATCATCTTGAAACACCCCCCCTCGGTCTTCCCAGAAGCACCAACTTACACTTACTGTTTACACTTTTCTTTGTTCTTTGAAGGTGCTACAACTACAACAGGAACAGGAGAGTTCCAAACTCAATAAACAAATGCATTGATTTTTCCTGTTGCGCTCCTTGCGGGGACTGTTTTCAATGTGATACACCGTCGTGCTGATCCACACCACACGTACCATCTTCCGTGGCTCCTCCATGTCCGCCTGTTTCGTTGATTTTTCCTCCTTACTGCACTTTACAATTTTTTTCTACTTCCAATTGTCGCATCAAGACACGACCTGTATTTTCTCTCGAAAAACCACCAACCCTTGATGGCTTAGGGTTTTTTGTCTCGTCGCAGATTAGAACTACTAGATAGAAGCAGTGTGTACTACAGCAAAAAAGCATGCGTAATAAATAAGACGTCATGATCATAGAACTAATACACGATTGCCGAAATTCTTACCCGAAGATACGGCACGAGCAGTGCGAAAGCAAACCCGAAAGAGGCGCTCCCGAGCGATTCCAGCACGCGCGAGAAATTTTCGAGCGCGGACTGGTACCCTGACAGCTGGTAGACGCTGGGCCCCGTGGTTCCGTCCCACATGTAGAAGAGCTGGAAGTGTGTCCCTTCCTGGTCGGCGTCCAGACCGTCCGCGGTTACCAATTCTACCGGGTTCACCTGCTGGGGCCAGACCGAGGCTACGACGGGCTTTGGTAAGGAGTGGTCGCCGGAGCCCACGTGCAGTAGGATCGGCGACACGATGAACAGCAACGCGATCAGGAGCGCCGCAGTGGTGCCGATGAAACTAACGCGCGCGATGACGGAGACGTCCGGGATCTGCACGAGGAGCATCATGAAACACATGAACACAATCGCTTCGGCCCAGACCGCCTTGTTCACGCGCTCGGAATAGGCCTCGGTATCTCCCGCGAGCGTCCGCCCAGACATGTACACTTCCTGCACCGCATTACCCATCAGCAGCAGGAAAATTGAGCATGCGAACAGAAGGTACAGACTCGCCAAAATGTTCAAAGTATTACGTGCGCACCGCCCGCACGTTGTTCCCTCTCCGAACACCTTCTCGCCGATATCTCCAAGCAGGTAGATCCTGTTGTTTTTCATTTTCCGGAAAAAACTTCTGGCGCTGGTGCTGAGTGGTGCACTCTTGTTTGCTGGTACGAATGTTGCCCTGCTTCTGCTCAATGGAAATTACACTCTTTTGAAGTGTGGAACTTGATTTGATACCATACAACGTTATTGCACCAGTATATTTTCGAAACGCGGCACAGCTTCTAAATACAGCAAAAGGCCGAAAACTGAATCAATGGCCATGCATGAAATTAATTCATTGCACGGATCTCGATCAATAGAAATTGCTATACTTCTTTCCCTCTTCCACGACGACCATGGAAGGCCTTCCCGTCTCTGCGTCCCGCTGCAAGTGAATGCGCTGCTCCACAACCGTTCCCTGCATGACAAGAGCATCCACGATCGGTTTGGACGCGAGGTAGGTTCGGCCATCTTCAGTAACTTCCACCTCTGGCTCTTGATCGCCCGTCTGACTTGTCCGGGACCCCCCGAGCTTGGGCGTAGCAGCTCCGCTGCGCAGGGAGCTGTAGTCGCTGCCGCGAGAATTTAGGGAGGGAATTGCCCCGTCTCCTGCGGATGATGGGGCCGAACCCGCTGCGCGGAGGGCGTCGATATCCTCGCAGAGATCGCAACACATGGCAAGGGCCACGGCAGAAAGGGTGAAAAGCAACCAACCCATCCCCATGGAGATCAATATCCCGTCCAGCAGGCCGGACTTTGCAAATCCCTGCGGCAGCGCAAAAATACCCGCACCAATCATACTCGCGATGACGGACGACACCGCCTGCTTTACCGAAATTTTTCCCGGCATGATGGGCAGCCTGATTAGAAGTGTACGGGGGACGCGAAGATCACCTTTCCCACCCTGTCAGTTGCGCCACAAGGGCGCGCCGCGATGCAGAGTGAGAGTTGGTGTGAGGTGGAGTGGCTGGTGCCCGATTTTTAGGTATGAGAGTTGAAAGTCCGAAAAGTGTCACGTCCGGTTAACGGGATAGGTATTTTTCAATTTTTTTTTTGAATGACTTGTTGTATACGCAAAGCGCAAATTTGAATGAAATCAGGGCAAGTTTGAAGATGGCTGTGAACAGCGGAGTAAAAGTTAACTTTGTTGCCGGAGTAATTGATAAACTCGACGAAGCGGTAAACAAATAGAGCCGACAAAGGTTGTACTACTATTTTTTATGCGTATTTTTGAAGAGGTAGAGGGCACAATTCAAACGCGCTTTATTGAAAGATGCCGCCAATTCTATTTGTTTTTGCACCGGCTAAAGCTGTCGTAAGATTGAGTGTTACTAGATGCTGTACTTTCTCCCGGCGTGACAAGCAAAAAAATCCAGCAATTTTCAACATGCCAATGCCATTGCAAGAAGAGCTTTAGAAGATCATTTACAGATAAAGGAGCCGACAAATCGCGACAACACTGTACCGACCAGAGCCGCGCTCTATTAAATGCGAAAACTACTGCCTACCGATTCATCATGGCGAAAAAATCAGAAGATCGCATGAGTTCTTCCGAGGAATTTTAGCATGGACCGATTCACAAGGATCTGTAATCGGTCATTTCAACGTGCTTCGTCTGACCGAAAGTACTGATTTAGACAGAGGCTCGATCTTGTCAATCAAGTTTCTTTTGCATTAGCCAACTTCTAGCAAGAGAGGCAAGGCATGCAGTTGTATCAGTCGTCACTAGAAACGGCGACGCCATGATCAACTCGACATCGTCGTGCAGACACGGTGCCAACTTTCGGTAACGCCACAAACAAAGTAAGAACGCGCAGTTCTTATGAAAAGGATTTAGTTCTAGTTTCAGTGTGTTTCTTTCATTAATACTACAGCGTTGTCACCTCTCCTTTGCAAGAAATATGTAAAGCGATGTTGCCATTGCGATTCATCTTCACGTTTTCTGGAAATAACTCGGAGGGAGCTTGTGTGTCGCTGACCCGGCGCGCAGGCCAGGCAGCACGGGGTTGTAAGAGAATCTTTGCGATGACTCTGCAGTGACGAATCCCGGCGGCTTTGGAACCTGTGAGTCGTCGACTCTGTTGTTCGGCTGCACTGCTGCAGCTTTTACGTTCCAAGCCGCACTAGGCGCTGGTGGAGCCAGTGAAACTACACCGCGAGGCATGTAATTCCCGAGTCCGGGTGCTATCCCATTTGGGACGATTAGCGGCGTCGAGTTAATGGCACCCTGGGGCAGGGTCCGGAAAACCTGTACCGCGGGCGCCGTGGTGGCAAGTTTTGGCGCCCCGGCCAGGCTGCGCTGCTGTGCCACAGAAGACACTGAAGACGCGACAGTGAGGCGCAGGCCTTCGTCTTCCGGGCGTATCGTTTGTGGCTCTGGAGGCGATGCAGCCGACTTGGACGACCCTGGGGCTTTAAGATCGCGCACGGAGGGTGGAACAAGATTGTCGACTCTCGCGCGGTCGGGAGGCGGATGCGCTTCCTCCTCTTTCGGGGGTGCAGAGGATGATACTGCTATGTCTCCGACACTGCTGCCGTGCTGCTGGCGCATCACTCCACTCACATTTGCTCGTCCCCCGAAAAATGCATTGGAGTTTTCCGGTAGTACGGCAGTTCTCTGTGCGTTGGCCCAGACAGTCCTCGCTTGCGGCGCAAGTGGCGCCGGCGACCAAGGAGACATGGCACAAAATCCCGGACTGGAAGGAAACGGTGTCGCGGTGGTCGCGTAATAATACGCGTAGCTAGCACTGCTATCGGGTGCCACCGGTTGTGCTCTGCCGGGAGCGGAAGGCCCTCCTGCTCGTGCGTGCGGTTGATAAACCACCGCCCCGCCTTGGCGTGGAAAATTACTATGAACGCCGCCAGAGTAGACGCCGGGCCCGGCTTTGGCTGCCTCTGCAGCGGGGCTGCTCATGCTATCCGCGGTCTTCGCCGCGGCCGGAGAAGCTGTGACCACGCCACTGCTCAAAGGTGAGCTCACTGCCGGCTGCACATGCGTGAATCGCGAAAGCTGCGAGGGGGCCGCGGGGGAACAAGCGTGTGTGACAGAATTACCACTGCCATGATCATGGAACGCCTCTTGCACACTGACATTTGCGTGAACAAGTGGACCCTCGTGGCTGGTAGTGATCAATTCTTTATCCCTTTGTTCCATCGCGAACGGAGGTGGATGTATCAAATGTAAAAATGTCTGGGTCTGGAAGATTGCCAGGTTTGTCATGCACATTTTGCATGACTCTTGATGTCTGTGATGCATGCCCTAGCATCACAGATTTTGTGAGGGCTTCCTGATGCCTACATCGCATGGCAAATGCTCTTTCCGTGTAGCAACACTTGGACTCTCTTTGCTGCTCATGCAATACAGATTTTTTTAGAATCCAAAATCAGCATGACAAGTTGGATTCTTCCAGACCCAGACATTTTTACAGTTGATAGGATGTGCATCCTCGCCAAAGACCGGCGACGATTTTCTCATCGCACCATCTTCCAGAAGAACGCTTATCAAATGTAAAAATGTCTGGGTCTGGAAGATTAGAACTTGTCATGCTAAATCTAAATGATGCAAAAATCAGTGTTGCGTGAGTGCCAAAAGCTGTCCGCTTTTGACCAAGTTGAGAGGGAGTTTCTCATGCAGGAAAGGCATGATAGAGACCTCAAAGAATCTGTCATGCTGGGTCTCGCATTCCAGACCTCATGGGTCATGGAAAACCTGCATCACAAATCTTGCATTCTTCCAGACCCAGACATTTTTACAGTTGATAACGCTCGAAGCGAAATAAGTCTCCGGTTGGAGGTGGTCCACCTGCGGATCCCGGTAATAAACGACAGGACTTGATTTCAGTGGTGCCGCTGGCTGCAAATCTTGGACAGGTTCTGCAACCTCCGTCAAAACCGACGGCGGTGGATCTGGTTTCGTTTTTGTCGAAGTCGCCAACAACTCAGGTTGGCACTAGATTCTGAATCATGTGAAGCACACTTCTTTGAAGAAAGGGAGTGAATCTTAGAAAGTTCGGCCACTTGTTTCAGACTTAAGCTCACTTCTCTAGATGACAATTACAACAATGCGAATTGCCCAAACCTCCACTGAGGTCGTGTTGTGGAAGCTCCGACGCCCGCATTCTTTCCGGCGGGTGTTCACCTTCTGTGATTTTGTCGTCTGCGGGCGAGGCCCCGAGTGGTCGTCTAGCAGTCGTGCCCACTTGCGCCGTGGGTTCGCCGGGTGATTCTCGTGCCGCCCTGTTCGTCGTGCCGTCCGAGGATGTGGGAGATAGGACCGCAAGTTCCTCTTCAATTTCGGCCTTGCGCTGCGCATACTGCGCGTCCAACGTCTCGCGCTTCTGCTGCATCTCGGCTGTCACCCGCCCCCAAACGCGCTTGGTGCTCTTGTGCACCAAATCGGCTACGATCACCTGTACGTACATAATTTTTGTGAAACTCCTTGATTTGACCTGCAACTCTATCTAGAAACCTTTTCTCGTTCTCTTGTAGTTTATTTTTAGATGGAGACTGGTATCTATCGTTCACAATCGCCAATGCACCGAGTGTTTTGTGTGTACTAGCCAACACTTGCTCGCTTGCGTGCGCCGGCTACCTCGTGAGCGTGACACGTAGTACGTTGTCCTCCCTTGTACAACCCGTACATGATAATCTTCATGATAGATCTCCCCCCGAATCACACACTTGCTGTAGCAGTCAGATTGATACCTGCTGTGCGTGCATTTGCTCTGCCGTACTCCCGGCGAGTTGCGCGGACCGACCCCCCGTGGTGGTGGATTCGCAGTCTGAAGATTGACTGTTCTGGCCGAGGAGCACGTTTTGAATTTTATCGCGCAAGTAGCTGTGGCCGTCCTCGGATTGGAGGAAACTGAGCACCCGCTCAGTTTCCTCCTTTTCGATATTGGACTTTAGCCGATCGAACTCGCCGTCAAGATGGCGACTAGCGTCCTTGTAGTCACCCTCCAGCTTCTCGAGCTGTTGCTGCGCGCGCGCTTCCCGGGACGGCAACAGCTGCTGCCGCGACGTCTCTCGTCGGAAAGGAACCGTGGTGGAGAACGACCCGCTGCTTCTTTGCTGCCAATCCTGGAGGAAGCAGTTGTTTGTCCGCCGGGTGGACGAACTTCGACTCCGGGCGCGGGATCCGAGGTGCTTGATGTGTGAGTAGGTGGAGGAAGATGCGGCAGAAAAGGCCCCGAACGGCGGAAGACCACCGGCGGCAGTTTTCACACTGCTCGACGTCATACTGCGCACGGAAAGCTGCTCCTGGTGGTCCCCGACGCTGCTTGTCTGCTCCCGCTCCAAGTAAGACCAGGGCTTGTTTTTGGGCGGCTTTTCCAGGTTCGGGCGAAACGTGCAGTGCCTTTCGTACTCCTCGCGCGCCAGCAGCTCCTTCTCGCGCAGTCGCTGTTGCACCAACAGCTGCTTCTCGCGCACGAAACTCGCCTCCCGCTCCAAAAACGCGGCGCGCGCTTGCTCCGCCTGCAATTTGGTCGCGCCTCTCGCTCCCCCGGCAAGGTCGCGATGATCTGGCGCGACTTTGCCACTCCGCAGCTTCTCCTTCTCGAGCCGCAGCTCCCGCTGCTCCTGCTCCAAGCGAAGCTGCTGTGCGTGCGCAAGACGGTGCTTCTTGCGCATCGCCTCCTCATGCAAGTCCTCAAACAAATGAGCGCGACGTGGGGTATGAACTGCACTCTGGTCCCGCATGCTGTCCCGGCTTGCGCTTCTCTTCATTTGTGCTGCTGGTGCCCGAGACTCCTCTTCGTACGCAGATACCACATCTTCAATCAGCGTGCGACGGCTCCTTCGCCGGTGTAGTGAATGCGGCTCGAGGACGTCCTTGCTCGAAGATGCTGTGGCACTCCGCACCGGTCCTCCCGCATGAAGTCTCTGCGGGTCCCGTTTGTGCACCGACGAGGAAGCAGGATCTAAACCGCGCCGACTGCTCGACGGCGACACCGACCGACTAGCAACCCGGGGCTTCGTTTTTCGCTTCCACGCAAATGTCGGGACTTCGAACCTCCGCACGCGCCCGCGACACTCCGGGGAAAACTGAGACATCACGCCGCCACGACAACAAGTGACAAAAAACTAAACGAGGAGCTGCGTCAAGTCTTCTGGCGTGCGCCTCGCGATGCTATCACTGTTTCAATGCAGCTTCTATGGCAGTGTTTCCTTTCTTTCATCAAATTAAAACTCGGTGTCTAATCTTCCCACGGGGAAATACGATCGAGAGGACAGCGAAAAAAAAAGTCGTCAACTTTACTTTCATACAATCGCAATACGGTGCCGAAGCTGGCAAATTTGAATTTGCACGTGCAGCTACAGCCTGCATGGTCTCAGAAAAAAATGCCTCAATCAGACGCTCCTAAACAATTTTTGTACGTTTACTCATGCTGCTCTCGTTGTAGGCTAGCTAAACGAATGAGCGACGGGAACAGAGGTAACTAATGGCCATGCATTTCCAACTCCAAACGAGAAGATTAAGAAATGACCCGATTCTGACCTGGGTACAGGTACCAATCAATACGCGTCAACGTGTTCTTCCGTTTACAAGGCTTGACAAGTTTTAGTCAGAGAGTCGTGATGTACAGTGTGGAAATAGAGAAGATAGAGAAACTGAAACCGGAATAAATTATACAATGAATAATACATCTACAGGTGATTTAATTTTGCGCAGTGCAAGGACGTACAAAGATAGAAACATAAAGGTACTACGTGAATCAATTTTGAGGTACAGCAGGGATTCTTTCTCGAGGAAAAACTGCTCCTGATGACATGAATTCTACAAAATAAAAATTGTAATTTGACGTATCTATACACGTGTTTTGGCTCTTTACCAGCAGGTGGGGAGTCACCGCCACTTCCAGCCAGAAGAAGAAATAACCTAGTATCGCATACATACAAACGCGCTCGGTGCTCGTCTACACCATGTTGAAAGCCACGTGATCGCCCCCGTCTTGTGCGGACCACGCGAGCGCCTGATCCGCAGTAGAGTCGCAGTTGTATTGCGGAGAACAAGACCCGTGTGCGGCCGCCTTGTCCCGGTTGCAGAAGTTGCGGATTGTAGTAGTTGTAGTTTGGAATGCCGAGCCTGACGGGAAGATGCGAAAGTCGACGGCTTGGTCTTGTTCTTTCTGCAGTAGCTTGGCTTCGAGTGCCTGAATTTGATGCTCGAGTTTCTGTTCGTACTTGGGTCCCCCGCCGTTTTTCAGACACAAAACCCTCATCACCCACCGGTTCCAGCAGTCGACAGCGACCACTGTGTATGCCCGCGGACACAGCAGGATGGCGAAAAGCGCCACTGCCGCCAGGAAGCCGACGAAAATCAGGAGGAATGTCCAAAGCTGCGTCGGAGCCTGCAAGGACTGGAGGGGCGCAGCCACCGGCCGGGAGATGATTTTTGCCGACTGTATATGCCGGGCTGCAGAAGTAGACTCTTCGACATGGTGCGCAGCAGACGTTTGGTTGCGCAAAGTGCGACTTTTTGCTGGTGCAGTTCCATTCGACTCGGAAAAAGACGCCACAGGACGGTCTCGCAGTTCGCGCTCCATGCTATTGGCGGTGATCTTCTTCAATTTGCTCGGCCGATGCAACTTGGACGGGCGCAGCGTATCCCGGATGAAGTAGTTGCTCATCAGCTCCAGGTCCTTATCGCTGTCACCAGATTCGTCCACGATTAAATGCTGTTCGGTTTCATAGGTGTCCGGCAACCGCACTGGCAGTGCACTGGCCACCGAGACATGGGCCGTGTCTGTTGCATTCGGGACTGAGCTTCCTGCAACCGACACAGAGTTCGGTCGTTCACGAATGGTATCCTCGTGCGGCGACGGCACAGCCTGGAAAGAATTTTCTGGATGAGTCGAAGACGGAACGGAGGTAATATTGTGCGTCGTTGTTCCCGCGATCCCGTGCGGAAGCTCCTGCGACTGCAGCGCCACCACAAATTTTCCCTTGGTTGCTAGGGACAAAAGAAATCGGATAACTCCGTGCATTTTATCTTCTGACTGTTCTCTTCTTGGGCTCAAAGAAAGCTAGTAAGTAGTTGTCTGTGGCTGTGCTGCGCTTCAGCTTTTTCTTCTATATGAAAAACCCTCCTGGATGAGAATCAAACTACCAAAGCACCGTCCACGTTGCCATAGTGTTACTAAAATGTAGGGCGCTGTATTGTCGACGAAGACCAACCGAGTCAGAACAACGACCAAGCGAGATGTCAGCGAAAAAGCGAAATAAATCGACCTCGAATAGCGATTTTCATTCTACATGGGAAAATTGACGATCGATGCTGCCACAACTCAAATCAGCTACGATATTGGCACGGTGCTTTCGTCACTTCGAGTTACTTAGTTGCAAAGCACAACCGGCAATGCCGCGCAGCTAAACTTCATGATATAATGACCCGGACCAGTGACTATTATGTCCTGCGAGGCACCAATCCACGCCGTGGAACAAAATCAGAGCAGCGAGTTGACGTGACTGATGTCAAGGGCCCGAAGCAGCCGTGCCACCTCTGACCATGAATCCTTACACTGTGTAGACATGCGCCCCTCTGCGGCACACATCCACCATGCTTTTTACCTAAATCGGCCAGCGGGGGAGCATCATCTGCATATGACGTTGACCCACCGCCTACCGGTATTAATTTCATGTTTTGAAAGTGAGTGATGCCCTTTCAGATGGGGAATCCTTTTCCGTTTACCGGCGCAATGCTTGCGTTAAAGGTGTGCGGCAGCTCCTTTGCAAGTTGCGCCTGGACGCCGGGAAGCGCCGCCATCTGCAGCCGGTACTTCTGCAACGGCGGGTACTTTTCCCCATGCTGATTTTCCAAAAGCCAATTGAACCGTTCTAGCAATTCTAGGAAAAAAAAGTCCACCCACTTGATGTTTTCGCCCATCAAGAAGCTAGATCCTGACAGCGCTAACTTCTTTTCTACGTAACTGCACAGCTTCTCGAAACCGGGCGTGCAAGCACTGAGCACCGTCTCTTTGGTAGCCCCGCTACCGTAGCAGGTCAACAAGCTTTTGTTCTTCACCTCTTCCGGAATGCCCCACATCTCATGCAGCTTTGCCGTCTCTTCGGGCGAGTCTCCCAGCAGTGCCGGTGCGAACTTCGCGGCGAAGTACTGGTGGATCGCTTGCGTCTCCGAAAATTGTAGTTTTGGCCCGTCACCAGTCTGCACGACCAAATAAGGCAAGTTGGGGAAGTCCATACCTGTCAAACGAAAGCAAGGCAACTTCACAAAGTATGTGCTCGTTCTGCTCTGCCAGCTCTGGCGATTTATGTTGCATATATGTAAATATGGGAAAAATATTTAACTGCGGCTTCACGTTGAACCACTCCTCGACCTTATCCCCGTCGTATGAGATGAACTCATACTCTGTTTTGGTATACGCCAGCTGATACCGCAAGTTGGACCCGAGCGAACGGAGGCCGCTCCAGTAACCCAGCTGGATCGTCGGCGACGAATCTGTTCCAGCCATGGTGTAAAAACGTTTCAAAGGAACGTCCCTGCAGAAGACCCGGAAAACTTCTTGTCTCTGCGGGCAAAATTTTAAATTTTTCCAACCTTATATTATCGGCATCATACAATCTTGCTTCTCCGCACAACGAAGAAAGTTGCGAACGCTTGTCTGAACGCCGAATATGCGCAACGACGTGCTCGTGCACAAAACTTAGAGCCGTATGGTACTCAGAAGCACCTGAACACAATGGGATGACTTCAGTGGGACTTGTTGCTGGCATGGACTTGACGCACTCAGGCAGAGGTTTCGTTTGAATTTTTTATCACGGCCTATCCTTTTTCAGAACGAGATCATGATAAGAACGAGTAGTTGTCGCTGAGAAAGTGTGTGAACGAAAAAAAGTCCCAAGTCCAGGAACTTTTTCTACGCTCTGTCGCTGACCTGTTCATCTGTGCAACCAGCTGTAGGAAATCAATGCGCTTCGTGGTTAAATACTCGCAATTCAACTCGTCCTCCAATCGCAACAGGAGATCAAAAAGTGTAAGATGTCTGCCGATCTCTTCTGCCTTTTGTACATCGGTATGCTTCTCCTTAATCCGCGGCCGGAAATGCACTTCTTTTGTTTCTTCAGCTGTAGAAACTGAGCCGCAGCTGCTCCGTGTGCTTTCGTCCGAGGCGGCTGAACCTACAGACACGTCCAGCGCTTCATTTTCAACGCATTTATCGTCGCCTTCCCTGGTACTCGTCGTACCGCGCTGGACCGTTGGACCCAGGAGAAGCGGGGTTCCAGAAGAATTTTCGCTGCCCAACAACAATCCGCTGCCGACCGCACGTTGAAAGAGCCGCCACAGATGGCGCATCGCCCGAGAGAACGCCAGCCGCTTCTCGACCGGTTGCCGAGACGCGTGGTCAATCAGAGAGCGCAGACTTGCAGCTTCGTAATGAGAAGCGGCCTCGCAGAAGAAACGACGCTCTTCGTCTTCTATCCCGTGCAAATCACGATCGAGGTACTCCTGCTTCAACACTGCTAGCAAGCGTGGCACGGAATTACGTACCTCTGCGATCCTTCTTTTCGTAGCTTCTCGTCCATTTTCCTGACGCATCAAAATGCGAGCATGAGGAAGAGCAATCGTCGTTGCTGCGATTTCGTCAGCCCGCTCAGAAGTAACAGCCGCTGTAGTTGTCTCTCCTGTTATTCCTCCCCGTGATATTCTTTCTTCCAACAGAAGCTTTCGGAGCCGCTCCAAATGATCACTGGCTTCGCAGTCGTGCACAGCAAATTGCAGCACGGCATCGAAGTCTTGTTGGGTCCAAACAAGCCCTCCACCCCTGCGGTCGTCCACGCCAGGACGAGCGCTTTTTGTTTCAGGCCAGAAGTCGTCAGTAAGATTCAGCAAAGAAGTGGACACATTCAGAGCGTGAGCCTGCAGGTCCGGGTCTTTGCAGCTTTGCTGTTCCGCTAGAAATTGTCGAAACTGGCGTAAAACTCCACGCCGGGTGCTCGTACTGTTCGCCCGCGCCAAATGGATTGCACACAGCGGACGCAACGAAACTTCCAGTCTGCCTGTTTCTGCTCCTCCGCTGTCCGCGAAACGCGCTTTCTTGTTCTTCACCTGCTGCGCTGGCAGAACGAGGAAACTCCCGAAATTTTTGCCCAATAGCGAGGACGCGTCATCTGCTTGTCCTGCGCCGCTGGAAGAATCATCATGAGTTGGATTTTTACTTTGCTGCAGCACTTGCTCCCAGGGTCGCACGATGGACGGCAAACCGCGTGCCAGCGCCCACCGGGACTCACGGGCATCGTCCGTCACGATTATCTTTTTACCGGTTATTTCCTCGCGCTTGACCATCGCTTCTTCAGAAATCTGAAAGTCAGCTTCCTGTGTTGTAGTTGGACTACTCAAGAACGACCCGTTGTGATCTCCACAGTCACCATGTTTCGCCCCATCGTGGTCCTCACAGTAGTTTTCGTCCTCTTGGCTTTCGCTCTTTGACTTTGGCATTGATCCATGTTGAAGCTCACATACCAACAAGGCACCGCAGTCCTCGTCCTCCAGCGTACCGCGGCCTTTCGCGTAGCGCAGGGCAGTTTCTGGGTGGAACGCGGTGTAGACCGCATCCCCGTAGGCCTTCGCGGTGTGCAGCGACAATTGCCCACAGGTCTCTTGCTTCAGCTCCTCGCACTGCCCCACCTCGTCAAATGCGTTGGTACGGAACTTCCCCTCGGCCAGAATGCGTCGCGCGGCGGCTTGGGACGTGCCGTGGAAGACCAGCATTCTGGCCCTGCTAGTGGAAGTAGATGTAAAACCTCCTATTGTTGACTCGTCGTCCTCGGCTGCCGCGAATCGCGGATCTAAAAAATCCTTCACCGCGTCCTGCAGTGCGAAGTGACCGGCGACAGAATCGTCTGGGTCGCCGAGAACAGGACTTCCGCACGTCTGGTGTTCCACTCCTAGAATCTGGAGCTGAAATCCCAAAGACACGTCGTGCGTGTCGTACGTCCGCACCACCTCCTCCAGGGCCTCCGCGCTGGCGACACCAAGCACCCCGGCAAGCTGCGCGAAAACCCGCTGCGCAGTGTATCCCCAAACCTTTCGCTGTAGTTTGTTCTCCGCTTTCAAGAACAGAGAGGAACGACGGGAAGATATCGTATCCAGGTCGCTCCGAACCTGGTGCAAGAACACATGGGCCGCATCCCGTCGAATCGGCCCAAGGGCCCGAGCCGCCGGTGTGCACCTTGAAGCTGCCCCGGATGATGATGATCCACTCAGAAGCCATCGGCACACGGGTACGATGTAAGGGGCAGGAGCAAGGGCTGGCTCAATTCCACGAGAGGAACTCACGCACCGTTGCACTGGCGCTGGAATGAAGGAAATTTTACCTCCCTTGATTTCATCCGGATGATGCAGTCGGGCCACCGCGTAGGCGTCTGTCTTGGCCTTCGGGTTGAACAGCAGCGTGTCCCGAGTCCAGCCCAATAACCAGCCATGATCCCGAGCGGGAGTTGTAACAAGGTCAACTGATGCGATTCGATCTACACTCCCGGGGTCGGCGTCAGCAGCCCCGCAAGAGGCCATAGCAAGGGTCTTGTTTCGCATCCGCAAAGATGCACCGTTGAACAGCGAATACCGCGAATCCGGCTGGATGGCAGCCGCAACGCGAACATCTTGTGCGGCTTCGCCGCTCAACAAATTTTCTGGTGACGTGAGGTAAAAGAGAAACTGCTGCTCGATGCCTTTTGTCTGGCCCGTCGGTCGTACACTCTGAGATGAGTAGTACTCCCTGCTCGCGGCCCCCGCGAGCCCTTCTTCGACTGTCGTATTGAGCTTTTCCCGCACAGCGTCAGGATCCGTCAGCGGGGCGTCAAAGTGGCTTGCCAAGCAAACGCGGGACACCAAGGCCTCATGTCGGTGTACACACTGGGAGATCTCTGCCACCCGTGCACACTCGGCATCCCCGAGATACGGGTTGCGCCCCAGGAAGAGAGACATTCTGTGGTGTTTCGGCCATACCAGGTCGCCGGTGGCAATGTCTGCGGCTAGAAGGTCCAGGGCGTCCAACAGGTGCGGCACGCCCTTGCACGACGCAAAAATCACGTGGTACGGCCCGGTGTCAACTAGAGGACCAGCATCGTCGTGTAGCGTTTCCTCTTTGCCCGTATTTGATGAAAATGTTGATGAAGCACTGCTCGAAGCGGCAATCGAGCTCCTGCTAGTACAACTCGGTCCTTCGTTATCCATAAAATCATGGGGCTCAGCACCAGACACCCCCGGCCGCCGCGCGGCTGCCGGCGCCGCGAGCAAAGCAGTTTTCAGCAGTTCGGCAATGCACTCAGGCTCGCCACGCTGCGTCGTGTGGAGGATATCCACTGAGGCAAACAAGCCGCTTTCGATTATCGTGTCGTACATGCGGCATCCAGGCGTGCTGCCGTCTGCATCGATGCGGCTGCTCGCGTCGATTTCCTGTTCAACGCACCAAGTTTCTCCTTCTCCCTCACGACCGGCGCTCTTCGTCCCGGCCAGTCTGCTTCCATCAACATCACGTCCTTTGCCTTCCGCGGCAAGACAACACGCTCCGCCACGTGTGCCCCGTCTCTGGCGGCACAGGCCACCGCTGAGATACACGCGTCCAGTGCTCCCTCCGCGTTGTCCATCCGTGGAGCTGCGGCGGGACGTTTTAAGGGTGCTTGGTACCAGCCCGTTGAACCGACACCCAGCGCCCAATATAAGTCCTCTTGGCTGGTGCTGCTGCGCGCAGTCAGGGCCAGTCGAAAGTATGGATGTCGACATTGAAGCACCTGCCGTCGTTCGTCTTTCGACCACTAACTCGAACACACCACCGCGAGTCTCATGTTTTCAGTTTCATATTAATTCATGCTCGGCCTAAAGAAAACTAAAGTAAAGAACGCGAAGCCCAAACATTATGATCTCCTAGATCTACCAATAACCCCAAACCGACCTGCACCTTGGATTTTGAAGAGAAGTCATGACAAAAGTAAAATATCATCATCTGCCATAGAACAATTGTGTCGGGTTTGGGATTTTTTTCATTTCAGTCCGCCGGAACGGGACCCTTGCGGGCGAATTTTGATCGTGGATGTGGAAGTTTCTACTGTACAATAATCAGAGATCTTGAAAGATCCTAGATCCAATCTATGAACTATGTCGAAAATGCGCAGCAACATTAATTTGTAGCTCTATTTTCATTCTAAGGCAAGTGAAGTCAATTTTCTAAGCGATCAAAAGACAAACGATTTCAAAAGTATGCGACCTCGAACTGATGATGAACACCATCTTTATACATTTCGTGACGAACAAGAACTGCCAAACGTAATCACGCTTCCCGTGTGAGACAAAGAAGGCGCAACGCAACATGAACAGCGCAGAGCAAGTGAACTGCTGCTTGATTTTATCTGTGACCCTACTTTTTCGACGTCGCTTATTACTACAACTTGTCTGTGTATCGTTTAAAGAATTTTTTGTCGCTTACTATGACATGATATTATCGCTTGTTCATCTTTTTCTTTGCCTTCGGACCCTCTCTTCAATTTGATGGTGGTCGCTTTTTCTGAATAGAAGGACGAAAGCCATCCACTAACTGGCGCTCCGCTTGCCTCACTGCTTGCATCCACATCGTTCATCCGGGAAGCTTCGAGGCACGCCAGAATTTCTGCTTGGGTGTGAAACGACCAACACAGGACCCACTTCACGCTTTTTCCCTGTTTTAGCTCGAATGTTCTGGTCTGCACAATCGCTGCCGATCTACTTTTCGTACTTTTCTCGTTTTCCACGCGACAAGCCGCGGCGACCCACTCTTCAAACTTTTTCTTCGTGGAGTATCAAATGTAAAAATGTCTGGGTCTGGAAGAATTCACGTTTGTCATGCTTGTCTGGCATGACTCTTAAATCTGTCATGCACGTTACCCAAGAGCTCCGTTTTTCCGTGCTGCAGCGCCGCAGTTTGTCATGCAGGATAGGCAACACGTAGGAGCTCAGAAACTTGTCATGCTGAGCCAGCATTCGTAGCCTCATCATGAGACGCAACCCAGCATCACAAGTTTCCAGACCCAGACATTTTTACTTTTGATATGGAGTATCGACTGACCATTATCGTATACCACAGGACGTCAAGTATCAAAAGGAAAAATCCCCCCTCCCCATATCGAAACGGAAATTTGTGATGCTGATTTGTTGCCACAAATCAGCTTTGTATTGCAGAGAGGCATGGCGGCCGGATCCCCCGGCTAGGTAGAGGCGTATGGGTCTAGTTGTTCAGCATGGCAAACGGCTCCCCTTTAAGCCTAACAGCATGACAAACCGCTTCCATAATGGGGCGGAGGCTTCTGCCCTTGTCTTCTTGCAAGACAGATGGGATTTGTGACCTCAAATCCGCAACACAAATTTTTGGAAACATACCTTTTCAATGTGGGGAGGGGGGATTTTTCCTCTGAATATCAAGTTCGCGCTTCTTCGATTCCTGCAGCATGCGAAAGGCAAAACCCACCTCGCCCCCCTCGCACACCACCTCATGCGGCTTTCCCCCATACGCTTGGGACTGAAACTTCTTTTTGTTCTGCTCGAAATACGCTATGTTCTCGTGAAACGGCGGATTACACACACAAAAAGCGAATTTCGGCCTAGCGTCTATCTCCCCGGTCGTGGACGCCGGACCTATAATTGCAGCGTCCGCGTCCCTTTCTCGTCGAAAGACATCGAAGATTCGCCGTGGATTCTTCTGCAGCACCACAGTTTTTCCGTACGTTTTCCGCACGAACTCCACCGTCTCCGGCGAAATATCTGACCCGATGATGTCCCACTCGTAAATTTTCTCGCCCAGAAGCGGAAAAATGCAGCTCATCCCCACGCCAATGTCAAGTCCGCGGAGGCGTTGGATGCTACGCAGGGCTGGCCGCGACGACGACGAGGCAGCTGCTTCTTGTCCCGAATCGAAAAGAAATAGATCCGCAACGTAGTGCAAATAGTTAGCCGACCTCGGCACCGGAGGGCATAGATGGTAGGTCGCGTCCTGGTCTTCACAGGCCAGCACTTCAGGGGCTTCGTTTGGTGCCTCATGATGTCGCAACGTGGCACGATTTTTATCACAACTTGCCGCAGAGCTGCTCTCTATCTCGGCAGTGTCCTCCGCTGCAGTGCTCCTCGCCTTGGGAACCCTAGTATGTCCCCTTGCCGCAAAAAAAGGCTCAGCCTGCCAGTCTCGGATGTCGTAGAAATGCTCGAGCAAGACCTTGGTCAGCTTTGCGAGGCATTCCGGGCTTCTGTAGTCGAGAAACAGCTCTCCTGTCTGTTCTACTGCGTCCCGTTCCACTCCTGACAGACACGCTTTGAAATACGCATACTTGTCGGCCAACGTGCGGTAGTCGATACGTGCGCAATGGAGGGACCGAGGATGCTGCTGCAAATCCGCTGCCCATCTCTTAGTCTCCGCGACTGCCGATGGTGAGAGTTGCGGTTCCGCCCGCATGTGTTTCGTTGTTTGGACCATTGCGAATCTAAATCAATCCATACGCTACTCGTTATAGTACAATGCTCCTGCTAGCTCGTCATTATACGCGCAGTTGCTTCTGGTAACGGAACTAAGTCCTCCGAAACGTCTAAGCAGAAGCTGAACGTAAACAAACTCAGCATAGTGCGTGCAGACACTTCCACAAACCATATGCTAAAATTTCGAAACTAGTACGCCTGTACTTACCCTGACGCAACAAAAGAAACTTCCGATGAAAATATGAATCAAATTCACCAGTATCAGATGCCTCTTTCATGCAGGCTTGCTAAATGGAGAATTTTGTGCCCCCTGCTCCCTTGCAGGATCGACAATGGCAAAGCAATAGCAAAGCAACCAGTGATTTCCCTTCCATCAGCAAAGCATGATCGGGTTCCTCAGGCTGTGCATTTTTTCATGATCACCAAAATCATTTTCGCCGATCGTACAACCTATCAAGATCTACTTTTTCAACTTTCATTTCGACCTTGATTTTGCAATTGGGAACTATGGAGCGAACTCCGAACCACACATCGGGAAGGCCGTTCGCATGCGGACTCAACTCGAAACCCCGAACAGTGGCCGACAGCTTTCTGGTAAGCCCTGCTCGCACACTTGCTGAACCGCGGGCGATCGCGACATTTCCAGCACAGAATAGAAGAACATAGAGAAATCGAGTGCACGAAGCATCCAAAGAAAAGTGGCGGGGGAACAGCAGCACGTTGCTTGCCTGACGACCGTGCAGTGGCCACAAACGCACTCCTCTCCACCGTATGTGAGGGCTTAGAGTCCTCGTAGCACTTACTGTAACACCGGCGCAGCCTTCCTACTGCACCACCTCAGCCTCCACCGGGAGACATAGCAGGGACTGGGCTTGCTTTTTGCCGAACTTCCAGCGCTTGCGCTGGTAAGGCCCCTGACGGCAAACCGGGCACTTGAAATCCTCTTTGCTCGTCTGGAAAGACTCAAAACTCACAATACACAGGTGGTGGTAGGCGTGGCCACATGCCAACAACTCGATCCCCACGCCCTGCTGCGCCAAGTCGATGTAGCAAATCGGGCCTGTTTTGATGTTTTTTTGCAAGCTAAAGTGTTCTACTTCCTAGTAAAATGCGAAGGTACAACTAGTAGTACGAAACGAAGGCAACAACCATTATCCTTTTGACTTCGTGATGAAAAACTGCCGCGTACTTAAACAACAAGTCTTTACATTCGTAGTGCGGGAAGCCTCGGTCGACACACTGCTGCTTGGCCCATTCCCACTTGTCGGGCTCGAGAGGAGCGTTGATTTTTGCGGTGGCCGCCGCGGCACCGGGAAGGCACTCCCGGAGGATCTTGCGCGCCGCGTGCACGCTGTCGTCGATTTCGGAAAACAAGGCATCCAGGTCCTCCGTCCCCGCCGCCGGCTGAAACCGTTCGCGCTCGCGCTGCAACAACCGTAACCGCGTCTTCTGCCACAGCCGCGGTGCGAGAAAGTGATTCGACAACGGGTGGAAGAACATTCGTACAGCGCCCGGATTCATCCTCCGCGCCTCATTGTTCCGGCCAGCGGTGCTGCTTCCGAAGAAATACCAGGCGTCGCGCCGCACCAGGTACCCACGGAAAAAGCGTTGCAGCCGCAGCGCGGATTGCTGGGAAAACAACGACGTCTCCAGAGCGTGGTTCTGCCCATCTTCAGAAGTAGACCCTTCCGACACGACGAGGGCGGCACTAGCACAAGCTGCTGGTACCACGACCTCTGCGCAGAAAAGCGCGCACTCCGCGTACTCGCAGCGACACAACGGGCACTGCGCCTTCTCGCAAAACTTCTCGTAGCTTTGCAAGCACGTGCGGTGGTACACGTGACCGCACGGGTTCAAGATTACCTGTGGCCGCTTCGCCGGGTTCCCGTAGGGCTGGATACAGATCGGACACTTGTGGTCGATTTCTCGGAGGAATTTTTCCCGGACCGGGCGCTGAAAAACCTCCCACTGGCTCTCCTGCAGCGGTTCCGCGGGCTTGTCCGCCAACGCCAGCTTCTGCGCCAGCGTCAGCGTCTTCTTGTAGCTCTTGAGCTTCTCATCGTAGGAGCGGTCCGCCTGCGCCGCGAGCCTTACGCTGCCCTGCTTTTTCATTTTGTTTGGCATGAAAAAAGTCTGCTGCAAGGCCGCCGCCGTGACGGCCAGCGATGCAGTGGTAGTATTCGCACGAGTTGATGTCGCAGGAGGTGGTGCTGCACTTGCACTTCTCGAAGTAGAGGCCATAATATTACCTGATGCGTGCTGCGTGTCTACGCTCCCACTCGCGGTCCCCTTCGCCCTCAGGCCTCCCGCGCCGTCACTTGCCCCATCTGGAGTTGTGCTGCGGATTCGATCAGAATTATAGTTCGCACCCAATACAAAACTCGACCGAGTGGTGCTGCCCGCCGCCAGGGTAGAAGATTTGCTCGTCGCGCCAGGATGCCCAACAGCGCTCGGCTCACGACCCAGATCATGACTGAAGTGCGACGTCGAACTGGATTCATCTTTGTCAGAATCTGCTGCGCCATCCGCTAAGGCGAGCCGATCTCGCAGACTACCGTGTGTTTCGATGATCCCGGGCGACGACTTCGTTGGTACCGGCGGCTTCTTCTGCGCCAAGTAGGACCGAATCGCCGACACGTCCATAACCGGCGGTGTCCACTGCTCCAGTTCCGCCACGGCACTGGAGGCAGGCGCTTTCACCTTATTTCCAGCGACGTGGTTCCCGCCCGTCCCCCTTGCAAGAGATGCCGCGACCCCCACAAGTTTGGCATTACCAATCGAGTCACTTCTTCCATCAGTACTCGGCTCGACAACTACGTCCGAGGGCAGCAACGCTTTGGCTCGCGCAACCCGCTCCGTCAGCGTCAAGGACTCATCGCTGTCTTGCCCGTCTGCCTCTGTCTGTGTGGTGTCATCTTCTGTCGCAGGGACAGCGACATTTTCGCTGATGACCTTTTGGTCCGCAACATGCTCTTCTGTCGAGGACGTGGTGTCTTTTTCCAGCAAGCCCTGCAACGAATTGCTTCTTTCGATGCGCGACCGCACGGCGGAATAGGTGGAATGAACGCTCTGGGATGTTGATGATGAACCTTTGCTACTTTCCCGGCTGTCGCTGACTATCTTCTCCCCAGCTGCACCGGTCGTACTTCCTCGCCTCTTGTTACCCACCAGCTCCGTCGAACGCGAAACACTACCCGGCTCCATCGGCTCCTGTTGTCCTCTCGACAGACCTTGCACACGAAATAGCTCGTCCTGCTTTACTGCTGATGTACTGGCATCGGTAAAGCTGGACGCGCCGAAGAGGGTGTTTTCATTTCCTGCCTGGTTTTGCAGCAGAAAGGAGGACTTCCGGGACGACGAAGCGGAAGGCGTGGCCGCCGTGGAATGACTGCGACTTCCCGTGGCCGTTGTGGTCCAGGCAATCTCGATACCTCCGTCCAATTCATCGTAGTCCGGTGTAGCACCCTGATTCAGACCCGGCGGCGGCGCGCGTCCGTCGAGAAGCACACCTTCGCCCGGTTGCTCAACACCTCTGGTCCGCACCGATCGTCCGCTACTCCGTGCTGGCTTCGAGACCACGCTTGTTGGCGCGATACCAGACGGCGTTCTTTTCGCAACGCCGTTGCTGAACTTTTTCACCAAGCCTGTCGGAGCCAGATCCACAGGCCGTGGGAGTCGCTGCAATTCCTTTTCCTTGATGCGGCTGCTAATTGAGGTTGGTGTGCTGCCCTTGTTGACTTTATCATTCCCGATGTCCACATCGTCTGACTTTGACGGCGGATCCGGCACGAGCTTAGGCAACCAACCCGACCCGCGGTCGTTTGCGGTCGCGCGCGTCTTCAACGCCCTCCGCGAGGTTTGCTCGCTGCACTCCGTCAGGAACTTCTGCATGATTTTAGGCTGCTTCTATTGATCAGAGTGCTTGTACACCTTCTTTCTCAGCATTTTTCATACGTCGGCACGCGCACGCGCCTGCAAATGCAAAAAAAAACACGTTTACGAAAAAAAGATCGCTCTGCATCACCGCACACAGATTTCTTTCAAGAAAAAAAAATATGGGACTTCGCTTTGTGCTTTGTTGGTGTCTCTCGCCGTTTCTTAGATTGCCCAGTTTTGGTTCACTTTCGTCTCTTTTTTTTCTCAGAATCTACACGAAAGCTGCACGAGAAAATCTCTCCAATGCTCACAAGTTCTGGTGCGAACCTTGCTGACAGATGCGACACTGTTGCATTTCCGCCTTCTGACTTCTAGATAGACGTACAGATGTAGGTATCATAGAACGTTAGTACAAAACGAAACGCATCCAGCAGTCAGTACCAATATATTTTTGAAGAAACCGCGCGCCCTCTCGTCGAGAGCAAAATAGAAACACAGAGCTGCAGCAAATGATGAACAAGTAAAACTTAGTTCGTGACACATTTTCGAAGTGCCACCGCTGCTGTCGATTCGCTTCTTCCATAATTGTGGTGGACGATAATGCGCCTTTGTCAAGTGTAATTTTGGTTATGTTTTGGTTTTGCTTTAATCCTGATGTCGCTCACGGTCAGAAATTCGATAATTTTGGGTGTAATTGCAAACATCCCAAGGGGAAATCAGTACGCATTGAGTTTGGGTCGTAAACGTAAAGTCGTCACGAGATAGCGTCGGTCGGCCGGAACTGCAGCAGGGTCTTTGCCGACTACTGAGTTCCGTGTCGACGTAGTTACCCCTGAAATAAAAACGCTATTCGCTCAAAGTCGCAAATAATTCTTCGGCTCAGATTCGTGTTATCGAAAATTGCAGTCGTTGGAACTGGATGTACCGAGATATTTTTTAGTGAGGACAGCCTGACATGACAATGGAATGAAAGGACATCCGACGCACAGCGAGCACGAAGTCGACGTCGCCCGTCGCCCATCGTAGCCTGAAGCTCCGTCTTTCGGGGCGCCTACTTGAGGGTAGAGAAAACTTCACCGCGGATCGCCCAAGAACAGAGCGCCCCGAGACCGAACGCAGCTGTGCAAATGGCAAGAAACACCCAAGCAAAGCTTTTATCCAGACGGCGCTGCTTTCGGCTTCCTTTTTCCTGGCGACCACGGTAGCCGAAGTCGAGTGTTTCCTCCAGGCCGAACAGGTTGTGCGCGTTGCGGTACTGCAGGGTGGTCAGCGGAACTTTTTCGACCTCAGTAGATGCTTTCATTGTGGCGGAAAGCTGATCTTCATATTGAAAAACCTCCTCTGCGTCGTCCGCACCGGAGCCACCGCTCGCGCTTAATGGTGGTCTCGAGGCTAAGAAGGGCAGGCGCACTTGCTTCTCATTTTCTGCAGAAACCTCCTCCGCGATGAGCCGATACGCCGGACCCACCGATCGAAACCCGTATGCGTCGAGTTGCGGAGCGAGGTAGCAAACCCTGGTCTCGGGCGCGGGTGCTGCAGGGCCTGCAGTTGATGAATTGCGCGCCCTTCGTGCTGCGGTTGCGGCCCACCAACAGAAAAACCTACTTTCCGCCGTGGGGCGGTTTCTGCCTTGCGCATCGTCTCCACTTGACCAGGTATTCACGCACAAGTCCTGGCAGACTTTCGCGTGGTGCTCTGCGACCGCCTCGTTGTCAGAGGATATGCTGGTCGGGGTCGGCTGCAGCTGCACTTCCAAGACACCTGAATTGTGGTTTTGATTTTATTTCGGTTCGTTTTCATTTCATTTTCACTCTGATAACGAAAGACCGCAGCAGGCAGAAAAAATAAACCATTTCTGTGAAACACAAGTATTTATTCAGGACTATACATTGCGAAACGAGTCCCGGAGCGGCGATGCGCAGCGTTACGTCCAGCCCGTGCTCCTGCTGCAGCGCCTGGCGCGCCGCTTGGCACTCCTGCCCCACCGCAGCGATTCCCCCTTGATTTTCGAAGGGATAGGACGCGGGACTGCCCGTACCCGCGGAGGACGACGACCAGCGTCTTCCGGCGTCCAGCAGCAGGTACGAGTTTTGTTGGTTCGACAGCGCGTTCGCGAACCAGAACGCGCTGTTTTTCTGGTCCCGGCTGCTGAGCAGCAGCGTGAAGGGGTACAAGTCCGTGACGTGACTGTTCGCGTTGTCGCAGTTCATCCGCCAGGCGCAGTGCAGTCCCGTGTCCGTCCCGATATCCACAGTAAATTTCCCGTACACGTACAAATGCGGTCGCTGCATGACAAAACTTGGCTTCAATCCTAGTTTAGCATGACAAGTTTTACGCTCCAAATCACTGAAATTTGTGATGCATGTTGTACATGTACGGGAAATTTGTATTGCATACCCGAACAGCAGAAACAAGTAGAGCGGGAGCGTGAAGAGGAGCAGGCCCGCGAGCGCGTAGTTGCGGAAGCAGGTGCGGCGGTGCTTGGAACCCAGACTGTAGGTGACGGCCATGCTGAGGCCCCCGAAGATGGCCCACCACCCCGTCAGCCCGCTGACGAAGGTGCCCTGCTGGTCCGCCCAGGACGCCACGTCCGTGTGCATCCGGTACCAGTCGGCGGCCCGGAACCAGGACTGGGCCTCCAGCACTGCGTACGACGCCAGCAAGGCGGCGGTCTGGAACACGACGGGCAGGGAAATGTCCAGCAGGATCGGCCATTGCAGCACGTTGCCGCAGGGCGTGCAGGCACTGAGGAACTTGTGCGGCTGGTTGGACGCCAAGGCGTAGGTGACCAGCACCAAGAAAATCGCGTCCTGGAAGAAGAAGTGCAGCTCGCTGTAGTAGCTCAGCTGGGGCTTCAGCAGCATCTTCGAGATCGCGGATAGGATGCCGTAGTACAGGAAAAACTTGTAACACGCCACGCAGTTCTCGAGCGCACAGCGACCCTCCTTCAGCAGCTCCACCACCGCATGGATCGACACGTCGGCAAAAATTTTGTTGCTGCTGGCTCGGACAGGATCACCAGCGTCCGATTTGCTGTGCACGTCGTCGTGGGAAGATGCCTTATCAGAAGATGATCTCGCGCTGGCCGAAAAGGGTGCGACGATGGAAACTTCTGTGGTCCGGCCGTCGGCGGGGACGAGCGCCACGCCGACGTGCGCCATCTTCAGTGCTGCGCAGTCGTTTCCGCCGTCGCCGCACATGCCTACCACCACGCCGCGTTTTTTCCAATTTCTGATGACGTCCACCTTTCCGCTGGGGCTCATGCTTCCGAAGATGAGAACTTTCGGAAAAATTTCGTCTAGAAAACCCGGGTCGGTCTCAGCCAAATGGGTGAATGCCGCTTGAGAAAGCGCGAACACCGGACTGGCATCACACGAATTTGACTGCGGTTTTTGCGCTCGGCCGTTAAAATTTCGTGCGGTTCTTCTCTTTGACCACGACTCAGCCCGGCCGTGTTTTTCATCTTCTTCCATGTGCACCAAGTCTAGTACGTCAGATTTGGACAGCACACGGCTCGTGTACTCATCGGCTTCTTGCGGCCCTGTGGCCTCCGAGTGGTCTCCGTGCTGCAGCAGCGGTTTCCTAGCGTCGTCGTCGAAGTCTTCCGTCGCGGAGGAACAGCACGAGGTCGGTGACACCAGTTTGCGATGCGACACTTCTCGCGTCCAAACAAGCTTGGGCCCCGAGTTCGCGTTTTGTTGTGATTCTGAAGTGGCAGCACCGCTAGTAGTGGTACTTCCCTTAGTCAACACGGGCGCGTTAACGATATCGCCAAGAATGACGTCGCAAGCAAGTCGGGTGGTGCCTCCGTGTAGTAGTTCCCCTTGTGCTCCTCCTGCAGCTTGTGCGCTGGCCGCCGGCTGCTGGTCCACGCAGCCTGACGCGGAAGTTGGCACTGGCACGACTATTCCCGTTTTTTTGGCGATGTGCATGGCATTCCAGACATTGTCGCCCGTGATCATCACACTGCGCACGCCTCCACGTCGCAATTCGCTGATGGCGCTGGCAGTGCAGCGCTTCACCGCGTTCCGGAAGTAGAGCAGTCCAAGGAACTGCAAATCTCGCTCCAGCAGGTCTCGAGGCGCCGTGCGCGGATTTTCGGTCAGCAACACTTCGTGCTCCTCAACCGTTGACAGGAGACTGCACAATTGCCCCGCCCCGCGGCCCTGAAAGGGTGGAATCCGACTCGTCGAGGACGTTGAAGATGTCGACAGTGTTGATAGAGCAGATGCAGAGCTCAGATCCCCTGCAGGAAGATGATCAGGGCGGTCTTGCCGGTTGCCAGAAGCTGCTGGCTCCGCATCACCTGCGGACCACTTTCCAAGCGGCCGACAGGCCACAGCAAGCACGTAGTAGCCACTGCGCGCCACGCTGCGCACGTGCTCGGCGAAGTTCGCGGGGAGGGTGTGCGGCAGGCACCGGGCCGCGACCTTGGCGGGCGATCCCTTCGTGAATAGGAAGCGTTGTCCCGACCGGGTATGGTCCACGACCACACTCTGCAGCTGGATCTTCTGATCGAACTCGAACTGACGCACGGTGCGCGCCACCACTCGGTTGCGCAATCGATACTCCAGGAGACACCCTGGCACCTCCACGCGATTCCACGCCGAAGAGCCCGGCTCGGCGCCGAGGACATCTACAACTTCACCGCCTTGCTGCGCGCCGAAAGACAAAGAACCTGCTGTACGAGATGAAGCGGACACTGTTTGTACTCCGTAATTCTTCAGGGATGAAGGATCTGGAAGTACAACATCCCCCACACGCGGCGGCGCGGGCACGCTGTCGCTCTCGCTTGGCGGCCGAAAATCTACGTTGTAGTGGCTCACAAGCTCACACTCTACTTTGTTTCCCGCCAAGGAGTTGTCGGCCTTCAGCCGGGTAACGGTGTGACAGGTGGAGGCAGCGAGGTCAAGCAGATGCTCAAAATCCTCCACTGTTGTGCACCCCCGGGCGTCGTTGCGCTGCAGTCCAGTCCAGTCATTCTTTGCCGCATTTGCTGCTCCCTGGACATTGTTCCTCTGCGAGAACATAATTTGCGAAGACGGTATATCCACCGTCCCTTGTCCGGTAACAGAAGGAGTCGTCTCCGTCGATAAAGCGCCGCGGCTTGACTCTTCACCTTTTTCTCCTTTGCTTGTCGTCTTTGCAACGAGCTCCACACCGTAGAAATCGAGGCTCTCCTCGGTGAGGGTGCCGGTCTTGTCGAAGCACTGTACCTCCAGCTTTCCCGCCACCGGGATGCGTGAGTAGTCGAGCGACTGGATGCAGTGCGGACCGCTCTTCATGCGGTTCGCGGCGCTGCGCTGCGCGATTTTGAAGCCCACGCGAATCAGGGGCGAGATGATCCGGGAGAACGCGCAGATGCTGTCGAAAAAGTAACTCACCAGCAGCAGCTGCCACTGCGGCTGCGCAAACACCGCCACGAACAGGAGGAAGAAGCAGACCGTCCCCACCAGTAGCATCGCGTACGGCAGACTGTCGTACAGCTCGAACCGCACTTCAGGCGCGTACAAGATCCGGCGAATCATCTGGCCCTTCACGGTCTGGGCCCCTGTCGCCAGTACCACCGCGATGGCAGGAGGCGGTCCAGAGAACGCTCCACCCAACTGGTCCGCTACATCGCCGCCTCTGGCGTCGTCGGCTGTCGTGGTAGAGCCGTGAAGTGATGCTGTTTGTGCTGGTGCGGCACTAATTATACAGCCGGGCAAGTTCCTTGCTGTGCTACGTTCCTGTCGGAAACGAGCACTGTTGTTCCCGTGCTGCCGCTCGGCAGCTGATTCCTTTCGCTGACTCTGCATCACGCTGGTGCCGGCGTAAAGGATGTTTTTCTTGCCGTGCTTTTCCAGGCACATCTCCTCCTCGGTCTCCTCCAGTGCGAATTTCTGGATGGGCATGGCTTCCCCGGTCAGATTGCTCTCATTCACGACAACGGCGCCATGCAACACGACGCAGTCGCAGGGCACCGTTTGCGCGGCGTCGATCTCGATCAGGTCTCCTGGAACGAGCTTGCCCGCTTCCGTGGTGGCAATGTCAAAGCTGGCGGAAAAGTATTCCTCGGACTCCTCTAGCACCGAGAACTCCTGGCGACTGTTCCGCCGTGTCGTTCCACTCAGCCGCAGGCGACGCGTCACGCGCTTCTGCACCGGGCACATTGATGTCGTCCCTGCATCGCTGTACTGCAGATTGTTCCCCCCGCGCTGCGCGGATGGGGGCGGCGAAGTGTAATTATCCCTTTCGGATTGTGGCGGTTGTGGTGCGGCCAAGTTGTAGCTAGTTTTTGTCGGTGTGGTCAGCAGTCCGCCCCCGTCTCCTTCTCCGGCCGCCTCGGCGTCTGGGGTGGACCGCAAAGGTGACCACATCTGCGCCTGCTGATTAGGATGTTGCCCATTTCCTCCGCGGGCTTGCGCTCGGGCGCTGGGAAAGTTGTACCGGAAGACTCGAACCGGGTCACTGCCGTTGCTGGCCACCAATTCCTGCATCTCCAGGTGGCTCTGCCGCGTGTTCCATGCGTTCATGCAGCCGAAGATAAGGCAGAGGGTGAGATTGACAATCGCCAGGATGTAGTTCGAGAAGATGCTGGAGCCCCAGAGACAGTGCAGCTGGAAAATTGTCGGAAAGTCTAGAAACTCCAGCCGCAAGAAGTACGGCAGGTCCGCCGCCTCAACTTCAATCGTGTTCTCGCCGTGGATGTCGTACTTCTTGGTGCTCAGGAACCTACTGTTCGGTCGTTTGTGGGCCGTACCAACCGTGCTCGGCTCGATAACGCGCGGTGCGGGAGAACCGTCATTGGAGCGTGCGCCGCACTGCTCATACGCACAATCATTTCTCGGGTTTCGAAGATGTCCCGCCGGCGAGGCACTAGGAGTTTTCTCCGCAGGAGGCGATGTCCACCGCAACGGCCGCACGGCATCTTCGGAAAGAGCGTCGCAGTGCCTTTCAACGCGGTCACAGGGCTCGATTTCCTCGTAGACGCACCGCACTTCGGCCGTGGTCATGCCTTTGTCCAGGAATTCGTTTTCCGGCTCTACGAAACAGTTCCGCTCCGGGCAGTAAAGAAACCGCACGCACCGGAACCAGCAAAATCGCGGGGAGTCAATGGTCTTGTTCACCGTGGAAAAGTACTGGCCTAGCTCCGCTTCCTCCTCCGGCGTCTGTGCCTCCATCGAGTAAGCCAACCGCTTGATCATGAGCCAGTTCTCTCCCACTTGCCGTCGCTTCACCCTCCAAGGTGCACTTTTGCCCCCGCTCCGAACAGGCGCGACTGCCTCGAATGCCGCAGAACTGCCCACCGGGTCCGTGCTCAGTTCCAGCAGTCGCGCTGAAAACTCCCGGTGCAGCGCATGTCTTCTGTCTGCCGTGCTGGGTAATACTGACACACCATTTCCTTCCTGCGCTGGTGCTGCGCGAAGATTTTTGGCATCTTCGCTGGTCGTACGGTGGCGAGCTTCCCCCTGTTCGAGATCCTCGTCCGCGGCGAGCAATTCGGTTTTAGTAGCACAATCATTTATGGTTTTGCCGGACTGGTGGAGCTGACTACTATGGAGTTCTTGGCTCGTCCTTTGAACCAGGTGGTCCAAAACCGTTTTCTCATCTCGTCCGCAGACGTCCCACTCCTCTACCACCACGAAGTCGCAGGAGCGTAGGTCGCAAGGCACCACGAACCACAGCCGGGCACGCAGCGTCTCGGAAACCAACAGGAACACCACCGCGACGAACAGCAGCCAGAACAGCGTAAAAACCACCCCCAAGTTTCGAAAAGTAAAGCTCTGCGAGGAGACACCCGTGTCTTCCGTGCACCAATCTGGTATTGGGACGCCCAATGCCTGCTCCCGCGCTCGGAGGTGTAGCAACTCCTGCGTACAGAACTTCAAATCGAAGACCGTGTTGGTTAGCCAGAGCCAGCCGTCCAGCTTTTCCGACGGCGCGATCAAGCACAGGCAGCACAGCAGCAACACAAGCTGCGTGAGCACGGGAATCGACGCCCACAACGTGTACAGGACGGTGCCGAACCAGCTGTATTGGTACCCAATCTGCACAAGAAACTTCGCTGTTGGCGCCCCTTTGCTCCCCGCGGGTACTAGATCAGAACTGGTCGCGGGGACGCTGGTCCTGGACGTGGTCTCTCTGTTTCTCCTTTTGGAGCTGAGCGAAGATTCCCGCTTCCCTGCCACGAGAGTTCCCGTAGTTCGGCTATTTCGAACATCGATCGCGTCGGCAACATCTTTCGAACTTCTTGGGTGGCTACAGTCCTCTTCCTGGTCCCGAGATGTGCGCGGCGCAGGCGCTTCTTCTTTTTCTCGAGAATTATTCGGCGTAGATTGCCCATCGGGTCGCGGGGGTGCAGCCTGCGACTCGACGTTGCAAAAGTGGTCCAGAACGGCTTCCTCCTCGGAAGCATCGAGTGCTGTTGGCACGCTCTCCTCGAAAACAGAACAGCATCGCGGAAACAGACCCCCAGCAACTAAGTACCGGAAAATCAGTGTGAGCGCCGTCAGCACCGCAAGGACCACATAGACCGCCACTAAGCCCGGAGCTAGGAAGGACACACTGTACATCATAATCGGGATCGCGGCTGCAGTCGCTCCGCTACTCGTAATTGACCTCCTCCTGAAGAGAGTACGAAATACCCGCCGAGAGTAGCGAAGGCAACTGAACTAATATTCTGCTCCGGTAGCTAGTCAGTGCAACATTTCAAATCAGAATCGGACCCGAGTCAACCAAAGAAGGGGAGCTTCAGTTGTAGAAATGTGCGATCCCTAAATTGGGAAATCGCTCTGCCAGCTCCTTCTACTGGCAGCGACTACAGGCAGCGTGTGAGGCGAGCAAAGTGTCAATCAATAATTCCGTCGTGAAAAAACCTACTTATATCGAGATAGACAACCGTCCACTACCAGGGTCCTGGTAGAGGCGGCCATCGTCGACTCCATTTTTCATAGCGGAGGCTGTTGCGAGTAAGTAAAAATGGTAGTGGAGTGGTGCTACCAACAAGCTATCACTAAAGTAGTACTATAGTTAAGTTGTAGATTTACATACAAGTCGGAAAATTCACGTGTACAAACAGAACATGCCTCTCCGTCTTCCGATCCTACCACCTGCCTGAAGGTACTTATGTGAATGAATATGAATCATTATCCAGCAAATGGCACGCAGCACGAGCGAAGTCTAGATCGTCCAGAGACTGGTGACCGACAGAGAAGGATGACTCGGATCGATTTTCATTTCATCGAATGCGGCGATCATTTCATATGACGTGGACATTGCGGAAAACGACATTTATTTGCTGCCTTCACGAATGATTTCTCCATCCTCGGATCAAAGGGTGAGTGTATTTGCCTCTTTCGTTATGGATCTTCGTGAACCTTTGATACGAGCGCCTTATGTTGATTCAGTTTTGTGCAGCAACAATCACACGCTGCGAGATCTGCATCTGTCACGACATGGATCAGCAGGTGGTCTTATTTTACATTCTTTCAATGATCTTCTCAATCCTTTGCTCATGCTGAACTTGATGGCAGTACGAAGACTCTGCCTGGCCTACACGGCCCGCTTGCGCCACTGTCGCGAAGTAATAGATACTTGCTCGGTAAATCTTTCATGTACCTCTAGCGCAAATAATTTCGTACTTCTTCTGCTCGACGGATTCAAATCTCGTCCCGTGGTTTCTTTTGTTCTGCGCATCAGCACAATCACCAGACTACTACGTGTCACACTGATAGGACCTCAAATCAGTCGCCAAGAGTTGTGCACTCAGCCCACACCTCCCTCCTCCCTTATTTCGGTCCCGATGTTGCCCTTGAAACCCTGGTAACAGGGGAAGCCCTTCTGGTTTTGCACGTTAGGGTTGGCGCCCTTGGAAATGAAGTACTCTGCGATCTCTCCATAGCCGAACTGGTACAGAAAGTGCAGGCCCGTGTTGCCCTTCAAGTTCTGCGCGTCCATGTTCCCGCCGTACTTGATTGCCAACTTGCCGATTTTGCGGTTCCCGTTCTGACACGCGATGTGGAACAGGGTGTTTCCGTGGTGGTCGACGGTGGTCAAAGGGTCGAAGTACCCCTCTTCCGCGAGCAGGCAGTCCTCCACGACCTTGTGCTTGCCGTGGCGGGCCGCGGAAAACACCTTGTTGGTCATGTCCGACCGCGGGGTGCCGTGGGGCGTGACGCTGGGCGTGTGGATGGGCGTGTCACTGCTGGGCTCGCTGTCTTCTTTCCCTCGCGCGCTCCGGCGGTCGACCGGGAGGTGGGCAAACAAATTCGACCGGGGCGGCGGCGGGAGGACTCCCGGTCCTCCGTTCATCGCCCCGTGCTGGTCCTCGAAACTACCGCGGAACAACGGGTCATGATCCTGTCGCGGCGTGCCGGCGTTGACGGGCGTGCCGTGCGCACTGCGGGGCGGGGTTTGCCCCTGCCGGTAGTTCGGGAAATTCTCCGACGCGTGGTAGTCCAGGTTGTACTTGGGCGGCGTCAGCGCCCGCTGCGCGGCCGCCAGCGCGGAGTGAATCATGCGCGAGGACGAGGAGGCGGACTTCGAGGACATCGACAGCGAGGCCGCCGAGGCCCCGCGCTCCTTGATATCGTCGTCCGGGCCCAGCTCCAAGTCGTCGTTCACGTTCCGAAACCTGCACTCGGGCACCACGGGCGGCGCCGGATTCTCCACGTCGTACCGCAGCTCCACATCGGTCAACGGCCGGTGCCGCTCCGGACTCGGCTGCACGGACATAGAAGAAGATGCCTGTTGATGGAGCGAGCACAAACCGGAACTCCGAATTTTGAAGTTTACATTTCTATTCCGACTTTGAAAGTGACGATATCAACATCAATCTATACTTGTTACCCCTCATGTATGACATCATCCGGGCGCCACCGCGCACGCATCGCGGCTGATGTTACTCTCACTTCATGACCACAGCTTCTACCTGCAGCAATAACGCGCTAGCTATTGTCCTTCATCTCTCTACTCATTTATGCCTGTCACGACACGGGGCCGCGCGCAGAGTGAGCCTAAAAAAAGTTTCTCTTTGCAAAACCAGTTTCTCTTTCTCAAAAGAAAACACTTACCGAAACAGATCGACGGTAGATATGCCTGTCGTTGAACCAAACTGGTCCTTTCTGTGGACTCAAAACGAAGGATGGCACGCCTGACACAGGCGATGAAAAATCGCATCATACATCCACCGCGTATAGAAATCGAACGCCAAACCAATCGTTTCACACCGTAAACTTGATTTACACCAATGAGAGCACTACGCACGAAACAACTATCAAGGGTCCTCGCAGAGGGGTCGCGACGTCGACGCCACGTCCTACTTTGGCGCAAAAGCGCAAAGACGTTCTGCCAGCAGAGCCCCAGACTCGGAGTAGGCGGGCAACATCGAGGCAATTTTCAGGTAGAACTGGCGCAGCAGTGGAAATTCTTGCGGCAAAGCAAGCCGCTGGCGATTGGTGCGGAAAGCCGCACACTTGTCGTTCGGACCGGAAAAATCCAAGGATAAAAACACAAACTTGTGAAGCTGTTGCAGAAAGTAAGCATGCTGGCACTTGCGATCCCTTTCGTTACTAGCAAGCATAGGGTTGGCTTCCTGTGGTCTCTCCGCACGCCGCAGTTCGTTCCTGACATACTCGTCTAGCAGTTCGTGTGCACGGTCGTACTCCCTAAACAAAACTGCATACCCGAGCGCGGTGGCCGGCTCCCGGTCGCGGCAGAGAAACACTCGGCGCAGCTTTGAACGCAGAGGGTCGTCGGCCTGTTCTTGTCCCTCCTGATGATGCAACGCATCTGCATCATGGTCGATGGTAAGACGCGCTCGCAGCGCGTCCAAACAGTCCAACGTGAAAAGACAGTGGGCCACGCAGGAAACTAGACTTTCGTCGGTACTTAGCAGCGAAGCAGCTCTGAAAAACTGCTCGTGGCTGTGGTTGGGCTCCAGGTAAAGGCCGAGTCGCGCTACCGGGTCTTTGTTGAGAGTGCTGGTGCTTCCGTCTTGCTGACTGCGACGCTCACGTTCCTCCTGTATTTTGTCACGAGGACGAAATCCCTCAGCAGGAATCTCGCGGTCCTCGTTGTCGACGTCTCCCCCGGCAGCAGTGTCCGCCTCCTGAGCGAGAATCAGATCTGCGAAATGCGCATACAAGTGTTCTTCTCGCGGACGGTGAGTGTGACTTCTCTCGATTCCGTTGAAGACCGCCACTTCTGAGCAACTTGCCAAGAGAAAGCGCACCCAGCAGAAGTTATTCATCACCGGGTCACATCTTTCATCTTCCGCAATGCCCGCGCCCTGGGCAAAGCGATTTTTGCCCACATTTCGCAAACCCCTTTCCTCTCCCTGTTGAGTGGATGATCTTATCCCGCCAACGCGGTTGACGTCCGGATTATGAGGGTGGTCGCGATCTTCTTCTGCGGCTTTTATTACACCCCCCGAAATAGTATAAGCGGCTTGCGCCGTTGTAAGCAATCTGCGCAATTTGCGCAGGCGCCTCGGGCAAGCGCTCTCATCCGCGGCGCGCCACAATGTCGCCACTTGTGCCTGGGTGAGCCGCAGCATCAGAAGGACAACGACTTGCTGGTCGGTTTTGCCCAACAACGGAAAAACAGTGGCGAACAGAGCAACCACGTCGTCCAACGCCCCCGCTGAGGACCGGCTAGAAGCCGCCCAAAAAGAGATCTTTCCACCTGCAGAGCCTTGCTCGAACCCTGCGGCTTTCCGCGTGCGAAACGAAATCAATCCGGCGAAAGTGTCGTCCAAAACATGTGCAGCCAGCAACCTGCAGAGCACTGGGAGCACCTGCTCACTCAGTGCGGAAAGAAACTCTTGCTGATTTTCTGCGGAGGCAGGAGGCCTCTCCGTTCCGCTTACGCTACGGATTCGAAGCTGGTGCAGAAATACGGCCTTTAGCCACCGCAACACCGACCGGCGAAGGTCGCCGGCGGCGGAAGACGGAGCGCCCATTTCGTGCTCCATCATATCGTGACCCAATTCTGCGAACTTGGCCAGGTGTCGCAACGACAATCCTGCGATATCGTCGATCCACGAACTGCGATCTGTTTTCGCAGTGTCCGCTGCGTCCCAGTTTTTACCGTCTCGTCCCAGTAGCAGAATCATCTTGAAAACTACTGACTATCGCAACTCCCTATACAGAACAGAAAAAACCAAGCGAACATGCCAATAACTCCCTCCACCCTGCCAACATGCCGACAAGCGACAAAACTAAGCATCGCAGCCAGATTCGGAAATAAACCGATGTTTGAAGTAGCTTCTGCGGCATGATGAACGGACGCTGGCAGCAGCAGTACGGGTGCGATAGAAAGCTTTTTGTCTTCTGTATGTTCCAGTTGATACGAAGGGCATTGTCATCACCGTCGGAGAAAGATCTTTCCAGCAGGTAGTAGGTCATCTCCTCAAATATTGGGGTGGACGCTGGGAATACCTTCTGGAGGTTCCAAAGAATTTTGACGAGTCGTGGCAGGAAAGTTGCTCGGAAATAAATCTTCGCTGCGTGTGGCGCTTCTCCTTCTGCCGTCGATGATTCCATGAGACTCTCAAGCACCTTCCACAGCAGATTCCACCACACGTTTATCCCGGGGTATAGGACAGCCCCTCGTAGTTCGCCATGCCTCGCGCTCGACGCAGCGCCTCCCGCGCCGCCCCCCGCCTGTCCCTCTTCCTGAAACAAACCCCTTGCAACCGGTGGTAGCTGCTGTGCGTGAAGCAACCGCCGGCGAATTTCCGCCGTCACCCAAGGCTGTACTTCAAGCTTCGTGACAGGTTTCATCTTCAAAGTAGAAGCTGGTGTACTGGAGACATCGTTGTCCATTCCGAAATCGTGAAGATCTTCGTCCTCGTAGTCCTCGATCTGAAAGATAAGCTTTGCGTTCTCAGCTATCCTGAGTAAAAACATCCCCACACCAGAGTCAAGATGGGGATTTTGCAACACAAACCTAGAACTTTTGGGGGTCACGCATCACAAGTTGCAGTCCGTAGTGTAGTGCAGGTTCGCAAGGCCAGCTGCATCAGAAATCCATCTGCTCATCCTGTTTACAGCATTACAAATTCCAAAACACGACTAAAAATGCCTCTCCTGGCGATGCGCATTACAAATGTTCCTGTCATTGCAAATCTGCATGACAACTCTGGTGTGGGGACGTTTTTACTCAGCATATCAGCTACTGCATCCAAGTACGCCAACAACACCGGAACGAGGTCCCGCAAGAAGTTACATCCCTCTGTATGAAAAGGAAAAATCCCCCCTCCCCATATCAAAAAGGAAATCTGTGATGCTGGATTTGCGTACACACATCAGATTTGTATTGCAGGAAAGCATTGCGGCCAGGTCCCCAGGCTAGGGAGGGGCGTATGGATCTAGTTGGTCAGCATTGCAAACGGCTGACCTTTAGGCCCAACAGCATGACAAATCGCTTCCATAATGGGGCGGAAGCTTCTGCCCTTGTCTTCTTGCAAGACAAATGTGATTTGTGACCTCAAATCAGCAACGCAAATTTTCGGAAAGATACCTTTTCGATATGGGGAGGGGGGATTTTTCCTCTCAATACTCTGTCCGCACTAGCTCCGGGCAAGCGTGGTAGAACAGGGCGAGCACCGAGTTCAGGCTCGAAGAACTGACGCAGTGCTCTTGCAGCGGTACCAAGGGCGCGATGCACGGTATGAGCGACGGCAAGGCCCCTGCGAAAGGTGGAACATGATGATCGGAGGAAATAAATTGATCACTATTTGCAAACGCCTCTGCGTCCTTGCTTGTACTTCTGTCGCGTGGTCCTCGAACATCGTCTCTGCCGCGCTTTCGTGCGCTTGCTTTTAGCCTCTGTGATGTGTGCATCGCTAGGACATGCACCCAGCGCACAAGAAAATCGGGGCTCCGGGGCGGCGCGGCGCCCCCGCTCCACTGCTCTTGCATCACATCCAGGACCACTTGTCGGCACCGCGCGTACATAGCATCCCCCTCCTCAAAAACAATGTCCCGCAAAAGCTTGTCGAGATGAGCACCAAGACTGTTGGCGTTGCTAGCGCTGCTCGTCGTGTGCACCGCGTCGCCCAGATTCCCTAGCCCTGGAGTGAAGGACATCCGAAGCATTTCGGCCGAAGATGGTGGCCCACCTGCAGAGGTGGGTGGATGAGACGAGCTCAGCTGCTGCTGTCCTGAACCTCCCGAAGCGAGGTGATGCGAGGGACCAGCCCCACTCGTGTAGCTACTGGAAGAACTCCCGACCACGAGCATGTTCATGACGGCGCGAAACATTTCTGTGAAGAAAAACAGTGTGCGTGCGCGGAACTTCCGGAGCAGGTTAAACAACGCCTCGGCGGCGAACCCGCGCACGGACTCTTCTGTGTCGTGCTGTAGCGAAAACAGCACCGGGTTCAAAACAATGCGCAGCAGGGTTTCATCGTAGTACAGGAGCTGCCGACTGCTTATAGTCTTGTTCTCGGTTGATGTCGGCCCGTCGTCGCGGATAGCAAGCGTCGCCAGCGCTACTAAGGCGCCCTTCCGTTGGTCCGCGAGGAACAACTCCGACCGAACCGGGTCCAGACTGTACTCCAAGCTGACAACGCTCGCAGGCTGCTGCTGGCAGCAGCGCAGCAAAAAGGCCACCGCCTCCTCGCGAAAGGACAAACGGGTCTTCACCCGACCTTCCGCACCCGCGTCAACTCCGTCGCTGCTCACTGCGCTTGTGACCACCACGGTGGCGATCTCGTTCGCGGCCTGCTTTCGCCGCTCGTAGCTGCGGTCTGCAAGCAATTCCGCCCACCGCCGTCCGCTGGGAGAAGAGATCCCAAACACCTCTTTTGGGTCCTGCATCTTCGCGGAATTACACGTAAAAAGACTTTTTGTACCACTTTCACACCAAAGGCTTTTCAAGTCATTGACACATATCAAAAAACAGCCCACCCAATAGACAGCAAGGGGCGCAACCCATACAGGTGCCAGTTGATCTGTTTCAGTTCTGTCGTACGCAACAAACAGTGGTACACACTTGGGACGAAAAATGCGTCACGAACAACGACAAAAATGCAACCACGACCTCATCTTTCGGGCTTACGAGCAGAGCAGGTCAACAATCGATTGAACATCATGACTACACCCCAGTGGGCTGTAAGCTGTGGCGGGAAAAACAAATCATCTTTATTTTCATCTCGAGAACCAGCGGAACAATGAAAACATGCGAACCCAGCATTATACAAACATGCGCATAGTAGCCTGTCATATAATTCGCGTCAGGTAGGAGGTAGTGGCGGCGCACAGCTGCGCTTGTAGCAAAAAATGCAGCGACCAGAAGATCTATCCTGACAACAATCATCGCGCGGTGACGGTTCGTCTTATTTGCCCGATGCAAGAAACATCTTCCAACACCCACTCAGCTGTATTTGTAGCGTCACCGCTATACAACTCCACTTGAGTGCAGCATCAAACTCCGCAGTATGCTTCCTGTTCGTGCAAGGCTTCGCTCGCTCGCTGTTCTTGCTTGGTCGTAGCTCCTGCAGCCACTAATACGCCGTCGCTGGTCCACCAGTATGGGAGTAGAGGTTATCACACTACCAGACGGTAGGTGACATATCTTCCAGCAGTTTCACTGGGCCGGATGACCTTCACCACCTTTTCCTTTTCCAAACCAAAATATCGTGCGATGGGGTCATTCATCTGGATACGCGGAAGTTGTGATGGCTTCAGTTGGTACCTGTTTGCATGAATAATGGGTAGATAGTTTTTGATTTTTAGAGTTATGGCCGTCCGCTGGTGTACCAAAATGTTGAACGCATGATTTTTACCAATCTCAGTGCGGCACCAAGTTGATGAATTTCCATCAAAACAAACTAAAGAACTGCATCGTCCCGCGTAGTAGTTGTTACCTTTCAAGCAGATATCTCTTTTCCTCGGCAGTTAACGGCACGTGCGTCGGTACCAGTTCGTGCTTTGTGATGTTGATGACCAGCTCGTTCTCGTGGAACACCTCGATGCGCATCCTTGACAACGTCTCGGCAATGGCTGACTTCGCGAATGGTGTGAGGCTCTGCCGCACGACCAAAATTGCGTGACTAATATCGTTCTCCGTCATCTTCTCAGCCAGGATGCGTATTGGTTTTACACCCACGCGCTTGCTGTCATCCGGGAAGTACCTGTTTGTGGAATTATTTCTTTTTGCAAAGTTTTTTCTGTTTATTTCTTCTTCTTTGTCAGCAAGTGCAACCGCGGACGCTGCTGGAAAAACACCAGTTCATCATGCGTGCAACGAGGAAACCGGTAGTTTTGGCGCCGTACAACATTGATGAAAGTCGTCCATAGAGGACCAGAGAGGAACGAGAGGGCATGACCCCCGCGAAGGTATTGATGAACCTATCCCATCTAGAAGTAGCAAGTAGAAGTACACTAAGATTTTGTCGTCCGTGTTGTCCTTGTGGGAGCAGAGGATGACGAATCGCTCCCGGCCGACCCCGTCCGCTTGTGCCTGCTCCCACGCCTGCTGGAAGTCCGCGCGAGACTCGTTCCGAAAAGCCGCGGAAACTACATACCCCCGGTCGTGGAGCATCTCGCCAACAGTCCGGCGGATTCGCCAGAGCTTGGTGATGCCCTGCTGCGGATTCGCGTCAGCCATGGTGGTGGAATAAATGTGAAGTAGGTAGGAATAAAGTCGCTAGAATAAATAAATATCTGCGCGCAACTATCTTGAATTCCAGGGACAAAGAGGTTTTGGGTTCAACAATATCGTTATTTTCAATAATGCACGCGCACACGAGCAGCTCGAATGATCCACCACATAAATGAAAATGAAACTACCACCACAAACCACTGCACTAAAAATCACTGTTGGGATTCTAAACATCATCAATTTTTATCGTGTATGTAGTAGAAGACAGCGCAGAGTTCGCTTCGGTGACACAGAGTAAACAGTCCTCGTCGCTTCTTCGCATCAGATCTTGACTGCTCGCTCTTCCCTTTTCTGCTTCCTCGCATTTCGTCGAGATCATCATTCGTTCGAATTTCACTTGGATCTCTTGTCAGTGCACTTGAACGCATCGCATCTAGTAATGCACACCTGCGTGCTTTCATTCTTTTGATCGCAAGGTGAATTTCATTCAACACTTTGGAATCGAGCTGAATGGATCGTGCTGTTGGAAATAATTTCATCTGAAGCTTCACTTTATTCAATGTCACTGACAACATTCACTGCAATGTCCTCGGAGAACTCTGTCGAAGCGAAAAAACGACCATTTCAATTTACATTTGAGTAGCGCTAGAACGTGACTGCACCTGCAAATAAAATTTTGTCGATGCGGGCATTACCATTGATTAGCGTCATGCGCTTCGTTAGATGTATAGACTAAAGATGCATTCATACTTGTGAAAAGGTGCCTATTTCGGCGATTGCTTGCATGTAAAGTCGCGAATCGTACTTTACGATAAAAATCCTTACCACCGGAACCTCGGCAATGCTCTGCACGGTTATCAAATGTAAAAATGTCTGGGTCTGGAAACTTGTGATGCTGGGTGGCGTCTCATGATGAGGCTACAGATGCTGGCTCAGCATGACAAGTTTCTGAGCTCTTAGGTGTTGCCTGTTCTGCATGACAGACTGCGCTTCTGCATCACAGAAAAACGGAGCTCTTGGGTAACGTGCATGACAGATTTAAGAGTCATGCCAGACAAGCATGACAAACATGAATTCTTCCAGACCCAGACATTTTTACAGTTGATAACGGTTCAAGAGCCACCAAAAAAGCGGTCGGGGTCTACGACGCCAAAATTTCCGGCTTCCGGTCCGGAGGGAACTTTCTCGCCCGGTTCGACGTAAACGCACTCGAACTTGTAGCTGCGGGACACGTATGCACTGCAAACATGTCTGGGTCTGGAAATCTGTGATGCTGAATTGAGCATGATTGAAGCGCTTGTAATGGCAGCCAGGCATGACAAGTTTTAGAGAGGCCTGCTGAAGCCTACCACGCATCACAAATTGCGTTTTTGCATGACAAAGCAAGCTCCTCTTTTGCTGCTCATGCAACACAGATTTTCCAGATATGCAAGACACGCACCACAAGTTCCACTGTTCCAGACCCAGACATATTTGCACTGGATAACACGTCCTGGCTGGTGTGGAAGAGGTGTTCGTCCTGCTTCTTTTTGTCCTTCCGCTTGACGCACTTCATGGGGCGGCCGCGCGCCGGGTCCTCGGGACACACGCAAGCGCTCTGGTGCGAGTACGGCACGTTCAGCTTCGCCAGAAACTCCTCCCCCAGGTGCAGCGCGATAGCGATCGTCCGGATGCCGTGGTCGCCCCAACGGTAGAGCCAGAACCCGCCCATGGAATCCAGAAACTGAAAGTAGTCCTGATACACCGGGGACTGGAACCAGGACAGCTTCACCAGCTCGATGTCGTTCATGAAAAGCAATCGGTTCCACTCGTGCCAGTACGTGTCCCGCATCACCAGTGCGTCCGTGATCCGCCGCATCAATTTCGTAGACTTCGGGTTGCGTATGCAAAAGTGCAAAAACTTTCTTTCTCCGGCAACTACTACGAAGAAGAGAAGTTGCTTCAATCATGTTATTAAACTTATTATATTTGGCTGCATTCCGCTTTACACGCACACGCGAGCTCTCGTCGCAGATCGCGAGCAACACGCTACAGCATGGAATGCAGATGACGGCGCGAGATCAGCAGGGCCCGCTCTTTATGCACCCTCCTCAGGATGCCCCTGTGTCATCCATGATAGCGTCGGTGAGGTATTCAAGTGCAAACCTAGTTAGACACTGCCTGTCGCGATCATAAAATACACATGTATACTAGAAGACTCCTTCTTCGTTGCTGGCGGCACACTGCCTCGCTCGTGGTGCGGAGAGATTGATTACCTTTACGACGGCGCCTCCATCGGGATAATGTACTGCTTGTGTTCGAGGTACAGTCGGGTGAACTCCCAAAAGTGTTGCACCTGCCCCGCCTGGTCTCGGGAGATGTGGGAATACATGTAGACGCGGTTTTCTCGGTGCATGCGCTCGATGGGGTCGTGCTGCACGGGCGCGGGGAAGTATCCGTCGGTGTCTAGGGTGAACGCGTAGTCCATGTTGCGCAAGATCGGATGCAGAAAGATCGGGCCGCTGCGGAACCGGCACATGCCGCGGTAGCCCAGCGGGTACCCAGCAAAGTCGGACTGCGGCAGCTTCGTCGCGAGGTGCTTGGGGATCTTCGTGTAGTCCTCCACGAAGGCGAACCACAGCGCGTTGTGCGAGCTCTCCACCAGGTACTGCCGCGTCTCGGGAGGCAACCCGTTGTATCCCGGGGAAAAATCCCCCCTCCCCATATCGAAAAGGTACGTCGCAGAAAATTTGCAATGCTGATTTGCGACCTCTGTCTTGCAAGAAGGCAACTCCACAGGCTCCGCCGCATTATGCAGGCGGTTTGTGATGCTGTTTGGCCTACAGCGCAGACGTTTCTCATGCTTAGCGCCTAGGCCAAAACCTCTCTACTCAGGCTTGATGTGGGCCTGCAGTCCTCTTCAGCAAGACAAATCTGATTTGTGTACTCAAATCCAGCATCACAAATTTCGTTTTCGATATGGGGAGGGGGGATTCTTCCTCTCAATACGTCGTGGAAAATCACCACCGGGTACTCGTGCGCCCGGTTATAGTTCTTCCACAGGATCTGCAGCGACACCCGGATGTCGCGCAGCAAGCGGGGCGAGTTCCCGACCAGGTAGTGCAGCGCGGCCCGGTACTTTTTCTTCAAAGGCCCCCGCTGGTACGACCTCAGGTACTCCACCTCCTCGCACCACCGCCCGCGGTACGGGATGAAGCACTCGCAAAAACCGAGGTCGTCCAGGCAGCGGCCTCGACCGTTCTGCTCCAGCAGGTACTTCTTCCCCAGCTCGTTCTTCGGGTTCTGCAGGTCCCAGTCGCGCAGGAAAAACCACTTCTCGTGAAACGCGCGCGGCGCGGGAACACCTCCCACAGATGTTGATGAAGAAACAACTGCTGTTTTTACTACAACACCGCTGCTTGTTCCCTCCGGTGCCTGCACGTCGTTCCGCTTTATCAGCGTTCCGAGCGCAGCAGCTTCCGAGGCCACTCCGTCGAACAGCGACAGCGAGCTTTTGGCCTGCAAAGACGAGGCAGGAAGCGAGCCTAGCGACGAGTCTGCCGGTTCTTGACCACCCGCACGACCGTCTGGCTTTGCCGGAGCAGCTGCGTTCTCTCGTTGTTTCGCCGCTTGCGACTCCGCTTCGTCCTGCGCTAGGTCCGCCTGTTCCTCGGCTCGCAGCTGGTGGCTCACGGCCGCGCACTGCCCGTCGTCGTGCATAGGAAGCGAGAACCGATCCTGAAAACGGCACAGCTCCTGCTTGCGCAGCAGCGGGTCCAGGCTGTTGTCCAGCAAAAAATCCGTGTCCAGGCCGCTCTTCCACGCCAGTGCCATAAAAGTTTTCGCGACTGAGGAGCAGAACCACCCCTGCAGCCAGAGCTCCTCCGGCTTCAGTGGCCCCTCGTCGAACTTCGTACTGGGACCCTTTTTCCGGCCGAACAGCGCGAACATGTGGTCCACTTGCAGCAGCGCGTAATTCTGCTTTTCCAGAATGCTCACGGTGGACGTCAACGAGCACTGCACAAACAGCCAGGAAGCATCGTCAATGGGTGTCGAGGTTGATGTAGAAGTACTACTAGTCGTGCCTCCTGACGATGATGACGCAGCAGATCCGCTCTTGGTACCTTTCTCGCCTCCTGCCCCGAACTCGTGCTCATGCCACTTGTTGAAATCCGGCACAAACTCGAAGGGCGGGGGGATCAAGGGATTGATCGGCACCAGGATCAGCTTGGGCGCCAGCTGCGGGTCCCGCTTCCGCGTCGTGCCCTGGTCGTCCCGGCTGCGGCCGAGCTTCTCCATCATCATGCAGTTGCCGACCAGCGGAGAGAGAAACATGAAGTCCGGCGTTGGGTGGTTCAGGGTTTTGTACACCCCGTCGACCGCCTCCAAGATCTCCTCGTAGCTTTCGCTGCCGTTGGACACGGGCTGGACGAAGGGCTGCGGGCGCTTGTAGAAGTTCTTCTCCTCCCCCGACCCGTCATCGGCCCTAGCCCAGTCGAGCGCCGCGGCGTTCTTCTCCGTCATCTCGGAGACGGTCAGCGTGGCGTCGTAGGGGGGCTCCGTGTTGATGGTGAAGGTGAGCGACCCCCACCCGGCGTCGAAGAGGCACTTGGAGGGGGTGAAAGCCAGCCCCGTCGCGCTGCACTGCAGGTCGTCCTTCCCAATGGTCAGCTTCTTCACGCTCTCCGAGTTCGCCACGGACTCCGACCGCCCGAAGTCCTGGCGGTAGGTGTCCTGCAGCGTCTCGCTGCCGATCACCGCTCGCGGCTGCATCGCCACGATGGTGTAGCTCAGTTGCTCGTGGTAGTACTCCAGGTGGTCCAGCAACCCCGGCTGCAGCGAGTACAGGCCGGTCACGTCGGTGAACAGCCGCCGCTTCGCGAGCAGCGGGTCGCGCCGGTTGTCGAATCCTAGCACCGACCGGCAAAGGTTCGCGGACCGAGTGGAGTACGAAACCAGACTTGGTGTTGTGGAAGACGATGAAGCAGCGGTGATTCCTGTTGTAGAAGTAGACGCAGAAGCAGGCCGTGTCGTGGGCAGCAGCGCTGCGGATCTCTTTTTTTGCTCGGAAGTAGTAGACCTAGAAGATGCCGCACGACTACTACCAAGAACAGGATCTTCTGTAGCAGCAACGTCCGAATCTTCCTCCGGCCTGCTTGCCGCAATTGTGGCGGTCGTCGTCCCACGGAAGTCCGCTTCGAATACCGGGAACAGGGGTTCGGACGTGAGCCGGAGCTCGGGCTGCACCAACTGCGGAAAAGCCTCGATCTGCTGCAGCAGTGTGGGCAGGTGCTTCACGTGGAAGTCGGCGAGGTGGTAGTTGACCACCTCCTTGACCGTGGCCAGCGTGGCCTCCACAATGTAGGGCGCGAAATTAAGTAAGTGGTTCGCCAGCTTCATAGGGTTCGCGGGAAACAGGGCACTTTCGTCTTCCAGAAACTCCGCGAAGTTGCGCAGCAGCGGCAGGCGCCATTCTTCGCCCGTGGAAAAGTCGGCCAGCAGCTCTGTGGTCGTGTGATTCCACTGCCGCAAACTGGCCGCAATGCGGTCCATTTTGCTCCGGAGCAGCGTCTCCTTGAGTGTTTCGGTGTCGTGAAAGACCACCCGCAACAGCGCTTCGGTCTGCCTCCTATGCCGGCCGAGGGCGCCGCTACCACTACTACTGGAGAGCAACGGTTCGTCTTGCGCTACCGCATTAGCTGGTGCACTGCTGCTCGTAGTGCTACCCTCGACCTGTGTGCCAGAAGCCGATCCGATCGCTGGATCTGATTTGCCCTTGCCAGTTTTGTTCTCTCGCGACAAAATATCTTTGAGCAGTGGCTCCCCGACCATTTCTGCAAAGATCGCCTCAGCGACGGTGGATGCCGTGGGCACGACCGCGGGTGATTTTTCTACTAATCTTACCCCTTCTTCCGCAGAAATTGCCGCTCCTTCTTCGGTTTCCTCCGCGCTCTCCGAAGACGACTGCACCCCTTGCCGCTGGTGTTCCAGTGCAACGCTTAACACCATGGGGTCGAACCCGAGATACGGCAACAGGGTCAACAACGTGTCTGGGGGAGGAAGCTTCGGCTGCTGGCCGTCAGGCCCTCCAGGTCGTGGACGCAGCTCTTCCACAAGTAAGTCTAAACGTGAACACGCCTGCCCTCGCTCTCGCCGCACGAAACGATTCTGCTTCACCGCGTTGTCGTACATGCGTTCGAAATCGGCACAGACCCCTTCCAAAATCTGCAGCGTGCCTAGTAGTACGGACACGCCCTCCCGGCAGAACTGTTCCAACTTGTGCTTCACCAAATGCCCGGAGACGCGCTGGAAAATGTCCGACTGCGCCTGCGTGCACTTCTTTTGCAACTTTACTAGCAGGGGATCCAGGGTTCGCTCCACCACCTCCACCATCGTCAGGTCGTAGCGACACACATTGGATATCGGTAGTCCATGAGCAACGCGATTGATAGCGGCGCAAAGGAGACAGAGCACAGGTACACAGAGCCTCCCGGCTGAACGCAACCGCTTGCGCACGGGGGAAAAATGTCGAAAGAACGACGGCATGGTGGATTTTCACGAGGCTATCGTTTTGCGCGCCTGGTGATGCTAGTTAGGTCATCTTGGAAAGTGAGTTCAGCATCATTTGAAGAACCACTCCCTTCAAAGAATGTTGGAGGATTTCGACTACATTTTTAAGAGGCATCATCGAGCCCACCCGTCACTCTGAAACGTATGTCTTCACTTTGTCATGGAGCTACTTTGATCGTTGGCACAACCTGCAGTTTGATGCACACGAACAGTCTCTAAACACTATCTAAACAAAACTAGCGGAACCGAAGCGAAGATCTGTGTCCTTGATCAAAAAACTTCGCGAAATCCTGGTTTTTCTGCCACAAGAAAAACGCAAAAACTTGGCGGGACTGAACGTTTTTGTAAGAAAGAACTGCATCTGACCAGAGGCACTCAAGATACCAATGGCACAACAAAAAAGCCAAGAAGAAGAAAGCTTCACGTCGAACACAACGACAGCCCCAGCAAAAAAAAACCAGGCGCCAGACCACATAGCTGTGGCCTTTGAAAGGCGTCGTTCTTCGAAAAACAACTGAATCAACTGGATATAGCACGAAGTGGAGACGCATTCCTTCATTTACTTTGAAAGCTCATTCTCAGCGGCACAACAGCCGTGTAAAATTTTCCTCGATACAGAAGTACGGGACCAAAAAGGTGCTCACAGATACTACCAAAGCACCTGCCGTCCCCCGGCACAGATAATGAGCTAGTTGTTTCATCATTTGTTTCGTAGAGTTGTGACAAAGTAACACATCCCCATCAATCTATAATCTTATCTGTGCGACTAGGTACACATATCTTTCATGTGGTAATCATATAAAGGGGTCGTGGCAGGAGTGTTTGTGCTTCCGCAGTTGCGAGAGAAACGAGATTGAAAAAAAAGGTTTTCCACTCAACAACCAGCAGCTTACTGGTGCGAATGTCTGTCGTGAAGGCGGCATTTACATACCATGATCCATATCTGAGAATACCATGCTGGTCGTGTATACTAACTCACAAGCCTCGTCGCACTCGCTTCCGATAGTGTGTGCGCAGTTGCGGAAAAGCGTCTTGATTACTATAATGACAGACTATTTTCATAAACTTTTGTACTCCCAGAAACTTGAGCTCGTGCTTGTGGAAATCCTATCTTTAGATCAGCGGTCAGTAGTTCAAGTCCACCTTCATAAAATTCAAAGCATGGAGAACTTACCGCGAAGATTTTTCTTCAGCGCGCTCAGCCTTTTGGACTACGCTAATAAATCAGAAGTCGGATTTATTAGCTCGTAGTACCGAATGTGGCCTCCATAGTTTATTCTGCTGATCTTGTTGTAACTACCGGATCAGTCGGTCAGCGGCGGATCCGCAAACGTTGTAGGGATTCAGATTACATTACACCCGGAAACCGTAGGGATAGTATCTGTGTATGGCTGGTGAATCAATTAGGAAGCACTTCCAACCTTCAAAAAAAAGTCGATACCGTAGGATATCACTGTGTTGGTCGTAGTGCCGGGTACATAATTTTTCTTCATCTCACCGCAACGGAGAAAGGCAGCCAGGGAAAGCAGGCTGCCCTACCCCCATGGGGGACGTGTAGTACTTTCTAGTCGCCGACCTGTCTGCAATCCGCGAAATGGCCGTTTGCTTGCAGGAGTAAGCCTAGTAACTACAATAAGAATAGTTGAATGCGATGGCTGGTCTGTTCTAAATGAACGTCACCTTTTCCAGTCATATTTATCGCACAAGAGAACTCAGGAGTTCTGAAAAAATCATGGGATGAATACTAGAACTTGGGACGGGAAACTGCTTCTTCTGTTTAGCTACCGTCTGTAGCAAAAATAGACTCTTTCCTGACGGAGCTAGTGTTTTAATCTAACTGACAGCTTGCTTCGGGAGAAGAGCAAATTCAAATATTAAAGTTGAGTAATTTATATAGGAAACCAAAACCATCCAGCTGCTTCTGTGACACATTGCGCGGAACTCTGATATGGCTGCTCGATCCACCAGCCCCTCGCATCGGAATACCTATGTGACACACGGCGCTACTAAAAAAGTAGACATTGTGCTGCTCATAATAGCGGTTCAACAGACATGCGCCGGTATATTGGCATTCTTTCTGTGCTCCGGGGACACGATGTAGTCACGGGGGTGGCCGAAGCCGTTGCCGGGGTCATACTCATAGGATTCCGGCGATGGGTCATTCGGCGATTGGTCACTCGTGCTGCAGTCCCCGGTGCTACTGCTCTGCGGCGCGTTCAGTTTCCCGTAGTCACACCCCTTTCTCGACGTCGTTCCCCGGAGCGTTGAATTGCTCTTGCCGTTGATGCCGACGCGCGGACTGTATCCCTTGCTGTGGCTCTTATTATTGGGTGGAACCTTCGTCCGTGCCTGCTCTCGGGGGTCGATGTGGTTGTGCTGCTGCTGCCCTGATGAATTAGTAGTCTTCATCATTACCGTAGTGCTACCGAGTGAGGACGTGGTCCGCCTACCAGTTCCGCGCCTCGCAGCGGTTGTCGTGAACTGAATCTTGTTGTCTCTTCTTGGCGTTGGTGTGTGCGTGTAGTCTGCCGAGAACTTCTTTCCGCGATCTTTGCTCGACGCCCCATGCTTGCCCTTGTATTTGTGTACGTTTGTGTAGCTTTCCTGTCTTTCGCACTCGAGAAAAATGTCGTCTGGTGAATGGAACGGCACTCCCAAGTGGATCGGGAGTGGCTCAACTGCATGGCGCGAAACATCCGCATCGCATTCCCCGCGCTCGTAGTACTGCGAACTTTCCACGCAGTCTTGCTGCTGGTGCACCCCCTCCTTGTAAACAACGTGCTTGCCGTTCGATTCTATGCCGGTGTTCGTCGTGGTCTCTTCGGGGGCTCCCGCCTGTTTCTCTTCATCCGGCGGCTGCGGCACGACCTGGTCGCTCGCTGTTGTGCTGCTCTTCTTTTTCCTTTTAGAAGTCTCGTTCCCATTACTCGCGCTCGAGCTTGAGCTCTGGTCCCGTTTGTCTTTCAGATTGGTTTCCATCATCTCTGGCGGATTGGATACGGCGCTCGCAGTTGACCTCTGCCGCTCCAGTGGCGTCAGCCACGAGTCTGGGTACAACGGGAGCTGCGTGCTTGTGAAGCTCGCCTGTCGCGCCTCGACTCCCACCAGCAAATTGCCGCGCTCCGCGTGCTGCAGAAAGTCCCACTCTTCCGCCTTCGGCAGTCCCTTTGTGTTGAGCTCCGTAAAGTCGTTTGTCATCGGCCCCGAAATTTTCGGCTTCTTATCCGGGCCCCCCACGAAAAAGCGAAAGGACAACTGAAACTTGCTGCCAACTTCTTCCACGTCCCCCATTGCGGTGTCGCACTTCAGCACGATACGACCTGTAGCAAGCCGTACACAAATGTTGAAGTTCTTGTTCGAAAAAAACCACATTTCTCAGAACGTAACATATTCCAATTCACACAGTGCAGGATCACGTATGTTGACTTCAGTTGCTCTACTTCGTTGACTGTGGTATAGTACAGCAACTTCGCCAACTACCAAAAAAACATTATATAGCTCAGTCGCGTAGTGCGACAAGGTCGTAATCATGTTATCGCGAAATGCGTATTATACCTTTGCCCTTGCTGGAGCGAAAATTCCCCTGACCTTTGCTGTAGTTGCCGGTTTCGGGCGGGTAAAGCACGATTCGATATTTCACGTCCTCAATTTGCAAGACGGAAAACGCCGGAGAGACGCAAAGCTGTTGTATTTATTACACGACGGTATTTGTTTCTTTTTCACAACTTGTTGCAGAAGCATTGAGATTGACTAGTTCGTTATTTCTGTGGGCAGTTCATACGAATCTGATCGAAAATGAAGATATTGACTTGTCATGTCTACAACTCAACAATTATGAAATCACGAAACGCACAACAATCAGGCAAGGAAGTAGAACAAATACCTTATCCGTGCTCTTTAATCTCTTGGCCTCAACGTTCCACGTGACCCGGTGCGCCCCACTGTTGATGGAGGTTTGTCGGCGCAGCGCGTGGGGCGTTGCGGGGATGGTATAGTCTACCTGGGAGGGCTTCAGGTTCGTCGTTTGCATCAACTCGCTCTCGGGGAGCAAAGTCCGCGCGTGCAGGTCCTCGTCGTAGCCACTCCCCCGTTGGTTGTGCTGGTCCGATGCGCCGCCACTGCGTCGACTTTTGCTCGACGTGCCGGTGGTCGTGTGCGGGTGTCCCCCGCCCATGCCTTTGCCGCCCCGATAGTGCGGAACGTAGGGGTTGGCGCCGCCCGCGGAGCTGCCCTTGTTCATTCCCCCGGTTGAGGTTCCACTGGTCCTCGGTTCGGGGTCGTACACCCAGTTATTGTTGGCCTTGCCACCGTGCGCCGCGCCTCCACTGCCCATCCCGATGGGAGGTGGCTGTGGGGGAAAGAAGGGCGTGTGGACGTCGTGGTATTCGTATTGGTCCGAGGAGGGAAACGAGGGGTTGTTGTTCCCTCCGTTGTTCCCAGAACCCACCGGCGTGTTGTAGTACTGTTGCGGCACCGGTGTATTGTAGACGCTCTGGCCATTCCCCGCCGTGTTCACCACCTCCCACGCGGAGTACGTGCCGCCGGCGCGGGCCGAGAAGCTGGTCGGAGGCTGCTGATGTTGGGAGTGCTGCCCGCTGCTCGTGCGCGGCGGCGGCAGCGAAGCGGTGTGGTTCAGCGGACTGCTCATGTCGATAACATTGTTGTTGTTGCTCCCGCCGCCGTCCGTTTGCATGCTGTTGCTGGCAAAACTGACGCGGGCCGCGCCGGGGGTGTCAGTCGCCGCAGACGTCGTGGTTCCAAGCACCACGGGCCGGCCCAGGCCCGGCTGGCTTTCCAGGTGCAGCGGCTCATGCCCGTGGTTCTGCAGGAGAAACTCCTCCCCGAGGCGGATGGAGTCCGCGCTGGGACGTGCCGTATGCCCTCCATACAAGCCGGGTGCGGGGACGCTCCCGCTGTTGGTGAGCGCGTTCAGGATGGCCGAGATGGCCGCGCGGGTCTTGCCTTCTGTGTCGAGCTCTGACGCCGCAGCCGCGCCATCGGGGTTCATCGGCGCGGCGGCTGCGGGCGTTCCTAGACCCGTAGCCGCCTGCACAAACTGCAGCAAGGCATACAGATCTCGTGCGCGAACCGAAATCATCATGCCGGGCGGGGGAATCACGCTGGCCGTGCTCCCGAAGCGGCTGCGCTGCTGATGCTCGATTGCCGAGGCTAGGTTGCTGTAGGCAAGGTTGGCCGGGTATGGCTGCGAGGACTGCGGTGCGGTGTTGTCCAGCATTCCCGACATCGGATTCCCGCCCGAGTGGTAGGTATCGTACGCGCTCATTCCGTAGCCGCCCTGTTGCGCAGCCGACTGCGGCTGGAAGTAAGCAGAAGCTGGGTACGAATTCATGTCTATCTGCTGGTGCTGCTCGCTTAGTGCCGGGTAGCCGCCAGCGGCGCCCGCGGGGGGTGTGCCACCCGCTCCATGCCTGAAATTTTGATGAACTGTGAATTCGTGTACAGCTTTTTTATTCTTTCCAGTTCCACCGGAAAGGTGTCTTCCCGTCGTAAAAAAACCTCCCGTAAGCCAAAGAACGACGACATGCATGAAACTATTCTCCGGTAGTTCTTGCAAATGTTTCAGCATCATGTTGCCAGTGATTCACATCCATTTATTTAGAAAACAAAGAATAAGCTGAAAGTAATAGCCACGGTTGTACCAGAGGGGCGACCAGGATCCGGCCTGCGGGTCGTCAAAGGGGTCTCGCGTTATGTATCGCGGTACGCCGCCGGCGGACTGTGAAAATTTTGTTTGATTCGACATTTCAAATTTTTCCGCCTTTTCCAGCATGCCTTTCAATTCATTTCGACGATCCAAAATTGCAGTCTTTCGAGATGAGAGAACGAGACCAGCAACGCTGCACCACCAGGACTACCGGTTTATTGTATCCCTTCCTCTTACAATTTCATACCTCGGCGGTTCGCTGTCGGTAGGGAATGGAGCTTTCGGCGGTCCTCTGTCGGTAAGCGGCGACCGTGTCGGTGGTGCGTTGGCGGTAGGGAATATTTTCTTGCTCGCTGCTGCGCTGGCGGTATACCGCAGGGCATCCACATGAAACAATTGATCCCATTCCAGAACTATAGCTGCCTCTTCAACATGTTGCGGCCAACGAAGTTTCTTTAAACGTCGCAAGTTTAATCGAGTCTCATCTTTTATGCGGCACAAGCAAAAGATCTAGATCTCTGCACTACTTCAATAGTCGCTCTTGCTCGAGTGCAGTTCTAAGGGCCACTACACAGAAAATCGCTTCCGCTACCGGACAGCAACGGAAATGGGATCAATTTTTGATATCATATTTGCTCCTCGATTTTGTACAGCCGTGGCGGAAGGTCTTCCTCGCCCCGGTACGCGGAGGATGAGGTCCTTCATTTGGTAATTTTCGAAAATGTTGATAAAGCTACGGTGTATCACAACGTTTGTCTTTGTCCATCGCATGAGTCTGCACCCAATGCCCGCAACAAGCAAACCATCATACGCTCGGTTTACTCATGCAGGATTCACACAACACAAGCGTGTGCCTTTGCACATATGTACCATGCACGCATTGCCATTGTCGCAGCACCAGCACCGCGAAGGACGCAAAACGAATAAACCATAGAAGCTTACCTTCGCACAGGTGCCGTATTCGCTCGCGGGATGTCGTCATCGAGCTCTGGAAACGGTGCCTTGGCGGAGCCGTCGAGATCCAGAAAAGTGTTTTTCACCACCAAACTCGTCTGACCGCGCGACATCGCTGCCGACGTGGCCGCAGGCGCCGAAACCGACTTAATTCTGTCTGGGGTCGTCGGGGGGAGATTATACACTATTTTTGGGACGCTCTTACTGAGGTCGCCATGTAAAAGTGCTGCTATAAAGGTGTTGGGCCTATACTTGTTATACTTCGTATCCGTCGTTCTGTGTTATTTTCTCTTAGTTGAGGATGATGTTCTTTTTTACTGACAAGATTCCTGTGGTTGTGCTTGTACTTCCTTGTTGCCGAAGGACGCGAAGACGCACCTACTAAATTTATTTGCGGGATTGGCAAGAAATCACGATGATATTGTTGTTTGTTCGTGTCTTCTTGTTGCTGCTTTTGGTGCGGGTGTTCAGAAACTTAGGGTCGAAAATGCGATCTTGTACTTGTTTTAAATTCTTCCAACGCGCGTGCGTGCCGTTGCAGCTGTAGCTGTGTTTTGGTCCGTCAGCTAGCCGTGCGGCTCCAAAAACACCACGCACGCCGAAAGATTTGCAGCGAATAAAAAATAAATTGCTCGACAGTGCTAGCCTTTCAAAGGAAAAGTCAGACCTGCCGACAAACTTTGTAATCCATGTACAAACAAGGGTCGAGAATCTGCAATTATTGTATCTTTGTATATTCAAAGTGGTTTTATTGAACTACTTGTTTCAGAAGAGACGCATCAATTTGAACTACTCACTTTTCGACAACAAAGTGAATAAACAAATCAGTTGAATGAGAGTTCCTGAATTAGAATTGAAACAGTTTAGGTGTATTAAAATGATTGCCTAGCCGCGATATGTCTTGTCGGCGGGTAGGATTCATCCAAGACACTCGAAAACGGAGACGTGAGAAATCGGGTCCTTCTAAAAAATTTCAAGCGTTCCTACTTTATGTTGCTTCAGGTGTATCTTACTAAGAAACTGCTAGAAGATGAAAGAGAATGAAAATGGAAAATGAAACTCACAGACTAGTGCTGGTACAATTATTCAATCTGTCTATGAAGATTTCGTGTGACTAACCCGTCAATCACGGATGGCTGTGCTTGAGCACTGCAAGTGGGCAAGGGAGGGAGGAAAGATGAATGAGAAACACTATGCGTAGCGTGGGGGAGAACATTGCGGGGAAGTTACATAGATCCATCTGCTATTATCAATGCGCACGGGTAAATTGGACATCGGGAAAGAAAAAATATCAAGGACGCGAAATTGGCAGATCTGAACTCGTCCACGCTGCTTGCACGAAAATGGTCCGGCGAGTTTGAGTTTGCATGGTAATAAATGCTAGAGATCCGCCAAGTGTGTTTAATTCGTTCATCTAGCGTGTTTATCTATCTTGTACTGTCAATCTCCTTGATGGGCGGTGATGGTGAGAATGATGCGCTGAAATATGGAGAAAATCCAAAACTTAACATTTGAACAAAGTCATATTTTCAGGGTGTTGATCGCACGGTCACTGTTTTTTGCGATTCGTTTTGCGATGGTGGTACGCCAGAAGCAACGTGTTGGAATGCTGGTTTGCAGAAGAAATTGCATTCGGAGTATCCTATGCGCTGGTAGTCCCAGCACCAAGAGCCACTCGTTTCTTATATCAGACGCTGCAGGAGCAAGTTCTTATTGTATTCATCTGGCCAGTCAGTCGTGTAATTGGACAAAAAAGGCAGCAAAACCGATCGCTAAATAAGACTGACTTCGTGATTCTTGTGTTTCAAGTTTCATCGACATCGCACAAGGACCGAGATAAAAAAAGTCGACAGATTTCTGCTTCATTAGAAAGGGCAATGTTCCGTCTGGCTCGAACAGGATATAATACGCACCATTGAGAAGTTGGTGCCGCGTTTTTCAGCCGAACGCAAGTCACACAATTCGGCCAACCCGACTGATTTAGTACTTCGCATCAAATAGAGAAGATGTGAAAATAATGGTGGAGCCAATCGTACAGCTTCACGGAGAGTCTCTTCATCAACACATGATAGCCTTGTCATTGATGGTAAAAATCTTAAGCCAGAAGTAAACTTCTCAATGTCCTTTGCAGCTGCTGTCTGCGATCCAACTGCGCGTCGACGCGCTGCAGCACCTCTGGTTTGGCCCCGCCGCGGACCGCCATCTCTTTGCGCTGATTGCGCATTTGGTCAACCGATCTTTCCAGTTGCGGCAGCAACAGATTTTGCCAATTCCGGCGGTTCAGTGCCAAAGACTCGCCTCCATCCCCCGGATACAACTGCTGCGCGGCTCCTCCGCTGCCTCCCGGCCTCGGTCGATGGCTGAGCACGGCGTCTCGAAATTCTTCGCACTTCCGCACGAAGCGCTCGTCTAAATTGGCCTCTTGCTGGAGCAGGTGCTGGTCCCCTGCCCTACTGTGATGGAACGCCCCCACTGCGCTGGATTTCAGGTTTTGGTCCTCCGATAGAATCCCGACCACGTCCGCCTCCAAAGCCGCAAGCCGTCTATTCGTGGCGCTCGTGCCGCTTCCTGACGAAGACGGCGGGGTCATGCGCAGCGGATTAAAGCCCCCACGCACGTTCGCATTCCTGTTGTCAAACGCAGACGCGGACGCCGGGCCGACGTTTTGCTCTTGTTGTTCTCTGGTCGACGTGTGGTGGCTGCCATACTCCGGCACGGATGCTGCATTTCTACTAGCCGTGGCGCTGCCGAATAAAGGGGGGTACGCACTTCCGCTGTCGTTTGGCGACGACGCTGAGGTAAAAGTGGTAGAATTCATCGACCCGGCACTCGTCGGCCCACCTCCTCCACCACCTAAAGACCGGAGCTTCTCGACATTGTTCGCTCGAGACGTCGACGTGGGATTTGAAAAACTACTACCGTGCTGCTGGCCGCCATTTATTTGCCGCTCTTCCTGCAATCTCGGGCGCGTGGCGTGCTGATGTCCTTTCGTCGAGGACGCAGCGCTACTGCTCGTAGTAGATGCGGGACGCGAAGAGCCATTCCCCCCACCACCTGCTGGGAGGTTCACATTGCTTCTACCGTCCCCCGAACCGGTCACCGAAGGGCCCCCATACAAGGTCTCCGAAAGCATACTGCCCGCACGGTTGGCCGCGTCGCTGACGGAAGTGAAAAGAGAAGAAAACCCCGTCCTGGAAGCGTTGTTCATGTCGTCGGCTGCTCCACTGTGCAGAGGTTGCCGCGATGTTGCACCGCCGTTGTGTCCATCGGTGGGGGTCGCGGCAAGCCCTCCTGTGGTTGTTCCACCGTGGGACAACTTTGGCCTGGCACTTTGCTCCTCGAGGTGGTTCTTGAAGGGAGCACTTGATGCCGTTGACGCTGCGGCCGCCAACGTTGCCGGGCTCAGGTCGAAATTGGTCTGCAGAAACTGCAGCATCTGCTCCCACTTTTGCTTCTCTTCGCTCTCCCGGGCAATCAGGCGCTCCGTGATGCGCAGCAGCTGTTTACGGTCCTCGCGGTACTGAATCTTGGCGTCCTCGCGATCGAGCAAACTGAGCTGCTCATTGGCATTGTCGAGCTCTAGCTCGATCTTGATGCACAGGTCCTCGAAGCCCCGCCGGTCCTTCTTCACGCGCCCGATCTCCGCGTGAAAGGCGAATAGGGCTGCGTTCAGAACCGCCCGATGCTCCTCGGCCTTCTGCTCCATCAGGTCGCAATCCTGCTTGGCTTTCATCAGAATCTCGTCCAGCTTCGTACTGGCCCCTGCGGCCCAGTAAGTGCTGGAAGTAGCCATGGTCGTGTGGTTTTTAGGTACAAATAATCAACGGGTGTTTCGAAGCGCCCTTAGTACGTATGCAGTTGTTTTGCGTTCTTTCGAAACAAAAAACAAGTAAGTGGCGAAGGATGCCGTTTAGATACCACCTCAACTACAACTATCAGGCGAGCCAGACATTGCGAAACGAGATTCTGATTGGTCCTGAATGTTGCACTAAAGATTCCTGCATGGGGTTGAGCGCCAGCTGCGTTACTCACAGCTGGACCGCTGCACGACTTGGCTAAAAGCGCGCGCGGCTTCATTGAGAGAGCCTGCTAAAACTTGTGTGCATCAAGAGCGATAGTAATAATTCCAGCACACTGTGACAATTTTAGCTAAGTAATCCCGAGGGCGTGATCAAATGTCCATTTTAGAAGCTGTAAATTGACTCCCGAGAACAATGGCGCTTTCAGTGTGAGGCCCCAAAGCATCACGCTGAGAAACCGCACATGCGAAAAATGCTTGAAGGCCAGAAGGCAAGAGAAACCCCGAATGTCCCAAGCCTTGTACGGAACAAACCCTACATCGGTCCGGTGCTTGAAGATATCCGGCACAATAATCAAAAATGGGACCGACTCATTTACTATCGTCGCTGAGAAGCGAGATCGAACTTCTTGGAGGAAGCTCATCAGACAGGAGCAGTAAGTAACCACCGCAACAATGCCAGCACGCTAGAAGTACAGCTGCACAGGTCCAACAACGTGAGTTTGTGTCACAGACGCTTTTTCATTTACAAATCTTCCCGTCGGTTTTCTCGTTTGCGCGGGGGAAATTTCGAAGGAGACGTGGCGGCCTCCCAGGCTCCTGCGGCGAAGAGCAAGTTGTGTGCTCGAAAGACCGCGGCTGGGCGGACTGCCATATCTCGTGGCACGCCCGTATTCTCTGCTAAAAAAGCCAACGCCTCGGCCGCTTTCACTGCGGCATCCTTCCCAAAATTCTGTGCCACCAGGGCGCCAATGCTCGTCGCTTGCTGCGCCGTGCCCGCGGTTGATGGCTCGTTTCCGCCCGCGGTAGGAGTAGAGGAGGCACAATCTATCAGCGACCGCGCAACTCCGCGCAACAGCGTATCAACGGCCTTCACGGTATCGGCAGATGGTCTTCCCCTGCGGCCGGCCTCCCGTCGCGGCCGGCCCGTTCCGGACCCTCCGGCAGCGAATCCCGCGACGGGCTCGCCATTGTTGCTCAAACGCGCCGCCGCCTCGCGGCAGGCGGACGGGTAGTCGGCAAAATTTTCAACGCCATCGGGCGCGGGGGGAGCAGCTCTCGACGAAGCAGACGCAGTCGAGTTGAGTTTCGTTTGCAAACCCAAGGACACCGAAGCAGCACCGGCTCCACCAAGCTTGAACCCGCTCGAAGATGAGGATGACGCCCGCGCCGAGCCCCGGGCGGAGGACCCCGCTCCACCCGCATTTCTTAAAGACCCGCTCATCCCCCTTTTCAATTCCGCCAGCTTCGAGGCCGCGCCCTCCACCGACTTCGGCGGGACCGGCGCCGGCACGCCGTCCACCATTCCCGTCACAGCCATGCGCACCCCGGATACCGAAACGGCGTCCCCGAGCAGCGAGCAAAAGGGAAATTCCCGCCCCCCGTCCAGCCGCGCAAACTCGAGAAGATTCGCCAAAGAAGGCCACTTGGACAGCGGCAGGTGCGGCAGCCCACCCACCACGGGGTGCGGTACATTCGCTTCGATCCGCTCCAGGAGTGGCAGCAGCAGCACGTCCACGGCGGAGGGAAGAGTTCCGAAGAAAAAAACTCCGCTTCGATTATTTCCGCTGTACGCGGCGGCCCAACCGTCCATGGCGGCGACGAATTTCTGCTCCGCGGCCCGTGACGCGGTGCCGCCCCGCCCCTTGAAAACGCCGTAGGCCGCGCCCTGCAGCGCCGGGTAATTCGCCAACATCTGGTCGTGCACTTTTCGCTGGCCCGCCTCCTGTGGGAGCAGGGCGTGGTGCGGGAAGACCTTGTGCAGCTTCTTCGTCAACTCGACGGCAGACTTCTCGCCCCACGGCTTGCCCCAGGACAGAGTCCTCGCCGCACTTGCGGAGGAACTGCTTCCGCCTCCTCCTGCTGCTCCCGCGGCTTCCTGCACGTACGGCACTCCGTCCGCGCTCGCCCCGTAGGCGCCTAATTCCTGCTCTAAGTACATCAGTCGCCGCGCGTCGACTTCCGATGTTTCCTTCACATACGCCGATAACGGTGCGACCCGCCGTTCGTACGGGATCTGCATGGCCTCGATCATCATCCAGACCTGCAGGGCGAAGGGGTGCCATACGGCGGAATCAATCCAGAGCCGAAGGAGCGGCTTCGCCGATGCGCCGAACAATCTCGTACGGCCGTCCTCCCAAGACTCGTACAGGCGGGGGGAAGGCTTGCCGGCAGCAGCAGCGAGAACGGCCCAGGAATCAGCTTCCATGGTCAATTTCCCTTCTTTACGATCGAACAATTTTATTATTTTAGGACTGCAGAGAGTACGAGCAGCGGGAAATCAACGAGAAAAGAAAGGAGCGCAAGTTCTGTAGCTAGGACAAGTGTCGAGTCTTGATCACAGTCGAGTAAACTGGCTTGCAGCAGCAGACGACAACTTCTTTCCACACGGAGACACAGAGACAAAAAAAGTCTGAATGATGTATCTTCATCTTGCCGTCGAAGATAACAGGGAGCATAATCTTGTTTCCGGCGATTTTTACCCTTCTTGTTTTCCAAGCCTGGAAATGCGATCGAAGACCGGATCCATTGTCATGGTAAAGAGCCTAGCTCGGTTGCCCCACGACCTTTCGCGCTCCTACTCCTTACGGCTTGGGACGCAGTCCGCCTTCATGCAGGACTGCGGTAGAACACACACTAGCTGCTAAAACTCTAGTGCGCCGGTGAGCGATCGTCGAACAATCGCGGTTCATCATCTGCCGGACGAACTAGTATCCGTTCGAAAAACAACGTTCGCGATCATATATAATGGGTCGAGTTGATCTTGTTATCTTCTTCGAAAAGTTGAAGGAATCTACCTTCGAAAAAAATAGTAATCGTTTCGATCCTTCGTGTCCGTACGTCGCACCAATTATCGAGATGCGAAGTTATTAACGAACTGTTATAGTACAACTCGTGGCAACAACTATAAATGAACCAGTATAACCCATATTAAAATCTGATCAGCGGTAATATTGCGGTTTCTCGCGGGGAAAGAGCAAAAATAGTAAAGATGCGGCAAGTTGGTGTTAAAAGTTGCAGCTGGCAGAAGTGTGGTGCAGCGATGAAAACTACAGTGTTGAGCGAACGGCAACCTGTTGTCGATGCCGTGCCGCTTTCTTGCGCCAGTTGTTTACTCCGCGTTTAACTCTATCTAGGTGCCGATAGAAACTTGCTCCCATCGCGTTGCGAACCCCTGCTCGCTCCAAAAGAGTCAATTGCTAATCGATGAAAATATATCCTTGTTCAAACCTGGTTCTTGCTAATTCTCAAACGGATGGTTGTGATACCAAAGTAAAGAGTAAAGAGTTGTCGTGTAAAACTAACTTTGAGCTACATCAAAAAATGTCATAATATCGAACGTGGCCTAAAAACAGTCGAAAACATCAATGGTAGATGAGAAAATTGTGGCTCATCACAGGCACCGCATGGGAGTTCTTGAATAAAATCTGTTGTTTTCATGATCAGCGCAGCATGATCCGATCGTGCAGACAGGAATCAATATCGAGATTCTTTCATCCGCTTTTCGTAAGACACAGTCCGATAAAAACCTGTCTTTATCTTGCGGTGAAAAAAAACCATTAAGATTCACCACTTCACTCTTCTTCCGCCTTCTTCCAGGTTCCCGAGGACTTTTTCCCCTTTCCTTTCTTGCCCTTCTTCCCGCCCTTCTTACCCTTGCCCTTCTTCTCACCCTTCTTGCCCTTTCCCTTCTTCTCGCCCTTCTTCCCCTTGCCTTTCTTGCCCTTCTTTCCCTTACCCTTGCTCTTTCGCTTGGGCTTCTCCTCGTCGCCATCCTCGGTGGTGCCAGACTTCGGCTGTTCCTTGACCAATTCCTCTGGCAGAGGCTCCTGATACCCAGAATCTTTCACGTTGATTTTGCTTTTGTTCAGTGTCAGGGTAATGTCGATAAAGGACACACGCCGCGTGAAGGTCACCTGTTATTTATACATTTTGTCGGCGACTTATTTGTCAGTTTCACAGATCATGCAGCGACTGAATCGCCCAACTGCCTCCAGAATTTATTTTCCATACATTGATACAACCTGCGGCCCTGTCGTAGCTTCTGCAACTACTACGCATGGATTGCATGCGATAAAAAAGAACGGATACATATTTATCTGTACCGCTTCTTCGCCTTCCTTTTCCTCGTCCTCTCCTTCAATTTCCAAGGTTCCGATTTTGTTTACCTGGTGCAGACCCTTGAAGCGTCGCTTTAGGATTTCTGCGGTGGTCACGCAGGTCGGCAGTGCAGTTCCCGTAGCGATGAGCGAGATCCTGTTTTTGTTGGTATGTACAACTTCCACAGTCATTCATCAAATAGATTTGCGTTTGACCATGCATGCACTTAACGCGATTAAAAACAATCGGATGCTCCTCGAATCTTACACTGTATGAAGACTACAACTGTATCAAGAGTCATATTCTTACGTGTCCAGTTCGTCTTCGTTGAAGAGTTTGCTGGCGTAAGACACATAGGTCCCCACCCGGCCAGTGGCCGTAATCTTCATTTTTCCCGCTTCACTCTTTTCGCCGGACATTTTGGTCGAACTGATTCGATTTCTAGTGTTCTTGTGCAAGTGGTTCTTGTGTTGACCTAATGCGGGCAATCTCTAGCTCGTTACCGCCTCTCTTCCTATGGCGGTGAGGACGTCAATGATATTATGACAAGCAAATGTTGCTACGGTTGTTGTGACAGCTGCTTCCCCGCTTGCGGACCGGTGCGGGTCAAATAATGACGTCTTTACACAGAAGATGGGGTCTCTATTACCGTTCTTCTAAAGTAAGAAAATAAGTACTGATCAATCTTCACCGTCGACGTGAGCTACGTGTTTATTATCTGTTGAACGCCGGAAGGAGGAGTGTCTCTTTCAGCGATAGTATACAGGCATGTGAAACTCTGGTTGTGTTAGTATGTTCCAAGTAAGCGTCTAGTGGTGCACAGCAAAGATTATGACTTATTTTTCTGTGAAAGAGTTCCTACTGGCTACCTTGGTTGACTTGCACACTGGACGACCATGCAGTCATCAACACAAAAAGCTAGTAAAGAGATGAACTGCCCCCTGGAGACGCCAAAAGTGACAGAAACAACATGTTGTAATTTGCATGCGCACCGGATCGCGTGCTTTCTCGTGGCAATGCTTTAGCAGGAGAGCGGTATCTATGCATACAAGTTTTGCTACTATGACCGTTCAATGAAGCTGCGGCTAACTACTTCGTTGACGCCAAAACGGCGGCTGTCAGTAACATCACGTCATAGATAGAACCGTCTTCTCGGTCAAGCAAAATCGCTGTACCGCTTAGCAAACCACGGACTTCGACACAAAGCGTCATGAAATGGATCTTTGTTGCGCGTGATGTTGTCATCCAGAATTAAGTAGGGATCTATCGATAAACTTCTCGCTGGAACAATGTATGCGGTCTTGCTACGACCTTATTCTAATTTTCGGGCACGCGCCGCCTTTTTTTATCGTGCTTCTAGCAGCGTACCATTACTGAAAGTAAATCAGTGTATTGCCTAGGTAGTGGCAGGGACGCCGCAGCCTCTCCAAGTTTGCCCCCTACTCAGGCAATCAATGCTCATGTTTCCGCTACTGCTTGCAGCAGCACATCTCGAAATCTTAGACAGGCAATTCGCACGTCCTCGTCTGTGAGCGCGAGACCGCTGGGCAGGTAGAACGATTTCTCGGCCAAACGCTCCGCGTGAGGAAACCGGGCACCCACAAAATGCGGCTGGTGGTAGCGGCTCTTCGGATCGTCACCGATAAACACCGGCTGCCGATGCAGCGGGAAAAAGCAAGGGCGCGTCCCGACCTTCGCTTTGCCCAGTAAAGCCATCAACGCAGCCGCCGTCAGAGTCGGGTGGGTTATCTGATGGCAAAGAAGTGCTTCGCTTCAAATTCAAAAACAAAAAATAATAATTTTGTGGCCAGCCAAGGGGTCGTCTGTGATCGTGATTGCCCAACAGGAATTCTCACACCGATTCTATCTAAATCGCGAGTTGCAGCCTGAAAGAGATGCAAGAACTTGCTATTGGTCAATATTCCCTTCACCAAACACCTTCCATGTTCAGAAAAGCAGCTTAGGAACAAGGTAGTAAGCAGCACTATACCTCAATCATGTAAACCCAAAAGATGTTTTCGGAACCAAATTGATCCGTTTCGCTTGGTATTCGCACATACGGCAGCACTTCTTTCATCTCGTTCTGGAAGAATTTGTTGTACAGACGCCCGATCTCCCGCTTTCGCTCGATCGCTTGTGCCAAATGGGGAAGCTGCGCCAGCCCCAGCGCCGCCTGGAGGCTGGTCATGCGATAGTTGAACCCCAGGTCCGCGTGCACAAACCTAGGTTTGTCTGGATCGAAGCAGAGGTTCCGGACCTTTCTCGCGGCCTCACACAACTCCAGCTCGTCGCACAACACCATCCCGCCCTCCCCGGTCGTGATGTGCTTGTTGGGGTAAAAGCTCACCGTGGAAAAGTCGCCGAAGCTCCCACACGGCCGGCCCTGGAACTGGCCCCCGATCAGTTCCGCGGAGTCCTCCACCACGTAGATCTTGTTTCCGCCCCGCAATTCTCGCTCCTTCTCCTGCACCAGCGCTAGCAGGCGGACCATGTCCACGGGGTACTCGTACACATGCACGGCGAGCACCGCCTTCGTTTTTGCCGTGATGCGGTCCCGCACAGCGGCCAGGTCGAAATTGTAGCCCCCCGCCTCGCAGTCCACCAAAACGGGTGTCGCGCCGGACTTGACCACCTGCTGAATGCAGCTGATGATGGTCAGCGTGGGCAGAATGACTTCGTCCCCCGGGCCGACCTGCAGCACCTGCATTACGATGTCCAAAGCGGCGGTTCCGTTGGCCACCGCCACTCCGTACTTGCGGTCGCACTGCCTCGCGAACGCGGTTTCAAACTCCTTGACGAACGGACCCTCCGACGATATCCACCCGGAATCGATGCACTCCACCAGCCTCGCGCGCTCGTCCCCCCAGAACTTTGGCGTGTTCACCGGTAGCGCCCGCCCGTCGTCCGCCGCCTCTTGACGCGCCATCGCCATCGATTCAGGCGGAGAACTTCCTTTACACTGCAACCCTAAGGAGCAAAACTGAACAGGACCTGTCGCGGCATGATCTTCTCAAGTAGAACCTCGCAACCAAGATGATGTAGGTGGATCCGCGCAATGAAAAGCCTGCTGCTTGGCGTGAACCAAAAAATGTTTTACTTCACGCGTGTGAAAACTGATCTCTTGTCGGAACGTTAACTTTTGGACATGGACGATCATGAATAATAGCAGTGCAATTACTGGTTTCCAAAGGGAAAATTGGCACACCGTCCTTGCGGCGACTGAACGTGGGTCGTCTCTATTGCAGGAAACGACGTCCAGAGTGGTGTACTAGCATCGCTTGGCACAAGACCGGATCATCAGACAGGCAGAACACCTGCCGTGGGCTTTTTGTGCAATGGCTTCAAGCGAATGCGGTGCAAGAATTCGTGCTCGCGCACCAAACAGTTGATGTTCTTATCCAGCTTTTCTTATCTATGCAACAGCGGACTGACGCAGCATACAATGTTCCCGTTCACTAACCGAGGTGTCCGTGTGTTCTTGCGAGAAAAGGCCCTTCTATTTCTTTTCCTACACTTCATCCCGTTTGTTCCCCTCGATTCCCAGGACCAAATGCTGTATGAAATGCGGATAGCCTCCGATGAGCAAATCCAAATCGTGCTGTCGTCCGGGCGAAAAACGTACCTGCCCATGATGCAATCGCATAACTCCCGCGTGCTTCGTTTTATGACTAGTATTAAGTGGCTTGATGCATAAAGCAACTCATTTGTAAGTGTGTCTAGTTACGAAACGCTTTTTTACGAACACATGACACGGATACTAGTACATTTTTCGCTGCTATAAGGAATGATCCGGCGTCGGTTCCGCCAGGAACTCCGCCAGCGCCGCGGAGTTTTTCTCCGCAAAATCGTACATGTCCTCAGGTTTCGTCTTTCCCGTGGTTCCCTCGACACATAGTGAGTACCAAACTTCCTGGTCCGCCACCGTGGTCACTTTGGTGGCTTCCACCACGAACGGGCCGACGTGTACTTTCCGCACCTCCTTGGCGAGCGCAATGTGGTGCCAGGAGTCCACGTCCTCAAGCGTGGTGCGCGTCGTGCGAGCGACATACTTCCCTTCGACGTGCTGTGTCGTATAGTAGTCCTCAGAGCTGTCGATCAGAAAGGAAATCAATTTCTCCCACTTTTTCTCACCCGTCGTCTCGTGGTTCCCCAACTCGATCCGGTGCTTTTTGTATTTTTCGGCGCCGGCCATGCCGTTTGATTGGTATTTTTCGAGGCGGAGCTTGACTTCCAGCGAGTCAGCAGTGGCAGCCTGCTCGGCCGCGCTCGCTCCAGCCGACGAGCCGTCGCCTTTGACGTTGCGTAGTTTGACGCCGTGGGGAAACAGCGCTTTCGCGTGGTCCAGTCGCGGGTAGAGGTACACGTCCGTGCGCTCCTTCGGGGTTACAGTCCTCAAATCTGGGAAATCGTTCAGCATCTGCTCAAAGCGCGCGTTATTTTCCGTACTATCCGGAAAAAACACCCGATACTCCCAGTGTCCCTTCATGCTGGAGGTAGCTGCCGTCGTCTGCGGCATGGATGCCAGCAGCCACTGCGACGAGAAGAACCTCAGGGACTGCGAAAAAAGCGGAACGCTGAGCAGTCTGGCGGCTACATGGCGGACCTCCGTCATTGTCGAACGAAGCGTTTCCAGACGGCTTCTGGCGGCGCTCGCGCTGCATTATTTGCTACGACGCTCTGTTTTGTCATATGCTCCTTCCTCTTGTCCTGAATCTCGCATGCGGATGCATCAGTCAGAGGTACGCGAAAGTGGTCAGGTCAAAGAGAGCCAGTACGAACATGCGAAACCAAAAGCATTATTTTCGTGTAGTTGACTCAGACTCAGCCTCGCACCGTCTGCAATTCCTAGAAAACGGGGCGTGTTGGCTTAGCCATGTTCATCATTCTTGTCCCGCAGGGCTGAAGATATCTTTCTTTGTACAGTTTGTGAAACAAGCAAGATCATTTTTTCGAATTAGCATCGCGTGCCTCATCACTATTTGAGTAGTTTGTTTGATACATTTTACACGAAGAGATTCAAAAGAGTTGAAATTTGTACAATGTCGATAGGATACGGTCACGGTCATAACTACAAAAAGTCGTAAGATTCTTTTTAGCTACTGTGGAATCTTCGATACGGTTACGGTAACAGAAGATCGTTCAAACAATTAATTTCCAAATAAAGTCGTAGAAATCTTCTTTTACTTGATGAGAAAATCCCAGCCTAGAAGGCAGTGTTGAAACCTCTTACTGAATACTCTCACCCCAGAATGTCATCCATTTCGAAATCCAGTTTTTGCTGCACCGTTGCCGTTGAGTTGGACCCCTTCGAGGATGTCGTAGCGAAGGGATCCGGCACGTCTGATGTGTTAGCGGTGCTCTGCTTGCTCCGTCGCTGCAGGGGGCTGCTCTTGCTTCCAGACTGTCGTGCTTGTTGTTCTAGCGTTTGTTTACTGGTGGACACGTGTACAATGGTCTTTTTGCTTCCACCTCCCCCGGTGGTTGTTGTACTTGTTTCCAAGCCCCCGCTGCGCCCGTTGCCGAGCGCGTAGCTTCCCGCGCCGAGAAACTTTGCAGCAAACCGATCCAGTAGTGAGGCGCCGGGCTTCAGGTAGCTAGCGGTCGCGGTTGTAGTGGTCGCCGCGACAGTGCTGTCCTCCGGTGGAATCGCGCCGTACGCGTCGGCATGGTTGCTGAAGCGGCCCCGCTGCTTCCTGGTGCGCAAGTGGTCCTGCGAAACGCACAGAAGGAACAGCACGCCGGTGGAAATCAGCAGCCAACTGCACAGTGTCCCCCCTGCAGTCGTGTGCTCCTGCGCGTACCTGATTATTTTTTGTTTCTATGTAGGATTACTACATGATGCGACGTCGATCCCATGATCCCAAAAACTTCTGACTTATTACCTCAAGAAACGAAAAATTGCGATTATCTACTAACTTCCTCTTCCAAGTCACATTTTTTCATCATCTCTACCTTTCCCTCGCGGTTCGCCAGGACAGGAGCGGTTCCTTTTGCTTCCACTGCGCCAGCGTTTCGACGAGGACCGTGAGGTCGGGGACCGTGCTTTTAACCTCCGCGATCTCCTCGATGAGCTGGTGGAGGTTCAGCTCCGGGAAGAGCCCGGGCAGGCGACCGAGACTGGTCAGGATCGCGGGCAGGCTGGACTGGTAGAAGTAGTCGTGCAGCCGCTTCAAGGCCATGATCAGGTCGTGCAGCGTCACTTCCTGCGCCACGAGCAAGAAATCCGCATGAAACCGGGCGAAGGAAGCCGCCAGCTGCGAAAACGTGAGCGGACTGCCCGTGGCACTGCTCAGCGTCCAGATCCGGCCGGCCGGCCCGAACGCGGGCTCCAGCACCTGCACGGCCTCGAGCAGCGTGGCAAAGAAGTCTTTAGCCGTCGCGAACCGCTTTCCGAACGCCTTCATCTCCACCACAGCCTCGACCGTGGTGAGCAACTGCGACTTGGAGTCCATGGACACCATCTCCTCGGCGGGAATAAAATCCACGGCCTTGATGCGGATCAGAAAATCCAAAAACCACTCCAGCGCGCCGTCCTGCTCCTTGCAGAGCTCGGGGAACTCGCGCTCGAAGGTGAGAAGAATGTCCGTGATCGCGGTCAGAGACAGCTTGTCATTGTAGGCCTCCTTCAGCCCCGTCAGCAGCGCGTACAACCGGTGCAAATTCTGCGTGTGCCGGAACTTCAACAGCAGCTTGTGCACGTCGTCCGCGACCTGTTTCCACGACGAGGGCTGCTCCCCCTCCGCGAACTCGTTTTTCAGCAGCACAAACACGCCCCACACCGCCTGGAGACCGTTGCGGCCGTCCGTGGAGGCGGCGTCCGCAGCGTCCTCCAGGGCGACCTTCAGCGAGGAAAAGTCCACCGCGACGGCGTGCAGTTCGTCCGACGACTCCAGCTGTTTGGCCATGTCGATCAGCACCTCGCCGCACTGCCCGAAGGTGGGCGGGAGCGCGTCGGCATCTACTGCGGCGCTGCTGCTGCTAGAAGAACCACCGTCCGTGCTGCCCCTAGTTCGGCTTTCGTCTCGACCGCCATCCCGGAGCGGCGCGGCGTCAGAGAACCGGGCCAACGCGTCTAGACTTGACACGATCACGGACAGGCTATACTTCCGACCATTGGCCGCCTGGAAATCCAGCAGGAATTTGACAACTTCGTCAAGATTCAAGCCCTTCCACCGGTTGCCGAGCCGCAAGAGGCTGTGTTTCGCCTGCTGGACAGTGACGCCGTAGGCTTGCACAAGCTGCTGGACCGCGTCCCCGACACTCGCCGCATCCGCCTGCTCGGCGGGTTTCGCAGCGGTCACGAAAAAGGAACCGAGCGATGTGGAACTCGCCTCGTCCGCGGACCCAGCGGCCGTTTCTTTCTCGACTTCCTTCTGCAGCGCGGCGGGGTCGAAGTTCGGCGGGCCGACCTCCTGCATTTTTTGCAGAACGACGTCCAAGTTCCGGCGATCGGGGATCTGGTTTCCCTTCTCGTGCAGAAAGACCGCGCTCAGTTCCAGGCACTGCTCCAGGGTCGGCGGGGAGGAGGAGAAGACGCCGCCCCGGCTGATGTACAGCATCCGCACCTGGGTCAGGTAGCGCGCGACGGCACTGAAGGAATTGTCGCCGGCGCTGCCGAAGACACGCTCGGCCATCTTTCCCTCCTGCAAGGTGGCGGTCACCGAGCCGGACTTCGTCAGGTGAAACTGCTCCATCAGGTCGCCGAGCGCACCCAGGACCTTCACCGGGTCCTCGTCGCCCTCGTGAAAGATCTTTTTCAGCAGGACCACGTTGTCCGCGATCGTCTTCACCTCTTCCTTCGGATCCAGGTAGCAGCGCGACTTCAGCCGCTGGAAGGCCTGGCTGTAGCGCTCCACGTCGCCGGGGGGCAACGCCGGCGCGACGGTGGAGGCCGCCCGAGCCCGCATCGCGGCCGAGAGCGGCTCGGTCTTGCGCATCGGAATCAAAACTTCCAGCGCGGCGGCAAAGCCCAGAAAGTCCACGTTGTCATACACCAGCCGCAGCTCCGTGTAGGCGCGGTCAATGTCGCTCAGCGTGTTCTGCGGGAATCGCTGCACCACTTTGGTCAGCTCCGTGAGCAGCAGCTGCAAGGTTGGTCCGCTGGTGCCCGCGGCACTGGCGCTCGAGGACCCGCCGAACCAGGAAGCGGTACTAGTGCCGCTTCGCTGGCGACTCGTCAGGTGATTCTGAATCGCGCTCAGGAACAAGGCGGTGCTCACAAATTCCCCCGACGACGCGGCCTGTCCCGCGCGTTGCGGCTCGGAAAGCGCGCTTTGGAAGGCCAACAGGTAGATCCACGCGTACTCCAAGGAGGCGCTCTGGCCGTTGCTGACGTCCGGAAAGTTCCGGAGCAGGACCGTGGTGTCAATCACCTGCTTGTAGCTGGCCTTTTTGCTCACCACGGCCAGCATCTTCTCGATCTTGGACAGCGTCAGCTTTTCGTCCACGTTCTCCAGCAGACACTCGAAGCCGTAGTACAGCTGCTCAAAGGACGCGTGGGGCATGGAGCGGTGGATCTGCTGCAGCGTCGTCTGCAGGTTCTTCGCGGCGACGTCGTCCGAACCGGCGTTCTTCTGAAACAGCTCGTACACCGCCTGCTCCAGGTGGTCGGGCAACATGCACAGGTTCTCGCCGATCTCGTACTGCTGCCACGAGGTCTGGCCGCATCGCCCGAATTCGGCCTGGCACACGCCGCAGTCGCACCAGTCGTGGCCGCTGCCGCACCACCCGAACGCGGAGCAGCACCCGGTTTTGCAGGCGGTGTCCCCTATCCTGTGCAGAAGTATCACACTCGTAGTAATCGCAGTCATGCATTACAAATCTCCATCCCAAGGCAAAACAGCATGACAGATTTCATCTGTCACGCTGAGCCAATTTGTAATGCGATTACTACTAGTGCGATACTTTTGCAGTGCATATCCCCGAACTGCGGTCCGCACCGCCCGTTCGACGACCACTTCAGCTCCTTGGCTTTCCCCTTGTGCGGGATCTGCTGCAGCTTCATCTTGCGGTCCATGCAGGTCTCCTGTTCCTGCAGACTGGCGATCAGCGAGTCCGTCGATGAACTTGCGCCCAGGTTGCGGTAAAACTGCACGACATCCACGTCACTTACAACCGGGAGGAAATCCCGCGACTGGAGACCGTCCGTCGTGGTCACGAGCATCTCCCCTGGCACAACCTGCGCTCCCTGTTGAGAGGAAGCGGTCTCGTCCTCGATCACGATGGTCGACAATTCCATCATATCAAGTGTAAAAATGTCTGGGTCTGGAAGAATGCAAGTTTGTCATGCTTGTCTGGCATGACTCGAGAATCTGTGTTGCATAGGCACGAAAAGGCCCTCCTGCCTGTCATGCAAAAACGCAGTTTGTCATGCGGAATACGTAAGACATGGGAGCCAAAAAATTTGTCATGCATAGCTGCGTATTGCAGTCCGTCTACCATTCAATTTTAGCATCACAAGTTTCCAGACCCAGACATTTTTACATTTGATACATCAACTTGGACAGCGCGGTCAGCGCCATCCAGCTCATCTCCTGCTTATTACAATGAAAAATGCCCCCACCCCCGAACTGGAAAGCATTTGTATTGCAAACCTTTCCAAATGAAACACTCGCCCTCTTGCATGTATGAGCATCACAGATTTCCGATCGTGAATAGCAAAAATTTGCATTGCAAAAGATCCCAGCAAGAGTGGCGCTTGTCATGCAAGCGATGCGAAACACGACTAGAATCTGCATCAGAAAGATTCATACTCCTTTCATGCATGACAAAAAGTTTTCATTTCGAAACTTCGCATCACAAATTTTTGTAACTTTGGGGGTGGGGGGCACTTTTCACTGTAATACTGCTGTTCCATTTGTTCCGCTTCGCGCTGCTGCATCACCTGTTGCTCCATCGCCACTTCCAGCTCAGCTGGAAGCGCCGCCAGATTACTCAAAGGATCACTGCTTTCGTATCCACCCGCGCCCGCCGGGGGCAGCGGGAGGCCTCCTGGCACACCGCCAGCGCCGCTCGCTCCAAGCGGTTCAAGGGACACGATCTGCACAACATCCTGGCCGCCCGCGAAGTCCGCCGCTCGCGCAGCCTCCACTGCCGCCCGGTCTTCCTGTTGCTGTGCGACGCTCAGGAGGGAGCTGGGCTCGGCGTAGTTTCCAGATGAACCCGTGTTAAGGTGCAATCCTATGTCGTCAGCACCCGCAACCAGAACTGGTGCGGCGCCCGCCCGCTCTGGCGCTGTTTGCACGAAACTGCTGGGCGGGAGATTGTCGCTGATTTGTTCCTCCGATGCGGTGGGGGTTGAATCACGCCGCGGGGTGACGTGAGGCAGCGACGAGCCACGATCCTGATCGTAGTTCCGTCGTGCTTCTGCCACGGAAAAGCGGACGCCATCGGGGGGATGGCTGACGAACTCCTTTTCCGCTAAGTGCGGCGGTGTTTGTACGAGTCCGCCACCGAGCTGCAGCATCGAAAGCTCCTCCAGCGCCTTCTTTGCGGCGGCCTTTGCCGTGGCGCTCGCGGGTGGTACTTTACCGTTTTCTACCAATGGCGTGTGTGCGTTGGCAGCATGCGGGGGGTGCGGTGGTTCGCGCCGTGTTTGCCCTAGTACGTGTGGCTCGTCCACCTGTGCATCGTGCGCTCGCGCTTGCAGACTAGCGGGTAAAAGCGCGGCAAACGCGTTCTGCAGAAACGACGAAAATTGCGCACTCTCGGCACCATCAGAATTCTTATACCCGTCGTGGCTCGCGAGCGCTGCTGCTTTGCGCAAACTTTGCTGCAGAGCTTTGGCCGCGGCATGTCCGGGCTTCCGGAACGAAGTTTTTTTAGCGGGTGGCGAGACGGCCTGCTGCGGCCCGTGTGCTTGGGTGTCCTCCTCCTCGCATCGGGACACTATTCCAAGGCAAGTCAAACCAACCGAAAGCCGTACGACTGTGCGCCTCATCTTTTTTTTGGAGTCCACGTTCCGCGAGAGTAATCGATTGGGAATAGCTTTCTTAGCTAGGATGGTGTGACTTTCTGTAGAATGTTGAAAAACACCTCTATCAATCTACACTGCACTCGAAAATAAGTTTCACAAAATTCATATGATTGCAACAGAAAATACGGACTTTGAAACGAATAGACGATTGGTGGACGAAGCACGATATTTGGATTCCCCCGAGAGCGAAGAGTGCGACCACGATGGCGATTCGTATCACTCAATCGAAACAGATCAAGCTCATGCATCAACTACCACGGAACATCGGAAGACTAATAGCAAGAAAGCGTGACCTGAATCGAAAATTGCGAAGCCACCTCTGTCTGAATCTTCCCACTGTTCGACCACAAGCGACAGTGGCCTCGCGGCAGTTGGTGACACACACAATCCAAAAGCGAGCAAACATCATAGAGAGTTTTGCAATCCGTAGTCCTTTTTATCTTTTTGCGCAGGGACATCGTCATAGCGAATTCATACAAATGTTCTTCCAATCGTCGCGGTTAGTAGATATCATGTCTACGACGAGAGACGCGCGGTTCATTTTTGCGTGCACAACTTACCAACATGTGCATGTTTCGACGCTTAGAAGAGGAAGCGCTTGTAGTCTGCTGAACCAGCCGGGACCATTCCTCCATTTTCGAACAGGAACGCTTTTGCAGCAGGCGGAAAAACCGATTCACTGGTCGTTGCCACTACTGATTTAGCTGCCGCAAGCGGGCCGCCGTCTCCCGGCAGGTGACACGAGTTGGATGCCAAAAGCCGATCCCGGTATTCCAGTAGATCTTCCATTGCCCGGAAACAAAACTCGCTGTTCTCTTCGGCATTCGGAAGTGGGGTCACCGATACCGCACCCAAAATCACATCTTCAATTGCGGTCTCAAGTTCCTGGGCAGTGTCGAACAAATTCCACATTACCGAGGACTGGCGTGCGGCCACCAGTAACGCAGCCGCCACGGCTTTCGCGCAGGCGCTTTTTGTCAAAGGAAAGTCAGACGTGAAGCTCGCTGGACATGAAGATTGTACCCCGGGAAACAGGTTGGTTGGATCAGCAAAGCTGCTGATATTCGCTCTTCGACCAGGAACATCACATTTTGCCGTCGTTTCGGAGTTGTTTGTTGAGTCGTCACTTACATTTGGTTTTTGGCCAGCTGTGTCTCCATCCGCGTTTAGCTTTGCTAAGCTTCCATTGGAAATGACCTTTTTGATTTTCTGCTTCAAGCTTTTTCCTGCACATTTGGCCCGCACTTTCGCGAAGAGATCCAGAAATTCGTCGATTCTGGCTGGCTTTGGCGAGCCACTGTCAAAAGCGTCCGCAATGTCGGTGCTTCCGCCCCCACCACCGCCATCGCAGCCACCCCCAGTCCAGAGTGCCGGCACCGTCTCATTCGGTATCTCTTCGACCGAAATTTGTGTCCGCAAGGGTGGACTTCCGCAACCATCTGCTCTGCAGTAGTAGCCTTCTTCTTCATCTTCTGCGACTACGCTGCCAAGAGCTCTCGTCTCTCTCGTCGGTGGTGCTACCTTATTATTTCTCGCCTTGCCCCGCGTCGCCCATCTGCTCAAGCACATACTGGCAACAGCTCCTGCTGCTGGCGTCGGTAGGAGAAGTCGCGACGAGTTCCTCCTTTCGTTCGTGTGTCTTGCCGTGTCATCGGCAGCGCGGTACAGTGCAAAAGCAGTGTCGGACGCCCCTCTTCCACGAGAGAAGCTTCCGGCGTAGAGAGGACCTCCCGGCGGGACCGTACTCACGGCTGAAACGGGCGGCGCCGTTACGGACGGCCTGGTGCGAGCCGGCGGCGCAGGTTCAATGCGCAGTTGTTGAAAATAGACCGGAGGCACTACGCGCGCGGTCCGGTGGCACGAGGTAGACGGCACTAATCCGGCCGCTGCCCAGCACATGTAGAGGAAAAAAGCCGGTAACATTTTTCTTCTTGGGATATTCGTCATTTACAGAGGTTCACAAACACAACATTCATCGTTTCACAAAAAAAGTACATCCAAACTGGTTCAGGAAAATATCGGGTTTTTGTGCAGCTACACAGTGATTTGACATGACATCATTTTAGAGTGTGACTTGCGGACGACGAGGTCAAAAAAGAGAATTGATGACGACAAAACTCGAAGGCGAAAGGAAACTTCATATATTGAACTTTTTTTCTCCCGTCCGAGAGGCATCGCTTGCGTTGTCATGTCTTATTTGCATTATTCTGTTTGATCTTCAAGATGTTGAAAATTTGCTTTTGCATCATGTGCACGCGCGTAAAATAGATTCTTCTAAGCACAAACCAGTGGAGGTCCCTTGTTCTTCAATCACCTTTCACATGCGAATATAGGTACCGCATGAATGTTGCGCTCGCTAAAAATGTCAGGGCGCCCATCATGAGAAAGAGCCCGTACGCGACAAGGAAGGAGTAGAGAAAGAAAAAGCTGCTTTGCAGGAAGCTATCCATGTGCCCCAGCCGGAAAAAGAAGTAAAAACAGTAAAGGAGGAAGCAGAAAACGAAGCTCGCTCCGGACAGAAAGCTTTGCCACCACCTATTGCAATGAAAAATGCCCCCACCCCCGAACTTGGGAGCATTTGTGTTGCAAACCTTTCTAAATGAAACATTTGCCCTCTTGCATCTATCAGCATCACAGGTTTCCAATCGTGAATAGCAAAAATCTGTATTGTCATGCAAGCGATGCGATACACGCCTAGGCTCTGCATCAGAAAGATTCATACTCCTCTCATGCATGGCAAAGTTTTTCAGTTGGAAACTTCGCATCACAAATTTTTGCAACTTTGGGAGTGGGGCGTTTTTCACTGTAATACCACCACCGCCAGTCCTCCCGCTTGAGTTGCAGGTACAGAAAAAACAAACTGAGGAGGCAACTGTTGATCACCGTTAAGAGCACACTGACCAGCAGAATCCCGTAAACCGTGTACCTCGCCGGCCCCCACATGCTGTCAAAGATGTAGTGCAATTCGACGTAGATGCTGACAAAGGGCAGGAAGCTGGTTGTGAAACACTGTGTCACGTTGAGCATGAGTCCCCCGGACAGGAGCGTGCCCGCCTCGGCGCCCGGAATCTGCCGCTCCAGCTTGTTCGTGCGGCACGGAAAGTAGCTACCCGCGGCCTGCTCGTTCCGCCTGAGGTCGCGGAGCGCGATCTGCTTTCCCAGCGCGCACCCGATCAGCGTTAAGGGAACGGTCACGAAAAAGTAGAGAAAAAAGAGCAGCAAGATGTAGCCGAACGGAAACGCGGCGGTGGACTGGTACGCAATCGCGATTGTGTTGCACACTGCCCACACCAGGAAGCAGGGCAACGCGAAGGTGAGGCAGGTGACGAACATGTTCAGCGTCCAAGTTTGCCCGCCCAACTTCTGATACCAGTTCCCCGACACGTAGCCCCCGCAGATGGACGACACCAGGTACGCATACGCCATCGTTTGCACGACGGACCCGCGCTGGTGGAAGTGCTCGACGCAGCCGCAAAGGATCGTGAATCCCGCCATTATCGCTAATTGCGTGCCTGCGCCGATGCTCGCGCAAAACCAGAGTCTCGCAGGCGGGGCACGAAACACGTCCGCGTGGACTAGCTTCCAACCTGTAACAAGGACAGCTTGTTCTCAACATTCTGTATTCTTGTTCGTGACATTTTAAAAACTTCCAGCAAAATAATCGCAAAATAACATCTATCATCCAACGAACTCGGATGCAAACATCAGGACGAACTACGTACTGGCAGAAAACAAGAATACGAGACACACGCAAAAACCACCGAATAAGTAGTGCTCTCTTTATCTATTTTGATATACCGCTGGTCTGTGGTGCCTCCACCGGTGCGTACTTGCTCGTGGTGGCGACGGGAAGGCCGAATTCCCGCAGGTCCTCCTTCACGTGGTTGATCAAGTAGTACACGACAAAGGTGAAGATCGACAGCATGACCGCCAGCCCGTTGAAGATGCCGAGCCAGTGGACCTTCATCTGGAAGCGCGGGGCGTCGGGTAGGTGGAGCCAGTCCCAGTTCTTGGCCTGTTTGGCCTCGTTGTCCACGTCCGGGTCCAGGTCGTGCCACAAGTGATAGTCGTTCTCTTCGATCTGCGTATCGATCGCCTGTTCCCGGGTCTCCGGGTAGTTCGCGATGTGCGGGTACCAGGACACCGTCACCGAGAAATCCGCCTTCAGGTAGCTGCCGTCCTTCGGCATCTCGGTAATGTCCGTCATGTCGGACAACTGCGGCTGCGACAGCTTGACCTGCCGCACGTCGCCTCCGGTGTGGGTGATGATGAATCCTTATCCTGTTGAAAAGCGTCCCGCCCCACGAGGACCCCAGAGTACGGGAATGCTTGGCACATTGTTTCAAGATCCCAATGGAAACATCTGCCACGTTCTTGCATGCCTCAGCAGATGGCAGATATTCAAGCCAGCGGAGCGAAAGTTTCGTGTCGCACAGCGCCACAGTATGCATGCTCTCTCTGATTGCAGTTGCATATTAATGGCTTAGGTTCTGAAACGCAATGCGATCCCGGTGTCGCCTTGTCTTCATGCAATACAAAAAGTTTCCGTGTAGAAGCAAGTTTCCCATACAAAGTGTTCGGCTTTTCTGGTGGTGGAGCTGCACTTTTCATCTTGATAACTCGAACCGCGTGATCAGGAAGTAACGGAAGTGGCTACCATCCTTATCCCCCTCTTCCTTGCTCGTGGCAACGCCGATGCCGTCCTCAACACGCTTGTTCCCCGTTGATGGGTCTGCTCCTGTATTTGCAGCAAACAGGTCGGCGTGATACTCGCCCCACATGCGGTCCGCGGTGTAGCGCGCGGACCCGCCCGCTTCCGCCTCCTTCGCCTGCTGCTTCTCCATGTCCTGGTAGATCTTCACGGTTTATCAAATGCAAAAAAGTCTGGGTCTGGAAGATTGCAACTTGTCATGCTAAATCCGAATCATGCAAAAATCTGTGTTGCATGAGTGCCAAAAGCTGTCCACTTTCGACCAAGTTGGGAGGGAGTTTCTCACGCAGGATAGGCATGAAAGAGACCTCACAGACTCCGTCATGCTAGGTCCTGCATTCCAGACCTCAAGGGTCATGGAAAACCTGCATGACAAGTTTACACTCTTCCAGACCCAGACATTTTTGCATTTCATACGGTTTCCTTGTCCAGTTTCAGACCGACGAAACTCGTCACGGGAAACTCGTCCACCTGCACCTCGGCCACAAAAAAACGGTCCTATCCTGAGTAAAAACGTACCCACCCCATAGTTAAGTTGGGATTTCTGCAACACAGATCCAGGAGCTTTGGACGCCACGCATGACAAGTTGCAGCCCGTAGTGTAGTGCAGGTTAGCAAGGGCAGCCGCATTACAAATCGAGATTCGTATCCTGTTTACAGCATTACAAATTCCAAAACACGACTGGAAATGCCCATCATAGGGATGCGCATCACAAATGTTCGTGTCATTGCAAATCTGCATGACAACTCTGGGGTGGGTATGTTTTTACATAGGATAGGTCCACCATCTGCTTCAGCTCGGTCACCTGGTCGGGCGTGAAGTACCGTGTGCAAATCTTCCGCTCCGGTATGGATGTGTCAGAATCGAAGTTGACAAAATCGAAAAACTTGTGATGCATAAAATCGATACCAGTTGGAGGCTCAGTTTGCAAGCGGCGCATACCAAATTCCGGGAGCGCCCAAATCCAGTCTGTCATGCTGTTTGGGCAAAGAAGACTGCTCCTGTCATGCTACTCTGGCAGCGCATTGTATACCCCTAAACAGGCTTACAATCGGCCTCATTTGCCTGCTCCCCAGTGCAGGCTTTCAGTGCCCTACATTTGACGCATCACAAGTTTTTCGATTTTGTCGATTTCGATCCTGACACATCCATACCCGGTTCTTGGTGAATATACTCCTGCGTCGCGTCCACTGCCTCCGTATCAAATGTAAAAGTGTCTGGGTCTGGAAGAATGCAACTCGTGATGCTGCATTTGGATTCCAAAAAAATCTGTATTGCATGAGTACCAAAGGGAATGTAATTTTTGCTACGCGGAGAGGGCATTTGTCATGCGGAATAGGCATCAAGAAGGTCTCAAAAAATCTGTGATGCTAGGGTATGCATCACAGACATCAGGGCTCATGCAAAACATGCATGACAAGTGTCAGAATCTTCCAGACCCAGACATTTTTGCATTTGATACTCCGTCTCGTGCAGGTGCGCAGGCAGCCTGGCGAAGTCAAAGGCACTGGAGACCAGCCGGTCGCCTGTAGAGGATAGACAATAAATATCCAGTGGGGAATTGGAAGAGAACTCCTGGCGTTCTCAAAAATGAACTGCAATCAATTTTCAAATTGGAAAAAAAAATTCTGTTAGGTGGAAACTATCAATGCGCCTTCATTATAGCGGAGTGAATATCTTCACCTCTCGCGGTGGCCAGAAGAAATCAAATCTGTTTATATATTCTATGCATTTAGCTTCAATTTCATACGGTGTGAGATATTAAGCTTACCCTTCACTATCTGTCCCAGTGACATCAGCTGGGGGTACACCATATCAAATGTAAAAATGTCTGGGTCTGGAAGAATGCATGTTTGTCATGCTTGTCTGGCATGACTCTTAAATCTGTCATGCACGTTACCCAAGAGATCCACTTTTCTGTGATGCAGAAACGCAGTTTGTCATGCAGAATAGGCAACACCTAGAAGCTCAGAAACTTGTCATGCTGAGCCAGCACTTGTGGCCTCGTCACGAGACGCCACCCAGCATCACAAGTTTCCAGACCCAGACATTTTTACATTTGATACACCAAGTCTGGGGCGCAGGCGAGCGGAACGTCGTAGTACTTGTACGTTTCGGACGGGCTTCCGGACGGCTATTCTGAGTAAAAACGTCCCCACCCCAGAGTCAAGATGGGGATTTTGCAACACAAACCTTGAAGTTTTGGGAACCACGCATGACAAATTGCAGGCTGTAGTTTAGTGCAGTTTAGCAAGGGAAGCCGCATCACAAATCCATCTCCTTATCCTGTTTATAGCATTACAAGTTCCAAAACACGATTGGAAATTCTTCTCATGGGGATGCGCATGACAAGCGCTCTGGTGCTTGCAGATCTGCATTACAACTCTGGGGTGGGTACGTTTTTACATAGGATAACGGCCAGACCTTGTTCACGAACACCCGCACTTGTGTGTTGCTTCCCTCGGAAAAAACTTTCGACACATACTTGCGCGGTCCTTCCATGTAGCTGTCCACGCCTTGCTTTTCCGCTAGGGAACTCGCAGATTGCGGGAGCCCGGCCAGGGCCGCTGGGGTCGTCGACCGCTCCTGTTCGATGGACCCATCGTTCCTATTTGTCGCGCCGGGCGGTCGACCCTTCTGCTCAGTTTCCGCACCTGCCTGCTCCGCGCTTTGGACGCCCGTAGCAAAGAAGACATGGACTGCGCCGACGAAAAAAAAGATCAACCCGCGATAGCTGCTTATGTACTCCTTCATTTTTGCAAACACTTCCTAGAAGTTGCACAGAAGCGATTTGTTTTTACCACCGCCATGTCGACGAAAGCGTATCGCAGCACTTACGCGCAAAATTAGTCAAGATGCTTCAACAACCAATAGAAAACAATAAGAACAATAAATGAGATCGCGTCAAACAAGGAGCTGTCGTGCCCGGGGGCGTCGGCGTGGGTGTGGCCGGCGAAAGAGATCATTAATTTTGCTTTCGAAAACAAAAGCACAATCGGCGGTAAACTGCCTGCGGATCTACTTTCTGCACAGAAAAATAGAACCGGTGCCACAGCGAACACGACTGCGCCTGAGGAGTGTTCCTGCAGCCGATAATCGATTTTGCTCGCACAAATTAGTGTCCCGGGTCGTGGAAACAAGCGGACTACTTTGCAAAAAAAGTCTCAATAAACTTCTCCGAGTAGGCCGGGTAGCTGCTTATGCATGCTAGAAACTACTTACATGAAATCGTTTCTCTTTCTTTAGAGATTCTGAAAACGCTTTAAAGAGAATTCGCACGAGGAGGACGACCTTTGGCTTTGGCTGGAGCTTTACCAAGCATTAACTTGCAAAGTCCTGTGGTCCGCGAACAACCTTCTTATTCCTTACCCCAACTTGGTGGCGGCAATTCTGGAGCGGTTGATATGGTTCCAACGGGCGGCGGCGATCGATTTTTGCTCTTGGTACACGAGGCGGACCGCGTAGAAAGTGCCGTGATACAGTTCCGGGAGCGCATGCAGGAACAGGTGTCGCCGAATCCCCAACACTGCTGCACCAGAACAGAAAAGCCCAATAGCCGCGACCGCTGCCGAGCTAAGCACGAAGAGCACGAGAACGAGCAGCAAGAGCGGGACGTCCAGGCAGACGTAGCCCAGGGCCAAAGGGGCCACGTTCCGAAATCGGGTTATGACTTGCGAAGAGGCGCGGGGGGGCAGTGGAGCAGGCTCCTCCTTGGGCCGCAAAAACACACCGGTGATCGGACCGTACAGGCCGAGCAGAAAATGCTTCGCCGCACGCCAAACCGAAGACACAAACCGTGCGCAAACTGGCGGGTGCGCTGCAGCAGAGTGGCTCCGCCCTCGTGCGGCGGGGCTACTTGTTGCCGCTCCGGCTTGTTTCTTCCATGTGTGATGTGCGCGCGGGCTCTCGGGATCCGGAAGATAGATCGCAGCGAGTCGCTGGGCCGTGAAAACCCCCAACGTGTAAACGACGGCGGAGGCCGCGAGGCTCGAACGTAGGGACGAGACACTCTCAGCCACATCTTCGACCGTGAAGCCGCTTCGCTTCCGGGAAGAAAAATGGGCAGCACCCGCGGAGAGTACGACCAAAGCAAATAGGAGCCGCGTGTGGAGAACCGCGATGGTGACAAGCGTCGTTACGGGTAGAGGCTGCAGGCGCAACGCCTCTTGAGCAGTTCGGCTCCGCGACACAATATCGCTGCTCTTGTTACCGCTTTTCGCTACCGGCGTGCTGCTATCCAAGATATCATATAGCCTCGCAAAGCGGTGTCGCTCTATCCCATGCTTTCGTTGTACGAGACGCTGCCTTGGCCGCAAGGCGCCTTCCTTTTTCTGCTGGATTTTTCGCCGCGCAGCTGACTTTCGAAGCTTCGGCGAGGTCCGCGCAGCACGCGAATGTCCAACCGTGGAAGCCTTCGGCAAGCTGCTCTCGCTTGCCGTCGGAACCACATCCCCAAAAGATTCGTCGTTTATGAAACTACAGACAAAAAATCCGCAGTAGAAGACACACTGGAAGGAGCACTTAACGCCGCAGTTAATCTGGATTAGTAATATTTCTAATCTGATAACAATTTTCGAATGCAGAAAAAATGTCCGCGGCGGTCCGTGCGAGCGTTCCTGTGTGCGATCACCAGCGGTGAAAGTTCCTCGCCGTACTGGTTCGCTTACTGTCGTGTTTTCGCGTGGTTGGTGATTTTGTGAGTGCCTCCTTAGCCGTTACCAGGGCACTTTTCCCGGGGAACTTCCTCGCGAGCTTGTCCACTAGCGGCCGGAGCTGTAACCGGCGGAGATCGGAAAGCGACCCCTGCGAGTTTGTTCGCAAGATGCCGCCCTGCTTCTTGGCCCAATCTGTAACCGGCTTCCAGCATGGCTTCAGGAAGTGCCGCAACCGGCTGTACCACGTGCGTGCCTTCGGCCGCGGCTGGAGTTGAAAGGAGGTGATCCGCCACCTCTGCAACTCGTGCAGATACATCCAGGGCTGTCGCCGATTTTGCTGCTCCGCGAGCAAACGGCTCGGGCTGAGCCACGGAGAAATATCTGTTTTCAGTGACATTATCGTGGTCCATGACACCGGCAGGTTCGGCCGCACTACTTTTGCTTAACATCGGTTCGATGGCTGATGGATCATGTCAAAGGGAAGTGACTGACTGTTGTAAGTTCTACTCGACAAACGCAAACAAGAGTACTTGGTACGTGGTCCCCGAAGAGCACGTCGCGACATTGCATATCCTGTCGCGACAAGGACGATTCCAATCAGCAGCAGGTAGAGCACAGATATGTAACGGCGTCCGACGATGACGGGTACTGTTCCGAGCTCCGTCGCGCCGGGGGCGGAATCCGGTATCTCGGGAAGCACCAAGAAAAACACGACGACTGTCAGCAGTGGTCCGCAAAATGGGACGTTTCTGCCAGCGCGGTTGGAGGTCGGCTCGTGGTGCCGGGGAGAGGCTGCTCGCGCTGCATCGACGGTGGACGTAGGAGCTCCTGCGACTAGGGGAACCGGTAGGACCTGCGCGGTACTCGGGCTGCTTTTTCCGCTTAGCGCCGATGTTCGCGCCTGATGCGAGAGCGCCGGCGAGTCTGCTGAGGTAATGACGGCCCATAGCCCCGCACTGTGTGTGTCTGGACTCGTGTTGCGTGCGGCAGAGGCGAGCGTCATTCTGCGTGGCTAGCATACGCATGGCTCGCAAGGGGATGCGAGCATTTCTTTTTACACGAGTACTTCCAAAATTGCGCCGGACGCAGCACGGCACCTGTGCACACGCGCCCGAGCAACACTTTGTATGAACTTTCTACCTGTAATGGGACTCCTGAGCCATTTATTTTCTTCGGGTGCTCACACATAACGGTGGTAAGCACAATCAGCGCAGCATCCGAAATCGTTAGGCGAGGCGCTATCCATCGCATTCTCGGGCGGTCTCCAAAACTAATCCACATGCTATCAACTTGGCTCGCTTTTTCTCTCAAGTTATCGTGTACCACTAGCAGCGCGGCGAAATATCGGCACGGGGGCACCCGCGACACGCAATAGATCAGCGAGCAAGGGAATGCGATCGGAGCATGCGCATTTCGTGCGCAGCTGCAGGATGAAACAACGCGCGCAGAATGAACGGCACGACACTGCTGGGGCCCGACGCGTTTCGCTGCGCCGCGGAGCGCTCCTCGCGTGGTAACTGCACAAGCTGCTAGATAAGCCCGGGCCCGCGGGAAGAACGTAAAGCCGTCCTGCCGTGCGCCCCGTTATCTGTGTGCCCCGGGCGGGTCTCCGGGCGTGATTAGTGGCGCGCTCGTTTGGCGGCGGGCAAAGGAGGGGCCCCGCGGGCGGCTCGCGGGCGCTTCTGCATGATCAGGGTCCGCGAGAAGAGTGCGCGGTGCTCTGTACTAGGTCGACAACGTAAAACGCCCTCCATGGTAGTACCAGGATGGGATCCGGGAGGTCCGCCTGCACATTTCGCGGGCAGGCGAACGCCTGTTATGGGGACACACAGGCTCAACCAAGCAACGTACTAGGCATCTGGGGCGCCCGCGTTCTTGGGTAACATAGAAGACCAAAGACGAGGAGCACACGCTTCCAAATGTGACAACAAAAGAGATTACAAGACCTCCTCTATGTGAAGTGGATCGCATTTTGTATGATTTTGCCCCATATTTTGCGTTAATTGTCTGCTGTTGTGCCTGATTGTGTCTTGAATGGCCGCCAGTTTACAAGATTGTGCTTTACTTGATTGCAAAATTGCAAGAAGTTGCCACGATTTCCCGTCAACTTGCATAATTGTGCCCTCATTGGCCGCCAACTTGCGAGATTTTGCAGTGATTGGCTGTCAACTCGCCAGGTTTTGCCGCGAGTTGCTACCAGTTTGCAAGGTTTTGCTTTGATTGGCCGCCAGCTTGCAAGATTTTGCCTTCGTTGGCGACCAACTTGCAAGATTTTGCCAAGCTGACACAAGATTTTGCCCTGCGTGGTGACCAACTTGCAAGATTTTGCCCAAATTACCCGCCACCTCGCAAAATTTTCCCTTAATTCGCCGCCTGCTTGCAAGATTTTGCCCTGACTGGCTACGAACTCGCAATATTTTGCCCAGATTGGCCGTCAATTTGCGATATTTTGGTCCACTTCGCCGCCATTTCGCGACAGCGATACAAAATGGAAGAGTGTGTGCCCCTCGGTTGTCGAGCGCGTCGTGCGATCGGAACATCGACGTCAAAGTCGTGACGCTGTGCGTAAAAAAGATGACTCTAATGGCGTCTCGCATCGCCTTCGGGATCCCGCGTGGGGCCGAAAAAGAGGACAAAAACATCGCGAGAAGGAGCATGATGTGCTCCGCGATTAGGATAATGATACGCCGCTGATACTATTCGTACTGGGTACTATTTGCATGGTAGAATACAGATTCACTGATATCCTTGGGTGAAATGCGAGCAAAAAGATACGGGGAACTGTTCTAAACCCTAAACCTACAACACTGTAACGAAAAAATAACCTTACTTGCATGGCATGATGCGCATAAAAAGGTTCTTAAAAACGGCCCCGACCGACCTTAGTAGTGTCTTCTTTTCACGGTTCTGTAGATCCTGCTCTAGCTTTAGAATACGTTCCTCTAGTACTTCGACACGGTCAGAGACGTCGTCCCATAGGTTTTTCAATGATTTGCATGGCGCGCTCATAGCGGGCGAATACAGACAAAAATAGTACTAAAAACGGGGCTAATCGCGACCGAAAACGAGCGACAAAAGGTACTTCCTCAAGTGCTTCTTAGCAGTATTCTCAGTACTGACAGCGGAGACGCGTATCTCCTCGAAGACCGAGCAACAGATGCAGGGCGGAAATGAACTAGAAGTAGTCAAACGTGATCTAAAACCGAGCGCGACCATCTAAATACAGCCGCGGACGACTACGACGATCAAAACCGACATAGTATAGTACTGAAAGCGATGAAAATGAAGACCGAATCGACGGATTTCTTGTACTTTTGACCTTTACATAAGGCGGACACAGCGGCGGCACATCTAAAATGCACTGAAAGGCGTGCTTCTTTCGCGTCGTCCTCCGACGAGCAGCTTCTTCCTCTTTTTTTGGTCCCCAATTGCGAAAAAAACATGGCCTATATGTTCGGAATCACAGTGAGTTCAAAATCATCATCGTCGTTCTTTGATTCGTGCATCTACGTCTTTATTCCGAAGAATATATCGACCTACGAACCACAAAAGCTACACGCACTCCTCATAAGCTCAAACGACTCTGCTACTCCACCAATATCTTCCCGTACGTGTAATCCTCAATTGTCACTCATCGCTCATGCTCCTGGACAGCTGAGAAATGATCACTCATGATCGAATTTCATCGTGCCGTCTGCTCCAGGAGCATGAGTGATGGCACTGATGCCAAAAACGTTGGTAGTAAAAAATAATAGTAAAAGAGGCTCATGTGATTTCTACAAGGGGTTTTCGACAGAAGTCCGCTTTATCCTCCCTAAGCTGTTTTATTTTTTTTTCATGTCTTTCAGGATAAGGAAATTTTTTGGTTTTTTCATATTTTCTTTTGTTTTTGTATTTGAGGATTTTCTTATTTTTTTGTATTTGAATGAACGCGGGCTGCTGTGCGTTCTTTTTACGGGGATATATTTTTCATGTCTTTTTGCTAACCCTATGAAATTTTTTTTGTATTTGATGTTCGCTGTGGTTACGAGGGTTTTTTTCTTAGTACCGGATAAGAATCTGAAGTCCACATAAAAAGACGTGATTGTTGGCGAGTAGTATTTTGAAGTGGCGATCTTTCAACTATAAAATTTTATCGCGACGATAAGATCAAATTTGTAATGCGGGAATCTATGATGGAGAGTTCAAAAGATCTAAAATCGCATCGGATGGTGTCACTGCGTGTTGCTTACGAAGACGTTGAATCCTGGGTAGCAGGCGCATCGATTTTGCCGTGCAACAAGGGCAGCGCTCCTTTTTTTCCATCCTTGTCGAAAACCGCCGGACCGTCCTTCTTGATTCCCGTTTTACCGGCCCCTTTCTTCCCTTTCTTTTCACCATCCTTTTTCCCTTTCTTTCCAAAGTAATCATCCGAATCGGAGAACTCCTCGTCGAGGAACCCACGGAACTTCCCTTTCTTTTCGCCACCTTTTCCTCCCTTTTTCCCGTAGCCCTTGATCCATCCAATTTCGTCCCGCAATTCCGCATTCTCGCGCTGGGTGTTGTACAACTGTTCCCGCAACCGACCTACTTCTTCCACCCGCTTGAAGTCATTGTTTTCATTGCGCAATCGCTGCACTTCGGAATGCATAGAAGCCATTTCCTCTTTCAATTCTCGATTTTCGCGGGAGCACGTGCTGTACGCGATTTGCAGAGCAGAGTCAGGATTGTCATCGGGTTTCTCCTTGAAAAACGGGTTGTCGTCCAGCTCCCGGATGCGGTCACAGTTCTTGATGTCCTCCTCGAGCTGGCGATCAGCAGAATCACGTCGCTGTTTCTTCGACTTCATCGAAGTCTCTTTCGAGGCTTCCTTGGGCGCACCACCCGCACAAAACTGTCCACGGCTGTTGCGCTTGCGCGCGGTTTTACCGACCTTGTCTTCGGGCTTCTTGTCGACACCAGAAGAAGATCCGGCAGTGGCCGTGTCGATCTTGGTGTTCTCGGGCATCGTGAAGGTGGCGACCGGAGCGAGGGGAGGAACAGTAGTAAAATGAGAAAAGACAAAATAAACGGATGAAGTTTATTTATTGTAAAGTCAGAGAAAAGCGTCGTTCTTTTTTTCGTAGTTTGTTCTTTTCTTACTTAGTCTTTCTTTTTTTTTTCGTAAAAACGGAAAAGGAACTCAAATAGGGCCAAACCCTCCTGGGTGCATAGAACTACACGGCAACTGTCCGCTCATTGGTGATTTCCTCCTTCTTTGATTAGCGGTTGGAGCGCGGTGTGAACTTGTGCTGCTTGAACTACTTTCGTTACTACTGCTTTTACTGCTAGTGCTAGAACTGTTTTCGCTACTAGAACTAGAACTGCTTTCGCTACTAGGAGGTGCGTATTGAAGATCGTTTTCTCGTAATCTCGATGAAGTAAATGATCCGCTCCCTCGCCAGTAGATCGTTTCTGAAAGACTAACCGGTGCCGTTTGTAACGCGCGAGGACTTCCGTCTCGGTCTGATAAAATAATCGTTCCCGCGAAGGCGACGTACGACATTCTTTTTTTTCTCTTCCTTGAGTAGTCGTGGTTGCTACTACCTACTCCAGAAAAGCCTACGATTACGTCGGGATTATAACACACGAGCATACAAAAATAAAACAGAATTGCATTGATCAAAAACAAAATTGTCGTCCGGATCTTCGAGCTCGGCACAAGAAAAAGGGTGGTTTTGTGGAACAAAATTGTATCAAAATGGTGAGGCGTCTGATATTATTCCGCTGTGAAAAAAAATTTTCTGATCTATGCTAACTGTCCTCCCCCACTCCTCTGGGAGGCGTTCAGCTGCTGCTTTTGGTGCGTCACGTGTGCTCGATATCCTTCTGCAATCGACTTGTATCGACCAGCAAGCCCTGCAACTTTTAGTGCTTCATGTAGCTCTGCAAGTGGGCCTCGCATCTCGGAAAAAAACTGCATCGCAGCTGCTGGTCCGCACTTCAGCGACGCGAACAGCGGGGTCGTCAGTTGCCCAAAAATGCCAGGCCATGGGGCAAATCCCAGGCTGGCGCGGTTCGGCAGGTAGATTTCAGTTCCGATGACAAGACTGAGCCACAAGGATAATTCCAAGTGGACTTGAATCCCCTGGAACGCGCGTTTTATGTCCAATTCCAAGTAGCCGACGCAGCTCGAAT